ACAAGGTCCTTGTCAAAAGTAAAAACATTAACGACAAGGAATCCCTGTCAGCTCAGCCCCTTTGTGAAATGGACACATAACTGGCACACAGACCAGCTGATTAAATGATGTAGATGGGGTCAACACTGAAAAGAGATTTAGATAATTTGAAGAAGATTTAACCCTGATTATTAAGCTTGGGAATACTGTATGTAAAGATGTTTTACTGTCACAAGACTCTTGAGGGGATATTCCAGCATAAAATTAATTAAGGGTCAAACACAACATAACACTGAGTTGGACAATCCCTCAAGAGATGAATGTTGCCGACCACTTGCTTCCCTAGTTTTACCAACTTTAGCAACAACCGCATGATAGCAATACACAGCGGTCTGAGGAGCCAGAAAACAAACCTCAACCAAAAAGCCGCTCTATAGCCACAAATAATGCTCAGAACAGCACCTTACTTCATCAACAGTACATATAGGGTCCTAGACATAGCACTAGCCACCAAACATCGTTTTAGCTTTGCCTAATTTCTTAAGCAAAGAGACTAAACACAACTCACCTACTCTCTTCCAGCAGCCGTTTGTTTGTACGGAGACCTTGGGCGAGTCCATCGACTGCAGCGGGGTGATGCAGCTCAAGGAAGAACATTTATGATCATTACTTTATCATTTCCTTTAAGTAATAATCACCATATTAATCATTTTGCGCTGCAGACGTGGTAGTTCTTTTGCCTTAGCGTCTCGGTCTGATTGCATTTCCATGAAGAAATGATCATAAATGTTCTTCCTTGAGCTGCGTCACCCCGCTGCAGTCCGTAATGGACTGGCCCGAGGTCTCGCTACAAACAAGCGGCTGCTGGAAGAGAGTAGGTGAGTTGTGTTAAGTCAACATTTATCGGGGTGTCTAACTTGGTGTTACGGTGTGTTTGACCCTAACTTAATTTTACGCTGGAATATCCCTTTAATCTGTTGATTAGATATATGCTATAAGAGACAAACTCACTTTAGCCCCAGACACTGATATATGTAAAACTTATCTAAACTTGCATCTCAGTTCGATTGCAGTTTTAAGGACTCATTTTGTATTCTTTCTGACTGACAGAGTCAAGGCTGGAAATGTTGTCACCTCAGCTGTCCTTATCTTTTGTTATTTCCCTGTTTTGCCACTGATAATAGTCGTACAAAAGGTGACACTTACACCGTCTGGGATCTGATGAATTGACTGACCTTTGGACTCAGACTGGAAGACAAAACTTGTAACAGATACAAAGAAGCTGCAAGAGCAAATTAAAATTCAGCGCTGCCTGCTGCACTGAAATGAAGGGGAGATATTCAAGTATGAATCTCATATAATAAAACTTCTGCTGCACAAGCCAGAATATGACAAGATACAATTCTTTGGGGGGTGTTAGATAATTTCAGCAGCAGAGGATGTGTAACAAAGACAGATATATTTGAGATAGATGCTCTTTGTGTAATCCTGGCTCACATTAATCACTGTTACTCATTCAGAGGTTTGTAGTTGTTCTCAAACACATTCACATAGTCTAACGTACATTGCAGGTGTCTGATGTGATTCTTCATATTGTCAGATTTACTCGTCAATACATCACCAAGCGCCGACAGTGTGAACTGTTCTCTGACCTATCTGGCGAGACGTGAACTGCTGTCTGGTCTGTGTTGATGATCTGTGAATGTGAAAGACTTCTTTCTACAACACACACATACACAGCTGTAAATGAGCCTGAACTCCTCCTGGTGGGTGAAATATCTCTGGCGTTTGCAGATGGAGACAATGAATCATGAAGGAGTATTGTTTGTGGCAGCAGCGATAGAGGAATTGTGATCTCAATGAGGAGGCAGAAAGACACTCACGCAAGGAGTTAAAGTGGCTCAAATGTAGCTATAATTCATCTGTGGGTAGACTGGTGCTGTGTTTCTTGGTTGTAATTTCTCCAACCATAAATAAGGTTGTGTAATCAGAGGTGTCGATGCAGAGGTGTGTTTGGGGTGGGCCAGCTTGAAAGACCCTCAGTCAGGGCTTTTATCCAGGGCTGCAAATAGGCGCCGGCCATCAAAGTGCCGTCTGGTGAGCATCTGTTGGTGCCAAATTTGTGTTTGGCACCAGATGGTGATGTCTTTGTTGAACCATAGGAGCAGCAATGGGAAGCTCTAATGAAGCCTTTAAATAAGGACTCAAAATGCATTTGTTGAAACATGATTTTAGTGGTACTGAGTGCAGAATTGAGGCCAGCAGACTTTGTTATTGTGACTCAAAGAGCAGCAGAATAAAAACAATGTTTTCTAAGGCCACAAGAGATGGATGAACAACTATTTTCAAAACTAACCAAGGCTAAATATCTCTGTATTTTTCTGGGCCAGCTCCTAAAGTGCTAAAATTGTTCAGGGACTGTTGGCTCCACTTTACTTTATGACAATGAGCGAATCATTTCTGGTTAGGAAAAACATCCACGTCAATCATCCTCTCTCCTTGAGATGAGAGAAAAAGTGGATTTTTCTGTTCAGTCTAAGTAGCTTTGCTCAAAATAACAAATTGAGAAAGATAATGGTGTGTGAGTGTGTATGAGTGAGAGAGAGAGTCTGTGTGAGAGAGAAAGAAATGATATATTAGGATAAAACACAAACATTCAAACACAAAAATTATTAATTGGATCACAAGTATGAATTTAATATAAGTGATCAAGTATGTAAGACATGTTTGGGCTTATGGGAAGACAGCAGTAAATACAAATGTTAAAATCCAGTTTAAAGAGGAGTTGACAGACAGTAATAATTTCATCCAAAGAAATAATGATTCAAATTAATAACATTGAGAGCCCATATGAATGTGTTGAGCTGTGATGCTAAAATTCAAGCCCAGGAAATGGTTTTAAAGGCACAAGGACTTTAATATTATAGCCAGTATCAGAAATAAATGCATCTTTGAAATCCAAGTCCATATTAACCACGTGAAGCATCATGCCAACCTGAGGGTGTCTCTTTAAACTGAGTCTCCCACAGTGTTGACAGAACTCCAGTCAGCTGCCACCCATTTAGCGAATGCTGTAGTTAACATGCTCGATTTGGTGTCATCCAAAATAGTGCTCTCCTAGCTTTTGTAGTATGGTTGCCTGCTGAGCCCCCAACCTGGCTGATCAGCTGCACCTGTTTGCTGAGCTCATAGGCTGTGATATTTTTAATGCTGTTTGACACAAAATCCACATTACTTCTGACTTGTTGACTGAAACAGCTGATACTATTTTTTGTACATTCATATCTGGTCAGTAAAATGTTCTGCAAAATTTCAGCATTTTTAACTACAGTTGAAAGTATAAACTGTATTACTGAGGAAATGTAATGTTTGGTATTGCGTGTTAATATTAAATCTTTTTAACACAACAACCACCCTCTTCTTCTTCTTCAAACCAGTGCTTCTGCATGGCCACTCATGAAATACAAAAATACATCCTCTACCAGTTTTTCCTTTTTGTGCTGCTGTAGAAATATGAGAGAACAAGATAACCTCTAATCCTCTGTGAAAAGGAATCCTCTCATTGAAGTGTAAAAGGTTCATTTTAGGTTAACAAAATCAATGAATGTTTTATGTCCAGGTGACATGGCCCTAGTTTAAACATATTTTTATGAATATCATATTTTATTTTAAACAATTCTGTCCAGCCAAATGCTGATAAATATTAGTAGTAGGTACACATACAGTTGCCTGTGTGACAGGATCATGAGACAATACTGCATCAATGAAATGTTATCAAAGACTTAAAGGAGTTTACTCAGAGTCTCCTAAAAAAAATGTAAAAACTACATGAAATAAAATCAATTCTCTTGTAAATCATAAAACTGTATTCATATTTTACTGTATTGTTCCCACTGAGCATTTTTTTGGTCTAGAAGAGGTCTAAAAACATCTAAATGTAGCCTAGACGACTGATCTAAAATCAGGCTACCACAGCTCTGAAAATGAAAGTTTTTTAGACATCTACATTTAGACCAAGTTTAGACGAGCCGGCTAACAGAGGTCTACGCTGTATATTGCTCAACGGCTATCATAATTATTTTGTTTAAGTACTTGGAGATCAGTTATGCAACTCACAGTTGCTTTTTGAAATGAACAGTTATCAAATAATGGGTTAAAGTGCAACATCTAAATTTCGTCTAAAAATATACAGAATCTAGACGGTTAAAGTTAGGTCTAAAAAATAAACTAGATGTCTAATAGCCGTCTATTGCTCAGTGGGTTGGTAATATACAAATATTGTTAAAAGAAGATGTAGAATTTCTTAAAATACCTCAAACTACTACCTGTTGATGTAATACTTATTAGTGTATGGCATTATATCCTAACTTTAACAAAATCTCATTCTCAAAAATCTCTATCTAATCTAGCAATACAGCTGATAAATATCCATGAGTTTGACTGTAAAATATATCAGGCTTGAATTGAAGATACAGATTTCTTCTGTGAATTTGGAGACATTCAAATATAGAACATGATTTTGCATTAAAAGTAGTCAAGTGTGAATTCAAAGGAAATATAGTGAACAGGCTTCCTGTGTCACTTTACATGTGGAAGTAAATCTGTGCCATCTGATTTTGAATTTGAATTTTTAAAGCTGAATTTTTTTTATTTTTTATTTTTTGCATCAAAATCAAACTTTGAATTTCAAAACCCCCAAAAATTCAGTTTTAGAAATTTAAATTCAAACTCAGATGGCACAGATTTACTTCCATAGTTACATACCTACTTTAATATCATCTAAGGCATAAGCTGTTCTTAAATTGTCATTAATGTATTACTTTTTTAAAAGAAAGTTAATTGTTTCCTTGTTTCCTCAACATCAACCCTCCTCTTCCTCCTTCCCTTCCTCCTTCCCCAGCCCGCACGTGCTGCGTGCTCGCCCCTGAGCTCTTGATCTCGTGTGTTTCTCCATTGGTCTGGGATGATGTCATCCAGAGAGGAGACAATAGAGCCCACCTCCCCGTCAGTGTGTCCTCCTCACACTCACACACACACGCACCGCAGCTCAGAGTGACACACGCTCAGACGTGACGCCAGCTGAGTGAGCCAAGCACTCTGCATCATCACATTTATTTATTTAACTGTTTCTCTGCAGAGCTCTGCTTACTCTACGCCAACCAGGTTGCTTTCTCTCTCCCTTCTCTTTATATATATGTGTGTTTGTTTCTTTAAAGTAACGTGAAGGAAGGAGCGAGCAGGCAGGCAGGCAGGAAGGTGTTACACATCTGGATCATACCAACGCGTCGGCTCCTGCTGCTCGGGCCACTACAGACATGAGGAGTCCTCACTCCGCTGCGCATCAGTGATGAATTCACCACAGCACTGGCACGCTTGATGTAAGTCATGTTTTCATTTTTCATCACGGTGGTGGTGGTGGGTCCGGGTCGGCCTGTCGCCCGTGAGCCCCCCTGGATGATCAGCAGCAGGATGTGTTCAGAGCAGTGGCTGTGACAGCGAGCTGCGTGAGGGTCAGGTTAGCTTCCAGCACAGAAACAGCGCTTATTGCATGTCTCTATGATCCCTGTGTGTTTAAAGCTACAGTCAGGTTGATGCCTCATATGAAAGCGTGTAAAGCATCCTCGTGTTATTGCGAGGGAGGTCAGCTGCATGACTGCAATAGGAGGAAGCTGTAATATTGCACTGATCAAAGACTGCAGCCATGTTTTAATGAGCCCTAATTAAACCAGAGAGTCTGAATCTGAGAGGCCTGCTGCTGCTGCTGCTGCTCCTTCAGGCCCTGTCCCCACATCAGCATCAACCTACCTCTCATCTTTGGAAAGGTTTAAAGAAAGGAAGATGTGATTAAAAATACTGTTAAATTAAGCAGTGCGCCACCTAGCGATTGTGTAAACAGGAACTCATAGATTTTCCATTACCGGCCTGCAAAGCAGCCCTATAAACAACAATGCAGAGGGAGGACGAAAATGCTACTATCTGGGCTTTTTATGCTTGCAGTTTTTCAAATATAAGATAGAGGAGGACAAATGTGCTTCAAGTTTGGAAATTTAACATGATGATTCATAGTCAGACTTCATAATAAAAGCTCCAGTCCATGTGAAAAATACCAGATGTGTGCAAAACCAGCAAGAACAAGAGGAAGTGTTGATAGCAGGATTTGCCTACAGAGATAAATTAGCAGATAGCTACAGACTGACCGAAGAAGAAATCAAACATACACTGTATTTGACTTCCTAACCAGTTAGAAAAGCTCTAGCCCTTTAATGCCTTTCGTATCATATTTGATACATACTTTTATATACTTCTATCAAATCAATATGATCAACAAATTACTAAAAAAAAACTAAATACAGTCAGTTAAGTGATAAAAATGTCTTCTTGTAGTTTATTAGTTTCCAAAAACATCTTATGTATCAAATGAGATAAGTAAAGATATTTGTTAAATTTTAAGGGCATTTAGATTTTTGTGGTTTTCAGTAGTAAGTGAAATAAACATTTCAGCTCCAAAAAAAACGGAATTTTCTTGCCATAATTTGTGATTTCAGGCATTAAAGGGCTGGATATTAACTGTGGCTCATGAAGAAAAGATGAAACACTGCAGTGCACTCACATAAGAGAGTAAATAAAGTAGGGGTGTATACATGTCAGTCAAAACTTATATCTGCATTTGGCAATATTTGTGAACTTCATGTGGCTTCTGTGGTTTGTAGAGACCATCCGCTGAGATTAATCATCTAACTCTGCAGCACACAGTTCATAGCCTCTCTCTGCTCATATGAGGGATTGTTTTCTGATGCATAGAAACTGCAGAGGTGACTCAATGTTTCCATTATTCCCTGAATAAAACCATAGGCATCCATTACTGGCGTGGTGTAATGTTCCAGTGGAACAATTATTAGATTGACTTTAAGTCTCTTAGGAAAGATCTCACTTCTCCATCACTGCGGGAGTAACTTTTACAAACAGCTGAGTCTTCTGACCCAGTGCTGACACAATTAAATCAAACATGTACTGTCAAAGATTACACAGGAGGAGGAGAAAGTGGTAAGCGCTCAAAAACTAATGCTGTGTAGTTATTGACACCGCCTTGAAGTTACAGGTATGAAGTTAAAGGTCAATATGGGACAAAAGATCTTGGCGGGCTATTTAAAAGTGTTACCACCTTCCTACAAGAGAATCAAACAGCAACTCACAGAGATTGTCAAAATGGATCAATTTGGAAAGAATCCTCTTGTTTCATTCATGAAGCATCCCAGTTTAGTCCATAAACTGTAGAGGACAGAGGAAACACATCAAACATAATGCCCCAAGGTTACTCTTTTTTCTTTTTCATCCTATCATAAGTCTTCTCTCTTTAAAACCATCAAAATGTTTGACACTACTGCCCGGATATAGAGGCCAAAATAGTGGTTGATGTCTTTTCTGTCAATCACCTAATTATTTCAGCTCTAGTTTGCATACTCTGCTCTGACCATCTCTCCCACTGCTCCAGTTTCCTCCTACAGTCTGCAGACACACCAGCAGCCACAAAGACCAAAAACTGCTGACAGATGTGACTGTGTGCTCATGTTTTAGCAGCCTGTGTGACTGGGACCTGTCCTGTTTACCTGCTTTCAACCCAGTTCATTCTGGGATAGCCTCTGGTGTCTCCGATTATAAAGGAACACGTTTGAATTATTTGTGACAGAGTGAGAGGATTTATTTATTCAAGATGATTTAGCAAGGGAGGAGCACATTTTTCAGTTTTATTTTTTAATTTGATAACACAAATTTGAAAATAGCAACAGTGTAGTTTGGTGTAAAAGTGTCATCTGTTTTTATTTGATCTTCACAATGGTATAATGTCACACTATTATAAACTTACTCAACAGAGAGCTTGATGTTCACATTAAAAATAAAACAGTTTACAAAATGTAGATAAACTGAATACATCCTGGGAATCTCTCGCGTCATTAATAATAATAATTTCATTAAAATGCTATCCTCTGACTGTTGATGCTGCAGGCAGTGTGAAGCTGAGGGACATCCTGCAGTGACAGCCTCCAGGTTTAGATTTGCTGTTTTGTTCTTATCATGCACAGTCACGCTTCCTTAAAGGTTTGGTTTGAGGATATGAAGATGGTCCGGCATGAATTAGAGAGGAGGTTAAGAAACAGATTGTTTTCCCCACACTGACACTAGCAGATGTTGCCGCTGGGTTATTTTTGTTCATGTTGAAAAAAAACCTGCAGGAGACAAAATGGTTTGGGGACCTTCTGAACCTCTGCATGCATGATTCAACAAGTTTCTGTACATTCAAGACCTTACCAAGCAGTAATTACGATAAGTACACTCTTATTTTGTAATAATAGACCACATTTATTAAGCTAATGCCATTTAATTAAGGGGGGAAAATCTGTTTTTCACACCTGTCAGTCTGTTTCCAAGTCCAATATGTCAAAAAGTCAGTTTAGGATGATATTTGGTGGACTGAAACACATTGGCAAATCATGGTTGTGTCCAGATTTGAGATTTCCAACATCAGCTGATCATATTTCAACTTTTAACCTTTAGAGTGTGTGCTTAGTTTTAGAGATTTAACCTGAAAAGTTTGGAAATCATACTCAAAGCACATTACTGTTCTTCTTCTTATCTTGGCGTGACAGAGGGCTCGAATCCAAACCTCACACGAAACCTTTTCTTTGAGCTGATTCTGTCACTTTCTATTCTTAGTAATCTATTTCAGGAGAGTCTTTCTTTTTTTTCCTTTGCAAAAGTCAAACTCCAATCTCATCTTTTAACTCCACAATGTGCCAATACATTGTGCCGGAAAAGCTTTTTCTGCAAGCATAAATAGAAATCATTGTGCTAATAGAGGTGCTGTCCATAACTGTTTAGCACTGACGTGTTTCTTGATTAAAGTATTACAGTTTCCAATATGGCAAAAAGGGAAGAAATAAATGCTGGGAAATATTGCCCTTTAGCAAAAGTGACTATTATCTCCTTTGTGTTACAGAATGAATTAAACTAGCCATGTGAGAAAGTGAGGGATATGACACTCAATGTCCTAAAAGTTGTTTTTTTGTGTGAGTGTGAAATGAGTTGAAATGATTGGTCAAAGGACAGACAAAGATGCCTGAATACTCACCATCTCTCTGCTCTCTGATTGGATGGTTCGTGCTGTTTCTTCCATCTCTTCCTGTCCGCTGACTGCAGAGATAAAGCTGATGTAATTATTTTGACTTCCCATCAGTTGCCTGTAGTGGTGTGAGCTTTGATGAGACGAAGCAGATTACAGCAAAAAAGCAGAATTAGGAGAACAAATCAGCCGCAGAGATAAAGACGTAATTGTCTTTTTTCGAGTCATTTAGGATTACTCCAGCATCGTGTTGTGGAATCGATCCATATCAGACAAACAACAGGATGAGTAAAATAGATATACAAAGAGTCAGGGAAGATTTAAGTCATCTCACTTATCAACCGTGGGCTCATCCTGTGTGTCATTATTGTATCATTATCATGTCTTTGTTGGCAAACACACTCTCATTAAAGGCCTCTGAGTCACAACTCAGTCATTATACGCAGCAGGATTCAGGTTGGAGTTATTTCCTTTGTTCCAAGTTAATCTGCTGTCATTATATGTGTGTGAGTTAAGCCTGATCAGTGAGTCATAATGACTTCAGTCCACCTTATCAGTTTCAGCAGATTAAAACCAGTTCTTCGCTGACTTCATTAGGTGTACAGTTATCTGGTATCACACTCACCAGAAGGGGTACTTCAGTCTTATATTTCTTGTATTATTCTCCGTATGAAATGTGTTTTAAACCTTTAACATCAAGTTGTAAAAGCGCATCGACTTTAAATCAGGGATGCACTGTTGTGAAAAACTGAGGCCAATACAGATCCCATCATTAGACAATAACAACTTGGCGTTTCGTTCATCCTGATAAGGATGTTTTGTTTTGTTTTGTTTTGTTTTTTAATCAATAGTACATGTTTTAATTCTGCTGTTATTACTTCCCTTATCTGGGCCAGAGAAGCAAATTAATCTTCATTATAAAAACATTAGTGCACATTGCAAAAGTCATTCAGGCCTTTATTACACTCCCTAAGAGAGGCAGTTGTACCGATTCACAAACCAACTCTTTAATCTTACTTCTTCATCATAGAAAGAGGCTTTACTGAACAAGTAACTGCTTTAAAATCCTCTCTAGTATAGATGGATATCATTAGGGTTTTTATTGATACCAGTATAGATACCTATGCTTGTTAATCTTACTGATACTCTTAATGATAGCGCTTCTCATTAACCCATATACCAAATAACTTGTTATCCCCAAACATGGTATGAAAAGTTATAAGATTTAACTTTTTTGTAGTTTCTCTGTGGTCCCTCTTGTATGGTCTCTCTCTTGTATGACTTCTCATTTAGTTGTGACTGTCCAAATGTCCTTCAGTTTAACATTTTTCCACTTTCTGACAACTAAAGGTTTTCTTTAACAGCGTGTCTGTCAACAGGGACTGAATCACTACAGGCTCATCTATTGGAGCCATGTGGTTCAGTTTGGTTTACTCCATCTGCTATAGCCACCAGGACCTAAAGACTTTACTTAGTCTTCAGGTCCCGGTGGCTATAGCAGATGGGATGCACTTGAAGGGACATACTTGAAGAAGACCTGACAGTTGCTGCTTAGCTGAAGCAGTCAAACACAGACTGTGCTGATCCAGATTTAAAGGTTGCTGGTGTTATCACCTCAAAGACACTCCTTTTTTGTTTTACAAAGATGTGCCAGAGCTCTGTAGAGTCCGCTACGCCAAACCCTAAGATCTGTCCACCTTATAGACCTTCTGCTCTTTCTGGCAAGAGACCACAACAACCCAACAACAATAAAGTGAATGAGAACAGCATTAAATTAGACAGACTTTCAATGTCAAATACCTGCAATAGCACCAATATTGGTCCTTGATATCCAGGCAGACCTTATAGCCCGCTTTATTATAACAAACACACTAAGTGGTATTGATCAGTATTCGTACAGTCCAAAAAAACATTATTAATTTATGAAAACATCAATACTCTTAGGTAATAATTACACTGAATGCACAAATATTTTGCAAAACAGTGAAATAAAAGAAATGTAAAACATATGTGATGAATTGTTACAAACACAAACTGGACCATCACTCAGCGCTTATGGGTTTTTTTATGTAAAACACATTATTTTTTATAAAGTTCATCTTGTTTTTGTTTCCAAAAAGAACAAAAATGGCGACAGGTGAAAACAAAGGGTTTGCTAGCTTATCATCACCAATGCAAAATTTGATCTTGATCAGTGCACATCCTGCACATTCTCAGCCAATGTATTTCTGTCTCTATTTGGAGCGAGTAATAAGAGGAAATTGACTATTTTAAAACATCTAACAGTTCAAAGTTTCGTGGTAGCATTCATGAGAAAGCTGCTTTGTGAATATAAACCCCCAAACTATTTAAACTGTGTGTATGTAAATCTGATAGACTTGTACACACACAGTAACGTTTGTGTGCCGCCACATCTTTATAGTTTACTCAAATGGCCTTGAGTCACAGTGGTGGTGGGATGAATAACTCATTAAAAGGTGATTTTTTTGCCCAGTTTTGAGTGCAGCCATCTGTAGCAGATGCTTATGTAGTCATTTAGTGATCATTACCATACATTTCATATTTGCAAGAGGCAGGAGGGGTTTCATTCTGGGCTGCCTTTCTCCATCTACAGCCCGTTCTGCTGCAGCTGAATTATCGTTCCCACACAGGTAGATGCTGCTGTGACACTGTGGTTGAGGCCAACTGCAGGGCTTGTGTATAGAAGTAAACTTTGACCTCATTTGTAAATATTGGAAGAATTAAATGCGGCCCTGAAAGCTTTGTGGTCAGGCAAATGTATCAGTGATACATCAGAGAGTGTGTTATCTGATGAAGGGCTGGTTCTGGACTCGAGTATTTAAACCCTGATCAGCTTCCATGTGGATTTGTGTATAATCTTGTTCTCTGATAACAGCATCAGTGTAGGCAAATAAAAGCCTTTGCTTTCACTGATTACACCAACATTTGCTTATAGCAGAAGGCTTTTTAACCTCTGTTATAATGCGCAAAGACTCATCCTGCCTAATGTCTCACCATTAAAACTCAAAGTGTGATGCTGGACTTAACAATCTCTGCACATTTAAAAACCAGAGGGAGCAGCTTTGATTTCTTCTCCTTTTATTTCCTCATCATTAATCCTCTCCTCAGGTCTAAACATTTGGGTAGAGAAATGACTGGAGACGGCTCACACTGTTTTCTATCAGACAAGCAGCACTAGCTCACAACAAACAAACAGAAAAAAAAAAAAACTGACTAGAAACATATTTTGGCATGGGAGTTGATAAAATCACACCCCAATCTGGAAAACGAAATTAAAGATTCAGGAAGGTTACGTAAGATGTCGACTGATTCCAAGCCTGCAGCTTCAAGATGATAATCACCCTCCATTCTCAACTGACAACTGAGAAGTCCAAAAATTGAGGACATGAGTACACTTTCAGTGGTTTAATCCATGCTTCTTTTCTTTCTTTCTTATTTTCATTTAGAAAAGCAGAAAAGCCTTTTGAGACTCTGTGGGCTGAGAGTTAAAGGAGAAGATTTATACACGTCAAATAAATACAGCGAACAGTTAGCCGAGCTAGCGTGGCAACTGGAAGGAATAGATAATCTAAATATATTTGTCTCAGATGGATCTCATGCTAAAGACTCAAAAAAAAACTGGGTCAACAGCCCTGTTAATGACCGCCATTCGACTACCATGATCATTAGCGCTCTAATGACCCACAGAGTCATACATTTCTGGCCCTATGGACCAGCCAGTTCGGGACTGAAGAAGCTTTTGAACACAAGGTAAAACATCTTTGAGAACTCAAACCAAGCTCAGCTGACATATTGGATCAAGACTGGTAAATCTTATTAACATTAACTTGTTGATCTTTTAACATTTACGGTCCATATCTAACAGGAAATCTGTGATGTCATCAAGCTCCTGTGGGGGAACCTGATTTCATTTGTGTTGTTTGTGCGTCCCCTGTGGACAAAGCCAATCCTTTTACCTCTTTTTTTGATTTCATCCTGCTCATGAACAAGTTGTCTGTCCTCCATTAAATTATAGTTGAGGACTTTTTTAAAACAGGACACGTAAGGAACTGGGAAAGATATGCAGCAAAGGGTCTCACCAGTGATCTGCTAAGTATCTTTGTCGTGCAGGTGTGAAATAAGGCTGTTTTTGCCAAGCGCTGTCTATTGTGTTGTTTTACTCTTTATCTAGTTGGTCAGGCAGTATTAAAATTTATGTTCAAAAGACTGAGAAACTGTCAGAACATCCTTGATATAAATAGTAAACCTTTATGTGGTCTTTTGTTTGTTGTTGTTTTTTGCTGCTTTAGTAAGCCATAGAGGCAATATTAATTTCCATCTCTGTTGTTGGCAGCTAAGAGACTTCCCACAGGAGCTTTAAGTTACCTTTTGTTTTTTATCTTGTAAAGACCACCCGAAGTCTTGTTTTCTACATGATATCTGGAAAACACTGCTTAAAAATAGCTCTGCTCATAAGTGGGATCGATTTTTGATCTATTTTTGGGAAAGAGAGCGCAGAGATTCCCAGAAAAGTTGACTCTTACTTTAATATTACCAGGGGCTGTGGTTAGTGTACGCACTAGTAGAGCTGCACGGTCATGACATTGTGCTCTAGCACTTATTTAGCCATGTAGTAAACCTGGTCATTGATTTTCTGTCACATCAGCCGCTCCACAGCAAACCGCCAGCCTCTCGTGTAGATGTAGAAGCTCCTGTTACATCTGTCCGTGCTACACGGTGTATTTCTGTCAACATCCTGGTGCTTTTTTTTCCCCCCTTCCCCTGCACAGTGCCCATAGCTCTGTCAGTTTGGTTATGTGTGAGGACAACCATATAAAGAGAGAAGTGTACCGCCTCCTGTCATTTTGTGCCAGCTCAGAGCTTAACACGAGCGCAAATGTGGAAACGTGGATTGTCCTCTGACAGAAACGGCCTGCTCATCAGCCTCTGGAAACAAGTGACTCAGATGACTAATTTTCCTGCCGTCCACTATCTCAAGAAGCCTTTTTTTTACTGATGAGAGAAAATTATGCATCAGAGGAAGAGATTATCTAACTTTGGCAATTTTAAGAGTCAGTAATTGAGCAGCACATGCTCACATCATTGCCTGGTTTTTGCTCTGGTGTTGTCCACTCTGCTGTGTGGGTGTTTGGCTGTCAGTCAGGGGCCTTCTGATAAAAGAGCTGCATAAAGCCGGGGTGCAGAGAGGGGAGCGGAGAGCTTGCCATCAATCTTGCACCGCCAGACAGCCATCTGCTTCCAAAAACACCAGCACCCTCAATAATTTGTCCCTGAAAATGCTCACTGCATCAGCGCTGCAGCTGGAGGGGCATCAAACAGCACACTGCCTAAAAACTACACTTCTTTATGGTCTCTGCTCTGCTGCTACATAAGTCATGGTCTGTCACACTGCTCTGGATGTATGCCTCTGATCCTCTTCTCTTTCCAAAGCAGAATGAATGAGTTTATCTTGTACTTATGCCATAAAACTAGAAGATTTAAAACATGAATCTGAGGAAATGCAGGATGGAAAATATGATGAACCAGATATTTCACTTAAATTTATGTCAAAACAACAACAGGCTGGACACTTTTAATCATCCTGGCCTATCACAGAGCAGAAATATCAAGAATACACAGTCTGCAGTTTTTGCTCTCCTTTACACTTGGGAGTACGAGCCCACTGCCCACTGCTAATCCTTGTTGGAGCTGCTGGTGAAGAAACTGAGGAGTAGAAAACCTTGCACCACAAATCAAGCGGTAAGGGTGAACTCACTAAACTCCAAGGATTAAAAAAAAGGATCTCATAAAAATAGTAACATAATGTCACTTATATGGATGTTAGTGACAGCTCAGCTAGCAGCCCCCTCATGGGACGGATGGACAGTGTTGCTAAGAGATTTACAAGTAGGATTCTGCTTTATTCAGCATTTTTACTGGTTTTAATTGTCTCCCTCGGGCTGTATCTGTGCATTAGATCAAACATTGCCCAGTTTAGACATACTGTCTAATTTAGAACAGAGTTTATTCTCTGCCTACTATTCAGGGGTTGCTTTAACTGAGATAGTTTCATCTAAAGCATTGGTTACATCTTTGATCATACACGTAGATCTAAATAGATGCAACATCCTGCGTAAAACTACCGTCTGTCATGACGCAATGTTTGGAAAGAAAGGATCATTTGGAGGATGAGGAGAAGCAGAGGGTTTGATCAGCAGAATGACAGTGGTCTGCAGTGCAGTTTTCTCTGCTCTCTCTCCCTCAGTAATGCTTTTGTTTTCCATGAGCAGAGATAACTCCCATCTGTACCATTACTACTGTGTGTTGTGCACAATGATTTTACCTCCCTGTTACCAGTGTTATTTTACACGAGCATCTGGTTGATCAATGGGAGCTGTCAGCAGTTTTATCAGCGGTTTGCCTTTTTGAGGCAAGATAAAGAAAGAGGCGAACTTCTCAGATGCCCCATTAGGAAAAAGTGCCTCTTAATTGTGAGGAACTTTAAGCTTGTGTCAGTGTTGACGCCCCCTGTGGACAAAGCAATTTTTGCTTCTTGTCCTCTACATGCTTGAGTATTGCCTAATGACCAAATCTCATCCTGTTGCAGGACTTGACACTAAAGTTTTTCACAAGAAGCACATGTGCTCCTAAGTTGAAAAAGTAAGGAGCACTCAAAGAACTTTAGGGGCACAATGAAAATTGATCAAATAATGGGTGTCTCATTTGTCAACAAAAGTACTATTATTTGAAATCAATTTAAGGTCTTTTGGTCACATGACATGGAAGCTATTGAAGAAAAACAGCCTTTTTTAGAACATCAACGAGTAATTAATTGATGGTCCCTTATTCAACACCCGACGTTGACAGCGAGAGTGCCGAGTAAATTTAACCACGCTGCTATTGCTATTCCCGGTTATAGAGACTGAGAAGACACCAGTAGATCCACAATGAATGTCCGTCAAATATCCAACCTAAAACTAACTTCACCCCGATATTAACATGAAAAAATATCTGTTGCCTCAGCTAACTTTTTTTATGTGCACATGTGCCCCGAAATACATTTTACAATTCGCACACATCTATTTTTAGTCGCAAATGCGAGTGAATTGGTCGAGTCCTGTGCTGACTTTTCAGGGTCAAATGGTCATTTTTATCGGTGTTAATTTTTTCCATGTGGAAGTTGTAAAAAGGAGGATGTTTCTTAAACTGCTTAGCTGACACCTACTACTTTGTACCGGTTTTAGGCTTTAAAAAAGGTGATGAACAACCTGCCAATCTTGCCACCAACTGTCTGGTTTGCTTCTGGATATCATGAATAGACATCAGTATGAATTCCAGTCTATTTCATAAATGCGTAAAAAGTCTTCATAGGAGCTTTAATGTTAGGCCACAGGAAGTGAAAAACTATTTTTGGGACAATATTTTGGCTAGATTGGAAGTTGCGCTTGACTCATCTGAACCTTGTGTCTCTAACTAAACAGTGACACTGCAGTTTAAAACAAAACTTTTAAAACTTCAAACCTCAAACTAAAACATGTCTTTTTTTTAAGAGGTCCAGACCTATTGAGTTGGTTTGTGTTACATGTTACATAAAATATAGCAAGATTAAGTAATGAAAAATGATAATCAACGTCAGCGCATGCTAGCATAATCTGTCCTTGAGTCTAACTTACTAACCTTCTGGTTTCTCTTAGCTTACATCATCACCAGGATACGCCTGAAACTGGCTGCACTATTAAATTTAATTTCCGGCTAAATTTCACGTTTCATCATTGTAATAAAAGTTATGGGAATCATATTTTCCCAAAATGCCCAGACTTATATAGACTTTGATTTTACTGAGTCTTACACAGTTCAAGGCTGTTAAACAGGCTAATTATACAGTTTATTATGTGTCAGCTTTGCTCAGGTGTTGGGGAAGGAGTTAAATCATCTAGAGCACATTAGTGCGCTCTCTCTCCTCATGCCTGCGACTGTAAAGCTGTTATCTTTATTCTGCTGGTGGGGTGGCAGTGCGTGGAGGGGGGGCGTCGTCATCATCCCCCCTGTAGGCTCATGCTGCTCTAACTACCTCTCCTTCTCCTTATTCTCCATCTCGATATTTCTTTTTATCTGTGTGAGTTCTTAGTACGACTCATCACATTTTTTATGTGCCTGTGGTCTGAAGCCTCTAATGTGATTGCCAAGCTTAGCATATGTTAGCCTTAAATATTAATACACACCTAATCATGCGCATACATTTGCCTCCTCGCTCCTTGATCCTTTCTGTGACATTTGTTTATTCAGACGGAGTAAGAAGCTAACTCTGTCAAAAATTTCATATAGGTGGCTTTTCTAAAAGAGGCTCATAACCTACTCACATGTCTGCTTTGAGGAAATATATGCTGAATAAAATTATTTTGCAATCCCACACATTCATAAAGTAGTTTTATGTATAATACTGTTGCAGTCATGCACCTTGGCTGAGTAAAGTAACTCCTAACACATAGGTGCATGCCTAGTTTCAGCCTAGCCATAGCTCACAGTGTAACACACTTAAGCAGTGTGTATAATATTTGTACAATTTGTCCTAAGGCATCATTTTTTGTTATCTTATTGAGATAATTTTAATGGATTCCTTAGTCAGTAATGAGCTGGTCCTCCTTGTCTCTCGGCTCTGCTCTCTGCTGTTTATTTCAGAGCTGTCAGAGTGGCTGCCACTGCAATTCTGGGATCTGCCAATGGGAGCTATTAACAAGGGTCCAATAATGGAAAACTGTCAAATCACAACTGAGCAGAACAAGTCTACCCCTCTGATCATACAAGCTACAGTTTCCTCATTCTCCAAGCCTCAAATTAATCTACTCAGCTCGTACAGTTTGTCTGTGACGTCCATATGAGGCAGATAGAGCCGTCTTTCTATTCAGCGACACTTAAACACACGACAGCGCTGAGTATGTCCAATGTGTTGACAGAGCAGCTTTCATCGGGCTTTTATCAGACTCCATTAATGTGTTAGAAAGATAGATGGCCGAGCACCAACCAGCTGCAGCCATTTCACATAAACACAGTTAATTGAACACAATTTCGGCGAGCCGCTCGATCAACTGTGCTCACTGTTTGTTCTCGGAGGTGGATCCTGTCAGTGGAGGCCATTAGGCAGCATTCAGCCCTCAGGTTCAGAGACAAGATGCACAAAGACAACAGGAGACATGAATACGCAATGATTAGGGTTGCAAAGGAGTGGAAAATTTACTGTAAATTTCCAGAAAATTTTCATAAACTTTCCATGGGAAGTTAAGCTGGGGAATTTTAGAAATATTCCAAATTCTAAACTTTCCATGGGAATTATTGTTAACTTATGGGAATTAACTGGAAACTGGGGGTAATTTATACAAACTGTATCATATCCAAACATATGTGTAAATATTTTTGATCTGTCATAAGCAAACATTCCTGCAAAATAATACAATTAAAAACATTTCAACAGATTTATTTGAGTGGCAATGGTGAACGTGGCATTAGATGTAAAAAGACCACAAAAATGCTTGTAAAAAAATTATACAATGGCATGAACAGAAATATAGTTGGATAAAAAAACTGGAGTGGTGTTCAAAATATTTGATAATTGATGTATAAATTAATGTATGGTTACAGAAAACCGTCATGCAGGAGTCAGAAGAAACAGCATCACAATTGAGGTAGCTACCACCACCATAATAACCTAGCCCCTTAAATGGTCAATGAAATGAAAAATAGCTTACCTTTGCACCTATTTTTATTTAATTTTTGCAATTAAATAATAATACTATTATAGATTAAATATGTTTACCCCAGAAGTTCGAGCTGGGAATGACGTCACAACCAAGTTACCAGCGTTTTTGCTACCAAGACGCAAAAAAGCTATATTCGAGGCGGAAACAAGATGGCTACATCTGCGAAAGTTATTTTGGCGCTTACCTTGTCTGAATATAGGCAAGGACAAGGCAAGCGCTAAAATAACTTTCTCTAAAGAGATACAGGTCTAACAGACATCTAAATGTAGCCTAGACGACTGGTCTAAAATCAGACTACCAAAGGTCTAAAAAGGAAAGTTTTTTTAGATGCCTAAATTTAGACCAAGTTTAGACTAAATCTAAATCTGGGCTTTATCTATACTACACTGTATATTGCTCAACAGTTATCACAAGTATTTTGGTTAAGTACTTGCTACGGTGGCCTGGAAGTGCAAAACACAACCGACAACACGACAGCAAATCAAAACACAAACGCAAAAGAAAGAACACAACCGCAAAAGAAAAAACGCAACCGCAAATCACAAAACGCAACTGCAAATCACAAAACACGACAGCAAATCACATATGCAAACACAAAAAAAGAAAACACAACAGCAAATCACATATGGAAACACAAAAAAGAAAACACAACAACACATCACAAATGCAAACGCAAAAAAAAAAAAAAAACGCAACCGCAAATCCCAAAACACGACAGCATCGTCCGTCTTCTTCTTCTTCGTTGTAGTATAGTTGTAGTCTAAACAAGTCAGCTTCTTTCAAGCGGGTCTTCAGCGTTCGAATGCTCATGCTAATGCCATGAATAGTCGACAACATGTGGACTATTACGCCATATTTGTGTCCATGTCCATGTTTCGTGTTTACTTTCCCGTTCCGACATCCAGCAGGTGGCAGTAGTACTCTACCCCCAGCAGAGTGAACTGCAATTAAACTACAACGAAGAAGAAGACAGACAGTGCTGTCGTGTTTTGGGATTTGCTGTTGTGTTTTCTTTTTTTCGTTTGCATATGTGATTTGCTGTTGCGTTTTGTGATTTGTGGTTGCGTTTTCTCTTTTGCATTTGCGTTTTGATTTGCTGTCGTGTTTTCTCTTTTGCGGTTGTGTTTTGCACTTCCAGGCCACCGTAACTTGCAGATCAGTTATGCAACTCACAGTTGCTTTTTGAAATAAATAGTTATTGAACAATGGGTTAAAGTGCAACATCTAAATTCCATCTAAAAATATACAGAATCTAGATGATTCAAGTTAGGTCTAAAAAGAAAACTTGACGTCTAATAGCCGTCTATTGCTCAGTGGGGTAAAAGAGACAGGAAATAATCCAAAACAAAGCTCTTAGACACACTCTTTTATTTTTGTTGATATGTGTTTGATCATGTTTAGAGGACATTATCCCAAGGCTTCAACAGAGATCATTTAATATTTCATAAAAACGTGTTGATATACAGTTCAGCTTTTTTATTATAATCTTCTATACAGACACAAAAATCACCTCAAAAATCAAAGTCAGTGGATGCATTGATGCTCATGAGATTAACATTTCTGATTATTTTGAAAAATATGGTAAAATAACATGAAAGATGATTGTAATTCTTGTTTTGGGTGAAATCTTGTTGCAGATTTGACTTGATGTGAAGATGAGCTATTTTTAAATGCTGCCACTACATGACTTTTGGTGTCACAGAAATGGCCCTAGATGACGTAATGGTTCCAGGATAACTAAAGTCACCGTAGAGCACAGTCTTTTGCTGTTTATTTTCTTCTTGTTCGCTCTTGTGTTTTATTTTAACATGAAGTGAAATTTGAGGAGGCGTCACTGCTGGACTTTAGAGTGTTTTCCATCTCTCTGTGTAGCCCTCCTCTGTCTGCTGAAGCCCTTGATTGTGAGTGAGTGAAAGGCCACTGGCCAGGCTGCAGTTTACAGTGTGTGAGAGAAAAGTGATCAGAGTGATAGTGACTTCCACCATGATAAAACTGGGTCAATGTAACCCCCACCCCCTCCACCACAGGCAAGGCTGAAAAAGGAAAAAAAGAGATGAGGATACCATCAGCAGACTCTGGATTTAAGCATGGGGACACTGGAGTGTGGTTTGCTTTCTCGATGGGTTGGTATCAGTGTTGTGTTGGGACTGACGCCATCCCAACACTATGTTGACGTGTTCCTTTTTCCCCTCCCTGTGCTCTGTGCGTAACAGTGTCACGTTATAATCTGTCCCCCTGTATTTCCTCTTTATACTTGCTGTGTTACTGTCAGCCAGTGTTGTCCTCTGTATCTGATTCTCCCAGTCCCCCCTTTAACCTTTTTGGTCTATATCCCTCCCAAGAGATTCTCCATAAATAGCACTCAAAGGGCTGAAAGTAAAAATATCAACCAGACCAAACACTGTTTTTAAAAGCTTTATGTGATACATGGTGTAATTTTTTACCTACATTTCAAAAAAGAGGTTGGTACATCTCCACCCTTCAACGTTATTTGCTTAAATCTGATATAAATCACCTCTCCTGATGTATGGCTGTTCAGATATATTCAATTTTACTTGTCTAGACTTTGAGGTATCTTACTCAAATCAATGCACCCCTCCAAAAAATGGTGACAATGAAATTTGGAGGTCAATCATTTTCACCAGGACTGCACAGGGAAGTGGGTCATATCAAATTGGTCATCATGAAACCTTGAGACTGGTTCACTTTTAGACACTTAAAAGATAATTCTCCATCTGCTGTAAGGATGTAAAACAAAAATGTCATGACCAATATGCAGATAAAATATCTGTATCATTATAGATCATGAAAATTATGGTTTGTTTTGTAAAGCAAATTGATTCTTTGATTTCAGAACAATGATGTTAACCTTACCATGCTGTCTTTGGGCTGTTTTTTGGTGTAGCAGTTCTTAAAGCAAAATGTTAATTACCACTATGTGAAAAAACTTGTGGAGGAAATGCTATTTAGCCGAGTTTTGAGTTGGTGAAATACTTATAACAGCCTCCATTCATATGTTAGCATGCTTACCAGAGCTGTGCTGCAGTGACTAATTTCCTAGTCAGTGAAATAGAAATTTAAATTCAAACTTACTCAGATTGACAGCCATGAGGATATGTTTGAAAGACACCAAGGCTGTATTGAACGCAGTGGTTTGCAGTCTAAAAGCCTTGTAGCCTTGGGCACTGCCATCCCGCTGAAAATAATGCTTTTGTAATGTTTATCTTGTAATTCAACAGCATTTATCTGAGTTTGTGAGAGATATAAACAACTTAAACTGACCTAACAGGAAGAAAAATCACCTGCAGGTTAATAGATAACTTTTCCTTCTCATGCTGTTATTTAAACAAAACCTTTACTCAAGCCTTGGTTGTATTTTGGGCTGAATGCTAACATTAGCGTGTCTGTTTGACCTCCACAGCCTCCTCTACAGCCATGCTGCTTGTGTGGCAAAAAAGGCAAATTAAAGCACTTCATCAACCAAACACCTCCTGGGTGCATTTAACGTCTCAGATTGATTGTATTTAACAGAGTGTGTGAAAGAGAGGGTGGATTTTCACTTTCAGGACGACAATTATTCATCTAAACGTTTGAGGGCAGCCTAATAATGGATGTACAGAGTAAATGTAAAAAACATGAAGTCCTGTAGTCACTGTATCAAACGATTATTAACAGCATTAATCATACAGGCAATTCAAGGATACTATAAAAAACTCTTTGGTCTTTTATACTCAAAGTGTTTATTTATAAACCACAGTGTGTTAATCTCTTTTTGCTGTGTCATGGTGAGAAAGCTTTCTCTCCAGCTGAGTGGTGTTGTTGTGTATGTGGTGACTTTCTGTTTATACCATGGCCAGGACAAATACTCATTTCTAATTGGTCCAAAGGATTTGGTTCATTTAATTTATTCAGTAGGCAGAGTGGATATGGCTGGGAGCAGGAAGGGTTTCATTTCAGATAATCTCGGGGCTCTCTGTGTCTAAAGTGAAGGGTCTCAAGGAGCCTTTGCATTTCATGCTGTGATTTTCTGTGACAGAAACATAAACAGCATCACAAATACCTCTGTGAGCGCCTTTGCACGAATTGAATATGCACTTCTACGTCAAGAGCCATGAGCACAGTCATGTTTTACACCATGTTTAGCTATTTTTTATCATAAGTTATGACTTTGCTCTGATTTCATGGGTAAAGACTGAGGATTCATCAGAGGTGTGAAGGCCGATGCTGCTCATTTGCTGCAGCTTTTACGACTGAGCTCTTAAGAAGCCTCTCTACCATCAGGATAAGCTGGGATTAGTTGTTGCTAACGGCAAACAGGTAAACATCCTTGTACCTGAGATCAGATTTGGGATTGTTTTACCTCATTTGCATTAATGCTACAAGAAAACAATTGGATGTGAATGTTCAACTTTTATTCATCTTAAATAGCGTTTCACAGTCATCAGCTGGCCTTGGTATAAGCAGAGGATAAATGATATTTGATGTGCATGTTGAAATGGATTCATCCGATGTAACTACTACTTCAGTGTTATCCATTCAAATCAAACATGCGCCTCACTGCATATCCTTTTTATGTGACTTCTCCTTTCATTTGCAGCAGATGTGAAAGGAAACGAGTGATTTAATTGCGACATTGATGGCGTAATTGTTCCCGATATGTTTTGGTATACAAAGACACCTCGTGATGACTTACAAAATATGCAAAACATAAAAAAAACTGCTGTTGTATTTTTTGTCAACATGTGACGTCACTCTTGTGTGGGATTTGGGGTTTATTTTACATTTCATGAATAATTTATCTCCGCCCTTGTAAGTGTAATTACTCAAGATTGTAACATCCTCTTTAGAGAGAAAATAACCATGTTCCCAATTAGGCACTGTATGATATAAATATTTCATAGCCGCAAGACAGTGCTTATCAGTAAGCATCAGCACGTTTTATTCAAGTCTAAACTGATGAAATGTAAAGTGTGCCCCACATTTCCAGTGTTTGTGTAATTACAGTAATTTCCTGACTTCTCTTTTTCCATCTCTTTCTCCCTCTCGATTGGACAGCTTCGCATAAACCCAGATGCCTCCCCTCCCTCTTGATGAGCGCATAGTGGTCATTCAGCGCCCTAAAAACTTAGGCCTGTGTGAGGCTTCCCCACAGAGCATCCCGCAGCACTCCTCCCAAATATCAGCCTCTACCAATGGACAAGTGTCCCACCCTCCTCACCTCCACCCCTCTCAGACCCATTTCTACTCACCCACCTGTAAATCTCTGACTCTGGAATGCAAGCGCAGATCCGCTCGTGCTGCGCAAAAATTCAAATGCGACCAGCCTGCGATCCCAGCGGGTGTCAGACACAATCCTAGCCACTGCCACAGCAATGGCACAGTAACTCTTGGCCCACGGCTGCCCTCCCACACACATACTATCGATATCAGGGTGACAGTAGACAAAGGCGGACGTGGAGGATTCAGCAACTCGTTAGGGCGAGGAGGAACTGTAAGAGGCGGTAGAGGGAAATGTGTCACATCACAGTGGGACCAAGGGCAATGTGAGAGGCCTGCTGGTAAACCAGGTGGAGTAGAACACAAGCCGCAGCGAAGTCGCCATTGTCTGCTGTCGTCTTCGCCTGGAGGCGTCCTACAATTTGTTCCGGCCCAGACGCAGCAGCAGCACAGATTTCGGGGTGAAAAGGAAAAAGAAAACACCAGTTTTCTCAATAGAGGTGACCAGGATTTTCACTCTCAAAGTTACAAGAAGAATTCCAAACTGGGAACTGCCCATCAAAGCCATAACAGTCACAGTCTGCCCTATCACCACAACTCCGTCCCTGTTCCCCATGCTGCCATCCTAAACTCCAACTATCCTTCATCCCCTCCCTCCCAGCCCTCCCATGTCCCTGCCTCATTTCAGCAACTCGGCCAGCCCCACCTGTCCCACAGAAGGGATCACCGCCCTCACATCCTTCATGGTCTACCCCTCTCCCCCTGCTCTTCCCACGCAGGAAACTTCCCCAGCCCCGATCACACCTGCACTATCGACTGCACCCACCCTTTCGGTTGTGGTTGTTGGAGGCTGGTAAGATGCAGAGGGTATAAGGGGCATTCGGCCAGCTGCCAAGGAGGTGGAGGAAGCTCTTCCACCTCATTTTCTTGTGGTCACAATGTCGGAGCAGTGAAGAGAGGTGGCAAAGACATGGGCCTAAGAAATCTCGGGGGGTGTCTCTCCAACGCCTCCACCTCCAACACCTCCTCCTCTAACAGCACTGTGTCTGACTGCCGAGCAGGCCTGTTCAAACCTCTCCGCTGTGCCTCCTGCTCCGGAGAGGCCGGGAACTTTGAGAGTCCTGCTATTCTTCGCAAAAAACTGGTAGGGGGATGCCTGCCTTGTACCCCGCTGTCCTCCTCTGCCCCTCTTCGGGCCATTCAAAGCTGTGTCACAGGCTGCAACCCCAAAGCCTCTCAGACAGGCAGCTCCACCTGCAGCTACTGCAGCAGCGACCCTATCGTAGTGACGTTCAACCCTCGCCGAGGCAAACCCCCAGGAAGAAGCGTCGGAGGAGCTCATCCAATGGGTATGTTCCAAACCGATGATGATGACTACAGTGTGCGTACTATCTGGCCTGAAGAGCTGGCCAAGAAGATGACCCACTCCAAAGCCCAAAAGAATCACTGTGCCGGGATGGGGGTCGGTGTCGGAAAGTCCTGTGCAAGCCAGGCACAAAATGGCAGCAACGGAACAGGTCTCGTCCTCTTGAACTGTCAAAACCTCCAGGAATATCCGCAGCCTCAGTTAAGAGATCACGCTGGCAGACGGCGCCTTCAGCAGGGGAAAATGGCCGCCCTTGATTTTATGGGCCACAGGTCAGGATCTGGGTATGATGACGGCCAGAACTCGCTAAAGAGGCTCTTGAATAAAGCTGAAGATGGAGGAATGGGGGACGGTCACGATCAAGACAGAGATGCTGCATATCCACGTTCTCCTTCTCCCCGATCTGCCTCACCACCTTCACCTGTGTCCTTTTCACCTCCACCATCCACCCCCAGCACACTCATCAAACCCAAACCTTGGCAGAGAGACAGAGAGGGAGGACATTCTCTGCCATCAGCTCAGTCACTTCACTTGGCCCTCAACTCCCTGAACAGAGAGCAAGATGAGGAGAACAGCAGAAGTAAGAAAATCTCACCATCAATTACTAAGATTAAACTGATTTTACTGCTGGGGGTAGTGTCACAGTCAGTGTTTGACAGTGTGCTGTCATGACTTTAAACTCATTCCTCTCGATGAGCTAAGTAATTATCGTGCAGTTTAAACAGATTAGCGTTTCCTAAACGTATGTGGAAGTTTTAAATAATCCAAATGTGTGAGATCAGATCTCTTTCACCACACATTTGATAAAACCTTTCTTCTTTCTCCGCTTTTGTCTCGTCTTCCTCCAGTGCACCTGACCCTGCCGCTCTCCTCGTCATTGCCGGCGTCTCTGTCCGACGAGAGTTTGATGACTCCTGATGCGGAGAACGCCGTGATCAGTGCCATCCTGCCCTTCCTGTTTTTGGGGAACGAGAGAGACGCCCAGGACCTGGATCTGCTGATACGCCTCAACATCGGCTACGTGGTCAACGTGACGACACACCTGCCCCTCTACCACGTCAACGCTGGACTGCGCTACAAAAGGCTGCCAGCCACCGACAACAGCAAGCAAAACCTTCGGCAGTACTTTGAGGAGGTTTTTGAGTTCATTGGTGAGACTTCCTCTGATTTAAATTGTTGTATTTTGAGTTTGAGACTTTGAGATATACTGTAGAAAGTCCTGTTAGGAAAACTACTGTATAATGAACTCCTTTGAAGTATATCACAAAACCGACCTTTAATTTGATATCCAGCAATCACATTATAGTTAGTGCTCTCTGTTACTACCACTCTTGGTACTTCCCTTGTTTGCCCTCTCACTGAGAATCGATGGAGAGACATTTTGATGTGTAGCTAATAAACACTAATCAAATTTGGCGGAAAAACAGGTCTGTACAGCTAAGACAAAGTTTTTAATTGATTTAAATAGTTAATTTAGGGGGAAAATAAGGACAAAAATGTTTACCGTAATTAAGCTACGCCAAAGAAATACCAGCTTTAGTTGAGATAAGATCAGCGTAATTGCAACATAATTTGTTTTTCATACAAAGTCATAAACATATGGCCTTCTGGGCTCCGTCCAAAGACATCATAAAGGGAGCAGCCTTAAATATGACCAATAATTGAAGAAAAAGAGGATTGTGCAGAGACTGGTCCTTGGGAGGTGCAGCTCTGACCGGTATAAAGTCAGAGAGACCCCTGGATGCTAACGTAGTTAATTGATATGTAGCAAAGCGACAGCTACATCAGATTTTGGTGTCTGACAGTGATGAGATTTGAACTCTGACGTTGTGTGTTCAAATCCAAATCTGTGCATGTTTTCGTTCAGTGTTCAGTGTTCACTGTGATGCCCTGCCAACCTGTGTGTTCATTTTAATCACTACATGTGTACACAAAATTCAATTTGAAAACCACTGTCACTGTGTGCACAGATGTAATAAAAGTTGTGACAGAAGAAGATTTCTACAGTCAGTTGTCTTCAAATAGTTATCAATGAAAGAATACTCACTTTTTAACCATTTGTGAGTGTCTGTTAAAGGCGGTGATACATTTTGTTTTGGTGGGATAAATCTTGTTGGTTTATCAATAGAGGTTAGTCCTGAGTGTCTTTGTTCAGCTAGAGGCCAGGTACATGAACCATGAGAACTGGATGTTGTCATACTTGAAACAAACTGCTGAATCTCTTCTGTAACAGGCTGCTGAGGGAGCAGCTTACCCAACTCTTTGTAATTTTATTCACAAAGACCCTTCATTGATTCCTGGATCAGCTTCCACTTAGCATGAGTGGCAAGGATAAGCTTATTTTCAGCAGGCAGAACCCTCAAGCAGCACTAGACTTACTGGTGTACAGCCATCTGCCGGCTGTGGTCTATGTTTGGTTATAATTCTTATCTGGTGAAAATGACTTAATTTTTGTTGATTTCTAAACCCTTCTCCAAAAAAAAGGAATGACACAACATAACCGTTTGATAACAAAAGTGAGGTTATGTCTTTCAAAGCTGTAGCGCTGATTTCTGAACTCAACTACTTAAACATCTTATGCACACGTTGGTTGAAGAAATTCCCTCTCAGACAAGCTTCACAATTAACTTTTGTCTTTTTTGGAGTGGCACATGAAAGTCGATGATTCATAATAATTTTTTATCATCTTTAACTCTGACCTATCTTGATACTTGACATGTATTTAACTTGAAAGCTGAGTTCAAGTTTGCTGCTTATGACTTTTAACTCTGTCTCTGAAATTGTTTTGTTGTCTCTTTCTCACAGAGGAGGCATATCAGAGTGGGCAGGGAGTGTTGGTGCACTGCCAGGCCGGTGTGTCCCGTTCCGCAACCATTGTCATCGCCTACCTGATGAAGCACACCCTCATGACAATGACAGATGCCTACAAATATGTGCGTAGCCGGCGCCCTGTAGTGTCTCCTAATCTAAACTTCATGGGCCAGCTTTTGGAGTTCGAGAGGGACCTCAACTCTGGGGTGACTCCTCGCATCCTGATGCCTAAACTGAACGGTGTGGAGACCCAGGTGTAAGAAAAAGGTCAGCGGTCAGGAGCATGCAAGTTTCACCACAGATCAAATTGAAGATTAAAGTGGCATTAATGAGTGCAGCACATTTTAGATGACAGACACACAGAGGAAAATGATTGAGCAAATAGTGCACTTTTAATACTGTGAAATACAAGACAAAAGACTGGATGAGTCATTTGTTTAAGTGCTAACTCTTAGACAACAGGACTATCATCCAGTACACTGTTTATAAAACAATGTGCCAATATTTTGTATAGACCTGACATCACTCTCAGATATCGCGTTTCTTTTTTCTAACTCCTCGCCCTTTTCGTTCCTGTTGTTTACATTCACAGCAGCTCACAGACACCAATCAGTGCATGTAGCATAGAAACACACATGCAAAGGGATCACTGTTAATTTACAATTTCATCTACAACTACACTCTCATGTCCCCACCATATGTAGCAACACACAGATTATGACAAAGCACTTTAAACGCCATCGATTTGTTTCATTATCGCAAACACATTTGTCATAAAGATGTGAGAGATTTGTCACACTGGCCTCAGTCTGTTATGGTTGAGATTATCATGACCATGTTATTTTTCTTCTCCTGTTTTGCGTACAGTGCACTAGAGAAGCATGGACCTAGTCTGTAGCATTGAGTAGCATTTACTTGGGGTTGACAAAAAGGGGGGAAAAGCTCATGCAATTGTGTTACAGTGGTGTATTTCAGTGAAGTGGCTCTTTAAAGTGGAGCAGAAAGAGATTTAATAATGCTGTGCACCTGCAGGTACAACTGTCTTTAGCACAATGTATTCAGATTAAAATTCATCATTAGTTATTACAGACTTTCTTCAACTTTACACCATTTTGTTTTTGGGTACTTTACAAGAGAAAAGGATTGGTTTCATTCACTTTTTTATGATGCTTTAAAAGAAAAATCTTGGTCTTGTGAAGTGTTTAGCATGAATTAATCCTGTAATGGTTCACAGATAGAAACTTCATGGCATTTAAGAAGCACATAGCACACTTTGATTTATTACAGATGACACAGTCAAAGTAAGGGCGTTTAACATAAATTTGAGAGTAAAAACTTGGTGAAACTAAGAGCTTCATCTTGATTTCTTTTTATTTTCTGCCTAAGATTGTAGGCTTTACGTCCCGCAGTACCAGAAAGGGCTGAGTACCAAGTACCAATCTGAAAAAGTTCTAGTAAGAGGTGCATGTAAATAATAAGTGTATAACCCACAGGGGATCCTAGTCAGTCCATTTGTTGGGGAGACCTGACATGACAGCCTTTAACTGCTGCAGACGGAGTCAACTTGACCATGTGATTTCTCTGATTCTGAGAAAGAACCTTATCATTATTGCCAGTGCAAGTCTACACTTAAGCTGGAAATATTTCAGCACTTTACTTTGCTGTCAGCTGCTTTGAGTCCTTTTTTTAGGCTTAACACTTGTGTTCCTCAGCCCGCAGTGCACTGTTTAGATGCTCTATAATGTCTATAATGTTTGAGTAACTTAAACTACACTGTAAACACTGGTATTATTTTGAGATCATTTCCTGAGCTGACACAGCAATGGCTCTAGAGTTTGTTATCTCAGCTCAGTCTCCTTCTTTGGCAGGGAACACAGTGTATTTTGTTATGGTAAACATAATGTGTGGACTCTCAGTTGTGTCATTAAGCCATTCTGCTGATCTGACTGAACTTGGCGATTTGGGATCTCTCCCGCTCTCCAGTTAGCACAGAGGTTTCTCCCTTGTCTGCTTTGGTTTATGAAAGCATCCTCTTGTGTCCACGGTAAATAGCACATCAAAATGGCTGTTAGAACTACTCATTATTTACTTTGGTTGTATTTAGTCTATTTCAAAACCTGCAGACCCAAACACCGGATCAGTGAGCAACACACAGAGGAGCACCTATGTGTTGCTTTCATGCCAAAAAGCACTGAAAAAAATGTCGTAATAGAGCGTACACTTTAATGAGTATCGATGTTTGATTTTCATAAAGTTTGCAGGATTCTGCAGCGTTGACTCCGTCTGCAGATACTTCTGTTCTGTTTCTACAGCTGGTTGCTCAACAAAGAGGCCGAGCTGACAAGGATCCCGTCTGAGTAACACACTTGACAAGTTCGTCATACAACCTCACTAAAAAGATTTATTTATAACTATCCCTAAAGTTCAAGACTTATCTGAAAGCCAAATCTACTCTCCATATAGGAGTCAAAAACCAACAGTTTTTTTAGAGATGATGATCTTCAAGCTGATTAATTCATGCCTGTTTACCCCTAATCGTTCCTTTGCCTTATGGTCCTCACTGAACTTCTTAACTGTGGCCCCCATGACTATGCATTCGCACTATTAGGAAGGATTTCTTCTAGAAGGAGGAGGTTTTATGGTTCACTGTGACCTCTTTACTCAGTACACACTAAGTTGCACCCACCAGACAAAGGAAGATATTGAATTATTTAAGATTTCTGTAAATCTGTGAGCTCTTCAACTCGAATCTACAAAGACCATGAGACACAAAATATTATTTAGATTTTGGCTTGTGGGATTTTGATCTTAGCCTCCAGTTCAGTCGATTCACTTTATGAGAAGAATCTGCGTTTCGTGAGGGAGTTTTGTCAAATGTCAGAGAGAGAATTATTTTGCACATTTTGTAAACTGATGCCATAAACATTTTGGTAACATGCTGTTGATTTATACAGATGTTTATGACTATGAGTATTTGCATATAAATTACGAGTAATTTTGGCTTGCATCAATTGTTAAACTGTGTCAGAAATGACACATTTGTAAAGATGAATTGATTCCTGTATGTAAGAGTTTTATGAAGAGTTTTGTGTTACTTTGAGTGTAAAGGGATAGATGTGCAGTCCGACAGGCCGCTTTAAAAGTAGGGGATTCAGCTCACAGAAGAAAGGAAGTGTAGTGATTGTCCAGAAAATCCAAACAAGTTAAGTCTTTTTTTAAAATATATATTCTAAATAAAATCCAGTCACACCCTCTTGGCCTGAACCCTAATCCAGTTTTTCAGTCGCGTTTACATGATGCCCTGTTACAAGTTTCTAACCGAAATGCCTTCAGTTTAGCCTTGTGTAATTTGGTCCTCCCTCGTGTCTGTTATAAGTGTGGCTTTGTAAAATGATCCTGACTTTTTCTCTCTGGTTTCATTTCTGGCCGAGTGACTTTGATAGAGGCTATATTTTTCTACAACCAGACTTCATCATGTTCAGGATGCACAGACACTGTATCTGTGTATTTACACTCTTTTCTTTTTTTTACATGGAGCTTTGTTTTTGTATGACAGAATGATATGACAGTAAGGATTTTCAGCTGTGCTTTAGGTTACAGTTTCACTGTTATCAGACCTTCACAGGTCAACATATTGTATTCCTGTCTTTACCTCCTCGCCTTTGTTTCAGCTGGAGAACCAAACATGCAGTTCACTCCTCCAGTCTCTCCGCCTCCACTCACAGTAGGTGTAGTATTAACCTTTGCAGAGGGCCTGTTGTTATTGCTCCTTGATTTTTATACAGACTTTATATGCAAAATGGCTGTTTGAAGCATCTTTAAGTCCACGCTGTGTGGACTGGCTGTGCAGTTGAGTCAATGCTGACCTCAGTCGTTTGTACTCGAGAGACACGTCGAAAGAAAGTGGACATTTTGTCTTTAATTCCTCTAAACTGAAGGGCCAGTGTCTCTGTGAGTGTGTGTAAAAACCTTCTGTTTGTGTTTTGCACCTGAAAAGAAGAACTGTATTAGTGATGAGGACATTGTATATCTGTGCATCGCTTATTTGTGGGAACTTAATTATTCCTGTTTGTATTTTATTGCTCATTTTCAAACATTGTTATTTCATGTACCAAATATTGAATTTTAGGATTCATAGGAATGATGATTTGAAAAAAAAAAAAAAAGCAGATCACCTCCTTTCTTCCTGATGGGGGTAAGAACTCTTCAGGTATGACTCTCGTTGTAAAGCTGTGCTCTTTCACTTCCTCCAGAGACCCAAAAACTCATGTAACCTAACCTGTGATGCTCTCCTCTTGCGCTCTTCCTTTTCATAATGGATTGTTTCTCTTGAGCAAATGTAATATTTTCATATTGTAGTAACTGTTCCTTGTATTTAGACAATGTTTTTACCTTCATGCACTGTGACTAATACAATGCTGCTATATCACAAAGACTTTTATTTTGTACGTCACATTTAGCCGATACAAATGGGCGAATAAGGCTAAAGGTGACTGATAAAAAGTGGGCTTGACTTCAGAGGCCGTGCTGACATTGTTCAAATTCAGTCCAGGCTTTATCGTGCTGCTGCTTCGGTGCAGTGTTTGAATCTCAGAGCAACTGTGTGCACAAGCGTGGGATCTGTAGCTGCTCCTGTTGGTCTTCCTCTACAAGCATGACAGAAAAAAAAGGCAAAATGTAGCAGAAATATCTGTTTAAAAGCCCAACTCATAACTCACTGTGGTTCAGTAAAACTGTGATGTTGCCTTTCTTTATGAGTAGACATTTGGCAGAATTTACTTAAGTCAGTTGATTTTTTTCAGACTCGGATTCTTGACTTTAGTTAAACATACTATATAACATGTAAATGACAAATATGGGGCATTTTAAAACCAATTTAGACTCTGTCCTCAATAACTAAACTGTTTAAACGTTAATCCTGTAACTATTAGACAAGTGCATGAGTATACAGTGAGCTGCAGGGAAGACATGTAGCCGATAAATATCTGCTTTGAGTTTTAGTTAATAATTTCAGCGCTTCAAACATTAATTCAATCAATTTAAGCAGTGCTAACAACATGGCTCTGGGAATGACAATGTTTGTTTGCTTCTCTACTCCTGATTTAAACTATTCTTAACTGCTTAACAAATTTAATGAATTAAAATATTATACAGTATAGTTATTTTCAGAAGATCAACCCACTCATCTTTCCCTTATAGCACCACTGCATTTTCATGTGGTGAACTGTTTATTTCTAAATGGGAAAGAATTGCATAATCATTTGGTGTCATTTTTAACACCAAAAATGATTCGTCCAAACCATCTAAAGTTTCTTGCTGCAAAACCCTCAACATTCTTATGAGCCACTCTTTGTGTTTGGCAAATTTGTGCATGTCAGCATGTCAGCACAAGCTGCACCTAAAACCACATACTAGCATACTACCAGTGACATAACTTTACCCATTGGACTTCATATACAAATAATTTAGAAACAACATGCAAATGTTCTTTGTTAAGACAGCTGCATAGTTCTAACAACAACAATTTTAACCACAAATGAAACTTACTACTTACATGTGTACACTGCTTACAGCTGGCACACGTCTATTTCTTGCATACACAAAATAAAATACCATTAAATAAGAACATAATACATAGAGGGGATGTTTTGATTTGACTACTTTCCAACATGGCTAAACATAGTAGCGCAGAATCACACTATGGTTTGTGTAGTCTAGCAAACATCAGCATAGCTAGCACCACCAATCCTCAGTCATCCTTGCCTCTTCCAGTCAGGTTGGTACGCATCAGTTCAACCAGATAAACTGTAGTTTGGATAGAACTTTAACTTTATTTTCTAGATCAAAATTTGAGAAACCACACCACACTACAACCTTTCATCTTTTTACAATTTTACAAGGCTTCAGTCGCGACTGGTGGGGGGTTGCTGCGTTACACAACAAATAGATACAACATAAAACTGGCATTTTGGGCCTACAACAACAGAATCATTCAACAGTAGTTTTGGTCAGTAAAAGATGATCTATGTCACACCATACTTAGTCTGAATCATATGATTGTGTGCTGTGTTTTTGGCACAGCCACAGTAAACAAAGGTGCTAATCTGGCTAAACATCGACATGCTAGCTTTGTGGCTTGTTGACATGCTAACATTGGTATGTAGCTCAAACACTGCTGTGTCATTCCCTAGCATAGTTGTACAGTCTTTAGTGCGTTTCAAGTGAATTTTATCCTGTAAATGAACAACATAAAAACAATCTGCTAAATTTTAACATGTTTTCAGAACCTGTAGCCTTCACGTTTCAGCTCAAATATTTACTTGAGTGTAGCTCAGTTGGACAAACTGCTTTTGCAGGTTGCGCAAACTCAAATCTATCAGACTGAAATCTTAAGTTAATCAGTAAAAGATATTCAAATTTAAACATCTGTCGTTGACGTTATGATGTGATATCAGGTATTTAAAACAGATAAACTAATTTGATGTTAAAATATAACAATGTCACAATAATGTCAGTAATATAGAGCTTTTATCTGGCATCTATTAGCTAGAGGAAGATTAGCCCAGGCCCGTTTTTATTTCACATGAATTTGCTTTTTAGCGCAAACTTATAAAATTAATTTGCCTCCTTGTACAATAAATTATATTCTTAGCATACATGGGTTTAGACTTTGAGAATCTAGAGTAGACCTCAGATATACTGTTTAAGTCTGCATCTATAAATCCTCCTGTAGCACACAATAATATGCAAAAAAAATCAAGTGGAGTTATACTATAACACACACTTCAGAGAATCTGTAGCCTGCAAGTTCGCCAGTCTCAAGATTTTATTTCAGATGTATTCATCGTCAAGTTTAGAAACGAAGGGTTTAAAAAAGCTCTGACAGCAGCAACATCCCCCCCCCCCTGTGGAGTTGCAAGGTTGAAGATGAGGAGATTGATGTGAGTGGAAATGGATCGTTGATTTATACGCAACTCAACTCTGTGGGTATGACGTCAAACTGCCCCGCATGCAGAGGAGCTGTGAATAGAAAGGCCCTCTTTCTGCACAGAGCGGTTTGAAAGTAAAGATTTTTGAAGAGAAAACGCTCTCTGGACGGTGTCTGCTCTGCGTGAGTAACAATCTCAGTTCACACATGTTCTCTCTCTCTTCCATTTCTAACATGTTTGAGTAGCAGCAGCAGATTAAACTGATTCCTGTGTTGGCTTGATTTCCTATCGAGTGATTTCTTTGCTGTCTTGTCTTTTCTTTTGTTGTTTTTATGAATATGATAATGTTACCTTAAAAGCATCCTAAAGTGTGCTGTTGAAACCTGATGGCTGGATTGTGAAGTTGTTCTCCATGTTAATTTCTGGTAAACACACTGGAACTGGCTCTTTTAATAAAAAAGAAAAAATGACAAACAATCTTTTCTGAGAGTATCTGTTTTTATTTATTGCATTTTTGTAATCTGTGTCTCCACTGAAAACTTCAGTGAACAGCCAATAAAACCAAGCACCGCAATAGGCTGATCCCCAGCACTCTCTGAATGAAGCCAGGAGTGTCTATTTGGAAAGTATTGATTGGTTACATTGCAGTCAATACAAACAACCAATTGCAATTGATGATTCAGATGATCACCCCACCCCGATCTGCTTTGCTCATCGTTACATAAGAGCTGGTTGGGATTCACAGCTGTGTGATCTGAGCACCCGGGGGCCTATCGATCGGAGAGGGAGGTTAAAACAAACTCTGTCTGCCTGCAGTAAGTTCTGACAGTAAAAATCATGAGCAGTTTGGGCCAGTATTGGCTGACTTTAGCTGGGATGATTGGGTTTTGATTTGAAAATGACTCCCCAAAATCTGACCGTAAGGGCCTAAATCCATTTTGGAGAGAGACAGCTCCATTTTAGAACTTTGTTCATCTAAAACTAAACTGAAAAAGCTATGGATGGAGTTTCCCAACATTTGGTACCAACACTGATACCTCCCTCAGGATGGATTGTGAACTCTTGTGATTCCTTCACTTTTCATCTAGCTCCACCATCAGGTCTAAAATATATTATTTTTTTCCAGGGATTTGCTTTATGACTAAGTACTCATCAAGCTAGTGAGATCCCCATGAGCTAAGTATGAGCTTAGTGAGGGAAAGTCTGCCTCCTTTCTGAAGATGGTCAACATATGGTGATGTCAGGCATACCCAGCTAAGTATGAGAACGTTAGCAATGTCACATTTTGTGCAACCCTCCATCTAAAATACTTTAGATAAGTTTAAAGATGTTTGCATAAACCCATTGTTTCCAGATAAATGCTAGCCTAGCAAACAGGGCATTATGATGAGTAGGTATTAAAGAAGTTAGTCAATTAGGATTCATGGACTACTGCTAATGTTTGAAGTAACATGGATGCTAAGCGTGTGCTGAGTTGGTTAGTGTTGTCCTATTTAATTTTCTTTTAGACTTGCTTTAACTTTGGGCTGTTTAAATATATTTTAATACAGTGTGTATGAGCCATTTTACCTATATTATTTTTTGGGGTTTTGTTTTGTTTCTCGCACAATCACCACAAGGGGCACTTCAGGTGAATGGGCAGGTAAATGCCACAAAGGGACACAGGTGAAGCAGTGATCTGGGGAACGGGAAGAGCACACGGTTTTACCGCTGATCTCTGACACCACTCACCCTCATCATGCACATCACCATCATAGTAAATTGGACATCTGTCTTTTTTTGTTTGTTTCCAATTAAATCAATAAATGGCAAAAAGTAAATGCAACAACAACCTTGGAGTGGACATTGGATTTTGGTCACCCTGATGGTGACTAAAATTCAGGTAAGCATAGTCACTACACAGTGAAACTGGGTCAGAATGGTAAAAATGAAAAAACTGCTAAGCCTATGTAGTACTTTGATTCTGATTGAAAATACAATTTTATGCAATGCCTGCAGTATTATATGTGGGAATTGGACAATTGGACAAGGGTGCTTTTCAGCTGCTTAACTGACACCTAGCCCCTCACAGCAGTTTGAGGCATCAAAAATCCTGATATAAAAATGATACGTCTTGTCACTGATGATTCTGTTTGCTTTTGAATATCATGAAAAGGCATTGTTATGAATTTTTGACAATTTTATAAACATCAAAAAAGTCTTCAAATGAGCGTTTACAGCTCTTGTGCTGCAGCCATCTCTTCCAGGTTTTGCTGTGGTTACTATTGCAGAGTCCATCTTTGATACTGAAAACATTTTGGTGCAGCAGCTGAGTTTAAAAGCCTCGAGTCATCATCAGACATATACACTTAGATGTTTCTTTTTACATAGATAATGCATTTCACATTGTGTACACCAATATCAACGCCACAGTTACTGCTGAGCTTGAAACACATCCAGCATTTCAGAGTCAGACAGCCATGGGGTCCAATCATGGAATCAATGGCCCAAATGGGTTGAAATGAAAATCATTTACTAACATAGTTTCAATTTTATATTGACATCAACCTCGAGGCAGATAACTGCACTCTCTGCAGCATAGATTTAAACAAAATGCCAACCACCTATCGTTCTGATTGAGCTTTATAGAGAAAAAGAGTCAGTTTGACAAGCAATACTATAGTGTAATACTATGCCATAGTCACTTACATCTGTAAAACTTTACCTTGAGTTCAAATGTGTATATGCCGAAGAGATCTAAAATTAAGTTGTCGTTAAAGTGAGTAAGAAATCAAGTGAGAAGGCTCAGACAGCTCTCATGTTTTCAGGTCTCCAGAGTTGAAGGCTCCAGTGTACCACGATGATAATTACGTTCAAAGTTAATTAAGGATCATAAAGTTAAAAAAAAATGTATGGAGAGTAAATTAATTCTCATATTCAAATTATGAAAAGCTAATTAACATATGAAGTTACTAATTAAAATTAAAGCTGTGTTCTTGGTTCAAAACATTGTCGTATTCCTGTGGACTCTGGCACTCTCAAATAGAGAAGACATTTGGGTGGACCTTTCTTGTTTTTCTGTAATGAATATCTCCTCACAGCTCACTTCTTCATTGCTTTACTGCGATGTCGTAATAATAATTATACCAGCTCCTAATGTCTAATTATGAGGCATGCACACTCACTAAATACAACAGAGCAGAACCGGGAGCTCTCGTGGACCATCTGGTGAGCGTTTAAGACACGACTCTTTTAGTCATGTACGGGTTTGCACCTGCTGTCACTGTTTTTTAGAGATAGCGCCAGGACAGAAAAAAATCCTTCATGAGGATTACAACTGGTCCTGAAATTACAAGCAACTGTGCCAAGTCCCTGCTGAATTAAAATATTGTGAAATATACTAGATGTGCTGCCTGAAACCTGTTTAAACTTAGCTTCAACAGACCAACTTGCACAGGAGAAAAATACATGACAAAATGAAGCTGTCACTACTCTCCAGGTGTACACTGTATGCAGGTTATTATACATGCACAAAACATGTGATGTTAAATTTTATAGAAGTTACAGGTAACAGATATTCATATACATTGTAAATTTCAGCCCAAAAAGTCGGGAAAGTGTATAAAACGATAAAAAACAAACAAACAAACAAAATGTAATGGTTTGCAAATTATTTAAACTATATTCAAATTAAACTCATGCAAGGACAACGTATGAAACATTAAAACTGACATGGTTTTGTATAAAAAATATAGATGCCCATTTTTAATTTGACATTGGCCATTCTTTCTCATTAGGTAAACCGTAGGTTCTCAATGATTTTACACTGAGGAAGATTATTCTGAAATTGTTGAACTATTTGCTCACGCAGTCGCTCACAGAGTGTAAAACCTCCTTATATTTTACTTTTGAAAGATTCAGCCTCTATAAAGTGCTCTTTTCAAAGCGGTCATGTTACTTCTCTGGTATTTTATTTTCCTTGTGGCAACTTTCTGAAAACATGCTGCTGGCATTAAATTTAGATGAGCAACCAACAATAAACATTTTCTGTTTCAACATTTGATGTTGTCTTGCTTATTTTAAATTGAAAATAGGGTTTTAACCATCAAATTCAGCTTTATCAATATTTTACACAGCATCCCACCCTATCTGGAACTGGGGTTGTAATTGTAAGCAGAATGTCAGACATTTTTACCCAGGTGCTATTATGTATTGAAAAATCTAACCTTTTATGTGAAGCCTCCAAAACTGCAGAAGAAAGAAATCATGATTTCTTCACTAAACAGTTTAACATATGTTTAGTTATCCATAATTATATGCCACATTTGCTTAAAACCACTTTCAGAACTTGATTTTTAAGATTTTGTTTTAACATGGTCCACATGTAAATCATTGATAGTTTAAACTTACTCACCACAGCTTTTTCGGGAGCTTTCAACTGTCTCAAATATTGTGTAAACTGCACCATGAAGAGCATGCTGCTGGGGGTTGAAACTCGTCGAAGAGCTACCAGAAGGCAGTTTCTTGTAAAATATATGTATTTAGATCCTCTAGTGACTAGTCTCTTTTAAAGCTAAGAGCTGCATTTGTGTTGCCATTAAGATGGATGAATTATAGTGGTTGAGAAACAAAAAAAACATTAGTGACACTGTACTTGATATCTGCTAAAAGCTAAAGTCTGCTATCAAAAACACATACTTCTTTTCTTTCTAACAGTGACTAATGATGGAATAATTAAAAAAAAGTGTGATTTTTGTAAATTTTGAACAAAAGATCTTCAGAATTCTTGTGCTCACTCTAGTCCCTGCTGGTGCCCCTCAGAATTGTTTTTTGAGACCCAAATGTCCAGGCTCCAGCCTATATTTGTTAACCACAAACCCTCTATGAGCCTGACCAAAGCCTAGGGTCTTCTAGGGTCTGCAGTTCAGGTCATTCTGCAGTGGCACTCCCTGATCTCTTCTGGTTAAATCTCTTCTGAAAACTCACTTATTACATCTACCCTTTTATAAACTGTTGATTTGTTACCCTTTTTAATGTTGTACTTTGTATTTGTTATTTATTGTGTCATATTTGCTCATGGCTTAAAGTATTTGTCCTGTTTTTACAGTTACATGCCTTGTTTTAAGTGTCAAGCCTGTTTTTGAAAAGTGCTTTGAATATAAATTTATTATTATCATTATTTGAAGTGTAGGGATGTAAGAGTGTGGTAGGTTGGAAGTTTCAGATCTGCACAACTCAATAAAAAGCAAAATTGTGAATACCAAACAGCATTGCCATATCTTCTTTATCATCAGTGATTTCATATATTAAATAAAAGGGAAGGAGAGGTACGAATAACATAATTACTGACAACTTAAAGGAAGTACATAGGCTCCAGCCATTATACATGTAATTTAATAAACCAATTTTAAGGGTTCAACTTACTGGAAGACACTTTTAGACAAACTTTGTAACAAAGCCATTTTCTTAATGTTATTAGTTTAAATGTGTAAGAGAGGGTTGACGTGAATAAGAGCCATGTGAAATATTGTTGAAAAGGTTTAAAATGACAAAATGAAGTTAATGCTATTGCAATTCTCTGTAAATTATTAAGAGACCACTGCAAGTGTGTTTATCTCTTGTTCCACTATTCATAGGTTTGCGTTTAAGTAAAGTGATGTTTTTTCTCTCTCTCTCGCTAAGTTTATCTGTTAAGTTTGTAGAAAAGATACACTATTTTGAGAAAAATGCAAAGAGGATTAGGTTTAAAGTCATTTTTAATTAATAACATACTAATGTTTTCACTCAGGAAGAGTTATGAAATCATTTTTTGTGGAATATAGCCTTCATGCCTCTTAGTGAGCTCTCTCTATATTAACCATTACACATTAAGATTTTAGATTAGTGCAGGTAGTAAAATATCAACACAAAATCATTTAGTTAATTTCTCCATAACCTTTTTTATGCTTCAACAGGGTGATAACAAATTTAAAAATAATTAGCTACAAATAAATGAGATGTTCTGTCTGTGAAGATAGAGTAAGTTTTGCTTTTCTCAATCATCACTAACAATTTCAATGTTCACCTCAGAGGATCTGGGGACTCAGACATCACCTCCCGTGGTCTTCGTAGATCAGTGATGCAGTTCACCTTGCCAGCGTCATCCAGCAGATGGAGTCCTTAAACTGCAGCTTCTGCTCCAAACAAACTGTGTTCACTCTGCCTGCATGACATATATCTGCCTCCCTGGAGGAGGATGATATAGACCAAAATCTGTCATCGCAACACAGTAAATGAGTAACACTGACATCAACCAATGTAATAATATCTGCTGTGTTTTACTCCATTCTGCTCTTTACACATTTTTATTTCCATCAACTTTAGGTTTAAGGACTTAATTCTTATTACTTTACAGACTAACCTTTTATTCACACTTTCCACACGCATACAATATTTTTGAACAAGGTAAAACAAAAATACCCACAAAATAAAAATGTGCATCCAAGTATTTCTTACCATGTTTATACTGGAATGAAATATAATGTTTTTGGGGGCTGAACCTAGTGAAAATAATTAATTTGCAAAATTATAAAATGCAACAAAATAAGACTGATGTATTTAACATATTATTATTTGAGTATTAGTATTTGACTATTAGTTCCTGGATGCCTCAAGTTAGTTTCTGGAGCAGATCTTGACAGTGATTGTAAGATCAATCTGAATGTTAACTTGTGTGATTTTCCTTCACTTTTTTACATCACTGCATTGAAGAGACATATTGTATGGTATAATTTTAGTTTAACAAGACAATACAAGAAGTACCTTCACTTCATCATGGATTTCATCATACAATACCTGATCTGAAGTTCATGTCAAACTAAAGCAGATCAGCTGACCAAATGTATGAGATAATACTTTTGAACGTTAAAACCCATTGTTGTTTGGAAATTTGATATTGTTCAGACATCCCTTTAGTCTGTGGTTATTTGTGGCATATTTTTTCAGTATTCACTTCAAACACTCTATGGATGAAGACAGAAAATATCAACAGTGCTGGAAAACAATTAATCAGATGAACCAGCTGTGACCTATACACTAAATCGCATATGCTGCTTTATGAATAAATTGCTTCGATTTCATTTCCTACGGCAAGCACAACGGACAAACTAGCTAGAACTCAAAATTGCCTCGTTGCCCTCAGAGATAGTATAAGTACAAGATAGATCGCTACAACAAAACAGAAGTCAGACACAGAGCGCCATTAAACCTAAAGGAAAGCTAGCTTAGCAAAGATGGCGTCAGGCTGTGTTAAATCCTAGTTGCGGGTGTATTAGACCACGAGAGTACCATTTTCACCGTAGTGTTATATTGTAAAATTTATCTTAATGTAAGAGTTAACAAGCATAGGCTACTATTGAGCGCCTTTCTTTTACAAACCGTTACGACTCAAACAGAGCCGGTGCGGGTGTTTGCTAGGTACACCTCTCCGTCCTCCACAGGCTCTTTGGTCTGAGAGCGTCATAAGAGCCTGATTTCTGAGAGAATACACCCACTCTTTTCCTTCACGGACGTTTCATTTCCCCGTCCATTAATCTAATATGTATGTGTGAGACTGTCCTTCTATCTGTACCAAGTACACTGTTTGAGTGCCAGCAGAAATTACACAATTTAAGCAGTGATGTAAACCACTCAGCCAGACTGCAGCAGTCCCCATAGCAACAGAGGAGAGGGTGGGCATCACAAAAGGCACTGAGACACTTAATGATTCAGGTCTCTTAAGGTCACATCTCAAGCTGTGAATTATTTTCAGCTCTCAAAACCAAAACCACACACCACAAAGGGGATCCACTGACAAAGATTTCAGCCTGAGAGATTCTATCTGGACCCTTTTTCCAGGGAAATAACTTGGTACAATCCACCCTCATAAGAAAACCATCACTAATGGTTTCCCCCTCCCCCTGTCTGGCAGGTACCACTCAGCACAGAGGGGGTGATCCTATCCATCCACCACAGACCTAGTGCTCATTGTGGCAGAATTGCAGTGCACTGGACTGTACAGAGCAGGGTACCATCCAGGCTGTTGTCTGTGAGGGGTGGGGTCCGGCTACACTGATACCACCAAGCATAAGCTCACAGAAAGGACACAAAAAGAGAGGGGGAAAAAAAGAGCGAGAAGAGGGGGGAAGACTGCACCTGAAGAGGAATATAATACGGGTAAGGAGGAAAAGGGGTGGATGGAGGGAGAAGGAAGAAGACAATGAGGAAAGGTCCAGAATGGTTCATGTGGATCGGCTCATCTGCTGCTCTGCTTTTTTCCATCTGTTGACAGCCCATCCTTTTTTATTCCTTTTCTTTGTATGACACATATTTCCATTCATGTGCATGTTTATCCATCAATTCATGAATGTCTGTGCAGCTGCAGTGCTTATTTCACTCTACATTTGTTATCTCTGTGGGTATTCTTGCTCATGGTGGAAGAATCGGTGGGCCATGGTGAATAAATCTGACCGTTTGGCCCAGTTTGCATGTTGCGTTTGCATTTGATAGCATACAGTATATATGTCTAAAATGCCAAGTAAGATGACATAATGAAGCAGCCATGCCAATTCAATGACACAATATTGACAGGTACTCTTGTATTATTACTGGAGACTGACTGGTTTCTTACTGGTTTAATGAAGCCCAAAACCTTCAAAATCTTTAAGTGTGTATTTGAAGGAGTGTATACCATGTTGCTTTGCGAATATTACACAAAAGTTCAATTTAATGACATTTTTAACCCTCCACCTATTATTGTGTTTTGATTGTGTATCAGAGTTGTAACTTATATGCACATGCCATTCCTTTCTACAAACATCTAATCAAACTGAAGTGTTGTATATTTTATACCATTGTTGCACTGTTGATCACTTTCCCAGGTGTGCAATGCCACATAAAAACAATTCAAACATGTTTTTTCACTCAGTTTAATCCCACTTATCCTAAATGTTGCTCTGTGTTTGTGCGTGTGCCTGCCAGGATGAAAGGAGACACCCCAGTGAACAGCACCATGAGTGTCGGTCAGGCCAGGAAGCTGGTGGAGCAGCTGAAGATAGAGGCGAGTTTTTGCAGGATAAAGGTAAGACAATCTGAATGCATCCCATTCAAACACACACAGTGATAGAGGCAACTGATCAAATCAATACAGTGAAAGAAATAGCTCTGTGATTCTTAATTTGACTGTCTGAGAAGCTAGAAGAAAGTTTTGCTTTGAAAATACAAGTCTAGATAAATCATGCTGATCCCTGCTTACATGGTAGTGCTCTCACATTAGCAATTAATAATCAATGTTGTCTATCTGAGAAGGATAGGTTTGACTCTGGTGTTGCTCCTCTTTTGTTGTCATAAAGCCCTAAATCAAAGCTGAAAAAGAAGCAAAGGAGAATTTTGTCAAACTTTTATGATCCACGCGGCTCTATAGATGAAGGAAGGCATCTGTGACCCTCTCAAAGACAATTAAAGTCAGTGCTGGAGAGTTTCCAAGTTGTGTTCTGAGGAATCTCTCTTCTCCTCTCTGCCAAAAACAGAACAGTTCATCAGGGTAAAATATGATCAGGGCAACATTTACATAAAGCTGTATAAATATAACTTGAACCAACAGTTTAAGACATTGTCCCTTCTTGAAAAGCCTTAAAACAGAGAGACTTTTAGGACATATGGAGTGTTCAAAATGGTAAGGTTATAAAACAACATCTTTTTGTTTACACCTGATCTCTATGCTTGCTGACCATGCTGCTACTTCACATTTAAATATAAATCTTCAAACCACTTTCAGGAAAATAAAATCCAAGGGTCAAAACAGAAGTGTTCACTGCCGTATCTATCTGCCTCTGTAACCACAAACATCCTGTTTTCTTTAGACTAATCAATTAATTTCATCTGCTCACTCTGTTTAGGTTATTCATAGAGCGTTGACTCGACTCTTCCATGTCCAGACATGGTTAAGATTCTCAATTATTTTAGACAGTGTTTCATACAATTCCCCCTTTTTCCAGTTTGGCTGATATTTTTAGTCATTATCTTGTAAGGGGTTATAATAGAGGCCACCATGAGTTAACAGATAATTAATAAAAATTATAAAAACAAATTTAGCTTTTCTGTAGACCTAACATTTCACTAAACACATTTTCTTTGGCCATTTAGTGAAGAAATAAACTAAGAAAAATGTCATATGGCTCATAGGAGACAATATGCTCTAGGTCTTTAGAAGAATCAAACACGCATACAGTCCAGTTTTTCTGTCTGACCCATAATACTCCATATGTGTTTATAATCTACAAATAAACCACTTGATCTTAACAAATCACACCAGAGGAAATAATAATACAAATGGATAAAAAACTGAATAACTTACAAGGTGGTGTTGTGCTTTTTTCATATTTTACAAACAAATATTAAGCTAAAGCTGTGGGTGTCAATACTAAACATGGCAAAGGTTTAGGTTTTAAGAGAAACAATTGTGTGTTGGAGTAATCCCAGTGGGAGACTGCAGGCTGCTCTTAACAGCTGGTTTCAAAAAGTCACATGAGGACCATGCAGGTACCACACCAGATATGATCAAATCATGACATCACCAGCTGGTGGATCTCCTTAAAAGGACCTGATAACTACAATACAGACATGTTCTTTGCTGTTAAAGAGTGTTTTGTTCCTTTCTAAACTTCCAGGGTCAGATTTGGGCTTCAAAACACATGGCCATAACTCACGGTTTTTGACTTTAGATCTAAAATTAGGTAGGTAAACTAAACCGTAACAACTTTAGTATGGAGGAGGCTTCTGAGGTGTTTTAAAGAGTCTGGAAGAGACAGAAGCTTTTCAAAGACATCTGACTGAGATAAGCAATGATTTTATTTTTGCTGTAAATAAATCATGTAGAGTTGCTAACAAAGCTCTCAAATGGAAAATATAAGGTTACCATCACCATCACATAAAGAACAGAAAGGCAACTAAGCTGAGCTTCCACATGAAAAAATCTCTGAGGATGTAAACTTGAGTTTTTCTGAGTCAGCCAAGAATTTAATTGAAGGAAAAACAAAAATGCCACACCAAAACTGACTTGTCCCCAGAGGGAAATATGCTTGTTTCTTCTTCCTAAGAACAGAGGCCTTCACAGCAACTATATGCATCATAGCCACAACTAGCTACAACTTTTTGGAGCATCGTAGAATCAATGATTTAGGTAACACTTTATTTGATGCCTATCCCTACAAGGCATTACAAATATACATATAATGCGTTGTAACTAGTTATATCACTGTATAACTATAGTTATAAACAATCATAAATGATTATAATGCTTTATAGCAATAATAAAGCTATAATGACTTACAAAGTCAGGTATAATAATGCCTTATAACTGTTAACAACTCACCGACAATGCCCACATAGATAGTGCAATGCAACTGTTGTTAACAGTTAAAACACATTATAATACCTGACCTAGTAAGTCATGATGAAATACTTTGTGTTGTGAATATTGCTATAAAGCATTATGATCCTTTATAAGTGTTTATAACTATAGTTATACAGTGCTTGAACGTGATTATAATGCATTATTAATATATTTATAATGCGTTATAGAGACAGGCATCAAATAAAATGTTACCATGACGTCAAACTTATTATCATGTGACACAAAGAGGCAAAGCTAGCAGACTTAGTGGTAACTTATGCCCACTCATTTATATATTACAAGGCTGTTTTTGGGTACATCAAGTAAACTCAGCTATTTTTCTAAGTTCTCTGTTGTTTCTCTGTCAGAACTGAAGTTCTCTGTCAGTTTACCGAGTCACTCCAAGGCAATTAAACCACCTTCAGAAAAGGGTAAATTGTCAGCCACTGTGAATTTTGATGTCCTTTATTGCACAGATGTTGTTCTCAGTATCAGCTTAAACTTAGCTTTGGGTATTGAAACCATCTTCTCTGAAAACTGTCCACTTTAAGATCCTTTTACCTGGTTATGGGTTCTAAATAAACTACACTTTCTCACACTAAGACTGAAATAAAAACGGTGAAGCTGAGAAATTAACTTTGAGTTGACAATGCTCATAACTCTCCTTCAATCTGATCCTCCTCATGTGCAGGTATCAAAGGCGGCGGCCGACCTGATGGCGTATTGTGACGCACACTCCTGTGACGACCCCCTGATCACCCCCGTGCCCACTTCAGAGAACCCCTTCAGGGAGAAGAAATTCTTCTGCGCTCTGCTTTGAAACCAATCAGGGATTGTTGTGATTAAGAGTACAACTGTACAGTATGTACATGTATGTACAGTGTGTACATGTACTTCAACCGAAAATAAGACATCAGTGTACTATAGTAACCTTGCATAAAAGCTGCCGATGTACAGTACATAATCAGTTACAACAAAATGTCTAGATCCAAATTCTTGAATTGCTATCGTCTGTCTCAGTGTTAGAGGGGAAGAACAAAAATAGTGTGAGGATTTGAAACAAAACCTGAACACAGAAATACTAAACAGTGTCATAGCTATCAAAAACACATTTAAAAAAAAAAAACAGCTTTCATGTTGGTGAAAACATACATTTCATGTTCATTTATACATTACAGGTAACTGCCTGAAAGGAAACAGTCTGTGTATCTTCAAGTGTCTTAAAAAGCTTTGTGTGGATTCTGCAGCATTTCAAAACCCTCATCTGGGATGTTCAATTCCCATATTAAGTGGCGTCTTTTGGATTATGGAGGTGCTACAGGTCTCAGGTACTTCTCTGATTGGGTCAGATCATAAAAAGAGCGTACGGAGATCTGAAAACTGAAGAATAGTTCCGCCTACGTCAGGTAAACAAGCACATGATTCATAAATGAGAGTTTCCATGTGCAAAAGGAGTCGACTTATAGCATTTAGATTGTCCTTCAGAGCTGCATTCCATCCATATTTGATATATTTTGTACTCTTTGTTTACTTTGGTGATTCCTGTTTTGGCAGTTACTTGTATCTACCAGCTGTTTATGAGTGAATTGTGATCATAAAGTTTATTTATTTTAAGGTTTTATTAAGATTTTGCTCATTTCTATACTGTTGCTGTAGTTTGAATGTGAAAGTGTGTGTGTGTGTGTGTGTGTGTGTGTGTGTGTGTGAGTGCGTATAGGTGCTACTGTGAAACAAGCATTGATTTTTTTTTTATTTTTTTTTCATCCGATCATCAGTCAACAAGATTTTTTAGCTCACAAACCCAAAATAAAAAAATAAGACATTCCAAGGGTTATGGATGTTCAAGGTTAAACTAAAGCCATTCAAGCTGAACTAAAGCTATTTGGGAAAACAGAAGTCTGTCATTGGCACAATTTTCTATTTCCTAAAGGCAAAAACAGCAGTTCTACTGTGCTTTTAATGACAGGTGTTCATCATCATTTTAACCAGTCAGAGGGTCTCCAGAGCAGAGGTTTCCAGGAAATCAAGGAAAAGCCTGTCGTCTAGTCTCGTTCATGTGAAGATGAGACTGATGGGAAGGACTTGGAAGTTTAATTTAAATAAAGAATTATTTTCTCCATCTCCTCCCTTGAGTTCAGGCAACACATCAGTGGTGCTCCCCCGTCAATGACGTGTACCCATCACATGACTTCTACATCATCTCTGACATGATCAAACTCATGGGAACCCCCTGCTCTGGAACATTTCAAAACAAATGTACTTTCAGTATTTGCAAATATGAAATTAGGAGCTCTGGTGAAAAAGTAACCATGGAATATCAGGCATTGAAATAAAACATCCTGTTACCAAGCGTCTGAAACTTGCCTTTTATTCAGTATTAACAGCATTATAAAAACGGAGGAGTCTCACAGTAAAATGCAAACACACCAGCCGGTGTTTTGGACTACATCTGCTACACAACGGTTTCGTACTTAAACAGCAGGTGATGTATAGAATTATGTGACATAGCTTGGACATGCACTTCTGCAGGTTTAATAGTTCCTCTGAATAACATAGTGAGCATGCATTAAGGCGTCTCATGTTTAAAATGAGAAAAATATCAACTCAGGCATGAAGACAGCAGGCTGGCACACATACTGAAGGTCGTTTTTAAACTTAATTTAGAGCCACTGTATCAGGGATTCTTAATGAAGAGTTAGAGATAATTCAGAAGTTTGTAGTTAGATGAAAGACAAGCTCAGCTGACAAATACATTCAATAATAACAGCATGTCAGTTACAGTGGCCTCCTCACTATTACTGAACAAAATGGGATAGACATGGTTTGCTGCCATAGCGAAGCTTTTTTTGTTACACTAACCTGGCTGTAATATTCTTTTTGTAACCCAGCGTTCCAGTTAAGTACAAAACGCTTATAAAATTAGCACTTTTTAATTATATTTGAGCTTTTTGTCATATAAAGTTAAGACCACAGCCCACTCAGTAATAGACTGACACTCTTTCGACAGCTTTGAGTTTGTTGTATTGGCATCTTTATTTATATTTTTATCTTCAGGTTTAAACAAGCTCTGAGCAGACCAGGTTTCTTTTTCATATGCAGGATTAAGAATTAAAAGTCTAGGTAATATATATATAAAAAGAAAACTCTTCTCTGCTAAGACAGTGTCACATTAGTTTTGAGGTTTGTATTCCCATGTCATGTTAATAACTCATATCAGCTGCGAGACACTTCTTCAGAAGGATTATTGAAACCTTTTTGGTGCACTTACGATTCATGATACTAGACTGTGATAGAACAGAAAATACAACTTACATCAACGTTTCAATGGCTTTAAAAACAGACACACATGGCAAAAAAAGCCAAAATATTAGACTGAGCATGAATACTAGTCTGGATTGTACTGATACAGCTCACAAAAAGAAAACGAAACATGCTCTGAAATTGAAAAAGATTTTTGTTAAACATATTAATGAAGAAGTAAGTAGCCATGTAATATCTGAACTGTAAAATCTCAAGATATGGGCAACAGCAGGTGAACTTTACATTTATAAAAATTAGAGTATGTGGTATTCAAATGATGAACAGTTTCCTCAAATCTTAAAAGAGTACATTGAGTCTGAACGCCACTGCAGCTGCTCAGCAGACATTTTGACATGTCAAACAGGGTTTACTATTTCTGTCATTTGTCGCATCACTTAAAAATCCGAATAGAAATGATAGTTCTTTTTTTTTTTGTTTGTTTTATCTCCTACACCTTTCACTTTGACATGTCAAACTGCCCATATTTCCTCAACTTTACAGCAATTTACAGAACATGGAGGTTCAGATCATTTAAGCCAAAACTGTGAAGATATGTTCAAACTTTTTAGGCGACAAAAGGATTTTAGAGAACAGAGTACATTTCTAAAAATCTTAGTAGTGAACAATCTCAGTCCAAACATTTGGTGCAGCAGAATTGAATCAAAATCAGTGAAGAGGTAATACACAGTTTGGACTTCAGAAGTAAAAAACCCATGACCAGATGCTTTACAAGAAGGCATCACACCATTCTTTCAGACAGCCAAAGCAGTCACCTTGTTGCTTGACATTTGCACCGCATGTGTCTTTCAGCCAGTCTCGGAAGAGCTCCTCGTCCTTCTTTAACACCAGGAACTGACCGAGGACAACGTACGCCTGCAGAGGGGGCAGACAACAAAATATCCAATTTAGGCAATATTTTTTAAGCAATCAAACACCAGTATTACAACAAGGATTATTACCGTTCTGACAGTGAATCTGATGAGGGTTTCAGACATCTCTCACCTTGTCAAAGCCTTTGTCCTCCAGTCTTTTGCCGAGGACCTCTCCAATGCCTGCAAGGGCCATCACAGGCTTCTCACCCATGGGCTCTGCCACGAAGTCTTTATGTTTTTGGGATGTCGATGACATGGCTGTCCTGTGAGTGGGATCAAATCAACAGCTTCTGATCTGTAAACACAGTTACATTTGCATTATTTCTATACAGATCAGCTATACAAAGTACAAAACTGATCTTCAAAGTGTCCCTATTTATTTTTCTGTGTTTTGTGGCAGTTCTATTTGCAGTGACTGGAAATCTTCACAAACTTTACTCTTTCGGCATCCTCCTTGTGGTTGTCTGCCACATTTCTTCACAGTCATAATGAAACTGCAAGCCAACGGAAACAGAGAAGGCCTGGTGCTGTAACCTTACACAACACTTTAAACCATATTTGAAATATTGTTTAAGGGGTCTTATGAATACTTTATCCAGGTTTTAGGAGCAAAGTTATTAAACTTTCTCCCACATACTGGGTTTTACTTGTTGCTTAGTTTGTAAATAACTCTTGATAAAAGAAATCACAAAATCTATCCTTGACAGCAGCTGTTCAGAATACAATTTATACTCTGTTAGGGTCAACCGACATTGTTTATTCAGTGCATCTACATTCATTTATGACATCTGTATTCTGTACCCATATTTGGAACAGTTATGTATGTACAATAAAAATATGAATCATTCTTTAAAAGTTTAAATTAAATATTACAAACTGGGGCCTGACCGATTTATCGGCAAGCCGTTTGAGACTTATCGGTAATCGGCCAAAACTCGCCAATTTTCGATGTTCCGCCATTTGATAAGTTCCCTGACTTATCCTGTAGATGGCGCAGCGACCTCATGACAATCTTCATCCACTAACTTCCTCACAGCACAGCAAACTGACGGATCTGAAGCAGGCAGCTCAGGGACGCACGGAGGAGAGTGGTCCACCTCAACGGATATCTACTGTGTGTGTATATATATATATAATAACTTCTAAAAAAACCCTAAAAAATCACCATTGGCCCCAAAAAACCATGTGGTCGGGCTCTATTACAAACTCCAACACAAAACTTTATTGATGTGCCTTAAAGAAGTATCTGATCAAATCAGATGCAGAGTTGAAGTACCACAGGTTATACCAGTGCCTCAGGTTTGTGCTGTTGGTATTACTCATGTGAAAAGATGTCAAACATATTGTGTGCTGGGCGGGTTACTATGTGAGATGGAATGACAAGTGAAAACATTAGGTGAGGCAAATGACCCAGAGGACAAGGCAAACATGCAGCAGAGAAAGCTTGCACACCTCACCAGTTGCTTTCATTGGTAATCAGTCAATTTATTCACAGAGAAAGGCGAATACTGGACCCTCATGGACAAAAGGTTATTAAGTGTGGGTGTTCAATGTAAAATAAATCAGCAAGCTTTCCCAAATCAACAAACTAACCATAAAACAATGTGAAATAAACTGATATTAACATTAAAATGATGATCAAACAGACTATTTTTTCACAGGGGTTAGTGGATATAAATATTACACATATATATATTTTTGAATAATCCGTTCAATCTGGAGAAGCTGTGATTCGTTTAGTGACCTTTAGTGTGTTGTTCAGTGTTCCTAAATGAGACTTCCTGGCACTGGTCAAACAAAAGGGACGACGGGGCGGGCACTCACCCGAGCAGCAATGTTTGATTTACTTTTCTTACTTCACTGGTGGTGTTTGTGTTTGCTGGGATTTCAAACACTCAAACACAAAGGCAGAGAGTTAAACAAGCAGAAAAGTTAATAGTGTTATGGACGGGCTCCAGCGGCGCGGGGTCCACAGGGTTGAATTACGCGCGCTGCTACAGCAGTAGATGCTAACAGCTTCAGCATGTGTGCTAATGTTTCACACCTTTAACCCGCTTTACAGTTTTTTTAACCACAAACAACAGCCAACGCGTGTTTCTATACATTTCTGGCCTCTTTGGAGCACGATGTGACCCATTGTGCTCCTCTCTGTGGTTAGTTTGTCTGAGCAGACATGTTAGCAGAGAATTTAGGCGCCTTCTTCTCAGGAACCGAAAGCTAACCTAGCACCGCCGTCAATAAACCGGATTATCTCTCTAAACCTCCTTTTTCTTGAGGCCTCCCTCAACTTTTTTTAATAACGTCGTGTGTCAATTATGTGTTGTTATCGCCTTGTTCCAACTTACTTCCAAATGTCGTGTCTTGAAGTTGAAAATCACCAGAGTTCGCCCAGCAGCCGTGTGCTTTCTGTTTCAACTCAGGCACCGGTGACCACAATGCAATGCGCCAGCGTCGCGCCCCCTTACGTTGAGGCCTGACGCGTCGCTTTGGAATGTCTTTTTTTACCCCGAGCGGTGACTTACAGGATAGTCCCGTAATAGACAATAAAGTAACCTTAGTCAGAGCCGGCCCAAGCTTCAATGGGGCCCCAAGCAAAATTTGATTTGGGAGCCCTGTATTTCTGCCAATAATATTGATTGTTGATCATTCACACACCTTTACAAATCTCTTTAATTATCATTCCATGACATGCAAACATACCTCTATCTTGGTGTTTTTTTCTCCTCCTCCTCTTTGCTCAGTGCACATTGCACAGCACAAGGCACATAACGGTAACGGAGCTTTGACATACACTCACCGGCCACTTTATTAGGTACACCTGTCCAACTGCTCGTTAACACTTAATTTCTAATCAGCCAATCACATGGCGGCAACTTAGTGCATTTAGGCATGTAGACATGGTCAAGACAATCTCCTGCAGTTCAAACCGAGCATCAGTATGGGGAAGAAAGGTGATTTGAGTGACTTTGAACGTGGCATGGTTGTTGGTGCCAGAAGGGCTGGTCTGAGTATTTCAGAAACTGCTGATCTACTGGGATTTTCACGCACAACCATCTCTAGGGTTTACAGAGAATGGTCCGAAAAAGAAAAAATATCCAGTGAGCGGCAGTTCTGTGGGCGGAAATGCCTTGTTGATGCCAGAGGTCAGGGGAGAATGGCCAGACTGGTTCGAGCTGATAGAAAGGCAACAGTGACTCAAATAACCACCCGTTACAACCAAGGTAGGCAGAAGAGCATCTCTGAACGCACAGTACGTCAAACTTTGAGGCAGATGGGCTACAGCAGCAGAGGACCACACCGGGTGCCACTCCTTTCAGCTAAGAACAGGAAACTGAGGCTACAATTTGCACAAGCTCATCGAAATTGGACAATAGAAGATTGGAAAAACGTTGCCTGGTCTGATGAGTCTCGATTTCTGCTGCGACATTCGGATGGTAGGGTCAGAATTTGGCATCAACAACATGAAAGCATGGATCCATCCTGCCTTGTATCAACGGTTCAGGCTGGTGGTGGTTGTGTCATGGTGTGGGGAATATTTTCTTGGCACTCTTTGGGCCCCTTGGTACCAATTGAGCATCGTTGCAACGCCACAGCCTACCTGAGTATTGTTGCTGACCATGTCCATCCCTTTATGACCACAATGTACCCAACTTCTGATGGCTACTTTCAGCAGGATAATGCACCATGTCATAAAGCTGGAATCATCTCAGACTGGTTTCTTGAACATGACAATGAGTTCACTGTACTCAAATGGCCTCCACAGTCACCAGATCTCAATCCAATAGAGCATCTTTGGGATGTGGTGGAACGGGAGATTCGCATCATGGATGTGCAGCCGACAAATCTGCGGCAATTGTGTGATGCCATCATGTCAATATGGACCAAGCTCTCTGAGGAATGCTTCCAGCACCTTGTTGAATCTATGCCACGAAGAATTGAGGCAGTTCTGAAGGCAAAAGGGGGTCCAACCCGTTACTAGCATGGTGTACCTAATAAAGTGGCCGGTGAGTGTATATCATCAGTAAGAATCATAAGCCTACATCAGCAGCAGCACTAAAATGTTTTTCATTTATTTTATTCTTACAAATATATATATATATATATATATATATATATATATATATATATCATTAAACAGTAAGCATGCAAATATATATATATATATATATATATATATATATATTTTTTTTTTCTTTTTTCATTGCTCTTGGGGGCCTCTATTGGCCGTGGGGCCCTAAGCAGATGCTTAGTTCGCTTATGCCTTGGGCCGGCTCTGCCAATAGTATGAACATGCAGCAAGTGAACTAGCAAAAATCTAAGAAGCTGTGTGTAATTATTTAAAAGCTTTTAAATGATGCAAATTATTTTACAGCTGTTTGAAAACAAAGACACTGCAGTCATCTTTCTGTGACACGTTGCGTGTTGGAACATGTAAGGCTAATTGTTACATTTCTAACCTTGTAAAAGGACGAGTTAATACGTTCAACTATACTTTGTTTCCAGGAAACTTTATGTCCTTATCACGGTGACATCATCTACCAGAGTTTTTAATTTTTAGGTTATTTTGCCACAGACTCATCAAATGTGTCGATACAGATAATTAAACTGTGTTATTATGGGACGAGGTTTCTCCTAATTTATTTTATTATTGTTAATAAAAAAAATATAAATAAAAATGGCATTTTCCAAAACTTAAGCAACTGTCTCAAATTATATGTGTAAAAAAAGAAGAGGTAAAAAAAAGGGGTACTTCAATCACTAATGTAAGCCATATGCCTCAAGGGAAAAATAAAAAATTAGCTTTTTCAGTTTTGTCCATGAGGAACATTCACAATGTGTTTTCAGCCCATTTATGAAGATTTTTTTAGAAATCCAACTTTCTGATGGACAGTGCACACTGTTTTTGAGTGAGAATGTCTTAAATGTACTCTACATCATGAGACTAAACATTAACTTGTAGCACTGATTATAAAAAGACAAAGTTAGTATTTAAAAACACTAAATCTTTTCCCCTTTCGCTAAACAGGAAAACAGCGATTATTGCTTTCAGGGTGACCTTTATTTTCTCAGGAGTAACAGTATACAGAAGACTGAAATTTTCTTTGGATGCAGTTCAAGGTATAGTTGTGCGCATTAATAACCGTCTGACTGTTTCTGACATTTCCATAAACCTTAAGGAAAAAGGAGAAGGGTTGAAAAGTTGTGATGGGGTTGCAAGTGCTACATTAACACTAAATTAGTGCCTGAAGTTTACCCATTAAGTAAATCTATGCAAGTCTAAAGATCAGACAGAATATTAGAAGCCAGGCTGCAAGTCAGTCCAGTGCCATCAGGCTCCACATTGATCTTCTTCACAACTCCATCTTCCACCAACATGGCATATCTGAAAAACAGAAGAGTACAGTCACTGATTTATAGATTTGAAATTGAAATGTATTAGAAAACTCCTCTGAATACATCTTGTCTAAACAAAAACAAGGAGTTTTCAATGCAATATTCTGAAAATTAATCATAATTTTAATTTAGGTTGAGGTTTAATGATTGAAAATACACCCAGAACACAAAATCCAAAAGAATCTTTATGTTGTTTGAAATAAAAATGCTCACACTGTGTATGTATTCTGTTTAAACTGATCTTAGATCCATCTTTCATCTGTTCACTTATCACTCACAGATACTCTGTCTTACTTTCAATAGTTTATTTGAGGCAATAAAATGCGATTTTTTTCTGCACTTAAACTCATAAAGTAACTCAAACTAGAAAATTTTCATCCATACCGTTGAAGAACTATGATTCGCAGTGTTAAAGAAGACTGTATAGCATATCATGGACATAACTTATTTTGCGCCATTACAGATAATTCCTGTATTTTCAAATCAGACTTTCAAGTAAAATCTTGGACAACTGACACTTTGGCTATTACAGCAAATAAAGAATGATTCCCAACACAGCCTGAATTAACACTGATCTAAACTTTGAGAAAAAAGGACAAATAACCTTTGCAAAACATTAATATGCAATGATGGCTGTTACCTCTTGGATCGCTTGTTTCCAAGCACTTGTACGATCTGATCACTGTCTAGTAACAGGTCAACAGCCTAGGGAGATGTCAGAAAGATAAAGACGGATGAGCACACGCAGGGAGATTAAATAAAAACGAAACATTCCAGGCATTTCCATTTACCTTTGTAAAGGCTCCGGTTGGATCAGCCAGCATCCGCACCTGCAGAGGACAGCAGTGTTGAGCTTGATGTATCCTTAAATATGTGCAAGATCTTAAACTTATCTACTCATCAAGGGCACTTCACAGCCATGATTGAAGGAAGCAGAGGTCTTTGTAGGACTCAAAAGGACACACAAATAAAATATAGAATAATAGACTAACAATGAGAGTGTGACATTCAATCATCTGCTAGAATCACATTCTTTATAGACTGCATGAAATTCGTTACAACTTCTCAAGTACCTCTACTATACAAACAGCCTGTTCAACTTTAATAGTGACCAACAGATATCTGTTATCATCTACTTTTGTCTTTAAAAGCCTGGCAGTAATAGTCCTAAACTTTTAACCTTTGAGATAAGTGATAAAGTAAATACTATCCTCTTCTTCCTGGTGCAGGTCATCACCAAATTGGTTCTTTTTATATAGGATTATCTTTACCTTGCCATCCGCCCCGTGCTCCTTTCCCCAGGCGGCCATGACAAATGCATCGTTGACAGAAATGCATGCCACCTCCTGAACACCTTTACCCTTCAAGTCACCAGCCTGCTGCACAAAACCTGGAAGGTGAGTCTGAAATTGTCAAGAGAAATACAATGTCAGCTGATGCATAGATAAGCGCGATCTAGAAATGGCACACTCAGAGTTGAGAGAGTGGGCTCAACCTTGGAACATCCAGGGGTAAACGCTCCAGGCACAGCAAAGAGGACACCCTTCTTCCCCTTGAAGAGCTGATCCATAGCCACTTTATTTCCTGGCTCCCCTTCCTGGACCTCCACAGCAGGAAGGGGTTGACCAACCTGTTGGCAGTAAAAAAAAAAAAAAAAAAAAGACAGTTTAACCCATGCTCATTCTGTCAGCTGCAAACATACTTTTGTGAATGTGGTTGGAAAATCCCTTCATAATGCTTTGTGATTCATTCAAGGATGAAAAGAAAACACACAGACAAGCCACTACATAATAAACCAGATATTTTTGGATGTTTCCAGGCAGTAGATTGTTTATTGCTTTGTACATGATTTGTGCTGTTTGAAAGTGAACCGGGTCAGTGAATTTTAATGATTTTTATTTTAAGAATAGTGAATTTGTGTGATCTCTATAACTGGTATAGTGAATTATTCTTATGGCTCTTTTCTGCAGTACAGATAGTGATTGTATTGTGCATTTGTAAGTATTTCCCCAAACCTCTGCACAGTAGTGTAAATAGGGTAAAATCAGTGAACATAAACTCAGTGATGAGTGCTCTCATCATGTTTGCTACAGGATAAAATATGAGGAACACCTTTTCAACAGAACACACTCCAGTACACCATCATTAATAATGAGAATTAAGGGCAATGATCACTTGTCTGATCATGTCAGCCAGAACAATTACAAGCTTCCTGAAACAAGAGGAGTTTATAATGGTAATGGTAGGCCGGTGTAAACTAAAGATTAAAAATTGAATCATCATTCTCACTGTTGGCCACCAGAGGGTGACAAATTATTACATGCATGTGCGTGTCTCACGCTAAGATGGCCGAATGCCTAAATTTAAGCCTGACATTGACCGACATACAGTTGACACGCTTGAAATACAACCCTTTACACAAGCCCTTGACTGTACAGTAAACTCAATGTTATAAGTATAAATACGTTTACAAAAACACTGCTTGCACGTAACTGCAGCTGGGAAATGAGTTGCATAATGAGTAGGCGGTTGTCATATTATCCTCCAGAGTTAAAACTATCACTTTGTACAAACTAGTAAACTTAGGGGGAAGTTAACTTTGCAACTATGTCGACGTGTGAAGTAGAAATTCTCTCTTTTTTTCGGATGGCTCTGTTTTGAAAAAGTCACCGTATTAGGTACATTGCACAGCTGAACTCAGAGCGTTTGTATTGTGCTGCTTTCAAATGAACCTCAGCAGGTGTGAAGGACGCACCTCTAAAAGTACTGAGGGGACGAAAACGACCATAACAAACAAACAAAGGGGCTACCGCTCCACGCGCACGGCTGTCATGGCGACAGGGTTCAGGGGACCGTTAGCTTGTAGAGCTACACAAGAAGAGAGAGCTGAATAAAAGTGCACAGTCTGTAACACCAAGCCACAAACTCACTCCTGTCTGAATAAGCCATATAGCATACACAGCTAACGTTAGCTTCAGCGCACTTAAATCTCACCTGTATCGGCATTTTTGCGGCAGGAGAAGTGTGCAGCAGCCTCACGCACTGGACAGCACGGGTGCTCTTGATTAGAGTGGATGTGATGGAGAGCATTGTGGCGTATTCGGTTATGTGCTGCTGCGGTAGCGCTATAGGATAAGTGGCGTGATGCGTTTACGGTCTCAGACGCACCGCAACCTGCCCCGGCTAGTACTGCAACACTCCAACTTCCGACACTGTTCACCCCCAGCAAAGTCCTACAGAGAGTTTCAGTGTCGGGATTAAACCTAGCATCCAGAACTAGGCCTGCTAAATCTTTATTTGCTGCGCCATCTGCTACCAAAAAGCTGTATGTCCAATGTAATAGACTATCTGTCCATACATTTACTTTACCGAGAGACACAAGAGTCAACAAACTGGAAATAACTTTCCATGGTTCCTTTATTTGTCGCCATGAGTAAATATTAAATAATGGAAAGCTTAAAAAATGGTGGAAAGGACGTTTTAAAGTTAGCCTTGTCAGAAATGTAAACAAAATATTCAATTCCCCCTCTCTGCTGGTTCATTCATTGACAAGTTTACAGACTTAGCAGGACACAGAGGCAAAGAAAACTTTAAAAAACGGCGTAAATTTGAATGAATTTTGTAGCAAGTAGGGCCGTGGAATGATGTTTTAAAAATATATATATATATCTTTTTAACAGTCACCAGTGAAACTTTCAACAACCCCAGTTGCTCATATAGGGGAGAGTGGGGTAAGTTGAGCCAAAGGGTAAGTTGAGTCACCCCCTGTTTCTTGGAAATGGTGAAAGAAATTGATCATATGACCAAATATTTAGGAAATGGACATCAATTTATGGAGTCTGTGAAGGTTAGAAGCACATGAGTGAAGGGGTTAGACATTTATTTCCAAAAAAAAAAATTTTTCACTCTTGAAAGTGAATTTAGTCTGTCAAAAGTTTTATTTGAATTGTGTTCAGACCAAAAAAGATCATTTTAAATTCAATTGTGGTATCTATGAGCTACAACATGACATCAAAAACCAGGATAAAAGTCCACCATTTTAGCTTAAAGGACTAATAAAGTCATAATAGTAGTTCTGGGGTAAGTTGAGCCAGTGGCTCTACTGAAAAAGTAAAGGAGTCTGATGAGAGGATCAGAGTTTCAGTTCAGATTGTTGAAATGTGTTACTTTTTCTTTTCAAAAATACAGCTGTGAATGTTCTGAATCACTTAAAGACATTCTCATGTTAAAATGACTTTTTACAAAACAGCTTTTTAGCAGTTACATGCAATAATAATAAAAAGAATAATTGTACCAGTTGAATAGCGTATAATAGATAAAAATACAGATGAATGTGAAGAAGTGACTGTTATTTAGGGAGAGAGAAGGTGAGGGAGAGCTGGGGTGGAGAGAAGAGGGGTAGTAGGGATACGGTTCAACTTACCCCACTCCTTACCCCACTCCTATTAAAATCAGGACAGTTCAAGTTTTACAGAAAAATAAGGTCTTTTTACAACAAGAGGCACTCTATCACACCTGTGATAAGGTTGTGCTTTGTTGCCTGGATTTAATATTAACTGCTCATTGTTTGAAGGATGTGGATCAAGTCTCAGGCCTGCACCAGAATAAAAACATGCTGATATACATAACAAAAGTGCAGTATATCTTATATAGAGCCCACTGTTATAAATGCAAATAAAGTAACTTTTTTTGTCAAGATTTATGAGTGGTGTGGTGTTTTTTAAGTGAAGATTTCAGTTTACTTCTGAAAACTGCAATTAAATTTTTACCATGTCAAATATTTAATCACAGCCTTTTTAATGTAGTACTTATAATTTCCAAGACCCCGACTGAACACCATCATCCATATGTAGTTGAACTGAATACTGCATTTATGCAAGGTTTGTTGCAAAGCCTTTGCAGGACTATTATTATTTAAGAGTGTGTGATCATGTGATGTCGGCACCACATGATTTTAATTATAGAGTTGACCACAGTCCTTTTCACACTGGCTAAATACATATATACACACACATATATTCACATACATCTAAGACACAGGGAGAGATGAGGCCGATGTTATGTGGTGGTGGTGTGTCCATTTATTACACAACACAAAGCACCTACAATAATCCACTCCCTGTTGCGTCAGATAGTGGAATATCTCACTTTTTTCACAGTGATTTTATGTGGACATGTTTAGACAAAGACATCAAACTCTTGAATCTAAATGAAACAAAAAAAAGAGCCTACACACAGAAATTCACAGCCAATATCACACACAAAAATAAAGCAGTGTCAACGAACAACAGTAAATTGAGTAAAAAATAGAATTTAATCATTTAAATAGTCTTTCAAAATACAAACATTGATTTGAACTTCTAAATAATAGAACGTTTAGTACCTATTCTTCATCATAACTGGCAATGTTAAATGTACATCGTGGCTATACAAGGAAATGTGTGAGGTTTGGTAATTTATTGTATTGCTCATTTATATTAATGCGCACATATTTAATAAAACTACGAATGACTATATAATTTTAACAGTGACACTGCAAATGACCCTGCCTTTACCCTAACCCCTGTACCTAAAACATATTTGTATACTGAGGAGAAATCTAACTTTATCTTAATGACCAGGTAAGTATTTAGAGACTTGAACAGGTGATCCAGGCATCCATACTCTTTGTTTGCCTTAGACTTTGACAATGTAGGTTAGTAAGCACATCAGAGACCAAGATCTTTTTAGATGACATTAATATTTATGTTGTAACCATAAAAAAACAAGGTGAGTCAGAGATTTCAGTCCCTGCTCCACATTGCTTGCTGTAATAAAAAAAAACATCGGTGTAAATAGTTTGCGATGGAACTGCAGTAAAATGACCTCCAGTGTTTCTAGCTGCATCATTATTTCTGTAAAAACCAACAATTGTCAGATTGTCTCTCACTGTGAGACACTTTGTACCATGGGGCATCCTCTAAAACCTGATTTATGAGCCATAAACACATTAAAATGATGAAAACTACAAACAAAATCTCAGAAGTCAAAAACCTGCAAGACAATAACCCAATATTCTAATTGACAAATCAAAAGATCAATGATAACTTTAGTCTCCACAGTTTTTTGGCCGTCTGGCTTACTGTGCCTCTTGAGGTAGCCCTCTGTAACCTCATCATTCAGCTAAATCCGTGTCAAGTTAATTGATCCCTCAGTTGACAATCAGCTTCAGAAAACACATCAAGTCTCACATTAAAATAAAAACAATTAGTATCCACAATGTCCTGAATGGAAAGCTTCATTTTAATACCAAACCCACGACAGTGCCACAATGTAAATAAAAGACCCTTAAATCCTAGAAAGGAAAACGTATGAAAAAGCAAGTTTCAAGTCTTTACAATTTTTAGAACACTGTAAGCTGCACAAATGTAATTGAAATGGGGAATCTGTATCACATTTGCTGGCTTTATTATCTTTCACTACAAATTGCATGTTTCTGTTTATTTAAATGGAACTGTACATGGCTAAAAGTTTTATAGCTCAATGGCGACTACATCTTTTTATGGATCTGTCGGACATCAGATACTGTAGCTTTGCACTGCATTTGAAGCTCACTATATCAATCATTTCTATAGTAAGTATACAGACCTGCTGAAAAATGAGAACAACTGCCAGGATGTTTTTTAAAGAGCACTCTAACACCCAAAAGAAGGATGGTTCATACATGTCATGTCTTGTCCCGAGTCCACCACGGTACTTTCAAAATTAAAGGTTGACAGATGTACATAAACAAAGGACGGATCTCACATGAATCCAACTGAGATCTTTAATACAATATTCTACGAACTACTGCTGCAAAAAAAAATGCAGCAAAGTCTCATCACACAGCCATCAGTCATTCCGGTTAGCATCAGAAGTTATAGCCCACAAATAAGACAAGTCAGACCGTACCTTTTTACAGCTTTCTCAGTCGCTTTGGTGCATTTCTCACATCACTACTAACATTTGCATAACAGTTATTTTAACCTCCACAACAATTTTGTGAACATCATAGAAGCATCAATTGCTTTCAAATAAATCTCTGCTGTTTTATACCATTATCATCTGCTTCTGTCATCAGTCAAAATAAGCTGTACTTTTGAATGCTGAATAGTCATTTACTGTATTGTAGTGTACAGTGGTGTAACAGTAGAAATTTGCCATGTTTTCAGTATGTAACGTACTGCAGAATTTTACAAGTGGGAAACACTGTTATTGTACATTAAAGTAATGTAGGTTAACTCAGTATATCTCACGTTTACTGTACATTACTGTAATTTTACTCTGCACCACACAGGACTGCAGGACAACCTCACAGAGGTGGAAGAGAGTCCTTTCTTACTCCACAACAAGAGGAAGCCATTTGTGCAATAGTGATGGTAAACAATGCCGTAAGGTTGACAGAGTCACAAAGTGCTGCTATAGAGTTACTTCACTAAATACAGTTATGTGTGACTGTACTGTAGTTTTCAGACGGCTGTGCAGGTGTTGTACAGTGCTGTCACCAAGAACTTTTTTTTGCATTTGAAAACACTTAAAGAATTCATTGTCATAATGAAAACATCACATAGCCATTTGACGATCTTGTTCATAAACAATGGTGTCGGGACTTTTCATTTTGATGACACTGACACTTTCGACACTTTCATTGACATTAATACTTAATGAACTATCCATTTTGAGCAAGTGACACACTTTTGCAGGTTATTAACTATGTTCTGAAGTTTGAACTAATTGTTTTGAGAAATGCACTAACTTTTGTGCAAATGTTAACACTGATGTGTGAAATGCACCAGAGCGACTGAGAAAAGCTGTAAACAGCACAGCAGCTGAAGTCAAAAATAGTAGTAAAGTCTAAAGAAGGGGAATAGTATAAAAAAGCAGATGAGGCATATGCATTTCTTTCTAAGGACTGATGTTGCCACACTGGCTTTAATGTCAAAGAGTTGTAGTCTTCCCTGATCTCTGTGCAGCTCCTTGAGTTCGACTGCACACAAACACACACACGCTAACTTGTCAGGAAGCAAGTTTTTGCGTGTGTCAATTTACACACTACACTGGACTTACTTTCCAAGTGGAGAATATTTTGAGCACACAAATCAATTGCACAACCTTTTATAAAGAATCCTGCACCTGCTTTGTACACCAGTGGTTCCCAACTCCAGTGTTTCACCCTAAAGCTGATGGTACTTTTTACTCTAAATCTACTGGTCTGGCATGCTTGATCCAAACCTGTATCTACTGGGAACTAGAATACACAAAAAATCCACACTTCGGGGCCCTGAGAGTTGGGAACGACTAATATACACATACAACTAAATGTATCTCTGTTTTATCCACATTTTGAATGTGACAGACAATAATCGAGTTATTATATTGCTTTAACATATTGCAAGTAATTCCTATGGATTTGCCTACAACGGCACGCTAAACTATAGTAAATATAAGCCCTCCATGTGCATGTCAACATGACTCTTTGCTGGACCCTCAAGTCTTCCCCCGAATATGTTACTATGGCTTTTATGAGCAGATGTTGCATTAATTGAAAAAGTTCCAAAGCCATGTTGTCGCAGTCTGTTCTGGGGTACCTAAATGTCGCTCTTCAGCGTTGATGCAACTGCAGATTGGTGCTGTGGTGAAACACGTCAATAAAACAGTTGAAACCGAGCAGAGTTCTGGCGTTTCTGTTAGATGTTTGCCCTCTTGGAGCCTCTTACGGTAGTTTGGCAGTTACATCTTACTGTTAATAACCATTTCCCACTTAGGGACATGAATACATGAGGTTTTCTTTTCTCATATTATAGTTTAGTTTGTGTAGCCTATAAAAAAGGGAAAACAAAGTCATTTCCCTCATTGTCAATTCTATAATAAAATCTTCCATGTCTCACAAACCACTCATCAAGTCTAGATCTCTGTTGGGTCTTTCCCCCACTGCATCCTCGTCTGATTCAGCTGCTTCCTGCTCTAGGGAGAGTCCATCATGGCTTCCAGCATCTCCAGGAATAGTTTGTGCATGGGTACACCACCACGGGTCTTGATGCTGTAGAAAGTGGTTAAAGCCCGACCAGCAGTCTGTCTGAGGAGAGGCAATGTTAAAAGGAGGCGTCCTGCCCGCTGGGGGTCGTCTGGGCGCCGCTGACATTCCAGCTCCAGCAGGGCCTGATGGAGGAGGTCCCGCAGCTTCTGCACAGCCTCCATGTCCTCGATGTAAACAGAGTCTGACAGAACAACAGGGAGCACATAGTGAGGAACTCAGTGGTTTAAAAAATTTCGGCTTTTAGACCAGTAAATAAAGCACAGCCTGTTGAAAACATACGACAGCCTCTGTGTGCAGGGAAAGAGAGCAGCAGATCTGTGACAGGATATACTGAGGGAGGTCTTCACTGAGTCTTTACAGGATGCTTAAAAAAAGAGACTATGACTGAGAAAGTCACACTATACAACTATTATACACTCTCTGTGTCTCTGCACCGGCAGCTCAGCCCATAAAAGACCAGAAGATAACAATAGATATAAAAACCAGGGCTGTCAGAGTTAATACCTTCAGAACGCTTCAACTCATTGAACACTCAATGTGACCCTTTGTAAATACGAAAGCAGTGCAGCAGTAACATGGAGAGAAAGCAAAAACACAACACAATTACAGACCTGGCTTTCATAGCTCTCATGACATAACAATATGTCTTGAGTTGATGCATGTCTGTTAAATCGAATCACGAATGAACAAACGTGTAAATTGTCCACCAGTGTTTTTGGATACAATTTAATTCCCAAACTACAGAGAAAAAGACTTATGGTGGTCAGTTGTTTGCTCACGGTGTGTTCAGATGTCGGTAAAGAGAGATTTCACATTTTGGTGTGACTTGAAGAATGAAGTTTTTTGGAGAATATATTTGTTTTCCTAGCAGTAGAAAACCAATATTACATGTGGAATTAGGACTGGATTAACTTGCAAACAAGAGCTCCTAATGCTCATCAAATAAGATGATCAAAACTTCCAATGCCAAGGTTTTCAGAGCAAATATTCAAATTTACAAAAAGGTACAAAGAAAGCTTTTTTTTCCCACTCCCATGTTCATTAGAGTGATAAAAACATGAAAAAGGGGCACTTCTGGCCTAGTGGTCCATGCATGCCCCATATACACAGGTTATGCCTCAAACGGTTGGCCCAGGTTCAATTCTGGCCAGTGGCTCCTGTCCCAGATGTCACTCTCCGCTCTCTCTCCCTGTGTCCTGCTCTGGCCTCTGTCCTGTACTCTCCAAATGAAGGCAATAAAAGCCCAGAAATGTTACCCTTTTTTTAAAAGTATCCCTAGAGGGTACGATCAGACTAAATTAAAAACACTTAAATTAAGGAAGAATTAAAAAAATGTTTGAGAGCCCTCATAAATGTTTTGTTTTATATCATAGTAGCACTCACTGCACCTATCACTTTCCATCTTGCCGTCCTGTTGTCCCAGACCTTCTGCTGCAGACATGCACATAATCTCATCAGGCTCAAAAGCTGCACAATTGACATTAGCTGCACCCATTCCATCTAATCCACTGTTGTCGCTACATTTAGCAGACAGATGAAGACAGGTTAAATTAATTAACCAGCTACTTACGTTTAGAAGGACACACTGACCCACATCACTACATCACACTTGGATAAGGAAACGAATCACAGCAATGACAGGGTTTAGAATGTAAAATCAGAGTGTCACGATCGTGAAGAAAGGGGTGAGGAACAGGTAGAGAAGTACGTTTTGTACAAGCAACTTAATCACAAGTAAGCTAAGACAGACAGCCTGCTGCTTTGAGTCTTTCTGAACATAGTTTTTGGTGGACAGTAGAAATATTCAGACTAATACTGTGGTGGAATTCCCAATGCAGTAATGACTGTAAGCCTGATATTATTTATTATAAGTATGTTAGGACTTCTTCTGGTGTTTGTAGGAGCAACCTTAATCTTTGCTGGTATGAGAGGCCACGTCAGAAAAGGCTGCAGAAAGTTCAATAAAACACTAATGAACATGTTCTACGGAGAGAGAAACTAACAGTGTTTTATCACTGTGCACAGCTCAATACCTTCAGGCTGGTGCTAGTTCTATGACGTGCACTTTAACAGTTTCTAGGACTGCTTAACCGTTCAATTACAGAAGTATAAGTACCTGAGTTTGTGAGTGCGATGGCTTTTAACATGACAAATTCCTCCCGGTCCACGTTAAGTGCGCGGAAGCGGCGAGCAAGTTGACTAATTGCTGCGTTTAGCTCTGTCAGTCCAGCAACACGTGACATCTCCTCATCAAGGACAAAATCCTCTGCGAACACCACCTCATCCTCGCAGCCGAGCGAGCGGTACGCTACGCCCAGGACCAGCACCTCCAGCCAGACCGACTGCAGCACAGACATCTGGTCTGCCAGGGACAGCGACAGGAAGCCTGCAGGGGATACACACACACACAGACAAGTCAATGCAAAGGGGCCATACTGGCAATATGTTCAGACTGTTACTATCAACTGACTCATCAGCCACTCATTTCTCCTATTTGGCAGAATAAAACAGCAAGTGACTCAGCCTGTAAGAGAGTTCAGCACTGCATTAGCTCACTAATACATAAATCTCATTTATCCTGACCGTGTTTTTTGACCTTGTTGTGCCTGTTAATTACGCTGATTAGGCTGACCAAAGCAATTTATTACAGTCAGTATTGTACTTCCCGGAAAAAAAAAACAAAAACACCCAGATGCCATAAGAGAGCCTGAAGAAAACATGACACAGCAAGTTAGGGATGAGGCTATACATCTCCTGCGTGGCTGCCATGCTTTCACTGCCTCTCCTCCCTCGTTTGTCCTCTCTTCATCTCTTACCAGGAATGTGTTTGGCCCAGCCAATGATGACGACCAGCTCACGGTCAGCAAGGTCACACAAGGTGGTGAGTGTGCGCTGAGCTGTGTCGGGCTGCAGAGGGTCAGGCATGGCGAATAACTTCTCTGGCTCTGCCACTAGGAGGTGGGACACAATGATGTTGGAGGAACCTGGAACACAAAACAACGGATTTATATGACCCACCAAGAGAAAACTTTTATGAGCATATGGAGAAGCAAATGTAACCTGTGTCAAACAAACTAAATGATTTACAATGCTGTATATTGTTATGTATTGGTTGTTGTATGTTCAAAATGCTGCATTACCTTCATATTGCTAGTTTCAATATCTCAAATTCAGATGTAGGTTACATTTCGCAAACTGACTTCTTATTGAAAAATCTGTGTGCTTACTTTTCAGGCAAACCTAAGAGATTTTTTTTACAAAACTTGTGTAACCTTTCAGTCAAATGTCTTCTGAATTAAGAAACTGTGTCAACAGTATTCAGTATTTCTGACTGGGAAGGTCAGGCTGTATCCTACACAACCAGTAGAGGGTGCTGTTGATTAACTGTGAAGAATGTGTAAGCGTTTTGCTACTCACTCTGGTAAGCTACTATTAAACACAACCAGCATGTTCGACATTTCCTGGAGGGACACTCCGGGCATCTTCATTTTAAGAGTAAAAAGGTTCAGCTTACAAGCTTGTGAACTCTCTGTCTCTACCTCTGAATCTGAGAAGCACAGGGGGCTTCGACCAACCGCAGCCTAGATTTGTTGTTTACCATCTGGGATAAACAACTGATAACATGTAGACAAGCAGCAGAAAGATTGAAAAAAAAAAAGAAAGAAAATACTTGTTGACAGACAGTGATGACGGTCAAAATAGCGCATACAGATATACAGCGTCATGTACGGGTTGTTTGTTCCTGTACAGTTTGTAACAATAACATGGGGCAACAGCCAGTTTTATAGTTACTCAGCTACTTTTATCTCTTATAGTTTTAGAAAATGTTGCCTGTTGTAGGATGAAAGACAAAGTGATATAACAAGAACATGAATCGACCTTTTTCACTCTCCTTCGTGAGTGGTAGAGGGGCACTCTGGTATGTTGCATTCTCCACTTCTGGACGCCTTTTGTATTTCTGCCTTCCACCTCGGACCCTGTCAAGGCGAACTCCTGCGAAAATTAAATAATTACTGTAAATACAATTGAAAACAAACGTCATGACTTTATCTAAGGCCCAATTTCCCGTTGTTTATAACACCGTAGAGCTTCTTCACATCATGAACACACTCACCCTCTTTCAGCATGCCTACTTTGAGGCACTTGGTGAAGCGGCATGCCTGACAAGCCTTTCTGCGCCTTTTGGTGATCTCGCACTCATTGGATGCTGGGCAGCTGTATTCAATGTTACCTTAATAGAACAAAAGAAAACATTCTCATCAGTCCTGCTAACAATGACATGATAAACTATACGTGTGAAAGGAATACAAAGTCATGAAAGAAACAGGTTTTTGTTAGTGTTATTCATTCTCAGCAGCACACACACAGGTGTTCATATTTTTAACAGAGCAGTAGAAAACCGAAAGGATGGTTGTAGAGACAGTAAAACAGGAGCATGTTAAACAATAAAGCCATAACTAAAGAATAAAGGTCACTGAGTCAGACTTTTTCTCCACCATGCCCCGCACTGTTCCTGACTGAAAAGTCATACTTCAACTAACATCTAGATCAGTGGTTCTCAAGTCCAGTCCTCGAGGCCCACTGTCCTGCATGTTTTGGATATTTCCCTGCTCCAACACACCTGATTCAAATCATCAGCTCGTTATCAAGCTCTGAAATGGCTTAATAACGAGCTGATCATTTGAATCAGGTGTGTTGGAGCAGGGAAACATCCAAAACATGCAGGACAGTGGGCCTCGAGGACTGGACTTGAGAACCACTGATCGAGATTAAACCTGAAAAGGACCGTCTTTCCTCAAACTTGAAAAAAGCAATCACTTCACTGTAAGTTGTTACAGGCCACGGTTATGAATATAAATCTAATTTATTCATGTCACCTTGCTGAGAGCATCACTACAGTGAAGAGAACCTATGATGGCCCTTGTTTGGTGATATTTATCCTGTTGCTAGATTCTGGCCAATACACTATCACAGAGAAAAATGGCTGTATGTTGGCAATTTCCCATTTTCTTTCTCTGACTGTGCTGTTCCACAGAAGACAGTGTCACACAAAACACCTGATATTCAACAAAAGCCCATAAAAGGCAACATCAGGTTGTGACTTGAAGGTGTGGTTTAGGGAAAGTATCAGAAGAAAACCATTGTTCCCTACTGCTACTGTTTAAATGCTGAAACTTCATCACTGCACCCACCTTGGATGGTTCTCTTGAAGAAAGCTTTGCAGGCCTCGCATGAAGCCACACCATAGTGATAACCTGACGCCACATCTCCACATACTAAGCACAGCCTCTTGGGTAGTGTGCTCAGGGCGTACTTGCACCGCCCTGCTCCGTTTCCGGTGGAGCCCTCCTCTGCCCCGTCTCCGCCTTCGTCTTTGAAGTGGCAGCGCAGAGCGGGCGTGTAGAGCGGCGGCGAGTAACGTTTAACGCTGTCCCCTCTGGTTCCTCCACCTCCACTTTGAGAAGAGTCTGAAGAGGCCCCGCCTGGGCTGGTCCGACCTCCCCCGCCTCCCTCTGGACTGCTGGGTTCAGCCTTTATGTAGACATCTGACCGGCGCTCCCTGGAAGACATGATGTCTAGAGGGGAAAAAATAAACAACAAAGAAAGGTCGAGGTAAATACAGGCGTACAACCTTTTACCTACTTCTTTGTATTTGAAACTACCCTTTTCCACCTCATGATAAGAAGGAGACAAACAAAACATGAGGTACAAACCTAATAAGGAAGGTTTTAAAAGAGATTGGATTTTTTTTAGACTGTTCATTCTCTGGAGATTTCATCCTCTATATGAATATCTAACAAAGTACAAAGATACATTTACAAACTCAAAACCACTCTAGTTATCCTGTGTCCGATTTGTTTTCCCTTACAGCATTTATGTAATCTTAGGGAAAAAATAATATATGGAGCAGTGGACACTGGCAATAAATGTACCTTTTTGGAGTGGTGAAAGTATGAGTAATATTATCAAGTATGAGATCTGCTCAGAGACCCAGATTAACTCATGCACTAACCAAAGCACGCTTCCATTCATGTAAACTAAAACGTTTAGCAACAGATAGCTTATTACTAAATGCACTTTCCTGGTAATTATGTAAATAAATACTAAAATAATTATTCAAAACGACAAGACAGGGTGAGCAAGTGCAACAGATACTCAATCATGGACCACAGGATCCTGTCCCTGCCTATGATGGTGTCCCTAACCCTTTATGCCAAACACCATACTGATTATTGCTGTTTGCACCTATGTGTGAGGTTGTCCAGCGTGTGGGATGGTTTGAAAGCAAACATGTAAATGTAACTGAACTAGCTGCATGAAGCAAACAGGGACATTTTCTCATTTTACCATGCTGATAACTGAAGAAGTTTGTACTTCACTCTGTTGGAAACCTAGACTTCAAATGATTTGCTACCATAACAAAATATGTTTTGTGTTAAATTCTTCTCAGCTATGTGTTTAATTTACCAAACCAGAACCTTTCACTCCTGAAATAAAACTCTGCAGCCCTCAGACCATCCCTGCAGTGTGTCGCCTTTGTCTTTGACTTTCTGGACATTAAAATAGCCAAGGTGAGTGGATGAAGGTCGCTATGCTTGTGAAAAGACCAGACACATAACTTATGTTCAAGTATGGCAGCAAGAACACCGCAGCAACCTGAGTGTCTGTAGCACTCAGAGTAATTGCACAAGCAGACATGAAAAATATGTCACTTATGGGGATTGAATTAAACGTAATTTCCTGGTTATACAAACACAATACAGCTATGGCTCCACAATTTCTGTATATTTTAACAAACTTAATATGTCTAATTGTTATGACTATGAGTATGTATGAGTTCATACTTTGATTTTCTAACAACTCTTTAGATGGCAGTAACTAATAAACAAAAGATTACAACACTTCAGGGGAAAGTTTTTAGACAGCCAATTTCTCATTGTCTCACACATTTCTCATTATGTCCATCTTTAAGCATTTACACATTCTTCCTTTGTTTCATTTACTTCCACAATAACGACAAAAAATCTCCAGTCACATAAGTATTTCAAAAAATCCACACTTCCTTCTTAGACACCAACTGTTCTTTAAATTACACTGTCTACATGGCTATATTTTTATCTATTTTAAAAATCAATCTGCAACAAAGTCGATACAGACCTGTGACAAGATGAAAGCAGTAAGACAACTAAGAGAAAAGACTGATTCTTTAAGTTAAGAGTTTATCTGAATGCAAATCTGAAAGTGTAACGTAAATGGTTAGATAACTCCAGATTGATTGGTTTCATGCTTTTAAGAGCCCGCTCAGTTTCCAGTAACTTAGTTCTCATTTCATCCATTATTAATATAATGGATATCCTAAAAGCAGCCTGATATCTCTGACACATAATGTATCAAATGTGCACCACAGGTGACCACTACCCTGTTCAGCTAATGGTGATAACTAATTCACAATGCAGGTGCAACACTGCTGTAATTACACCTCTACAAGGAGAGTCATTAAATTTACTGCGCACCCAAATATGGAGCGATGCTGCTTTAACTTTATGAAACTGACTTATGGTACTGACAAGAATAATGACAATAAATGCTTATGTAAATGGACTTGATTATTTGTGCTGCAGGGATTAAAACCTGGTTGAAAAAGGATAAGACAGGTATGTGAATCATAGTGTGTTTTCGAGTCATCACTGGACACATGAAGAGCCTCACTCCTGTCTTTACTCTGTAGGTGACAGTGTGGAGACAATAAGATAGGATCCATGCAGCCTAAATTCTCTTTATCCAGTTAAGACCTGAGAGTGGCTGGTGATTTCTTCATGAGGTTATTCAAGCAAATCAACTGTCTGTTAGTACCAATTCATAGTTTTGTCCTTTTGTATATCTACTGTCAGATAACCAAGTTTTCACCAGCATATTTAGATTTTGTAGCAATAATCAAAAACTGTTGCTCGTGATTGGTTCAACTCCTTGATCTTCTTCTTGATCAGCCTACGATACCAACAATAAATGCACACAGATGTAACAGCTTTTTTTAAAGGATTTGTCAGCATTCAAACTACAAACCATTTGCTCTCATTAATGGAAATGTGCATACTTAATGTAGTGTTATGACCCAAACTATAACTATGTATATTTTTTATAGGATAACAATTACTATAGACTGTATTGAATTTAGGATACGATAGTAACACATTGGAAGAGTTGTTACTTTTTTCAACACAGTGACTTGAAAATATCTCTCCCAGTCTGTATGTTTACAGCATAAAATCAATAAGAGCTCCGTCCTCACCTGCAGTGTGTGCTGGTTATCAATGCCAGTGTAGGACAGGAAGAACATATGATGTAGTACTTATTATAGACATGTTTAAGTCACAGGGCTCTGCTGAAAACTTTGAATTTAGTGCATTAACTTCACCTACTGAACTTGATGTCATAAACACACAGTTTCCCTACTAATATATCTGGATACTCATTAAGTTAATTGGTGCTTTCTAACACTCCAATTAAATTCTCCCTCTGTCATTTTTTGACAGTCCAAGTACATGGAAAAAAGTGGATTTTAAGTGAACAAAGCTGTTTAATATTTTGAATATGTAGTGAAACGAAAGAGATGAATCGAGACTGTGTTGAAACTGATGCTCTGGTGGAGACTGAGTCAGTTCCTGCTATCACAGTGTACATGCTCTACAAGAAGAGCACAATGCAATCTGTAATAATAGGAAGTATGCCTTTGAGATAAAGACTGTTTCATCTGCTGTTCAGGCATTACACAGTAACCTGATATTACAAAATAAGTGAACCTTTATCACATTTACTGCTCCAGTAGATAATGCACTTCTATAGAAACAGGCAGTCCACACTTTCTTTGGAGTTTGCCCCCTCTGGACCTGATTATAGGACTGTTTGGTAAGCAGCAAAGAGGGGTCACAGCAAACCAAGTCTGTTTAAAGTTTGACTGAGTTTACATACCCAGTAAATGGATCATCAGGACTACAAAATGAGCCCAGATAACATCAGAAATGATCCAGTTTTGTGACTCAGACAAGTATCCATGTAGCATGTGCACCGCTGGCCACTTCCACATCTGCTTCAGCAAATGAGGAACATCGCTTTAAGTAAAGACAGTAATACCTCAACCCATATAATAAGTATTTATTTGACATAAGAAGGTCAAAGTCTGCTGATTTGCTGTAGAGTTCGTCTTACATGCCTTGTTTTATGTATAACTCGCCTTTGAAGCTTGTCGTGTGTACTGTAAACTGAGCATGTTTTGAGTAGCGTTAGCATTAGCCTGAAACAGCTAACACATTAGGATAACTGCAGGTTAGCTCCCCTATGCTAACTAAGCTAGCAGTGGTAGCTGGCGTTAATCCTGACTGACCAGCTCTCCCCTCCTCTCCTCTACTCTAGCCCGGGTTTATTTTCGTCTCTTTAACCCGGACTAGGCTGCATCTTACCTGATAGCGGCGACTACTACAGCACTTAAGCCTCCTGACGGTGTGATATCATGGCACAGGTTTGACTCAGAATCGCTCTCCAGACTGCCAGCGGCTGCTAGCTCGTGTGAGGTTTGGATGTGTGTGTATGTGTGTGTTCCTGTGTGTGTATGTGTGGAGGGGAGGGGGAAACAATCGGCTTTCTCTAACAGCTGGTTGATGATTACGGATGGCTGTACTGTAGCTACAACACATTGGTTCAAGGAGCACTGGCAAAAATCTTTAATATCTGTTTCCATATTTTAAAACTGCTAAATCAATGTTTTTCAAGCTTCTTTAAATGTCTTTTACTGACTTTGCACTGAGAAATGTAGAGTTCAGCGAAAACACTCACATGATGGGAAGAAATTGCAAAAGATTGAGGGTTAAAATTGCAGCTGTAGTTTTTTTCTTGATATATTTTCTTCACTATATAATTTGTTGTTTTTTTACTTGTACTGGCTACCTATATTTTTGATTTTTAACTGAAAATATGGAGGCCCCGAGGGGAAAAGCAGCCATACATTTTAATTAATAAGCAATTTTTCTCTCATCTCATCTATGTTGTTATTTATTTATTTTTTTTAATAATACAGTTTTACCCATTAAAACGGATATGTTTATGTAATTATGTTGAGAAAACAAAGCAGATTTTTCCAGTGTTACAAGGTTATCTAGAAAACAAGACAACAGGTTGGTCACTCTGACAGACCAGACCACAACATGCCACGCTGACTTTGCCCAAACTAATTAGATAAGTTAAGCTTACTTCTATGTTTATTTGGTGCTTTTGCAGCTCTGGGGTACTTACAAGCACCTGACATAAAGATGAGATCTCAAGAAGACAATCAGATGTTCATCATTATCACTGAAAAACTGAAAAAATTGCATGTCTGCTTAACTTGTCTATAACAGCGCTTTTTACACTTCTTTTTAAAACTACTATACAAGTTTATTTTTTGTTACTATTAAGTAGTAGTCTGGCAAGGTCAGGAAGGAGCGTCCTATCAGTGTATTGGAGTCTAAAGTCCAGCCAGCAGGAATACAACAGATTTTCAAAGGTGACTAATATTTTTACTGGGGAGTGGTGCTATTAGAATAAATAATGCACAGAGCAAATGAGAACACATGAGGCATCTGCAGGTTTTTCGATTCCAAATGACATTAAGTGCTGCAGAAAGCTTTTATTCTCCCCAACCGGATCACTGCACAAAGCATCCTAAAAACAAAGATCTTCAGAGTTCAACATCGGGCTGATCCCTTGATTGTTCTTGGTCATTTCTTTGTCCTAACACAGGATTATAGATGCCCTCCCGTTGATTTATACTGCAATCCTCCCTCCTCTCCATACACTATTTGTCCTTCATTCATCCCCTCAGGGTTTTGCAGGACTTTCACAACACATTTCAACCCACAGCTCATCCTATGCTTGGTTAACTGTAAAGACATGATGCACACTATGCTATCACTGACCATTTTCAATATTTTGGATGGCAAATAAAACTCTTCAAAAAAAAACCTTCTTTCTATACTGCAATTGTCATTTAACATTCCCTTTGTGTCTATGGGTATTTGATGGGAATCAACCAAACATGAGAGATACCACACATATAATAAACCAAATTACAAAAGATGCATCAATACATAAAATTTCAGAAGTAGAAGTATACATGATGTAATCAGATTACCTGTCTGCTGAGCTGGGGGGTAAAGTCTATGTGTCTGTGACTCCTGGTCGTGGCTCACTGTAGTGCTACTGTTTTTGGATTTGGTCTGCAGCTCTCAGGACACCTGCAAAGTAAGCAAAGGTTTTTGAGTGCCATCACATAACTTACAGCCAAGTCACTTTTCGTGTTCCCACCTGCCATTTGTCATTTTAACGGTCACATATCCATGGTCCAGTCTAATTATACCCTCTGAAGTCTGAGGAGCAGTCCTACACATTGGTCTATTAGCCGTGCCAAACTTCAAAGATTCCAAAGAAAGCCTCTATACAAGCAATAGCTTTGTTTCCCCTGTTGTCAGTCATGTTTTTAATCAAAACACTGACTTTTTCTTCCTGCAATACATATTCCACTGTATCTACCCAGATTTGTGCTTGCTGCAAGAGTACCCTCCCCCTTACGCTGCGTGACAGACTCCAAAGGTCACAGTAACAGGAATGCTTGAAGGACAGGCAGAGTAAAGCCAACACCTTGTCTCTCACTCATGCAAAGTCATAAGCTGAAGTTTGGAGATAACTCCCTGTAAATAATTAAAGACCAGACTCCTATTAATAAACATTATTAAATACAGCACTACTTGAAACATCTTTGACTTCCTTGTCAAGGTAAAGTATTACTATATTTGGACACCATTAAAACTCCAATTATGCCTCATATGACAACTTTTTTATGAGCTACAAGATTTGAATATGATGCAACAACTTACCCATGTGGGTTTTAAACTGATCAAAACTAATAATTCAATAGTTTTAAAGTTAAAGCTGGACAAAAGCTGGAAGATGTCATGTTAAGTAGACACTTGGCCAAAGAAAAAACTGCCTTATTATGTCTCAAAATATGTTTTCCCATATATGAAAAGGTTAAATAGCAGAGCACGTCTCTTTTCCTTTACTGTTTCTTAAACATGATGGTCTTGATAGTTCTGTTAGGGGTCATCGGCAGTCTTTGTCACTCATTATGCATCGCACTAGTAGTCCATAAAACTCAGTTTGAGGGTTTTAAACGCGGCGCACTGTGGAGACAGCGAGAACAGCACCCAGGGGTGACCTTGCCTACTGATCTCGGACCGGTGAAAGGTTAATTGCCATAGTGGATTATACCTTAAGATCGGTGACCTCAATCCTGGCCCAGCATGCTCGGTGACATGCAGAGTTCAGTGTGTTAAGATGAGAAAGAAAGTAACTTTAGGGTTAAAATGCGTATTGTTTAAAAAAAACTGCAGCCCAAGTGTGTACAGTTGGAGAAGTGCTGGGTATCATTTGTGCATGCAGGATTCGCCTTTTAAGTGAGGGGGACATGCTGTGAGCCATACGAGGACATTATTATCCACTGCAGCGTACTCAAGCATGGCTCCGCATTCTTAATGAAGCCGATAAGTGACCATGCATACTGTTTATTGAGACATTTTCAGGATGGTCATCGATAAATAGAGCTCATCTTTCAACATGAAGTGAAGGCTGCGAGCTTTTATTTACGTTTGAGTCATTCAGATGATTAGTAATGAGAGGGTTAACCGGGATAGAAAGCTGGAACTGCAAATTATTACACAATGTAATTAATATTTATCCAGCGGCTCGTGCCCCCTGCCCTCAATAACGTGGCCACGCGAACTTAGATCTGCCTGGAGAATTGAGCATGCACATAGCAACCATTAAAAGAGCTGACATCTGGAACATTTTTCAACAATAGAGTAAAATAATCACCCCTAAACCAACCAAACATACCGTGTGCTCGGTATCTGTAGTAATGCTTGAGTGAGGCTACTTACTGGGAGATGTAAAAACATCGCAGGTTGTTTTTTTTAATCTGAAGTCAGTCAAGTCTTTGCGGCTGCCAAGTCCACTGTCGGTATGACCGGTTAAACGGCGCTGTCCAAGCCTCGCTCGGGTTGGTTTCTCTCATCTCATCGCTCCGTTACCGTGTATTAAGGCGTTATCAACAACCACCGACACACTGTCGTATCCTCCTGTTCCCGTCGGTACCCTGGTGTTATAAATTTTCGTCTTCAGCTGCCACAACCGAGGTTGTGGTTGAATTTCAGCTACAAGGTTGCGAGACAGAATTCAGAATATCCGGTTTGAAATTTCACAATAAAAGTCACTCAATTTCATGTCTCTAGCGCCGGAGAACGAGTCAAAGTGAGTCAACGAGCGGCGTATTCTAAGACGGTTGCGTTTTTTTCTGTTGAATAAATTCTAAAAATATCCCAATAAAATCACATAAATGCTTTTATGACTGTAGTGACGACGATTTGCTGTTCAATTTTTCAATATTGAACGCATAAACTTCCGGTTCTTGCCTCCCGTTCCCGTTAGCTTGACGCAGCTCTGTGACGTCCCCCCTGTCCCGTGCCTTGTCTCCTCCCTCTGTCCAATTTGCGTCCGCCGAGTCTCCGTTACGTCCGTACGCACCTCCAACCCGCGTCATCAGCATTATAATAAGAGCCTGCAACTCGTGAATAAAAAAAAGAAATGACCCAGTAATCCAAATGTGGTCTAGGTTTATTATTTGAATGCGCTGTGTGAAGATAATCTTAATTCCAGATTAACTGTCAACAAATCAATTGTTTGAGCAGGACAAAATCTGAAGATATTTAATGATACATTATTTTAAAAAATCACAAGAAGGACTTGAACACTATTGTAAACGTAGAGTAAGTTAACTGAGACTAAATTAACATTAATCTCCCTTAGTGTGTTGTTTTAGGGTCTTATTTATTATTAGATTTAATGTAAGAATTGTGCTTATATGCATATTATTCTCTCTTTATCCCAGTTATACAAGCTCTGAAGGACTGCGCAAGAGTGAATGAAAAGCCGCATGTCCCCTGCTGCACACCTCTATGGAAAATGTAGTCATGCTGTCGGTCTTGTGACACTAACCCAGCTCACTCCAGCTCTACACTATTTGGACATGAGCCAAGGAAGAGGAGCTCTTGAGCTCACTGCAACCAACGGGATGGGAAAAGGAAATAGTTTAGGGTGAAACTAGCTGTATAAGCTTGATAGCTGTTGCAGGCCGAACAAAATTACTAACACGTCTTAAATAGCCTGTCTTTTGGAGCCTATACCTGCACTGATGATATTAAAAATGATTTTTTTAGTGGAACTTTGTAGCTGCTGCTGCTTCTCGAAATAGGCTGCCCCTGCACTCCCCTACATGCCTGCTAACAGCTGGCACAGATAGGAGACAAGTTGTCACAGCGGAGTTGGACTTATTGTCTTTGATTAGAAAAAAAAAGAAAGAATATTAAAGTGGAGGGTGGATGAGACGGTTTGGATAAGTGAGTGTTTCCCCTGAGATCCCGGCATTATCTGACTGTAATTATAGACCAATAAACCTCAGTCTAGTCTGTTTAAACCAATAAGCGCTAAAGCCACACTTGTATTCCCTGTGCGGTGACAGTATCGTGCTGTGGGCAGCTCTGTGTGTGCGTCTGGATGTGGTCACGTGCGTGTAGCGGGCTCGGGGCTCGGGACAGGGTTTGTGGCGCGCGCATGAGAGGAAAAACTGACGGCAGTGTCATTGTGACCTTGAAGCAAGGTTATAGAGTCTGTGCTGCAGACACTGCAATTCTGCGGAGCTGCATCACACTGCTGCAGAGAGTGCACGATACCATCCTGTCAGAGGCGATCTGCTCATGCTATTTTCATTATAATTGGATTGGTTACACGCAGTTTACAGAATTACTGCTTCACTGTAATATAAGTACGGCTGCCCCGCACATGACAGGCTTTATGCGCCCAGGGTTTGTGTTCAGGCTGTGGTTGAGGAGTATAAACATATTGTGGATGCCAGCTGGGGTCCCCAGGGTGCTCCTTATACAGCAGGTCGTGACCTCGGACAGGTGTCAGCAGAGTGGTTACACGAATACAAACCATTGTGTCGTTTGTACACGAATAGCACTTGGTACTGCATCAGTGAGTCATAGACAACCCATCAGATAGAGAGCAGCTCCAGTTGTACTCACACCTTGATCAGGATGCCATTAGACCATTCCTTGAAAAAAAATTAAAATAAATAAATAAAATAAAGTACATTTTAATCTTAAATACAAGACTTTAAGATTTGCTATGCTGTATTTACTTTTATTTGCTTTGTTTTTGCATATTTTCTAGTGTGGCAAAATAAAAGCTACAGTAATGTATTGCTTTTACACATGCACCAAATATTATACAGCCCTCTTAACAAATTCGACTCACTGCCTCACAACTTTATGACTCCTCAGTATTGACAATGACATAAATCCTGAGCTTTGCCTAAATTGGGGCAATTTTAATCTTTACGTGATCTAATATCATGTGTCACTCTTATTGTTGTGTGGTTTAACAGTTATTGCAGGACTGTATGCCGTGGGCCTTACTGGGTGGTGCAGCATTATTATTTACCCGACACTTCCCATCCCCCCCTACTGCTACCACTGTTTTCAATCTATTTGGTTCATTGCTTGTGTTGCCCTGTATTGCCTGTGTTAAAATGTCAGAAATAAAAACAAATAGAACATAAAGGTAACAACAGAAAGATTATTTGTTCCAATGTTTCCAAAAGCAAAAGAAGTGTGACCATGCATATTTTATTTTCAACCAACTTATCGACACATTCATTTGTACATTAAATGTCTCAGTCCTGTATGGAAGGTGAATATATTATCAGAAAACGAATACATCACTTGCAAAATACAATTAAAAAACCAAAAGCATCACTGTGTCTTCAGAAACTTTTGAAGTTTAATTTAATTATTCTAAAAAGGATCATAAAACACCTTAAAACTTACTTTCTATAAAGGCCTAAGTAAAAAAAAAGTTGCATTTATCACTATCTTTCTGGTTTTTTTTATAATGATAGTAGCATGTATAGCACTGGTTAAAGTGTTGAGTAAAAGGCTAAAGGCAGATTGAATTTGATTGTGCTTCCACAGTCAGCATGGAGGTCAGCTGCTCACAGCTGAATAATCAAGAGTTTGATGTATGAACTGACAGGTGTCAAGTGTAAATAATGACAGGTAATAAACTCAAGGGATAATGTTATTTCCAGTAAAGGCTAAATGACTGTGTTGTTACTTTTCATATGTTCTTTGTGGGGTTTTTTATTCAGTAATTATAAGATGAAAGGAAAGAAAATCTCCTTAAACAGGAGTGTGCTACATAATAAGGAATGTCCGCTCTAAGGCTTGTATCTCAAAATGCAGACCCTTCTTCCCGGAAATCAGAGAACAACATTTTTTCCCCTGAGGTTACTCTGAAATAGCTCACTACATGTGCATACAAAGGTTTTGTTCAAGACATCTCATGAGAATAAAGTACCCATTTGTTGATTAAAATGTCCAAATCATGCTGCAGCTGCAGAACTGTTGAGATAATATAGTGGGCATTCTGTGTCTTTTCTCCAGCATAATACTAAAGGAGAACCTTGTATGGCACAAACAGTATAAATAACATCCGTTTCTAATTTATGGTGTGTGCCTCTTATCTCTAGGTCAGTAGTGTAGCCTATATCAAGGGGACCAACAGTATCCTCCACTCGCCCTCTTGTGGCAGATGAGAGGAACTGCAGCAGCAGTGCTGATGACGTTAGAGCAGCTGAGTGTGTGTCCTCCAGTAAAAGGTCACCCACTGCCACAGCTCATCATCACTGACTGCTGACTTCCTGATCACAATGCCAGAGCACTGCCCTTTCTTTTTTATGATCATTGCCCTAAAGTGTCAGCTTTCTACACGGTTACTTAATTTTCACCTGGTTTCTGCACTTTTAAAATAGTTTGCCTGTTAAATACGCAAATTACAATTTGCAACATTTAAAATAACAAAGATAGTCACTTAATAAACGTATGCAAGTCAATGTCAGCAAAGGACTTTTGCTGTATATAACTTGTGTAAATTAGTGCTGGATGCAATTTTGATGAAACATGTCAGTGTGCGCCATCTGCTGGATGTATTCATATAGAAACTAATCAGCATCTATTCACTCAAAGAGGGGGCATAACTAATTAAAATCAGTGATGACTTAATCTATTTTATTTATTTATATTTTGAATAAAATGTCTGCTTGCTTGTGATGGAAAAAAGCCACTAAACCCTGGAGCTGCAGCATCCTGGGTCATATTTGTCATTGAGCGATTTCAGACAAACGCCAAGGTAGAGTTCCCAGCAGAGTATCACTTACATGGATTAACTCAGGTCCTAAAGCACATGCTAAAAGAGCCATATTGAGAACTTGAAGGGCATTTATACTGTACCTCCACTGTACTCAACACTGCATGTATGCTATTCAAATCCTGCAGCAGCACATGTTTGACCTGTCTCCATGGGCTTAAAGGGGTCTATAGAAGGCTTTGACACCACAAGCATGTCTTCCCCCTGCTATAAAATCATAAGGCATTGTCCTCCTACACTATTTGCACATTGAGGCCTGCTCTTTATTTAACTGACAGAATCAGAAATGCATTACTGCCATTAAAGAATATATTTGGATCCCTCTGTATTATAATATATTTGATAACTAAACACAGCAGGTGGTTTCTTTGATTCCTAAACGCAAACACAGTTATGTTCCGATGCTGATATAAAATCTGGGTGTCTTACCTTTCACCGTGTCTTCATAAATAAACTTGATGATACCTTCAAGCACTTTAAAAGGCTTTAAAGCACCAAGGCTTTAATTGGGATAAACTTCCTGTTTTCCATGTTCCCTGTCGTGTTGGGATGAATAGAAGCTTAAGGAATCAAGTAATTGTAATTGTTATATGACAGACCTGCGAGACACAGTGTACAAAACCCTTTATTTGGTGTCAGCAGTACAGTAGGATAACTTTATTTGGCAATCAAAATGCAAGTGTTACAGTTTCACATCATTTTTAAAAAACTTTTCTTTTCATACCAAAAATGTTAGGACCCGTTTAGGACCCATTATTGTTGGCAGGATTCAAGAGTGACTAACTCAGACCAGATAAACCTCTCTCCAACATGACTACATGACGTGTATGATTAGTAAAAGGCAGAACCCTCGTGTTTAGAGAGAAGCAGTGCATTTCTGATCTGGTCCAGTAGAGAGCAGTGTCTCCCTGGAAAAAAAAAAAGGGGGACATCGGCATAAAAATCACATCATCATCTTTGAGGCATACACACTCACATGCTGAGATCATTCAATGCAAACCACGTGTGGTTAAGGCTTCTGCAACATTTTAAATCTTTGAAATGAAGCTGAAATTATACACAAATCACTTGCATCATTTTGAACTCCTCTGTCAGAGTTATGAACCCGTGTTGTTTCTTCAAAGTCTAAACTTGTGCAGTGGGGATTCTGTGATCTGCTTGAGGCTTCAGTGGTAGATCTGGGACTAGTTTAGGGTTTCCATTGGGCTCCTTCTTGTCTGGGTTTAAGCGGTTGACCCTTGGGCTCCTCTGTGGTATTGGTCTCCTGTGGCGTCTTCTCTTGGGCTGGCGAGAGCGTCCAGAGATGGACTGTGTTGAATCCAGCAGAGGATCCAAGTGTACCTTGGCACTCTGAGTATCTGAGGACTCGTCGATGAACGCAAGGTTCTCCCCAAAGTAGTCCAGAGGCTGAGACAGGTGGGGAGCTGGGAGAGTCTCCTCCTTTTCAGGCTCTGCTGGTTTCTCTTCAGGCACCCGCTCCGTCTGTGTGGCCTGAGAGTCTGACTCTGATGCAGACTCTGATTCATTAGAAGAAGAGGATGAGGAACAAGATGATCCAGACTCTGATTGACTACCCTGCTGCTCTTGGTTGTCTTCAGGGGCCCCATTGGCTGACACACTGTGACCATGGCTGCGAGGGCCGTGGCGGCGCTTTTTTCGACGGCGCTTGAAGGGGTCATCGATTTTTCCTGGAATGCGGAAATCCACAGACATGTTCTGGATGTTTTGAGTCCAGTCTGTGGCGTGGGCTCGCAGCTCCTCCATCTACGAGGAGAGGGTGAGAGCAGAGATAATGGACAGGAAGTGGGAGAGACAAAACATAATGGAACAGACATGAGAGGAGAAGAAGAAGAAGAAGAAGAAGAAAAAGAAGAAGAAGAAAACCCACCTCAGCTCTTGTCTTCTTTGATAAAACGCGAAGCCAGTTACCAATCATTGTCAGGACTGATGCAAAGTAAGCGAGGCCCAGTAAGATCCAAAACCACACCAAAGGCTTGTACCAGTGGTCACTGCCCTCATTCCCAGAATCCCCTTGGACACGAAACACAGTGGAGCAACGTTAAGTAACAGCATCACATTCATGCATCCATCCATTCTCGTCTGTGGAGTAAATAAACATTAATGACAGGAGATACTTTTATCAGATGACATCATCTATAATTCATCCCCGACAAGACAAAAATCCTGAATAATTAATGAGGTAATTGAAAAATGTCTGCGCTAAGTGAACTTAATGCATTACAACTGACAGTTATATTTATGGAGGACTAATTAAGTCATAGATGCAGCTCTTATAGAGATAAATAAATCCAACCAAAAATCAAGAGTATAGAAAAGCAAGTAGAAGTCAGATGTTAACAAACTACTCACTTTGGTAATTTGTTTTAAATTTGAAAATATTTAAAACATGCTAAGGAAGGAGAAAATGCTCCTTGTGTAAGAACTTCTGCTGGTCTACTGGTGGACAGGATGAATGCGATGCAACAAACAGACATCTCCCTGACCTACGATGGTCAAATGATTAAGTTTAACTTCTGCTTCTCTTCAAGCTCCTGTACAGAGTTTTTAGCTGGTCATGAAACAGACCGAAACCCATACCAATGCCTCCATGTGACCCATAAAAGCAAATAAAAATTTTAAAAACATCAGCACAAGGTCAAACATCTCAAGTTGATTTTAATGCCTGTTACTGCTGCCAGTGGGTAAGCATCAAAAGTTGGGGTTCAACGTTGTCCAGGCAAAACTGCTCTTTATGAATTTACTATGGGAAAGACTCGTGTAGAAGAGACATTTTAGAGTCAAAACAAAGGTGGATTTTTTTTTATCATTAACACCCTTCAGTAGAAATAAATGGACAATCAGTAAAGAGATCAGAAGTATAAGCTTGTCCACAGTCACTCCTCACAAGAGGTTTAAATGTTTCTACCTTCTGTGACTACTTCACACAAATGATCAAATCAAGGAGGCTTGTCATTCCACCTCTAACATTTCTGTAACTTTTTATTGAGTATTTAATGAAAAGATCACTTAAAGCTCCTGTGAGGAACTTTCTGTCTATGTTGACTGTGGCGCCTTCTGTTTACATAGTCTTAGCCTTTATATCATTGCTGATTTTGTCTCACTTTTGACAACTGACAAAAAAATCTCCTCCTGTTGTCTTTCTACAGTGAAATTTACCACTCATTATGACTATTTCCAGTGGGAAAAGTAACTAAGGCTTTTTCTACAGTGTACCTACCCTCTCACAGTAGTGTAAGACATTAAAAAATATGAGGAATGTCAGTCTTGCCTTCAGTGGTCTAATATGCTTTTGTACGTCATGGAGACATGTCAGAGTTTATTTCAGCCGGCTTCATTAAATGATCATTAAATGATCAAAAACTCCTTCCAGGAGTTTTAAAGTTCTTTTAAAGACCTGTTTTCATCATGCTTTGTTGAATCAACAAGACAACAGCATGGTCACAGCAGGGTATGTAAATAAAAGAACTTTCATATCTCAAGCACAGTGTTGTTTACAATTGATTGTTATTTAGAAGACAAAGTTAATACATAAGTTTTAAAATTTTTGGCAACTTTACTGTAATTTACCTTCACAAAATGACAACTGCAACATGGATATTATAATACTACCCACCTTTTTTACTTCCTTCTGAGAGTCTGGGCGCATTACTGTCTGTTATAGTTGGTTAATAAACTTCTTAATACCTGCGACATAGTCTCCAAACCCCACTGTTGTCAGTGTGATAACCACAAAGTAGGCCGACTCCAACAGACTCCACTGCTCCACCTCTTGGAAAACCAGAATAGGCACTGCAACAAAGAGCAGGCAGCCCAGCAGGATAGACAGGACGGCAGAGATTACTCGCACTATAGTGGGACTTACTTTCCATTTCTGTCAGGAAGAGGAAAAACATACAGAGATGAGACAACAGAAGGAAAGTTTGTGAACAGTACGAGCAAAGGAGACACCAAAAGGTCTGTTGAATCAAGGGTCTGACCCTGAAGAGAGTCTCTATTTTGAGAACAGCTTTCCTCAGTCCAGTTCCCAGATGGTCTCCGACTCCAGCCAGCAGGAAACCAAACATCGGGATTCCCACCAGAGCGTAGAAAATACAGAACAGCTGACCGCCCTCTGTCTTTGGGGAGATGTTGCCAAAACCTGGACATATGGGGTCAGAGGTCAAAGAGCAGTAGTCTACATGTTTCTAATAACATATATTCAGTCAGGATCTCTTTGTGGTTAATGGTTTATGCCTTAATGATGTGACTGCTCACCCACCGATGGTTGTGATGATCGTCCCTGAAAAGAAAAAGGCACTGGCCAGGTCCCACCCGCTGACAAAGGTGCTGTTACTGTTGGGATCCACTCCTGCACCCACAGCATCCACCACTTCCTGTGGATACAGTGTGTAGTAAGTGTATTTAACAGTCCAGACTCTTTGACCAGGGTGGCAAAATTACAAAATACCTTTAAGATTTACATGGCATAATGGTAAAACATCAACCATTTAAAATTAATATTTAAAGACTGGAAAGGAAAAACACATTTTTAGAAACAAAATATTCAAAGGAAGCCACTCACAGTATTTTGGAACACAGCACAAGTACTTGATCTGAACACAAGTCTTGCCTCATATTTGGCAAGCAGAGGCTACGCACTGATATGTTAGTTCATATGTTAGTGACGAGTGGCAAACATCCTGCATTGTGGTGTTTATGATTATTAGCCAGGCTGATGTTAATTTAGATGATAATGAAAACTTATATACAGTACTTACATATATACATATGAGTCCATTAAGACACATAAACATACATACATTCATACATACATACATACACACATAGGTATTAACACATATTCATACATACATACATACATAGGTATTAACACATATTCATACATACATACATACATACATACATGAACCACTCATTTAACTCTCCTTATTTACTAACTTTACTAACAGGATGTAGAGCTTCTGGTCCTTCAGTAATTTGAGTGATAATGTACAAACTGCATCGTCATTGTATCAGCTCAAGCAATCTGAGACAATGAAGTGACGACTCATTCAGTCTAGAGTGTCCAAAGTGCTGCCATCATGGATAATCGAATTAACTGACCCACTTATCTATTTTGTGTCTGTTGGTACTTTTGTTAATTCTACATTTGCAGCAGATGAAGTAAAGTATATCACCAACTCTAATGAGTTGTGAATTTATGATTACAGAGACAGGCGGTGTCCGTCAGACTGATGCAGCTGCTTAAATCTGTCCCAACTCATTTGAAGACTAATATTCATTTTAAAGGCTTTATTAAAATCGATTTGCATTAGCTTAAAAAGTAAATGCGCAAAGCTGGTGTAAGAAAAGCCAATAATTTCCCAAACTTCACCGTCTCACATTAATACTTTGTCTTTTTATTCATTATACTAGACGGTTAGTTGTGCTGGACTGATTTCCTTTAGCTTTTTAAAATCTCTGTTAAAATCTTCTCAAGATTTCACACAGTGAGCTGAAGGAACGAAGGACTGAGGACCTGTTGAGACATCAGCTGACTCTGGTTCAGTGAAACCTGACCCTCAATGCCGCTTGTAAAACAGAACAACATCTGAAGAATGGCTACGAAACAGCTGCCTGCTTCAGTCAGGGATAAGATGAGGACATCTGATGTGAGGTGTCACTGAGTACACTTGTTGTCTGGTTTTACAGACACACAACTGAGCTGTGTTTTAAGTTTATATGTCTTGTAGAGGTCCAGTTTTTTTCCGGACTGCACTTTTTGGATGTTGGAGGAAACTGTCCGTGTTGAAAACTGAGGCCATGCTTAGTGCAAAAAAAAAAACAAAAACTGCAGTTTCTCAATAATCCACTTCAGGCAGGCTCCAAAAGCTGAGGAACCCGTGTTAAAGTCGACTTTAAATGCCCAGTAGAATTAACCATGCCAGCGGCCTACAACAAAATTGTTCAGTCTTAATCGTCCATTTCTGGTCAACTGTCTGGGGGAGACATTTTTTCAAACTCTGAGACTGATGCATAATTCAGCTCGATTTGAGGCATGGCTGATTCAACTGACAGGCGTGTATGTGCATCAGCACTTCTACTACTACTAGCTCTACTACTACTATGGTGACCACCATCTTTAGGATTCATAGAGCCTCTTGAGAAACTATGGAGAGATGTCACTGAGACTAATCCATGTTTTAAACAGTCTATGGCGGTAACCTCAGAACCCATCAGCCAACCTTTGATCACAAGATAGCCTCTGGGTATGATGGTGTTACCAGCCAGCGATGATGGACTCCCGGCCAAGACCTTTTGCCTTTTCCTTCTTTACAATCACACTTGCAACTTCAGATGCGACGAGCCAGTTTAAGGTCAGAGAGAGCATCTATGTGTGTTTTTGAATTAGGAGGGAAATCCTCTTAAAGTAATGTCCACAAGGTTCCAGGACTGCATGACAGCTGATTTGTTGCACCTCATTCCCTTATCAGAATATCATAAATTGCCAAAGTGCAGGTAAATGAATAAAAGCAGAAGTATTCTGATACTGAAAAGCGGGTCATGTGATATTCATAGTTTTAGTCTAATAATGGAGAAATACAACACTAAAACACACTATCGATACATCTGCCCACTTACATTTAGATGTTTTATATTAGATATTAATACTTTTTTACAAGTTTGTTGCCATTAAATTATGTGTTTTCAAAAAGCTGTGGGAACAAGTTCACTTTTTTCTGCAAAAAAACTCTTGAGCAAAAGATAACATGCACGTCATCCTGTGTTAACTTTTACTACACACCCACTATGTGAAGGGTTGGTTTCCACCTGTGTCTTAAATCAGCTGTAAATTACACCAAATTTGGTTCTCATCTCTAGCTTACCTTGTTAGGCTTTATTATCCATGAAAATATTGATTATAATAGTTTTTGTCGTGGGCCTCTGGGTCTTTCTTTGTCAATACACCCCTCATACAGACATCTATACTGAATTGATCTTACATGTCCGGACATGCCCAGTGTTGTTATTTGTGCAGGGAAAAACATGGCAAAATGAGAATTTTCTAAATCTCACATGATTGGAAGAGGATCTGACTGTCAGTGTGGTGCCTGACAGTGCACTTATGATTTCAGTTTTTTGCTCTAATTATTAGATATTGATCTAACCGGGTCAACAGTGACCCTGACACGCCAAGTGACATAATTTTAATAAGAGCATTTTATAATTTAGTCAATTTATTTTTTTACTTTTAATTTGTTGAATTAGAGGTTCCTGAAGTCTTGATGCAAAAAAAGCTCATTTATGTGGTTCTTTTAAGCATAAAAAAAAAAAAAAGGAAACAGGTCAGTGCAGACCCTAACGCTGGAGGAGGGTTAAATTGTTTGCACAATAAAATTAAATTGCGTACACAAGATATTACATGTGCACCCCATGATGTTGCTTTGAACACCTACATACAGAAGAACGCCCTCTTTGACTCCAGGATGCCACTGCTCACTTTGTCATATCCTTCAGTCCCGGTTTAACCTCTCTGTGAATGTCAGCCAGCACATCAATATATCACTTTGCAGCTAAAACTGTATTTTACAAGTTTCTTTCTGGAACCAGAACAAACATCTCATCATCGCTGCGCTCCAACCCGTCTTGTAAAGCTCAGTTTATGCACAGATCAGCTTTCATGTGCGCACACACATAAACTAGAGATGACCCATCCTTGCACAGTTCCCATAAAAACACCTGCTCTCTGGTCCACAGTCAGACTCCACAAAGTCACAAATAGCTACACTGCAGAGCCAAATACAGTTAAAATTTGATGAAGACATCATAAATGATTTAATGTGACGAGTTGTTTTTTCAAAGTCAGCAAAGTTTTTTAATTACTCTAAATTAATATGTGAAGCTGTTATGTGACAAAATCCTGGAAAGTTTTCATTCATGTGTCGACCACAACTTGGGACCTGGTACACCGACATCTGCTGTGCAGAGCAGAAGATAACCAAAACAGGGAAAAATGAACATCTCTGTGCAAAATTGAAGAAAATATTCTAAAAAAAAATCTGTTTTCACCTTTGCTTATACATTTTTTGGCATCTGCAGCTGTTTTTTTTTTTCAGACAGTAACTAAAAAATAGCTTTAGTGAAATCTGTGAGATCATTACAGATTATCATTACACATCATTATAAAAGCTGAAACTGGCATGACAGTGAAGAAAAGACAAAAAAAGTGTTTTTCATGTGGTGTTTGAAATAGTTTTTAGTTGTTCTCATGCAAAGATTGGGTTAAATCATCATCTTTTTAATCCATCATATGTTAAGTCTGTGTTGCTACCCTACAGGTCTCAAGTTCCGCAGATTTCCAAGAAATAGGAATTATGAGATGATATAAATGTTGAGTTGAGAGAAAAAACATGAATTTAAAGTAAAAAAAAAAAAAATTAAAAGCCAATGTTTTTAAGTTTCAGAAAATTTCAATACAAAGAGTTTCGGTGTGTCACAAATATGCTCAGGCCTATACAGACACAGGTGGATTTATGCACCATGATGCCCCGCCCACATAATATCAAAGGTAGAGTGCTGAGGAGAGGCTATTTTATAGAAATGACATAATTAACTGTTCCTTCTTCATCTCTGTTAGATTCATATTCAAACTATAAGCAGGATAACCATTGGTTCTCTATAAGGAAAACTCTGTAGTACCTCTATGAGTCTCTGCAGATTCTCAGGACCGACGCAGGTGAAGTTGGACAAGAACTCCTGCCGTGTGTCCTGCAGCTGCATGTGCTTGCCCATCTCACGTGGAGCCTCCAAAGCACGAAACACCACAGCTCCCAGCACCAGGTACAGAAGCACCCCCGTGAGGATGCCTAGCAAGGTTGAGCAACGCATGGATGAACCTCCGCCCAGTCCAAACACAGGCTGCTGCTTCCCTTTGCCAGCCTCAGTGCTGGTATGACTGGGATCCCAGCTGCTGCAGCTGAAACATCAGAAACCGCACAAACACGAGTGTTTTTTCACTGACCGCAGAGCCTGAGAACAATTCCAGCAGTAGTACATACGTCTGCTGCAGACAGACTGTGGGATGTACATGAGGCATTAAATGGACTCAGGCCTCACCACACTGTTAATGCAGCAAAGCCAATAACACACCCCTCAACTAACGTGACCCTTTGAACAGATGTGACTGCAGAGTAGCTCTGACTGTGTCATGAATACAGATGTTTTAATGCTCATTGATTCTACCTGCTGATTGCCTGAAGCTGCCCACGCCTCCGTCTCTTCCAGTCCCTCCTCTCCCCGGGCTTTAGGATCGAATCCCTGGATCCGTAACCACTGGGGAGGCCGTCCGCCTCACACTCTGAAGGAGGAGGCACTGGGAAGAATGAAACAGTTTTAAGTGTTATCTTTATTTTATATCAGGGGAGATGATGCACATTCATTGACAAGTGTACTCTGTCCCTTTATGTGGATGTGTTAAATGTCACAGCTGTAGATGTGCAAGCTCATGTTTTCTGCAGTCTGGAGGAACTCAATGATCCATAAAAACTGTTAGAGAAAAACATATCAGCACAAAATAGTCAGAAATCTAATAACAGACAATCTTGTGCAATAAAGAACAACATGATGTTCGCTGCTGATGGTGACAATAGATTTTAAAAATCAATAAAAAAGTCTCATGTTTGTGTAACCACTGTTCTTAATATAAAACAGCGCCCAGAGTGGTCACATCAGCTATCTTAGTGAAATAAAAGTACAATAAAAAGTTCACCTTACCAACAAACACAAAAGCTGACAGTGATGAATGTGACAGTCGACAACAAAGTGAAGCATTTAGACGTGGCGGTGTCACACACAGTCATTCATGTTGTTGAGCTGTAGTCACCTGTTGTTTTTTGTCTGCATCGAATTGCATTATCTTAACATATTCACTCTGATATTCCTGAAGAAAAAGGGAAATACCTAAAAAATATATGAATATTGGAAAATCAAAAAAAGATTATTATGTAAGAGAAAAAGTAAAGTCTGGATAACTCCAAATGACGCAGACGTAAACTTTAAAGATCTTTTTGTAAAAGTTAAAGGAGCAGAAAGCTTTGACGGGTGGTGTCTATTACAAAGACCTGGTTCATTTCATCTCAATTCAAGAAGACAGTTCCAGCAAAAACTGAAACTGGAGCCGAAGCTCATCTACAATTTTATACATCCTAACTCTGTTAAAGCAAAGGAGATTAGAAAATGATGAATGTGACAGACGCTCTCTGTCTCTATCTGCCACTTTTGATTCCCCTCTGTGCACCACTGGAGGAAAATAAAAGAGAGAGAAAAGCTTCTGTTTTGTTAAGTTTGGTTATTGTTGCCCTTAACTCAGCAGATCAGCTGGTCCTGCTCCAAAATTAGAGCAATAAACTGTCCGACAGTGACAGCATAATACACTGCTCCTCAAATGGTTTTACAGCTGCTGGGAAACACAAAGTGACTGTCCACTTACTAAATTGAATACTGCAGCCACTTTCCAGCAACGCATGCATAAAGTCAGACTTATCCTTGCTCGAGGAAACTTTAAATATCTTTGTTGCATGAATTTGATGCTTTTCATAAGAAAATGACACAGTAAAACGAGTTAGGATGCACTTCTGCTTCATGAACTTCTCAAAGAGCTCAACTCAGTTTGTACATTGTGAACTATTTTTGCTCATAGAGGCAGATAGAAAGAACATCTGGGAGTGTGTTAGCCCCACCTTCATCTATCAGGACAAAACAAACAAGATACATCACACTGTACTTATAATCTGCAATAAACCTACCTCAGACTGTGCCACATTATGCCAGACGGAAAATACTCCACTAGACAAAAGGAAATTGTATGGCCTGCATTAAGTGCCAATACTGCTGCTGCAGCCCAGCCTGAGCCGTAGTGATCCAGTTTTATCACCACTTAGAGTCCCTGTGGGTCCACGAGATGTTCGTTAGTGACCAACGCGCCGGGCAGCCTTACCTCAAAATGAAGGATCATGAGAATCCAGAGAAGCAGTCGCCTCACGCAGAGTGTTTCATGAGTTCATGCAGCTGCAAACAAGGAGTGTGTCCGTGTGGGCGTGTGTGTGTGTGTGTGTCTGAGCATGCTTGGGTGTGTGTGAGTCTGAGTGAGGGTGAGGAGGGTGAGGAGGGAGGCTACTGCTGAGCGCACACAAGAGAAAGACATAGTCAATCACAGTGACTTTATGTGGAGTGAGAGAGGCAATTAAAGACGGAGAGTGAGATGATGATGATGATGATGATGATGAAGATTCAGATATTGTCCCTTTTTTTCAGACTCCATATCAGATTTTAATATAAGAATAAGAGTCATTTTTTAAGGAAAGTACACATGCTCTTATTTTATTTCTGTGTAATAAAGATTTTTCATATTCCTCATTGTGAACTGGCATTCTAATGTAAACATATGCACCATTCAGCAGTATTTGCTGCAGCCATGGAAGTGTTCGATATATTTCTGTGAGGAAAATGATGAGATTCCCGCTGCTCTGATTGGTTTTTCACTGCAGAATCTGCAGCGTGCAGCAAGCTCAGCCACCCTGATCCCCACATCCCATCTTCCTCACCAGCTGCCTGACAGAACTGCTGCTGCTCCCTTTCTGTGGTGTGTGTGTATATGTGTGTGTATGTGTGTGAGAGAGAGTGTGTGTATGTGTGTGCGTTTACAGGGGTGGGGATAAGGTTTCGCGGACAGATCTTTGAGACCGAATTGAACTCTGTTCCCCTCACTCATGCTAAAGTCAGATCAGGACATTGGCACAAGAGATTTTTTTATAGCTGGTCCCACAAATTTACAAGATTACCTCATATAATTAAATCATTTAGGAGGCATACCATCAAATTCAAATTCAGCTTTATTTATATGGTACTTTTTAGACAAAAATGTAGTTCCAAGTGCCTCACAAAGGCTAAAAATAACAATAAAACCCAACCCTCCCACCCACACACACACAGACACACACCCACCTTTACTCACTCACACAGGTGCACACACACAAGCGCACACAGAGCGAGAATTTAAGATATATTGTTATATAGACATGACCTGACACCGAGACATTGCGTGAGGAAAGAGCTACCTTTGGGAAACACTGGAGATAAAAAAGATAAAAATGGTTAAAAAAAAAATTTTAAAAAAAGAGTAAAGCCTGATGGACTAAAACAAGAAAATAATGGAAAATGAACAAATAAGTAAGAGCTCTTTACCATGTAAAAGGGGTAAAAGAAGTGAAAATGTCTATGGCTGACTTTGTTCTGTGTGTATTAGCACATTGTTTGACCAAGGAAAGTTTAAATAATCTCCTCTGTCACTCAGCCACAGTCTTTTCAACCAAATCGCAGATTCTCACAATAACTATTTGTATTATTATTTTATTCATACTTCATTTATTGCAGGTTTCTCAGATTGCAGCTTGTAGTTTAACAGCCCATCTAATGGCTGACGTGAACAGAGAAAGACATACAATTACAAACTGAGGTTGACAGACTACTACGTTTTCATATTTTTGAAATAAACACAAGGTACTTGTCTCTAATCAAAAGGATAAGTGCTCAGTACATCACCAGGGTGGACACCACTTCACAGGTAGATCAGCCTGTACACATGCACACTACCTCCTCCGACTCCCACTTTTTCATGAAGAGGAAGAGAGAGAGAGAGAAAAAAAGAAGAAAACAACTGAAGAGTCTGAATAAAGAAAAAGTGGAGCCAGGATGAGAAGTCTGTCAGGACGAAACTCATCTATTCCCGGATAAGCTGTACACTGTGCCTCCCCTTACTCTCTCATTTTCATAAGGAAAAAAAGAAGAAGAGAGGGAGAACAGACAGAGGTACTGCACACTACCACAAGATTCAGTGCTGGGACATAATATAGGGAAGAAATTCCACAAATAAAATTAATCACTTTCAGCAAAAAAATAAAATAAAAATTAAATTAAATTAAAAAAAAAAAAAACATCTGCTATCATTCTCCTATGCACTTTCAGAAGTACTGTTTGTGTTAGTTTTATTATTATTATTATTATTATTATTATTATTATTATTATTATTATTATTATTATTATTATTATTATTATTATTATTATTATTGAGATGTGTGCTGCTGACCTCTTGGCCAGGTCACTCTTGTAAAAGAGATCTCAATTTCAATGGGTTTTCTTACCTGGTTAGATAAAAGTTGAAATCTTTTTCATCTTTTTCAATTTCATTCAAACTTGCTTCTGAGCTGCTTTGCTATGTTTTGGTCTGTGCTGGACAAAGCCTTTATCTGTATATCATGGCTCAAGCTTCTTCCAATGCACTGCAACCGATCAAGATCCAGAGGAGTCGAGGTTTGACAGGCAAAAATCTCCCAAATAACATGTAGTAGAAAAAGTTTTGACGTGTCACAGTACTCTGATTGATTCTAGTGACACAGAAAGTGTCACGGCTTACCTTTACCCGGCTAACTTGCCCTGCTCTTATGGTCAACCTACCCCACACACGGGGTAAGTTGACCATAAGAGACCACTTTTTTTGCCATGCTATATTTTCAAGACAGTTATGTTTACACTCATTCTGTTGGTTTGCAGGGATACACAACATCCTGAAATATATGTAGATACACTAGTTAGAGACAAAACTATGATTGCCTTGATGAAGTGATCCGAAATATGAAAAATGGCTCATCTTACCCCACTCTACCCTACTATCCAAACTATCTAAAGCCTGCCAGTCGTTCTTTAAGGTTTTTGTACTTCAACTAAATGCTACAGCAAGAATGATACTGACCAGCTGAAAACACTCTCTCCTCTATGAAAGTCAGGGGTCATCAAGTGTTACTCATTTTACACTTGGTACCAGATTGTGGGATTTATTGATCTGATCAAATACTCCTCAGGTGTCACTGAAGATAAACAAATAAAAAATATCAATGTTTGTTGCTAACTTTGCTCATACTCATGTAATAATTTAGACTTTTAAAGCTGTCCGTGACGATTGTAGATTGCCTCAATTCCAAGACTCTTGTCTCAGATAACTTCATATCTTACATCTGTTTCAATATTGCATCGAATGTGTTCATTGTCACCAAGAATATTAGCAGAATTTTCTATTACTTTACTGCCAGTAAGTGAAGATATATCTGATACCCTCATTGAATTTGCCAATATAGCAGTCAATCGGCACAGACAGAAATCTTAGATTACAAAGCCAAGTGGGAAAATACCCAAGATGCTTCACTGTGGCGTGCCCAGAGCCAACCCTCAGTGTGTGTGGAGATCAAATCCATCGGCCTGTTACTCAGCTAAAGGAGCATTTAAAGGAAAAATTGATGCCAGGCAAACTTCCTCATCTTATAAGTGTATATAATCACCTAATGTATTGATCCCTGTGATCGATCATGAAATAACGTCCATGTCAGCAGCGAGCCTGCCTTTAAGGGGTTACTTTTGTGGATAATGGCTGCTTTTGCATGTGTATTACTCATGTTACCACCTAACAGGATCAATGTTGTTACTGCTGACCACTAAGGAGTCTTACAGCTGCCGGGTGGAGAAAAAGAGATGACGGTGATTAATCATTATCAGACAAACAGTCGTTGACATGCCCATTCAGTATAAACTCATCTGAATCTGGAGTGGGAAATGGATAACACTCACAGAGACCAAAATGCAGGTCATATTTAAATATATATAAATGATTACCGTGTGTTCTTGATGTTTAATCCTTTCAAAGTGACCTTGTTCTGTTATTTACACCACCTCCAATTTCAGGTCCAAGTCTCTCCCTGAACAATAACTCAGCTCATCTCTTTAGTCTGATATATAACCCTGGCATGCTACCTTGGCAGCCGCTGCTGACAGCAACAGCACAGAAATAAATTCAGCTGAAAGTGGAGAGGAACCTGGGTGTGGGTCTGTTACTTTGTGAGAGACATTTAAGGAGCAAGAACAAGAGGAAGTCTTGTAAAACATTTTCAGACTACAAAAACACAGCGATGATGGGAATTCAGAAGAAGTGGTCTGATTGAACCCTTTGCTGTTTGTACTTCTTCTAGTCTAGTAGGAGGCTGTGTTTACAAGTTCTCTTCATGATGTGGTGTCTGATGGGAAAGTTGAACAGAGTTAAGTGATGAGGGTGCGTGGCTTTTTATGCCGAATCACTGCAACTCTCGCTTTTGAACCACATTACGCATTTGCAATTGTACAATCTAGATTCAACAGCTATATTGAAACATCATATCCAGCTATACAGTTATATAAGCTGTCTGCTTTGAAGCTGAGATGGCTGACAGTCATCACTAGAATGGAGAGTGATGGAAATGCCAAAAAGACTCACAATGAACCATGCCGGCATCATTCTGCCACTCTTGTTGCTGTGTTGTGGTTTTTAGTCATCTCAATCTAAGAATTTGAATTACAATATAAGGTCTTATCCCAGCTTCATTATTCTAACCACAGACCTCTAATCACAAAGAGGAAAACTCCTTTGTCAAAAATCTAAAAAGCGACACCCTAAACATCCCACCAACCTCTCAAAATTATACTGTGCAGACTGGAGCTGCAAACTGCTAGTACACACAGTGTCACAGCTAAAAGCAGGCCTCCTGCAAGAAATGTACAATCAGCAGTAAGAAAACAGAATCCAGAAAGACCTTGTACCAGTTCCAAGTTGGTGAAGTAAACAAGAACTAACACCATGCTGCATTATGCTGGATAGTTTTATTACTCTTCAAAACTACAAAGATACTTGGGTTACACTAAAAAACTATAACCTCCCTCTCTTTGCTGCCCCTGGAAAAGAGCATCAGCGACTCTTTGATTGACAGCTGTTGGCTGGTCAAGTCCCAGCTGGGCCACAAGAGACAAATTGAGCAAACTTGTACTGCAGCCAACATGCCAGGGCCAAACAATAGGAAGCATTATATGAGATTAGGTAGCATATATACAAGACAACATTTGCATGCCGCCAAATGTGCTGCAGCTTTTCGATCTGGAGTCAGTAATGTTAACGTTTTTTGGATGCTCTTTAGTCAATCTAATGAGAAGAAGGTGATGATGATACTTTCTGCGTAGAAGCTTATTTGGTCTTTAGTCCAGAGTCTGAGACTGTGTGTGTGGCAGACTGCTGTTCAGGGGTTTATCCTAAGAGGTGAAAGTGGCGACTTTTGTCACCTAAAATCTGACTGGCCACCCCCAAAATTGCAGTGTAAGGGAAAAATCATCCCATCAGAAAATGCAAGAAATTTCATGCACACTTTCAAATTGTCAATCAAACATTTGTTGTCAATATTTGGCTATGAAAACATTGGCACAAAATGTGTTTGCTTCATGTGCATTAATTAGCTTGCAGGTTTTCAAGTCCTCCAAAATAGATGTTATTGCAACTTTTTATGCTGAGTCATTAAAGAAATAAGAAGTTTTCAGTGGTAAAACTCTGTTGTGATAGATAGATAGATAGATAGATAGATAGATAGATAGATAGATAGATAGATAGATAGATAGATAGATAGATAGATAGATAGATAGATAGATAGATAGATAGATAGATAATGCTGTGATAACTGCAACGCTGATAGTTATCAAAGAAGACGTATTTAGAGGAGACACTGATACAGTAATGACATTCATTTGTGTGTGTGTGTGTGTGTGTGTGTGTGTGTGTGTGTGTGTGTGTGTGTGTGTGTGTGTGTGTGTGTGTGTGTGTGTGTGTGTGTGTGTGTGTGTGTGTGCGTGTGCGCGCACATGCAGGAAGTCGTTCATGCTATTCCAGTATAGGTCAGTGCCCCAGCTCAACCACCAAAGTCTGAGCATTCCCCTGCAGCTGTTTGTCAGCGTGACCATCAGCATATGACAACATCGACGTAACAGCTTCATTTTGACATGTTTACACTAAGATATGTTCTGCTGTGTGGGCATGATCTATTTAGCTGTCAGAAAAAAATGATATAGTGATTATGGGGTGAATCAAAAATAATGAGAGTTATGAAGTACAAACTTGTAAATTTCGCCCTGTTCATTTGCAGATTTTTATCTCACAAGAGGCCTTGAACATGGGACATATGGTATAGAGCAGAAACTGCTGGATGTTGTATCCAACTTGCTGAAAATGCATTCCTAGACCGATAGACTCTCCTATAAACTGTGTGGGTTAATGAATTAAAAGCTTTTCAAACAGATGCGCACATCTTTTGTTTAAATGTGCTGTTAATGGTTAGCATTATGCAGAGGACAGATTCAACATTTATGGAAAATCTGAGAATAAAAAAAAAAAAAAAAAAAAAGAAACCTATTTAATTATTTTTATTGAACATACAGTTTTAGTCGTAGTCAACCCATTGCAGTTTGTTACACTTTATCCCCTAATCTATCACACCTACTCTGCTCTGATCTTATGATTGGCTGAAATGTTTGACATGCCTCTTGAGCATATTTTGTCTTTTTTTTTACAAAAGAGGGGGGGTTTATTTCAGCATACATGTATCAGTGAGGTTTTCACACCAGCATGTCATAATATAAAAAGAGATGAAATTATGTGGCCTTCTGCATGATAAGGACTGTTTGTATCAGGCACCTTTACAATGTAAACCCAGCTCACCCTAAGACTGTAGTACAAAGGTTTATTAAGTATTGTTGATTTGTTTTTATGCTGCTAAGTTAGATGTGCTTCAGCCTATTAGCTACCCTTATTATAACCACGGGAGATAGACTCTTAATTATTAATAACTTCTTGAAAAGATAACCTCCTTTTGCTCACTCGAGAGTCTTAACAACCGGAATATGGTGCAGTATCACACTAACATGTTCTGTATGGTGTAATGTATTTATATGCATTTGCATTAAGACAGAACTTGAGACATTTTTCTCCATCTGTTCCAGCAAATACTCTGCACCTGATCTTTACTTGCTGGGCAGCAGAATTGGATTTATTTTATGCACTCACCAAATAAACCGTTAAATACATTTAGCCTCTTCAATTCAATCTGTGTGAGAGCTGCTGTCTCCTTACTTTGAACAAACTGAACAGAGTCCAACCGCAGGGAAACTGAGGTCTCAGTGAATCTGCTGCTTAAATCATGATGCAGTGCAACATGAGGAGGGTTTGTGGAAATGAGGGAATATTTATTCTGAGGATCGCAGTGATCAAAGGTTTACATAAAATATGCTGTAGTTTTTGCACCATCAGGAAAAATCTTTGAACTCTTCCTAGTTTGTAAATACTTGTAAATACACTCTAAAATACATACATTATGCTAAAGTTTTCACTTGAGGGCAAACCGAGAAATCAAGAATAGCTTCAACATAATCTCTACACTACCTCTGCAAACAACCAGGGGTATTTTTGCTGAGGATTTTACTCATTGCATGAGAGCTATGAAGATGCTAATAACCTATGAAATCCACTAAGTTATCAGTCACTTATGCAAAGCCTTAAAAAAATCTATAAATTCTTACTTTTTGTGTGTCGATCTTTGTCTTCAGTTCCAGTTGTCCTGTGAATTTAGGTGGTTTCGTTGGCGAACAATTTGAAGATAAGTTAATTTAAGTCCAGTAGGTGAATACAAATCACGGACAGGTTTTGGAAAGATATCAGGGTAGGAGTTAAGCTTAAATAACGTGCTCCGATTGATTGACCTGATGATAAACATGCTCACAATTACAAGTGAGGGCAGGTGGTTGTAAACAAAAGAGAGGGAGAAAGAGGGGACAGGCAGAAATGTGAGGGGGGAGGAGGACTACAGTGCTATTATGAGCACTTTATTTTCAATTAAGGCCTCCTGCATCTACTTTTTGATGATGCAAGGAATTCTTGGTCTGGAAATTGATTAGTTAGCAAACGTCTGCAACTTTTGCTCTTTTAACGGAAGATGCACTTTAAACATGCAGTAAAAATGTCAAAAAGTACATTTTTAAATTTGAAGGAGAGTGTTTTCCTTCTTGTTAAACTCAATTAAAATCAGCAGTGATTTCCTGGTGACTTGGTTTTTAAAGTGTATATTAATGTCCAGTTTTGTATCATAAACCATCAGGTCTCCAGATGTGGCGAAATGCAGCCACAATGAGTCTACTGACAATATATGAGATTAATAGTTGAGTAAAAATTTGAAGGAAAAGATAAGATTAAGATTTAAATTAATCCAAACATCCAAATGTTATAATGAAATGTTATTCAATTGTTCATATTTTCACAGTCCACACTTGTTTAATATTTATCATATCGTCACAGTGGCTTATCTTGTTCAGAGGGCACATTATCATTGATAACATTCATTCAATAATGTCGTGTTTCAGGGTCACATTCTTCTGTATGAGGGTCTAATTTCAGCTATCTTTGTCCAGCATCCACCTGAGTGAGGGTCTACCACTCAGCTCAGACAAATAAAACACCTGAGTGGATCTGCAAGTCCTTTAACACATCAGAGAGTCTGAGGTTTTTAAGACGCTGTTACACCTCTGATCATTTTACCAAGAAATCCACTTTACACCTGAATCTAATTCCTCCTGGTTGCTGAAAAGCTTTCAACCGAGAGAGGAAGTCAGCATGGATAAAGAGGGTGTAAAAGAAGACAGAGAGATAAAGTGTTTCAGACTGACAGGCTGAAAGGTGTGTGAAGACGATGGGAAGAAGACTTTAAATATTTATCCACCTGTATAAACCAAAAACACCATAATAATGAGTTTAAGATAAAGCCTATGGTCACTATTAGGCTAATGGGGAGATATATAATAGCTTTCTTTGTCTGCATGTTAAAGCAGTGTATGAATTTTAATGAATGAATTTAAGATGAAATAAAAAATAGAGTCTTCAGCAAGTTTTAGAGCTGTTTTGTTCACCGTCACCTCATGAGGGACAGTTTGGCTCTTGCTGCTTAAAGCCCCAGTCAGGAACTTTTGGTTTGTTAACTGTAGCACCCCCTGTGGAGAAAACAATATCCTCTCTTGCTTCAAGTATAGTCAACATGTAGAATACAAGCAGTGTTTACCTTTTACCGCTACCTCTCTATTTCGTATTAATATGACGAAGATAAACTGTAGCTGAGCATTGAAGGTACCAGAATAACCAAGGTGATTTTTTTAAAGAATGCAGTCAACCTTTAACAGGGTTCACATTTAAGTACGGAAAGTATGGAAGTAGTTTGATCAATGTCCAGGTCTTAAAAAGTATGGTAAATGAGAAATAAAGTATGGAAAAACATCTCTGTTTCCAGACTATTAATTCTAAAAAGTAGGGTATGGAAATTTCAGCTGTGTCGGAACTCTGCTTTACATATCATACCAACACCCAAAGGCAATGAGCTCCTCATAGCTGTTTTCTAAATATATTTAAGTCACAAAAGCCAAGAGACAAAACATAATCGTAAAGTTACGGTTTCCTTTTATTGGTAACAGCAAGCTGAGTAAGAGACAGTTTATTGATGGGATCAATGAAAGGACAGGACACATGGAGATGTACTCTGCCTTTACGTCTTTTTTTACATCTACACCATCTTCAGCCAATGCCTCCATGAAGAGAATTTAAACGAATATTATTTATAGCACATTTATTCAATTTCTTATCTTTGACTTTAAGATGATTTAAAAAGTACTATGTTTATTCCAAAAATCACCATGAAAAAACTGTTACAAACTTAACACATGAGATGTTTTTATATCGTTTAAAACTGCTAATAGAAAAGTTCATACTCGAAATGACTAAGACAGCTTTCAAACTGTTTTTCCTTTCCTTTTGAAGCCTGAAAATTATTACCTTCTTTATAGCAAAAGCCTTTTATTTGAAGACCCCTGACTCAGTCTATCAGTCGCTCTTCAAATATAAGTAAAAAAAAAAACATACTAAAACGATGACCTGTTATTAAGGTGTAATTAGCCTTTAAAATAAACTGCATTACAATGGAATGAAATAAAGGATTGATCTCTTTGCACCAGGTTTTAAAATTAACACCCTAATAAATATAGAAAAAGTTATGTGGAATGCATAAATTATGTTGAAGAAGATTAACTGTAAATGTGAAGCACAAGCAGGGGACTAAATGTTTCACAAGTAGCCTTGCTGGTGAAGTATTTCCTTTAGGATAGAGTTTGCATTTGAAGTTCCTCCTCGTATGAGTCATGGATTGAGATGATAGCGGGTCCGCAGTGAGATCAAAACAGTTTGATCATGCTCTCTCTGGACTTCCCGACTCCAACCCACTTCACTGAAATGAGGAAAACCAGACTGGGTGTGAGTGGCAGGTTTGGCAAACTGAGTCATGGTTTGGCAGCGGCGTCTTTGTTAAGACAGAGTGCTCTTTTACTGACCTGGCACCTGAAGGAAGTTCTCGATGAAGCGAATGTAATCCTGTGCCTGCGGCGGCAGATCCTCAAAGCTCCGGGCTGCCTCAGTGCTGCAGCACCAGCCGGGCAACGTCTCGTAATCCACGGACACCCGCGTCAAAACGTCCATGTTTGCTAAAAAAGAGGAAGTTAATTAATATTTTGCGTCAACTTTATGTTGACAATATGACAAAGCTTTGCACTGGTTCCTGCTCACCCTGTCAGGATTCTAATTTACATAACTATTCCTGATAGTGTAAAGCTCTGTGATGTTTGACTAATACGATAAACGTAAGAGAAAATCTGTTGATAGAGAGCAGAAGCAGTGTCACAAGAAACAAGAGTGGAAAGTTTGTTTTATCACGTTTTAATTTGTTTACTAATAAATCTATTTGCCTCATTTAGGGAGACAAGCGAAAAGTCACTGTAGATAATTACATCCTCAAATAAGCGGAAAAATGGATTTTTAACCCCCAAGCAGAAGCATTTCCTGCAAGTAGATGCTGACCCGTGTGAAATTTGACCTTAGGGGCCATAAAAGCTTTTTCTATTTGCCTGAAAGTAAATTTCAGAGAAGCTGCTCTGAAAACAAAGATCCCTCTGGGTCAACACAGACCTTTGATTGTTTTAGTAATATCATTTTTCTGGCACTAAAGCTTTTGTGGACTGATAAAAAGTCAAATACACAGAAAATAAAACTGCATTTATTTTCCAAATATCAAATCTTCACTGGCTTCAGCTTCATAAATGTGAGGTCATTTGATGTTTGACTACCTCTGAGTTTATATTTAAAGCTCCTGTATGGAACTTTTGTTTCAGGTTGATTTTGGCGCCCCTTGTGGACAAACTGATACCTTTAACTTCTTAGCTAATTTGTTCAGAACATATTAAATGGGCAGACAAAAAGAGCACATTTTCACTCAGTGTGGGAGACCTACCAGGAAAACTTGGCAAAGGTTTTCCATCAACCTTGTAGGCCACGCCCACTTTGATCTCAGGCAGCGTATCCAAAATGTCCAGCTTTGTCAGGGCGATCCTACAAGAGTAAGACAGCTTGATGATGATCATTCCAGAGCAGATTAAGACCACCTTGCTTAAAAAATGATGTGAGTAAATTATTCAACGAGGAGAATTTTCAGAAATAAAGTGATGGTTCCTTACGCAGAGAAGCCGTTGACCATGTGGGCGTATCTGACCAAAATCAGGTCAAGCCATCCACAGCGCCTCCTCCTGCCTGTCGTCACACCGAACTCTCTCCCTCTGGACTGTAACAAATCCCCAGTCTCCTAAAATACATAAGACAAAAAAAAAAAGAAAAAAAGGAATCAGCTGGGAAATACAAACAAACAAAAAAACGTCTTAAAAGTGACACTATCATAGAAAATCCCCACAATCATGACACTTCTAGAGAGAAAAACTGAGCAGTAGTTAGCTGAGCGTACACTCAATGAAGGCTCATACACTCACACAGGATAGGAGGAGCTTCCCAGAACAACCACCCCCCTCTGTTGTCACCACGGAGCAGCTGGAGGTTCAGGGTCTTGGTCACATACACATGTCCTGCATGCTTGTATTCCTCCTTTCCTCTCAAAAGCTTTCCTCCAGACTATCTTGACAGTTTTGAGCAAATCTACGAATAAATTTGGCTGCATGGTGTTGCAGTGATTAGAGCTCTTGCTTCACAGCAAGATCAGGAGCCCTGCTTTTCCTTGATTTTGGTTGGTAATGAGCGACGAGCAGCAGTGACGAGCGTGGTGTGTTGCATAAGTTGGACTGTTTACAACTCAGAGGACGACGGCAAAAAATAGCAGACACAGGTTTTTTCTTTTTTTACTGCAGAGAGCTGAAAGCGCTAAGCTTCATCAGGTTTAATGGACACAGGCCGTAATGGCTACAGCTGAGTCATAACTGAGGATCGGCCTTTTCTAATTATTGGGCCAATATTCTGCATTTCACCGATTACCTGCATCTGCTCCGATTTTATAGACATCAGATAAAACTAGTTAACGAACAAGTGTGCTGCTTGGCTTTGCTGCACGAATCTTACCAACAGGATCGGTATTGGCTCTTAAAATTCAATATTGGTTGACCTCTAGAATTGACTTTGAATATTTTTATACTAATCTAAGTAAAATGTGTCCACTCTAAATCCTCTTGTCTGCTCAAAGTCTGGTAATCAGACACCAACATGTCCTCTCTATCCAAGTGTGAGTGTGTTGGCTCTCTAACAAAGAGCTGCTACTGAGAGTCATGGACACCAGTGTGATGAATTTAATCCTTTAATCACAAAATCGACGACTTCTCAGCTTGATTACAATTATCTGTAATTAGTAGTATCTTTTCCAGTTCCCGTTCAGATGCTCTTTAAAGTGTGTTTAAAGTGTCTCTACTCACATTATTCTGCTCTGTTGGGAAAGCACCAACGCCCACCCGGGTGGTGTAAGCTTTGACGACACCGTACACTCTGCCAACATGTGATGGAGGCACGCCCAGACCGGTACACACCCCTCCCACGGTGCAGTTAGAAGATGTGACGAAAGGATACGTCCCTGAAGGGAGAGATATCAGTTATCACCATGAAGAAATACATCCACCCAGTTTCGGATAATCATAATGCCTGGAAGTCAGTGGTCCTCACCAAAGTCGATATCAAGGAGAGCAGCATTGGCTCCCTCCACCAGGATTTTCTTACTGGGTCCAGTCAGAGCTTTGTGCATAAAGTACACCCCGTCAGTCACCAAAGGACGCAGCCGCTCTGCATAGCCCTGAAACACAGACACCAAACCACTCAGTGTTTTATTAGACTCAACAACTCATCGGGAAGGCTTTACCGGCACTAACATGATTAAACCCCTGAATACTGATCAGCAGAGTTGTAGTCAAGTCACCAAAGCTCCAGTCCATGTCAAGTCTGGAGTCCTCAGAGTTCAAGTCTGAATCCCCCAAGATGAATAAGAGTCAAGTTATAGTCAAGTCCTCGTGAGGAAGCGCTGTTTCACTATCATCTATACAGTGTATGAACTGACAGTGTGGGACTTTTTGCACGTGTTGAAAACACACTTTATTTATTACTACTAGATTCCGGCTGATCTGGTTGGCGTGTCTGGAGGTTTAAATTATCAATGAAGTTACAGAGCTGTGCTTAATGTATGTAAATGCAAACCGCGGCCATCTTAACGGGGAGACACACTCATTGATTCTGCGGTGGGCTCCCTGCAGGTGTCTTCTAAACTTAAACTGGAATCCAGGTAAGGGTTATCAACACTCCAGTCTGAGTCAAGTTGTGAGGGATAATGTGGAAGAACTATGGGAAAACAAATACTTCCTGTAACCACTGACAGAAGAATATGTTCATGAAATCAATGCAAAACTCCACGGTTAAAAAACCAAACCCAGTTAAGCATCATTGCAGAACCTGTCCTCACCTTCAGCTGCTCCAGCTCACTGTTGATGTCAACATTCAGGTTTGGATACATGGTCAGGAAATGTTCTGCCAACATGCGAAACCTGTGAGTGAAAAAAAGACAGTGTTCATTCTTATGTGCACCTCTGTTCGCCAATATTAACGGCACCGTTCCATATCACAAAGAACAAACAGGTGAGTGAAATACTTGGATGAAAACAGTGAACCAGCAGATTTAACCTGTGTACCACTGCCATCTATTGACAGGCCAAGACACAGACACCACTCGGAAAAGAAATCAGCTTGTGATTTACAGTACAAACTCTCAGGTCATTAGTGGACAGTATTTAGCAAACTCATTAATGACACATTAAAGAAAGTAACCCCACCCCCATGTTACAGTAGACAGTAACATCCAAACTGCTCCTTCATTCAAAAGAGTGCTTCAAGTAAACGGCTAAACTAGGAAGCACAATTGCACGACACACAGACACAAATACAATAAGGAATCTCAGAGACTTTTTCTCATATTACATCACTGATGTTATGGCAACAAGTGAGAGGGGAATGAAAAACAACTCACTTCTCCTCGAAGACTTTGAAATCTGAGACAAGGTCACACACACGCAGGCCATTCCGAGCAGCTTTGGAGGAGTAGGCAGGACCAATGCCCTTCTTGGTGGTTCCCAAACTGGAAAGAATAGGAAACCACAACGTGAGTAGCCATAAATTACAACATAATTCACAGTAAATAAACACCCCAACTTCAAAACACTTTGATTGAACTTAATGGTAAAGATTTATAGAGTATGAACTAATGATATTTACTTTTTCCCTTCTTGTTGCTGTCGCTGCTGCTCCTGGATACCGTCTACAGCCTGGTGGAAGTTGAACACTACAAATGCAAAGGACAAGCTGTCATAAAGAGAATATTTAGTTTCCACTAACATGAATAAAAGTATGTTTGCTTACCAATGTGGGCACGATCAGAGATTTTTAATCTCTCCTCCCATCCTTGTAATCCTGAACACAACAGAACACATATTAACATAACTGCATTATAACACATCTGGAACCTCACATCACCTTTATTTAATCTATCAAACTTTACCTTTGCCTTTCTGCAGGTTCTTCTCAGCTTCCTCAAACAGACCAGGCAGGTGTATTACCACCCCATTGCCTGTAATGCAAAACAACACTTCATCTCCATGTATCAGCTATGTCCAATAACATGTGTTAGACTCTTCATGAGTAACAGACTGCAAATATTTTCCTTATGAGTTTGTACTCACACCTCAAACTGACTTGGTTTTTTTGGCAAGTGTCACTTTAATGCTTCCTCTTTCTAACCTTCGTGTCTCAAAGTACGAAAATAGCTTCCAAATGAGGAAATAATACATCAGGGAAACACTCTTGAAATGCTGGTTTCAGTACTAAAGCAATGCAGTAATGCTGTTATATAACTCTTTATTTTCTGCCGTTGGTTTTGCACAACCTTTTGTTACCCTTTGTGTCAGTATGTACAGCCTGTGTAGGTATTGAGTTGGTTTTAAGCAGTGTATTGACACACACTCTCAGTTTCTAAGCAACACCTGGTTAAAACTGATGCAGTTTTCCTATAAACTCCATTCATGGAGATTGTAACGTTCAATGTTTATTTAATCTGTTCAGGAAAGGCCTTGATTCGACTTTGCAGCCTGAAAAGAGAGGTCTAATGCTGCGTTTGAGTTACTTCGGAAGTAGAATGACGTCACATCCAAGTTCCAAGTGTTTCAGTTACCAAGTTGGAAAACAGCAAAATCGGAGGCCTGAAACAAGATGGCTACATCTACGCAAGTTATTTTAGCGCTTGCCTAATACATGGCAAGGCGAGCGCTAAAATAACTTGCGTAGATGTAGCCATCTTGTTTCTGCTTCAAACTTTGCATTGCTTTGTGACGTCATTTTCAGCTCGGATTTCTGACTTCAGAGGTAACTTGAATAAGTCAGTAAGGCATGTACGACATTGTAAAAACAAAACAGAAAATGAACATTTAAATGCAGTTACACAGCTTTAGTCTTACATGAATTTAGATTTACACAGTTACATGTTTAAAATTTAGGATTTTGTTCAGAGTTTGCAATAATTTCCAGCATGCGTTGGCTCACATCAGTCCAAACATAAAATGAATCAATGTTAACACCTTTTCAACAAGCAGCTGATAAAGCTGTCTGTGCTGGCTCTGATGTAGGTCATACACTGATGCTTTATTGCTTTACGAGGAGCTGTGTATTCCCGCCAAGTGTAAGTCTAACAGAAGTGAAAGCACAAGCAGTGGTGAAGTTACCGATGAAGGAAACAGCCTTTTTGTTGAGCACTCCACTGGGCAGCAGGTGGAAATCATACTCCACTGAATCCACAACAACAGTGTGACCTGCATTGTTCCCTCCCTGCAAAGAGTAAACACACTCAACTGTAAAGAGACACAATCTCAGAGTTTCAATGAGAGCAGACACAGTCAGCTCAGCTCCTGTAATAACAGTGTTTCAGATAACTTTGATGAAAGAGACTACATGATAACATTTCTGATCCTTGAGTTAGCGGAACAGCTGGCTAACAGCGGGCTGTGAGGGGCTTACATAATCCTGAATTCACAGGAAACAATGACCAGCGCACAGAGGTAATGTAGAGCATACTGTTCACTATTTGCTTTCGCACATGCTACACAAATACAGGAGGGCCAGGTTAGCGGTATTTATTAGCGTTTGGTTAGCACATCCGGGAACTTCGACAAGGTTGTTGACGTCAGGGCAGGTCATGAATATTTAACGGTCACTAAACGGTAAGACTTTTATCTAACTGTCGTGTTACTCTGAGCGGACATTTTCATAAACTTTATACTTGGGTAAACCGTGATTTCAGATCTTTGTTTTAAGTTAAATCGACTCTAGAGTTATGTACCTGACACCTGCATACGATATCTGCATCCATAGCCAGCAAGTCCACAACTTTTCCTTTGCCCTCGTCGCCCCACTGCGCTCCGAGCACGACGGTCACTTTGTTCTGAGGCTCTTTGGGGACACGGAGAGGGGACTCCAGCGAGGCGCTCTCCCGGGGCCGCTTCACGACAGGCTCCCCGTTCAAGGAGACTGTCTCCCGTCCGTTCACGTTAGCCATGGTGCTGCCCTCCGATGCCATGCTGCTGCTGTCCTCCTTCTGCAAACCGGAATATCGTTTTACCGCGTTTCTCTGCGTCACGGGAAGTGCAAGTAAAATATTCAACACAAGATGGCGGCGTTTCAGATGAAAACCTCTGCAGTTCTCTAGGTGCAGAGACAAAACTAGGGTATCTGAGGGAATTTAATGGATAACTCTGATAAAATACTTTGAAAACAAGACAAAAAAAGTTTTGAGAAAACACATGAAAAGATGTTGAAAGGTTACAAAAAACATGTGTTGATATTCTCGCCCAAAACTTTATCAATGTCACAATTACAGTATTATTTATGACGATTTAGAAAGATTTTTCAAGTTAATAAAAGCATTTAATGACTTCACTCTATGTGTGAATTAGTATAAAGTACCATCACATGAAAATAGGCTTCTTTTTACTCAAGTGAAAAGGTATTTTGGCTCAGAGCTGATGTGGTATTTTTATTTTTTAAAGTTAAAAATTCGATATCTTTATGGCCTTTTTGATGCCAACTCATTTGTTGTTTTTCAGAATAAAACAGCAAATGTTAATTTCATTTAAGCATTTTTCGTGAAGCAGCCGTACAGATAGATTTTGTCATGTTTAATTTAATGTCAAAAGGATTTTCTATAATTTTACTGCTCTGGTTACTGCCATGTTTGAAGAATAAGATTGAAACTGAAAACGAGTGTTTGATATTCTGTTTTGATACCTGAAGTACAGTATGTCTTCTTATGTTAAGAATAAATCTTCCTTTTAAGATGACAACAGCAGCTAAACGTGTGTCTCTTCTATTCTTGCCACAGCATTTCACCACGTTGAGACACCAGAAGAAACACTATTCAGTTGTCCACCTAGCTACCAAGGCAGCCTGGGCAACATCTGCATTGGTTAATTTTGATTTTTTTATGAATTTGCAGCGAATCATCTGCATGCCAGTCGACCTCCTGCAGCAGCCAGCATGCAACAAATTATGCCCAAACCATCACACCTTTGGGAGACCACCAAGTTTATCCTGTTCTGCAGAATACTGACAGTCAAGGGAGGAAGAGGAAGAGAGCCAGATCAGGAATTGGCTGTCAACAAACTGATCCAGAAAGTCCTCAAACTGACCACAACACAACTCTTCATCCGAGCTCGAGTCAGGCTGAAGACCAGGGCCAATCAGGACTCAAAAGAAAGACAGCTCAAGATTGGCCTGGCTGGGCCATCCAGTTGCGGTTCATCCACTTCCCATTCCTTCCCACAACAGTCTGGACTTCGGCCAATTGGGAGCGTGTATTAGAAATCAGAAAATAACCGGGGCAATCAGTGACTGTGTTTCCACTGTTCCCTGGACAACAGGGAAAGGCAGCCACCGATTGGGCCATGTGTAGATGGTGCCGTCTCACACATGCAGCGGGACTTTTCAAAGCGCTGTTCATTCAGAACATAATTCTGCAGTTGACCTTGCAAAGTTGTCAGAAATCGTTTATATCCGACGTCTTCTGTGGATTAAACGATTTCTGCCGACTTTGCAAAGTCAACTGCAGAATTACGGCGTTCTGAATGAACGTCAGAGATCAGAGAAAAGGAAAAGGAGTTTGTGGATGGTTCAGGTGAGTTGCTATAGTCAACACACAATGTGCAATGCATTTTCTAGTTTGAAACAAGAACATACTGTCAACCACTACAACACATGAGTGTATCTAACACGTCATTGTTGACTTCCAGATCCAGAAGAGCGGACCGAACCTGAGCAGTACCACCACATTGGAGTTTATGACTGTGAAAGTCATTACAGCTGAACAGCAACCTCCATCTGGCTACCTTTAGTAGTCTCAGTCCAGGCTGCAACAGTGGGAATGCTGGGGGTTCTTCACAGCCTTCTCCCCCCAGCAAACCTCAACCCTCCCAGCAGAACCCTCCTGCTTCACCTGCTGGTAGCAGCAGCCTTGACAAGTCACGGTCCACCATCAACCCTCATCCTCACACTACTTCCCCATCAACAAGTGGCGGCAGGACAAGAAGAAAAAGAAAGCTTGATGACGTTGATGAAAGCACCCACAAAACCTGCAATTGTCCTAAAAAAGTGAAGTCTGGGCACAGGTAGGATATTCTACATCAGACAAAACAAATCTGAAAACTTTAAAGGGTTGATGGAAACTTTTTTGGTCTTTCTGCGTCATAATGATTTAACTTTTTTGATAAAATTACAGCGAAAAAAACATCATGCCAGTTGACCTCCTGCAGCACCCAGCATGCAAAAAATTATGCCCAGACGATCACACCCTTTGGAGACCACCATGTTCATCCTGTTCAGCAGAACACCAACAATCAAGAGAGGAAGAGGAAGAGAGCTAGATCAGGAAATAGCTCTCAACAAACTGATCTAAAAAGCCCCCCAACTGAGCACAACCTGACTCTTCATCCAAGCTTGAGTCAGGCTGAAGACCTGGGCCAATGAGGACTCAAAAGAAAGGCGGCTCAAGATGAAGATGAGCTCAGAGATCAGAAAAAAGGAACTTCTGGTGAGTTGATATAGTCAACAAACAATGTGCAATGCATTTTCTACTTTGAAACGAGAGCATGCTGTCAACTACTACAACACATGAGTGTGTCTAACAAGTCAATGTTGACTTCCAGAACCACAGGAGGGTACTGAACCTGAGCAGTACCACCAAAGTGGAGTTTGTGACTGTGAAAGTCATTACAGCTGAACAGCAACCTCCATCTGGCTACCTTAAGAATCAACAATCCAGGCTCCAACAGTGAGAATGCTGGGGGGTCTTCACAGCTCTCTCCCCCCATGGTCCACCATCAACCCTCATCCTCACACTCCTTTCTCAAGTGGAGGCAAGACAAGGAAAAAAAGAAAGCTTGATGACGTTGATGAAAGAACCCACAAAACCTGCAATTGTCCTAAAAAAGAGAAGTCTGGGCACAGGTAGGATAATCTACATCAGTTACTTTGTTATCAACCAGTTTAAATGAATCTGAAAACTTAAGAGGTTGATGGAACATTTTTAGGTCTTTCTGCGTCATAATGATTTAACTTTTTTGATAGAATTACATCGAAAAAAACAGCATGCCAGTTGACCTCCTGCAGCACCCAGCAAGCAACAAATTATGCCCAGACAACCACAGTCATGTGGAATGTTTTGCCTAAGAATTATGACAACCTGTAGGACATGTGATGTTTGCCAGGTAATAACAGCTTGGAGTCCTGAAGGAGTATTGAGTATGTTGTGACTCTATATGTCTTTTCTAAATGGTGTTACAAATATTGAGATAAAATATTTGTAAAACTTATTCAAAAAAGGAAATCGATGGAAACACAAAGCATGTTGTGTTTGTTTCTGGGCAGGTTGTCCTATTTCAGGTCTTACTGATTTAAGGACAATACTGTTGGTTGCACAAGAAACATATACCACACTGAAAGACAAAACTATGATAATATAATTTATTACTGATGGGTAACCCAAGTTAACAGGCACATCCTCAGTCATGTTCTTGCTATACAAACAAATATTTTGTAAACCTAAGGTTGAGAAAATTATTGTGCTTCCTTACCATTTTTGTTAGTTATTATTTTATTTCTTCAACTCAATTTGATCCCAAACTAATTTCAAGATTTTGCATTTAACCAGTCTTTGACATAAACATTGCAGAAAAAGTAAGGAAATGTGTGTTAGGTTGTAACAACGTGACTTACAGTATCTGTTTGTTGTAACAGTGCTTCTTGGCAATAAATCTTTTACCATTGGAAAGCCTTTTTATTTCCCTTTTAATTGGTGCTTCATTTGTAGAGAAGATGAGTTTGTAGGATGAGAGGAAGAGCTGAGTATGTGAGTTCCACCTATGGAGTATTTGCCAAAGATTCACTGCCATACAAGTTTGTATACATTCCCATTGAGGAAACTCTCATATATCCTTTTAATCGTGAAGAGGGCATCCTTTGCCTCCTCTGTATCCAGTGGCTATGGACAGAAGCACTGAGCTTGAAACCTGCTGTTACCTCTTCTGGCAAGGAGAAGGATTGGATGTTGCTCTAAAACAGTGGTTTTAGAGCATGTTTTGGATGTTTCCCTGCTCCAACACACCTGATTCAAATGATCAGCTCGTTATCAAGCCATTTCAGAGCTTGATAACGAGCTGAAGCTGAAACAGCATAAACATCAAATAAGGAGTGATGACCGGTTTTATAATTTAAAGATCAGGTTACTGAGAAAGAAAAGGTGTTTTATGCTTTAAAACTAGACAGACATGCAATGCAATGGACCAAAGTACAGAACCAAAATCAAAACGTTTTCAAAGCACCTCAAATCCTCCAAAAAAATAAAATGATTTGGCAAAGAGGAACAAGAATGAATGCTAAAAAAGTCAATGACATGAATAGAAAAACAACAATTGCAGTTTCAATAGTAAACTTTGGGCACTCATTTTTTACATATTTAATTATTAATTCATTTATTTTGCACATTTAAAAAAGTTTATAATGTGCTCTCATCTTGCTTTTATTTTTTCAACAATGACAGGTTAAAAAACCTACCAGCTGATTTGTTGAATCATACATTTTATTGATGCTGCTTTTTTTTTCTCTCCTCTCCTTCCAAGTTTACAAGAAAAGCAGCCATACTGTGAAAGAAAAGTCACCATAATGACATTTCTTCATTGGTGTTGTAGTAATGTGTTTTGACTAACCAAGTTACCACCAGGTAAATACACAATAATTAGGGGACTGTAAAACAAAAAGGGTTTCCCGCTATTTCAATGTGTACAGGGCAAAATGGACAGAGAGAGAATACATGCTGTAATGTTTATAGGGTTGAGAAAATCAGAGTTAAAGGTTCCTCACAGGAGCTTTAATGGCTGAATTTGAGGCCTTTAAGTGGGAGAGATGTTTGTTAGATGGACACCTAACTTGACTATTAACTGTTTCTTTCACTGCCGTAAGCAGAAGTTCACATACAATGAGTTTAGAGGTTTAAAAATGAAATGGTATTATCCTTCATTGTTTTTGTCAGTAGTAAAGAGTGTAAAATGGAAAAAGCAGGAGTAAGAAGTGCTTCAGATACAGAAAAATATGAGATATATTTAAAAAAAAACAAAAACAAAAACAATTTCAAAAGAAAACATTAGTTACTTAGCATCTTGTGCCATCAAATTGAGTGTGATTTTTCACATTGAAAAAGAGAATGTGACATTCTGTATGTTTTTAAACCCTCTGACCTGAGCAGATCAGTAACCACAGAGAGCAAAGAGAGAAGGAGCAAGTTTGGTTTACTGAGAAGATTTTGAGAGAGAGAGTTTGGTTTATCGAGAAGATACACAGAGAGAGTTTGTTTTATCAAGAGCTTTTGATTCAGAATAATCTACAGCATCAAATTAACTTAGTTTTTTGCTGATTTATCTGAATATTTTTGAAGACCAAGTCCAGAGTTTGATTTTGAAGATGTCTGGTTTCCAGTTAGCCACTGGTTCAAAGATCTTTTCAAGATCCACCACCTACACGGTGCAGTCCATCCTCGGACAGGGCTCCTACGGCACAGTCGCAAAGTGCACCGACATGAGCGACAACACGACTGTTGCCATCAAGACAATGAAGAACGAGGACACCTTTGACAACGCAGCATGGAAAGAGGTGAGAAGAGCAAACTAGCCATGCTTGCTAAAAACTTAGGCAGATTGTTTTCTATCCACAGTATCTGATCACTGCTCTTTAATGTGTGTAAATCCAAACTAAAACCTGTCTGTCATGTGTCCTCAGGTGAATTCCCTCTTAGACCTGTCAGTGCTCGACTCGGACAAGTCCAACATTGTCAAATTTCACAAAGCCTTCACTGACAGAGGTCATTTTTGTATGGTGTTCGAGCACTTGGACAAAAGCCTCGCTGATTTTATGGAGGAGAGCAACTTGGAACCTCTCCTTTTGAGCGAGATCAGACCGATCATCCAGCAGGTATGAGCAAATGAATTTATTTCTGCTTTTAAACAAGAACAAATACTGATGTTGACGTAACATCCTGAGCTTTGTTGTTCAATTAATGACCTTAATGACTTCTTAGGTCGCCAATACTCTGGATCATTTGAAGACCGTCGGTATGATCCACGCAGACCTTAAGCTTGACAACGTCATGCTGGTGGATCATCAACATCAGCGCTACAGAGTCAAAGTGATTGACTTCGGTCTCGCAGAAGATGTGTCAGCAGCAACAGTGGGCTCAAACATCCAGACCCGTCCATACAGGTAAGGAACCAGAACCACGTCTGATATCTCAGCTGTTTATTGGGGGCTTGCACATCAACACATACTAGGTTTTTAAACATGCCAATTTTAAAATAGCAAAAATAAGAATATATTTTGCAAAAGTTCAAACACTAAGGATGTTGTGTATACAAAAATTAATGTTAAATTTTTAAATTACGCAATTTTAGTGTTTTTAGTGTTTTTAGTGTTTTAGTGTTTAGAGTTTTTTCATATAGATAATTTGCCCGTGGCCTTAAAAAATGTCATGTGGTGCGACCATAATTTATCTCAAAATTATTACATTTTTTCAACATACTTAATAGTTTTTTACAAATTGTCAGTAATATCAAGTAGATAGAAACAAAGTGTTTGCATTTCATTTGAGTTTTTGTAAATAATGATCTCACATTTTAGCTCTATAATGTCACGGTAGCTATATTAAATGTAGTTAACTGACTCATTTTTTCTTTAAATTGCGTAATACTGTTAAAAATGTTTTAAAACTACCTTTCACTTAAGCATATTGTATTTAATACTATTAATGTTATCACTGGTCACACCACATGATATTTTGACACTCTCAAGTTCAGATAATTTTCAAATAAGACCTGATTTTTTAAAAGTTGAAGTGACAACATATTTGCGAGAGACACTACATATAGAAAGCCTGTTTTTGTGCATTTAAACCTTTTTTAACTTAAAAAAATACAGACGGACAGAATATTTAGACGTCACCTCATTGACCCACTTATGTTTTGTTGGAGGATTTGCTGCATTATTTGTAGAATTGATGTGTGATATGTCTTTGTTTGTCCTCTCATAGATCTCCAGAGATTCTTTTGGGGCTTCCCTACACAGAGGCCATCGACATGTGGTCTCTGGGTATCATGGCTGCCGGCATGTACCTTGGCTATTTTCTGTATCCTGGCCTGACTGAATTTGATATGGTACTTAAAGTTTACTGTTTCTTTCTCACTCCTCACTGAACTCCTCACTTTATAACTTCTTCACATCAATGTGTATTTGATTGAAACATATTTTTCAATCTTTTAATTAATTTATTCTTCCATGGAGAATTTCCTCTTCACTTTGATGTCACCATGTAACTTCTTGTTGTGCTGCATTTTCAGATGAGGTTCATTGTTGAGACTCAGGGTCCACCACCAGACAACCTGCTCAACGAGGGGCTCAAGACATCCGACTTTTTCCAGAGCGTTAACCAGCCCGACTGTCAATGGAAAATCAAGGTACCAAACATTAACTCTTACCCTACACTTTACCAGTAGCCAGTCACATTTTTCTTAAATATGGGTGTTGATTTGGAGGCATTATTGTGTCTCGTTGGCTAAGAAGGTTTCCCAGGTGTGTCAAAGTTAAACATAGTCTTGTTTTTTACCAAGTATTAGTTTTCTGGGATATAGCTCAGCTGAAGAAAGCATAAACCGTTCAACTGATTTATGCAAGTTGCTAGAACATGCTTCAGTCATTTTTAGGTTTTCTTTATGCAATGTCACTGAATGTAAACAAATATGATATACTGAGCATTTTGAAACAGTCACCACCAGGGAAGCTGGAGTGTTGTGGGGCAGTTTTTGTAGCCTAGCCAGAGTAAACGCTGGTGAGAGGGGCCCTGAAATTGAGATTGAGGGCAGTTCCAGTAAAAAAAAAGGCCTTAGCAGACACAGCCCTGAATATCAGTGTATTGTGACAGATGTGCATAAATAAAGCTCTTTCTGTTCTTTTGCTAGTGACAGTCATTAAAGGGCAGTAATGCTTTGATTTTAGATATGACCACATTTGAAATACCTCAGACACCTTGATGGGAATTGTCCCATACATGTCTTGTACAAAACTAACTAGCCCTGAATGTAGCAGCTAACAAACTCACTTTTTTTTTAGAGCGAGGAGGCGTACTTTGAGGAGACAGGTGTCACGCCAACAGAGACTAGAATGTTCTTCTTAAGGTCTCTGGATGAACTTCTGAATGTACGTACTTTTGTTTTTGTCATTTATTTTAAAAAATCAATGAAAAAACATTTTGAGTTTTTGTCGGTTTTCTGGTGATAGAAGTAACACCCCTGACTGTGATTGTCTTTGTCCTCTCTACAGATTCGAAGTTTAAAGTCGGACACTCCTGCAGAGAGAATTCTGGAGACCAGGGACAGGCGGGCCTTTCTAGACCTGCTGAAGGGGATGCTCCAGCTTGATGCAGCCAACAGACTGACACCCCGTCAGGTGCTGGAGCATCCCTTCATCACCATGAGCCACCTCACCAGAAGGTTTCCCTACTGGTCTTAGTAAGTGAAGACTAAAATTCTTCAACATTCAGAGTTTTTAGTACCTCTTGTGGTGAATGTTTGCAGGAAATACCTCACTTCTCCAGAACATGTTTATGTAATAGATGATTTGTGTCTGTATTACTTATACTTTCTGTAAGTCACATGACCAGTGAATAAGTCTGATTGATTATTTTTTTGTCTTGCAGTGTCTTTTCATCTTTGGAGACCATGGCCGCCTTTAGAAACAGCAATCCAGGCTCCAACAGTGAGAATGCTGGGGGGTCTTCACAGCCTTCCCCCCCTAGCAAACCTCAACCCTCCCAGCAGAGCCGTTCTGCTCCTCCTGCTTGTAGCAGCTGCAACCTAGACCCGTCACGGTCGCCCATCAACCCTCATCCTCACACTCCTTCCTCATCAACAAGTGGAGGCCAGAAAGGGAGAAAAAGAAAGCTTGATGAAGTTGATGGAAGCACGGACGAGACCTGCAAGTCTCCAAAAAAAGTGAAGTCTGAGCACAGGTAGGATAATCTACATCAGTCACATTCTTATCAACCAGTCTAAAAAACAAATCTGAAGACTTTAGAGGTAGATGGAAACTTTTCTGGTCTTTTTGCATCATAATAATTTAACCTTTTTGATAAAGTTACAGTAAAACACCTGCCTGCCAGTCCACCCCCTGCAGCAGCCAGCATGCCGCTGACAAGGCCCAGATGATCACTCCTAAGAGGGACCACCATGTTCCCCCTACTCCAACTGACCTCAACACAACCCTTCATTCGAGCTTGAGTCAGGCTAAAGTCCAGGACAGATCAGGACTCAAAAGAAAGGCAGCTCCAGATGAGGATGAGGAAATGTTAGGTCAGAGATCAGCAAAAAGGAGAATGATTTTGTAGATGGTTCAGGTGAGTCGACATAATCAACACACAATATGTAATGCATTTTCTAGTTTGAAACAAGAACATACTGTCAACCACAACAACACATGAGTTTGTTTAACAAGTCATCGTTGACTTCCAGGTCCAGAAGAGCGGACCGAACCTGAGTAATGACTGTGAAAGTCATTACAGCTGGACAACAACCTCCATCTGCTGTTTTTGTGAAGTTTTTTTTGTGAAGATCTGATGGCCTGACGACGTGGATTTAAAATATGTTTTAATTTTTGATGTTCAAAGAAACCTGCTTTCAGCTGGACAGGAGTTGTGTCCAGCTGAGAAACAGTTTTCACTGTGATCGAACTTTGGTATGTTCTTGAACTCTCTGGATGAACTTCTGAATTTACGTACTTTTGTTTTTGTCATTTATTTTAAATGTTTTCAATTTTTGTTGGTTTTCTGGTGATAAAAGTAACACCACTGACTGTGCTTGTCTTTGTCCTCTCTACAGATTCAAAGTTTAAAGTCTGACACTCCTGCGGACAGAGTTTTGGAGATCTGAGCCAAGCAGGGCTTTAAAGACACGCTGAAGTAAATGCTCCAGCTTGATGCAGCCTCACTGATGAAGATGAGCAGCATCACTTCATCAGCATGAGCCACCTCACCGCAGGCTGCCCAACATGTATAAGTAAGTGAAGATTAAAAGTCTTCAACATTCAGTGTTATTAGTACCTCATCTGGAGACTGTTTGCAGGAAATACCTCACTCCTCGACCAAATGTTTCTACAATAGATGATTTGTGTCTGTATTACTTATACTTTCTGTAAGTCACATGACCAATAAAGAAGCCTGATTGATTATTTGTTGTCTTGCAGTGTCTTTTCATCTTTGGAGACCATGGCCGCCTTTAGAAACAGCAGTCCAGGCTCCAACAGTGAGAATGCTGGGGGGTCTTCACAGCCTTCTCCCCCCAGCAAACCTCAACCCTCCCAGCAGAACCGTTCTGCTTCACCTGCTGGTAGCAGCTGCAACCTAGACCCGTCATGGTCGCCCATCAACCCTCATCCTCACACATCGTTCACCATCAACAAGTGGAGGCAAGACAAGTAGAAGAAGAAAGCTTGAGGACGTCGATGGAAGCACAGACGAGAGCTGCAATTGTCCTAAAAAAGTGAAGTCTGGGCACAGGTAGGATAATCTACATCAGTCACATTCTTATCAACCAGTTGACAAAACAAATCTAAAGACTTTTTTTGTTTTTTTGGTCTTTCTGCTTCATAATGATTCAACCTTTTTCTCTTTTTTTTAAATCAAATGACAGTGAAACACCTGCATGCCTGTCAACCACCTGCAGCAGCCAGCATGCAGCTGATGATGCCCAGACGATCACTCCTGTGAGGGACCACCCTGTTTATCCTCCCGGGCGGATCACGGACACTCAAGAGAGGAAGAGGAAGAGAGCCGGATAAGGAATTGGCTGTCAACAATCTGATCCAGAAAGTCCTCAAACGGACCACAACACGACTCTTCATCCAAGCTTGAGTCAAGCTGAAGACAAGGGCCATTCAGGGCTTAAAAGAAAGGCAGCTTAAGATGAAGATGAGAAAATGTTTCTGCTTCAAACTGATTTAATCTTTTTTTTTTTTTATCAAATTACAGTAAACCCCTGCATGCCAGCCCACCTCCTGCAGCAGCCAGAGAGAAGCTGATGACACCCAGACAATCACTCCTTCGAGGGACCAACCTATTCATCCTCCTCAGCAGAACACTCAACTCAGCAGCTCGAGATGAAGAACAGCAAATGTTTGGTCGGGGATCAGAAGAAAGGAGAAGTTTGTAGATGGTTCAGGTGAGTCAATATTGTTAAAACACAATATGTAATGCATTTTCTAGTTTGAAACAAGAACATGCTGTCAACCACAACAACACATGAGTTTGTCTAACAAATTATTGTTGACTTCCAGGACCAGAAGAGCAGACTGAACCTGAACAGAACCACCACAGTGGAGTTTGTGACTGTTGAAAGTCATTACAGCTGAACAACAACCTCCATCTGCTGTTTTTGTGAAGATCTGATGGCCTGACGACGTGAATTTAAAATATGTTTTAATTTTTGATGTTTAAAGAAACCTGTTGTGCCCAGCCTAGAAACTGTTTTCACTGTGATCGAACAGCAACCGCCATCTGATGACCTGATGCTATGTGTTTAAAATATGTTTTGATTTTATGTGTTAAAGGAAATGTGCTTTCAGCCGGACAGGAGTTGTGTCCAGCAGAGAAACTGTTTTTACTGTAAACAAATATTTATATGTGATTCAAATTCATTGCATTTGTATTTAATAATTTTGTCAAATAAATGTTTCAAAATTCATATTTTTGCCCATACTGGAGAGTCAAACGTTTCTTGAAATTACACCTCTTTTGTAATCCTTCACAGTGATTCTCTTACTGTAGAGACACATTTTGTCACATCTTGAACACAAAACAAAAGGGAGGACCCGTGTCTAGAACTTAAAAGGTTTTATCAAATCAAAATCAAAAGGAAAGGTCAGAGAAAAACTTTCTTCTCAAAATGTCCAACCAAAAAAATCTGATGAAAAATACATAAGGATCAATAACTGGGCCTCGGAGCTCACTTCCACAACGGTCTAGGCTGTCAATAAAATCTCTTAAAGCTGTTGCTGCCTCCATTACTTGCTTTTGGGTCTTCACAAGAAAAATCTCATTACAAAATCCTCACAGTAAATTATAAATCATAGTAATTATAGATTATAGATAAATGAACTATTAACTGCCATGCAGGCAATAGAACAGTCAGTGTAAAGGCAACCAAAGTCAAGAGGAATGTTTAGCTCATGACTTATGACTACCTGTAGGACACGCAATGTCTGCCAGGTAACAGCTTATTCAGCAATTTTTTTTGTTATTATTTTATTTCTTCAACTCAATTTGATCCCAAACCAATTTCAACATTTGGTCAGAGATCAGAAAAAAAGGAGTTTGTAGATGGTTCAGGTGAGTCAATATAGTCAACAAACAATGTGCAATGCATTTTCTAGTTTGAAACAAGAACATGCTGTCAACTACTACAACACATGAGAGTGTCTAACAAGTATTTGTTGACTTCCAGAACCACAGGAGGGTACTGAACCTGAGCAGTACCACCAAAGTGGAATTTGTGACTGTGAAAGTCATTACAACTGAAAATCAACCTCCATCTGGCTACCTTAAGAAGCAACAATCCAGGCTCCAACAGTGAGAATGCTGGGGGGTCTTCACCTGATCACGTACCTGAGCATAAGCTGAATTAGGAAATAAAAACAGGGACCCCTATAATTTATTTTCATTTATTAACATTTATTTTCCTCAGGTTCACTTTTATGATTTTACAGTAGTTTCCGTTTCAAATGTCTCTAGTCCACTTCCATCCACTAGATGGCGCAGTGGCGCTGGTGGCCTAGAGTAGCGTTAGAGCACAGAGGGAGAATAAATCATTAACAGCCGCTAAACGTGAGTCTCTTCTATTCTTTCCACAGGTTAGTAAAACGTACTTTAAAAGTCAAACAGCAGCTCTTAAACGTCTTAGAAAATCAGCACTTAATACTGTGAGTTTGCACGAGTGGTTGAACGAGATCGTATAGTAGTATGAGTGAGTAAGCATTGTCACAATTATAGTAGCAAAGGTAACTAGGAATTCCTCCATACAGTTTTTATGCAAAAAAAATTCGTAGGTTTATATTTTGTATGTCAGCTTTTAATATTTCTTAATTTATTAGTTTTTGTATATTATATTCTCAGCCCTTACAGTTACAAAATTAATAGAGGGGAGAAGGTAGAAAAGACCTTAAAGACATACAATGAAAGGAACTTATACCAAACACCTATTAAAGGGATATTGCACCTTAAAATTAATTAAGGGTCAAACACACTGTAACACCAAGTTAGACACCCCGTCGAGAGATGAATGTTGCCGACCGCTTGCTTCTCTAGTCATATACCAACTTGAGTAAGGACTGCACGATAGCAATACACAGCGGTCTTAGGAACCATAAACAAACCTCAACCAAAATGCCGCTCTATAGTCACAAATAATGCTCAGAACAGCTCCTAACTTCATCAACACAACATATAGGGTCCTACCCACAGCACTAGCCACCAAATATCTTTTGAACTTTGCCTAATTTCCTAAGCAAAGAGACTAAACACAACTCACCTACTCTCTTCTAGCAGCCCCTAGTTTGTAGCGAGACCTCAGGCCAGTCCATTATAGACTGCTGCGGGGTGACGCAGCTCAAGGAAGAACATTTATGATAATTTCTTCATGGAAATGAAGCAGAAGAACTACCGGGTCTGCAGTGCAAAACAATTAATATGGTGATTATTACTTCAAGGAAATGATGATAGAGATGCATTTCAGTTGAGGTTTGTTCATGGCTCCTCAGACCACTGTGTATTGCTATCCTGCAGTTGTTACTCAAGTTGGTATAACTAGAGAAGCAAGCGGTTAGCAACATTAATCTCTCGAGGGGGTGTCTAACTCGGTGTTACAGTGTGTTTGACCCTAAATTCATTTTACGCCGGAATATCCCTTCAAGGTTGTTTGCTAAATGTTTTCATATTTATTCAATATTTTGCTTGCAGCACTCATGATCGACCTTGGAATAAATGGTCTGTCAACATGGTGTTTTCTTGGTCAGAGGCTGTAACACTGACATAGTCCTCAGTGGTTATGGAGTCAGAATATGTAAGTTTTACTCACATTAAACTTGACGTTTCACCGGGTTCATAAACTTTATGTGACAGAAATACCCATTCACACAGTACCGCTGCAGTAAAGTTGCTAAAAGCTGCAGAAAAGTATGTTGAAAAACTGCAGTTCAAAGGAAATAGAACAAATAAAGCATTCAAAGCTGCGAGGGTTTCATCAGCAGATCAGTCCTCAGCAGCCTCTTCCTATTGTCACTCCACAGCACTTTTCCGTTTTTTGTTTTGCATTATTGGTGTACAGACAACTCTTCCCTGTGGAGGAGACAGGAATAAGAAAATGTTATTGAAATGTTAAAATTTTAAAATGTTTTATACAGTCTATTGCTATGATTGGGGCGGCATTCAGACATCATGTTAACTCCTAGGTAACTTAAGACTCACTTTGTAGGTTTTAAATCAAGATGATTAGTGTAATTGTCCTTTAACTGAACCTACCAAACATCAACATAAACAACTTTTAGCACTAAAGGATAGTTAAATTTGTATTTTCTAGAATGGCAAAGGTGGCAACAGGAGGAGCTGATGGACTGATTCTCACCTCCTGTATTTGCTCTTCCATCCACTCTGAGTCTGATCGAATACAGTACCATTTCCCCTCTTGAACTTTAACCCTGGAATTAGATGCAAACGATAAAAATGTTCATTTTTCAACACCTGGTAATAATGGACTCCTTCTCCCCCCAATGTTCTTGCAGAAAAACTACAGCTTCATCTGATTTCATATCTATCTATCTATCTATCTATCTATCTATCTATCTACATATATATCTATATATAGATATAGATATATATGCCTTACTTACGCATAGTTACTGGAGTAGCACTGTTTAGTGGGTATCTGTAAGAAGCACTCCATGATCTCTTCACTTATGGAGGTGTTAGCTTCAAGACAGCAGGGCTGACCTTTAAACATTATATCTGACAAACACGCACAGACATACAGAGAAGGGAAACAAAATTATTTATATAAAGAGACCTTTTATACATTTTTTATAATGTAAATTTAAAAAATTTAGTTTTTTCCCCTTTTATGAAATGCAGCTTTTGAAAAGAGAAATTCTCCTCAATACAGTTTCTAAAAGGTTAATCAAGTTAAAACAGAAAAGTGTTTGAAAAAGTAAACTCACATAAAAATTAGTCTGTAAAAATAAGTTTCTAAAGGTGATTGAAAGGATTTAAAACCGTACAAATCTATGGAGAGGCAGACACAAAAGAATTTAAAAGCAGAAATTACAATCTGTTAGACTGGAGTAAGAAATGAGTTTTATTAACAGCATTTCTAACTTTGTACTTAAGGGGGCCAATCTGGCTGGCTACAGGGGACCAGAGGGACCCCATGAACAGGAGGACGGTGATGGACAGGATCTTCAGGGACATTTTGATCCACAGGCAGACTGATTGAACTGCAACTACACAATCTGATAGAAGTCTGGATATTTATGGGTCAGTGATAGTGACCATCCTTGGAGGGGTTGGTAAAAGGCCACTTATGACGTATTTCCTAATGCATCTGTGTGCAGACATGAAGTCTTTTTGCGTTTTTATGTACTTCAAAGTGTTGAGGATATCTGAACCTGCACACCATACCAACAATAAATCCATCAGTTCAGACTAGAATGAAGCAAAGACATTTTTCAGTTTGATTCTCATGATTCTGCTTTTGTTTTCCACGGAAAATAAGAGTTTTCTTTAATAACTGTCAGATTACTACACAGTCATGCAAACAAATGTTGGCATGATGCAACATCAGCGTCTTTATCTGTCTAATCGCTTTATCATTTTCCATCTCACCATGACATGAAGAAAAGTTACTTACTGGACATGTTGCAATAACAGGACAAACACTAAACTGTACATGCAGCCAAGTCTGTTTGCACAAATACTGGATCAGAATATGAACTCAGATGTTCATCAAAACATTTTTCTAATCATGAGACACTTATACTTGTTTGTTGTTTGTGTAAAGATATAGACTCTTTTAAAACATCTGGATCAGCGTCTCTACTACATCTTAAAGGGTTGAACTGTTGGGTCATTGTCTGAAAAGTCTTGACCGCTGAGCTGCAAAAACAAAACCAGAATCCTCTCCTGACCCCTCTCAATACTTACTTCATTCTTCCGTCACTTGTGTAGTTGTGATGTTATTTCCTTATGGAAGAGCTTCACTCACAGTTATCTTAATGTGTCATGGTGTTTGTAGTGTAACTCAGCACAGAAATGCTTGTCAGGACTTGGTCATATTTCTTTATTTTCAGAAGAATTCAACATGATGGTAAAAGCTGCAGAAAAGTCTGTAGAGAAAAAAGCATTGCAAAGAAAATATAACAGATGAAGCATCAAAATCCAGGAGGATTTCATCAGCAGAGATGAGCCCAATAGTTTCATCTTTTTTCCAACATCAATTTTCATTCCTCTAGTAAACAGGTTCTTCTGAACAGCTGACTTTACCCTGTGGAGAAGAGAGAAAAAGACAAAAATTGGTTTAAGTGCTTTCTCTGAACTTGAGCTTTTATGTTGTTTGTGATTTTATACAGTTTGCTGTTGTAACAGTTAACAAAGACTGTATCTGTGCAGGTTTTAAGATGGTGGACAAAAGTGTCATTTTACTGAATGTGCTAACCTCAGTCATTTCTCAGGTAGGGTGTGACAAAGTAACTTATGTGTAATAAACTCATTCTTACCTGCTGTATTTGCTGTTTCATCCACAGCGAGTCAGATTTGATACATTGCCAGTTGCCACTCTCCTCTTTGACCCTGGAAACAAAATTGAAACTGTTAATTTGACATTCCGATGATTTTACCCTGCTGCTTTCTCTTTCTCGCTTTCTTATTTCCCTTCTGTTGACGGTTTACACATTAATTGTATTACTGAGGCCAGTTTGCTGTACTTACGCAAAGTTATCTGAGTAGCAGTCCCCCGTTGGTTTCTGTTTGATGCACTCTACGATCGGTTGGTCAGTGTACGGCTTAGCAAAATAACAGCAGACTTCAATTACCAAGCCTCTCCCTGCAATAAACCAACACACACATGAGGTTTCAAAGAAACTAGCTTTGACATTATGACGCCTTCATTGGATCCTCGTTAAAGGTCTTGTCACAAAGTCATTTTTAGTGTTGTCCTCCCTTGAACAAGATCTGGCAACTTATGTGCTTCCTAAGAGATAAAATCCAGAGCTATAACACATCCCCCATATCTCAAAATCTTATGTAGTTTATAGCTGCAAGAGTAAACGCAACTCACTTGTTATAGAAACAAGATGTTTTTATCAAATATTTTTAAAAATTTCCTCTTGATCTCTAGTTTAATCGTCCATTTGCCAAGTATTAACCATTAAAAATGAAAAATCCCCAAAAGTTATTTCACTTTTTAAATCAGAACAGAAACAAAGATGAAGCTAAAACAACTCATTTCTTATTATGTAAATTAAAATTTTAAGTTTTTTACCCTTTAATGAAAGGCAGCTGTGGAATACCTTTTATAAAAAGGAAAATCTCCTCAATATTGTTTTTGATAAGTTAATTAAGTTAAAACAGAAAAGTGGACGTAGAAACAGACGTAAAAATAAGTCTGTAAATATGAGTTTCTAAAGGGGATTAAAAGGATTTAAATCAGTACAAATTTACAGAGAGGCAGATACAAAAGAATAAAAAAAATTAACATCTGTAAGACTAAAGTAAGAAATTAGTTTTCTAAACAGCATTTCTAACTTTGTACTTACAGCGTTTCTCCAGGCTGGCTGCAGAGGACACAAGGGACCCCATGAACAGGAGGACGGTGATGGACAGGATCTTCAGGGACATTTTGATCCACAGGCAGACTGATCGGACTGCAACTACACAATCTGATAGAAGTCTAGATATTTATAGGTATGTGATAATGATCATCCTTGGAGGGGTTGGTAAAAGGCCACTTATGACGTATTTCCTAATGCATCTGTGTGCAGACATGAAGTCTTTTTGTGTTTTTATGTACTTCAAAGTGTTGAGGATATCTGAACCTGCACACCATACCAACAATAAATCCATCAGTTCAGACTAGAATGAAGCAAAGACATTTTTCAGTTTGATTCTCATGGTTCTGCTTTTGTTTTCCACGGAAAATAAGAGTTTTATTTAATAACTGTCAGATTACTAATCAGTCATGCAAACAAATGTTGGCATGAAGCAACATCAGCGTCTTTATCTTTCTTATCGCTTTATCATTTTCCATCTCACCATGACATGAAGAAAAGTTACTTACTGGACATGTTCCAATAACAGGACAAACACTAAACTGTACATGCAGCCAAGTCTGTTTGCACAAATACTGGATCAGAATATGAACTCAGATGTTCATCAAAACATTTGCTAATCATGAGACACTTATATTTGACTATAAACAGTCCAAAGACGGTATTTTAAATTCTGTTGGTTTGTGTAAAGATATAGACTCTTTTGAAACATCTGGATCAGCGTCTCTACTACATCTTAAAGGGTTGAACTGTTGGGTCATTGTCTGAAAAGTCTTGACCGCTGAGCTGCAAAAACAAAACCAGAATCCTTCCGTCACTTGTGTAGTTGTGATGTTATTTCCTTATGTAAGAGCTTCACTCACAGTAACCTTAATGTGTCATGGTGTTTGTAGTGTACTCAGCACAGAAATGCTTGTCAGGACTTGGTCATATTTCTTTATTTTCAGAAGAATTCAACATGATGGTAAAAGCTGCAGAAAAGTCTGTAGAGGAAAAAAGCATTGCAAAGAAAAAATAACAGATGAAGCATCAAAATCCAGGAGGATTTCATCAGCAGAGATGAGCCCAATAGTTTCATCTTTTTTCCAACATCAATTTTCATTCCTCTAGTAAACAGGTTCTTCTGAACAGCTGACTTTACCCTGTGGAGAAGAGAGAAAAAGACAAAAATGGGTTTAAGCGCTTTCTCTGAACTTGAGCTTTTATGTTGTTTGTGATTTTATACAGTTTGCTGTTGTAACAGTTAACAAAGACTGTAACTGTGCAGGTTTTAAGATGGTGAACAAAAGTGTCATTTTACTGAATGTGCTAACCTCAGTCATTTCTCATACAGAAGCCTCGCTTAAAGGGTGGTGGCGGTGGGCTGGCTGTGATTTATCGGGCTGACATCCTCACCAAGGAGGTGGCAGTAACCACTGCCACCTCTTTTGAATGCATAGTGTTCACACTGGCTGGTTTCTCCCAACTCCAGTTTGTGTTGGTGTACCGTCCACCTAAAAACACCAGCTCTGACCGGTCTGCCTTCCTGTCAGAACTATCTGAGCTACTCACCTCTGTCTGTGCCATGTCTCCATCCACGTACTTGCTGGGGGACATGAATGTGCACGTGGATTCCACCAGCTGTGCTTTCGCCACCGAGTTCATGTCAGTGTTGGAATGGTTTAATTTCAGTCAACATGTGCGTGGCCCTACCCACAACAAGGGTCATACGCTGGACTTGGTGTGCTCCACTGGTACCCCCCCCCCCCCCCCCATCCACCTGCAGTGCCTGGACCTTGCTATCTCTGACCATCATGCCATTGCCTTCTCTGTCCCTGCCTCCCGGCCTGGGCAGCGGCCAAAACGCACCATCACCTACCGGAACATTAAGGCTGTGAGTCCTCCAGCCCTATCCACCATGATTGCTGCCCACCTAGCTGGGATCTCCCCTGACCCCTCCGATTGTGACCTGGTCTCTTCCTACAACACTGCTCTCGCCCTTAGCCTGGACTCTCTCGCCCCCATCAAAACACTGACAGTTTCATTCAACCGGCCGGCTCCCTGGTTCACTCCCGCGCTCCGGGCCATGAAGTCCACTGGCCGACGGCTGGAGAGGCTCTACAAAAAATCTGGCCTCACTGTCCACCTTCTGGCCTTCCACGACCACGTAAAAAACTACAAGGACACTCTCTCACAATCCATAACCCAGTACTACTCCACCCTTATCGGGTCTCAGGAGAACCACCCCAGAAAGCTGTTTTCCACAGTGAACAAGCTTCTCAGCCCCCTCCCATCCGTTCCAGCCTCTGGTGACTCTGACCTCTGCCATAGATTCCTGAACTTCTTCCACGACAAGGTGGATACCATCCATCAGCAGCTCCAGACATCCACCACCTGTCTGCATACACCTCAGCTGCAGGACACTGCCCCCTCTGCCACGTGTCCCCCGTTCACCTCCTTCACTCCAGTGGATGAATCCCTTACCACCGAACTGGTCACCAAAGCCAAGGCCTCCAGTTGCTCCCTGGACCCTATGCCCACGACGCTGGTAAAGGCCTGTCTACCGACCCTGGTTCCCATCATTACTAACATCATCAACTCCTCTCTGCTATCCGGCATGGTTCCCACCTGTTTCAAAACCGCATCTGTCACCCCCATACTGAAAAAGCCTGGTCTGGACCCCGATGACCTTACCAACTACCGGACGATTTCCAATCTCCCGTTCCTCAGCAAGACCCTGGAAAGAGTAGTCACCGTGCAGCTCCAGCAGCACATGTCCGACCACAAACTCTCCGAACCCTTCCAGTCTGCCTACAGAGCGCACCACAGCACTGAGACCGCCTTGGTTAAAATCATCAATGACCTCCTCATCGCGGCTGACTCCGGCAACATCAGCATCCTCATCCTGTTGGACCTCTCTGCAGCCTTTGACACAGTCTCTCACTCCATCCTCCTCAACCGCCTCTCTACACACCTCAATATCACTGGATCTGCGCTCTCCTGGTTTCACTCCTATCTGTCCAACCGCCTGCAGTTTGTCTCAATGCATGGTTCCAAGTCCCACAGGGTTCCGTACTTGGTCCACTCCTCTTCACCATATACATGCTCCCACTCGGCCAGATCATCCGTAAGCACGGCCTTGATTTCCACTGTTACGCCGATGATACACAGATATATCTCAGCACCACACCCACCACTCTGCTCCCTCCACTCCCCATTGTTAACTGCCTACAAGAAATAAAAACCTGGCTGACCACCAACCTCCTCCAACTCAACGCCAAGAAAACAGAGCTCTTGCTCATGGCTCCTAAGGCACTGCTTCGCAGAATGGGTGATTTCCTCCTCCATATTGACGGCTGCTCCATCTCCCCATCTTCCGAGGTGCGCAACCTGGGCGTCATCTTGGACTCTGCCCTTTCATTCCAAACCCACATTAAATCCGTAACTAAGTCAGCCTTTTTCCACCTTAAGACCATCTCCAGACTCCGCTCGTCCCTCTCGGACTCTGTCGCAGAAACCCTCATCCATGCCTTTGTATCCTCCCGCTTAGACTACTGCAACGGTGTCCTGTTCGGACTTCCTAAAAAAGACTTGGACTGTCTGCAGTACGTTCAAAATTCAGCTGCCAGAGTGCTCACCCGGACCAAACCTTGGCAGCACATCACCCCCACCCTCAAACGCCTCCACTGGCTTCCCATCAAATATCGCATCATCGACAAACTCCTCCTGCTCACCTACAAAGCTCTCCATGCCCTAGCCCCATACTATCTGTCTGACCTCCTCAAGGACTACATCCCGGCGCGTACTCTGCGGTCTGCGGACCTTGGGCTCCTCACTGTCCGCTATGGGAAAAGACCATCCCTCGGTGACAGAGCCTTCAGTGTGCCCGCCCCTCCTCTCTGGAACTCTCTCCCCTCTGAGATTCGCCAAGCACAGACTCTTGACTCTCAAGTCTGCTCTGAAGCGACACTTGTTTATTCAGGCTTTTGGTATTTAGTTAGTTTTTTTTTTTTTTTTTTTGTAGTGTGTTGTTAAGCGCTTTGGGTATCCTGAAAGGCGCTATATAAATGTAAGATATTATTATTATTATTTCTCAGGTAGGGTGTGACAAAGTAACTTATGTGTAATAAACTCATTCTTACCTGCTGTATTTGCTGTTTCATCCACAGTGAGTCAGATGTGACACAGTGCCAGTCGCCACTCTCATCTTTGACCCTGGAAACAAAATGAAAACTGTTAATTTGACATTCTGATGATTTTACCCTGCTGCTTTCTCTTTCTCGCTTTCTCATTTTCCTTCTGTTGACGGTTTACACATTAATTGTATTACTGAGGCCAGTTTGCTGTACTTACGCAAAGTTATCTGAGTAGCAGTTCCCCGTTGGTATCTGTTTGATGCACTCTACGATCGGTTTGCGAAAGTACGGCCGAGCCAAATAACAGCAGACTTCAATTACCAAGCCTCCCCCTGCAATAAACAAACACACACATGAGGTTTCGAAGAAACTAGCTTTGACATTATGACACCTTCATCAGATCCTCATTAAAGGTATTGTCACAAAGTCATTTTTAGTGTTGTCCTCCCTTGAACAAGATCTCGCAACTTATGTGCTTCCTAAGAGATAAAATCCAGAGCTATAACACATCCCCCATATCTCAAAATCTTATGTAGTTTATAGCTGCAAGAGTAAACACAACTCACTTGTTATAGAAACAAGATGTTTTTATCAAATATTTAAATACATTTCCTCTTGATCTCTAGTTTAATCCTCCATTTGCCAAGTATTAACCATTAAAAATAAAAAATCCCCAAAAGTTATTTCACTTTTTAAATCAGAACAGAAACAAAGATGAAGCTAAAACAACTCATTTCTTATTATGTAAATTAAAATTTTAAGTTTTTTACCCTTTAATGAAATGCAGCTGTGGAATACCTTTTATAAAAAGGAAAATCTCCTCAATATTGTTTTTAATAAGTTAATCAAGTTAAAACAGAAAAGTGGACGTAGAAACAGACGTAAAAATAAGTCTGTAAATATGAGTTTCTAAAGGGGATTAAAAGGATTTAAATCAGTACAAATTTACAGAGAGGCAGATACAAAAGAATAAAAAAAATTAACATCTGTAAGACTAAAGTAAGAAATTAGTTTTCTAAACAGCATTTCTAACTTTGTACTTACTGGGGGCATTTTTGCCGTCTGCAGAGGACACAAGGGACCCCATGAACAGGAGGACGGTGATGGACAGGATCTTCAGGGACATTTTGATCCACAGGCAGACTGATCGGACTGCAACTACACAATCTGATAGAAGTCTGGATATTTATGGGTAAGTGATAGTGACCATCCTTGGAGGGGTTGGTAAAAGGCCACTTATGACGTATTTCCTAATGCATCTGTGTGCAGACATGAAGTCTTTTTGTGTTTTTATGTACTTCAAAGTGTTGAGGATATCTGAACCTGCACACCATACCAACAATAAATCCATCAGTTCAGACTAGAATGAAGCAAAGACATTTTTCAGTTTGATTCTCATGATTCTACTTTTGTTTTCCACGGAAAATAAGAGTTTTATTTAATAACTGTCAGATTACTACACAGTCATGCAAACAAATGTTGGCATGAAGCAACATCAGCGTCTTTATCTTTCTAATCGCTTTATCATTTTCCATCTCACCATGACATGAAGATAAGTTACTTACTGGACATGTTGCAATAACAGGACAAACACTAAACTGTACATGCAGCCAAGTCTGTTTGCACAAATACTGGATCAGAATATGAACTCAGATGTTCATCAAAACATTTGCTAATCATGAGACACTTATATTTGACTATAAACAGTCCAAAGACGGTATTTTAAATATTGTTGGTTTGTGTAAAGATATAGACTCTTTTGAAACATCTGGATCAGCGTCTCTACTACATCTTAAAGGGTTGAACTGTTGGGTCATTGTCTGAAAAGTCTTGACCGCTGAGCTGCAAAAACAAAACCAGAATCCTTCCGTCACTTGTGTAGTTGTGATGTTGTTTCCTTATGTTAGAGCTTCACTCACAGTAACCTTAATGTGTCATGGTGTTTGTAGTGTACTCAGCACAGAAATGCTTGTCAGGACTTGGTCATATTTCTTTATTTTCAGAAGAATTCAACATGATGGTAAAAGCTGCAGAAAAGTCTGTAGAGGAAAAAAGCATTGCAAAGAAAAAATAACAGATGAAGCATCAAAATCCAGGAGGATTTCATCAGCAGAGATGAGCCCAATAGTTTCATCTTTTTTCCAACATCAATTTTCATTCTTCGAGAAAAACGAATTTTTCTGTACAGCTGACTTTACCCTGTGGAGAAGAGAGAAAAAGACAAAAACATTTCTCAGGTAGGGTATGACAAAGTAACTAATGTGGTGACAAGAGAGGCTGATAGAGTCATTCTTACCTGCTGTATTTGCTGTTTCATCCACTTTGACTTTGAGTCAATACAGAACCAGTCGCCACTCTCAACTTTGACCCTGAAAACAAAATGAAAACTGTAAATTTGACATTCCAATGATTTTACCCTGCTGCTTTCTCTTTCTCGTTTTCTCGTTTCTCTTCTGTTGACGGTTTACACATTCCTTGTATTACTGAGGCCCATTTGCTGTACTTACGCAAAGTTATCTGAGTTGCAGCTCCTCGTTGGTTTCTGTTTGATGCACTCTATGATCGTTTGGCCAGGGATGGCCAACCCTGCTTCAAGACAGCAGCCTTCATTTACCATGCCTTGCACTGCAATAAACCAACACACACATGAGGTTTCAAAGAAACTAGCTTTGACAATATGACACCTTCATCGGATCCTCATTAAAGTTCTTGTCACAAAGTCATTTTTAGTGTTGTCCTCCCTTGAACAAGATCTGGCAACTTATGTGCTTCCTAAGAGATAAAATCCAGAGCTATTACACATCCCCCATATCTCAAAATCTTATGTAGTTTATAGCTGCAAGAGTAAACGCAACTCACTTGTTATAGAAACAAGATGTTTTTAGTATTCATATATTAACCATTAAAAATAAAAAATCCCCAAAAGTTATTTCACTTTTTAAATCAGAACAGAAACAAACATGCTTGAAGCTAAAACAACTCCCTCAGGCTGTTCACTGATTTATCAATATGTTCTGTATTTACTTGAGTCGGTGATGAGCATCACTCCAGCGAAGGTGAGCAGACAGAGCCAGTGTCCTGCAGAAAGTTGCATCCTCATCCTCAAACGCTGGACGGCACCAAACCTGACTGGATCTCAGCTGAGGCGGTTGCGGTGTCTCTTACAGCTGAACTCGCTCAGGTCTGATGATAGGTTAACTAAGGAGATGTTATAAAATGCAGCTTCACATCAAACGAGGAACTGTTGTTGGCTGTGTAAGGTTCCTGGAGAGACACGCCTCAAAGAGAAAAGTGGGGTATTTTTTTTATCATGTAAAGCACAAAATATTTTTTACGCAGACACTGTTTTATTTTGTAATGTTTGATTCCTTGTGTTTCTAGTCTGTTTTTACTTCCCATGTTTTCCCTCCTTTGTTGATCACCCATGAGTTTCACCTGTGTCTCGTTTGTCTGCCAGTCACCGTGTTCCTTGATGTGTGAATCCCTAGTTTTTCAGTTGGACACTTGAAGTAAGTTTTTGTTGCTTTTCATTAAGTTCTTTTTAATGAATCCTTTTCTGTAGTCTGCATTTTTGGATCCTTTTTTCCGTTGGTCAACCCTGCGTTGTAACAATAAGGTTCAAGGAGAAAGTGGTTATACAGCACATGCTCAGCTTAAGGCTTAACATCATGATTACAAACAACATAACCCTTAAAATTATACTAAAAGGTATGGTTCATATAAACGTATTATACAGTAATGGGTTTAATAAAACATTTGAATGGTGACAACTGCACTCAGTTATAAAGGTCTCTAAAAAAAAGTCAAAATGTCTATGATTAATGATTTCTATGATGATTTAAGGCTGCTTCGAGAACTGAGTGATGATTTCACTGCCATATTTTGGTGCCAAATTTAGGCCCGTTTTTTCCTATAACCTAAACTTGAAATGTTCCAATTAGCTTAATTTGCGCTTTGTAATGACTCAGGACTCTCCTAACCCCTTTTCATTTTTACCTATCTGAAGTTTGTTTTGTTTAGGATGGTCTGTGAGGAATAACTAGTTCACTTTAAAGTTACACTGAACTGTTGGCCACACTGATGTTAAAGCAGTCACAGTAAAGTCATACTTGTTGCCGTAAGTCTGGCACTTTTCTTAAAAATAAGGGTATTGAATGTTTTTGTTACAACATTTAGTATTATTTGCACTAATGCATAGTGCTCCTCTTAAACTTGTTTTATGTCTGAACATTTAACCTTTTTATAACTTCTTTTCCATCCCCAATGAAATAGAAAAACTGTTTAATGAAGACCAGCAAAACCCTCTGACCATAAACTGTATAAAGAATGGACAGAGTCTGCCTCCTCGCTGGGTGAAGCCACTCTGAGAACAGCACCCTCTGATGGTGGGCTGCAGTACAGATCATAAATCCCGCCTCCGCCAGCAAAGCATATGGAGCTGTGGACAAACTTTAGAAATTTATTACACAGAACATACATTTTTCTCCCCCCTGCTTGTGATGTTGACATGTAGTTATTGTAAGACTGGTTTGTGCCCAAGTCCTTTTTTTTTCTGTTCAGCTCCGTTTTTAAAAGTTATTAAGGGGTTCATGTTTTCTATGATTGACACCTGGTACAGCCTATGGGCGTTCAAGGATTGCGGAGCTTACCCGGGGGATACGCTGTTTGAGCTGAGTGTCATCACAGGGACTCTCGGCGACTGCGCAGCCGAATGCGCGCATCGCTACTGCGCAGCTCTGGTTTCGAGGAAGTGGAGAAAAACCCGGAATTACTAAGAGCTTTTTGGCTTCAAATGCGTATACAGGCAGAAGGCGGAACCAGGTTGTCCATAGTATATACAGTCTATGCCTCTGACTCACTTTGGGGGATTCTACCTGCTAAATTGGAGTCCTTGGTGTCACGTCTGTCCTCTCACAGCAGATTGATGCCGTCAGATGAAGCTCAGGCAAGACTCAGATGTATTTAGTTTATTATTTAGTCAGAAAAGACATGTTGCAAACACAGGAGTGGAAGTATTTTGTATCAGCAGACAGACTAACACTGTACTGCTGCAGTTAAGTTGCCAAAAGCTGCAGAAAAGTATGTAGAAGAACTGCATTTGAAAGGAAATATAACAGATAGAGCATTCAAAGCTGCGAGGGTTTCATCAGCAGAGCAGTCCTCAGCAGCTTCATCCTTTTGTTGCTCCACAGCACTTTTCCGTTTTTTGTATTAGATATCTGGTGTGCAGACGACTGCTCCCTGTGGAGGAGACAGGAATAAGAAAATGTTATTTATTTAGTTTGACAGTGTCACCAGCATCTGTAGTGACAGGATGCATGTTTTAGAGGATTTTATTCATGTGTATTACAATTTTAATTTTCAAGTCTTCAGATAACACAGAGCTGGAGCTTTTAGGCTTTATACAATCTGTTGCGATTATTGGGGCGGCATGAGTTATTCAGACATTATTTTATCTCTTAGGTAACAAAGACTCACTTTGTAGGTTTTATATTAAGATGATTAGTGTAATTGTCCTTTAACTGAACATACCAAACATGAACGACTTTTAGCACTGAAGGATCGCTCAATTAATATTTTTTTATAGAATGGCAAAGGTCGCAACAGAAGAAGCTGATGGACTGATTCTCACCGTCTTTATTTGTTGTCCCATCCATTTTGAGTCAGATTGAATACAGTACCATTTGCCTGACTCAGTTTTGACCCTGGAAACAGAAGAAAACGATGAAAATATTCATTTTTTTCATTACCTCATTAAACTGATGCCAATTTCAGAATGATCAGTCTTCTTCTATCAATAGGTTCCAAAGTTTAAACTGCATATTTAACCTGAACAAAAGTATTCCCCTCTGAAACTTATTATTGTTCTAAATCGGGTTATTAGCAATGTCCCTTGATCAACTGGCCTTGTTTCAATGGTTTAAACAGAACAAATGATTGGCACTGAAACATGTTCAAAGCATGCTCTACTTACACATAGTTATTGGAGTTGCACTGCCTTGTGGGTGTCTGTCTGATGCACTCGATGATTCTTTCTGGTATGTAAGGGCCGGCTTCATAACAGCAGCCCATCGATGAAGACCTTTCATCTGATAAACACACACAGACACACCGAGGAGGGAAACAAGGAAATTTATATATACAATCCTTTTATACATTTTCTTCTGATGTAAATTAAGATTTTTAGTTTTTCCTCCTTTTTATGAACTTCAGCTGGGGAGTAAGTTCTTTTGAAAAGGGAATACATTCTTGTGTTACATCAGGTGTCATCAGAAGTCTTGAGAAAATGCCTCCAAATGATACGTTTATTCATATAGCACCTTTTTAAGAAACAAGAAAAAACAGAATACAAAAAAATGGATGATTAGTAAGATGCAAATAAACAAACCAATGAATAAAGAAATACTGTAAATGAGTGCATAAACAAACAAGGACAGTAAAGGAGGGAATCAGAAACATATTGATATAAAAGAATTTTTAATAAAGAGTCAAATTGTTATATGAATGTAAACAAGCATCTAATTACTTTTTAAAGCTGTCTTTATGCTTTTATTGGCAATGAACTCCAAAAAAAAATTGTTACAAGTGTATGATATTTGAAGTTATTTTTTTGTAAAATCTTATTATGTTAATAAACACCTAATTGATGTTTTAGACAGGTATGTAAACATGTTTCTATTGAGAGTCTGATAAATGTGTCAATTAAACTTTGTTAAAACTATTGATCATTAGTAATGTTCACAAGCATCTTATTAGGTTCTGTAAGTAGCTTATTTAATTATTGCTCAATATTAAGTGTTACTAATAAGTTAATCAAGTTAAAATGGAAAAGTGTTTGAAAAAAAGTATATTCACATAAAATAAGTCTGTAAAAATGAGTTTCTAAAGGCGATTTATAAGATTGAAAACTACAAATCTGCAGAGAGGCAGGCAAAAAAGAATTTAAAAACAGAAATAAAAATCTGTTGGACTGGAGTGAGAAATGAGCTTTATACACATCATTTCTAACTTTGTACTTACAGCGGTTCTCCTGGCTGGTTGCAGAGGACACAAGGGACCCCATGAACAGGAGGACGATGATGGACAGGATCTTCAGGGACATTTTGATCCACAGGCAGACTGATCGGACTGCAACTACACAATCTGATAGAAGTCTGGATATTTATGGGTAAGTGATAATGACCATCCTTGGAGGGGTTGGTAAAAGGCCACTTATGACGTATTTCCTAATGCATCTGTGTGCAGACATGAAGTCTTTTTGTGTTTTTATGTACTTCAAAGTGTTGAGGATATCTGAACCTGCACACCATACCATCAATAAATCCATCAGTTCAGACTAGAATGAAGCAAAGACATTTTTCAGTTTGATTCTCATGATTCTGCTTTTGTTTTCCACGGAAAATAAGAGTTTTATTTAATAACTGTCAGATTACTACACAGTCATGCAAGCAAATGTTGGCATGAAGCAACATCAGCGTCTTTATCTTTCTTATTGCTTCATCATTTTCCATCTCACCATGACATGAAGAAAAGTTACTTACTGGACATGTTGCAACAACAGGACAAACACTAAATCCTCTCCTGACCCCTCTCAATACTTACTTCATTCTTCTGTCACTTGTGTAGTTGTGATGTTATTTCCTTATGTTAGAGCTTCACTCACAGTAACCTTAATGTGTCATGGTGTTTGTAGTGTAACTCAGCACAGAAATGCTTGACAGGACTTGGTCATATTTCTTTATTTTCAGAAGAATTCAACATGATGGTAAAAGCTGCAGAAAAGTCTGTAGAGAAAAAAGCATTGCAAAGAAAATATAACAGATGAAGCATCAAAATCCAGGAGGATTTCATCAGCAGAGATGAGCCCAATAGTTTCATCTTTTTTCCAACATCAATTTTAATTCTTCTAGTAAACAGGTTCTTCTGAACAGCTGACTTTGCCCTGTGGAGAAGAGAGAAAAAGACAAAAATGGGTTTAAGTGCTTTTTCTGAACTTGAGCTTTTATGTTGTTTGTGCTTTTATGTTGTTTGCTGTTGTAACAGTTAACAAAGACTGTAACTGTGCAGGTTTTAAGATGGTGGGCTCTATTTTCGTGCCTCACCGGAGACGTGCCGCAGGCGCGGCGTAAGTCAGGTCCGCTGCGCCGACAAGGGGTTCCCAAGCACAATTTGGTATTTTGGTGAGCGGCGCAGCCCGGCGTAAGTATCCCCCCTCCCTAACTCAACTCCTCCCAGCGGCGTAAGTCGTAGCGAGGGAGGAAAGAGGGCGTGGAGTGGATTTAACACAGCCAAGACCTGTTTTCACCAATCACATAAGCTCCTCTCCTTGCCTTTAAATCCGCCAAGGGCGAGGCGTATTCCGTTTTTTGTGAAGTAGTCAAAGAGATCAAGAGATGTCTGAAGACAGTAATGCCACAAGATGGCGACAGAAGGCAGCTCCTCAACAAGTGTCACTGTAAGCGCTGCATTGGGCGTCCTCCACACTCTCTCATATAAGCACAGATGGATTTGGTGTGTGTAATGTTGGACCCACTGGTAAGACAAACACACTTTTCCACAAATAAAGACACTCACATAAAGTTGCTCATATACAAACCTCACGTGACAAAGGTGGGTTGAGTGCACAGATCACAACATAAACGCAAAAAATGGCATTAAAATCGGAACCATCTGTGTGTAAATGACGCATCGCGCTCCGTGGCCTGGCTCTTTCTTTCATAGATGTTGGCATATAAAATAAATTTGGCTGACAAAACTGAATATTATAATATCCGTATGTCGGCTTAAAGTAAATATCTCATCTGAGCACTGAAACAAATCATCTGTTCAGCCGCAGCAGCAGCTGCAGCAGGACGAGGAGAGGACACGGAGACGTGTCCAGGTCGAGCTGTGCGAGAAATAAGAGGAAGAAAGAAAAGGAGGGAGACGAATTACATATCAAGTTAACTTCATCATGTGTGTCTATTTACTAGATATTTAATTTGATGCGGTTTCAGCTGTGTTGATTCGGTCAGGTTGTGTGTCCAAATGCGAACCAAACGCGCTCATCAGATCAGATATAGATCAGAATATATCGATATAGATCTAAATGTATGTGCTGACTCAGAGTAATAGTTGTTGATGATTATTTATTGCACTGAAATGTGCCTGACACTGTGGAAACCTGCCGGTGAGGCATCAGTGACGTATGTCGATACGCCGCCGGTCTACCAAAATACCACGAGACTAGCTGCGCTCAGCCTGCGCTGAAAGCTGACCAGGTCTGAATCGGCGAGCTGTCAGCGCACTTTATACGCCACTGGCGAGCACGAAAATGTCACTTCGCCAGCTTATTCTGTCGACACCTCCCCCTGCCACGCCACCACGCCCAGCTTGGCGGATCTCGGTTCGCCTCCGTGCGCCTCAGTCCACGAAAATACCAAACTGGCTGTACGCCGGGCTCCGCCAGACAAAAATACAACTGCGTGGGGTCCGCCGCCTCACCGGCATACATGAAAATAGAGCCCGGTTTCTTTATAATTTTACCTTAATTCTCACACTGTGTGCGGTTGTGTATGTGTGTGTGTGTGTGTGTGTGTGTGTGTGTGTGTGAGGGTGGGTGTGTGTGTCTGTGTGCGTGTGGGTCCATGGGTGTGTGGGTGGGTGAAAGGGTTGGGTTTTTGTCTTTATTGTTGCATCTCCTTTTGTATGAAAAGTGCCATATAAATAAAGTTGAATTGAATTGAATTGGTGAACAAAAGTGTCATTTTACTGAATGTGCGAACTTCAGTCATTTCTCAGGTAGGGTATGACAAAGTAACTAATGTGGTGACAAGAGAGGCTGATAAAGTCATTCTTACCTGCTGTTTTTGCTCTTCCATCCACCTTGACTTTGAGTCAATACAGAACCAGTCGCCACTCTCAACTTTGACCCTGAAAACAAAATGAAAACTGTAAATTTGACATTCTGATGATTACCCTGCTGCTTTCTCTTTCTCGCTTTCTCATTTCTCTTTTGTTGACGGTTTACACATCAATTGTGTCACTGAGGCCCATTTGCTGTACTTACAAAAAGGTAATCAAGTTAAAACAGAAAAGTGGACGTAGAAACAGACCTAAAAATAAGTCTGTAAAAATGAGTTTCTAAAGGAGATTAAAAGGATTTAAATCATTAAAAATCTACAGAGAGGCAGGCACAAAAGAATATAAACAAAATAAAATCTGTTAGACTGGAGTAATATATAAAGGGGACCTGTGCCAAATATTTAAAGAGTAACTCCACACTGATTTCTCGGACCAAAGATAGTGGCTTTTTGACTTCCAACACAAACTAAAGTAAAATCATTACTTGTCTCTTTTTCTTGCTGGTTGATGTTGACAGTGGTGGCCTGTATTTGTGATCACCACTTACTCCATGTGCCTGCACATTATAACCGCCAGAGGGCAAACTCCAGTCATTGTCAAGAAAGCTTTATAGTATGATCCATTTGCACCCTGAGTGCATTCTCAAGGTGAAGAGATGCAAGGACCTTAAGTTGTTTAAGAGGTTTATGTTATTTCATGTCAGTAATTTTCACTTTTAATTTTAAGTATTTGTTTTAATCAGCATTTTGGGGAAGTGATGTCTCAGTTGTATATGAAGAACTTAAGCCTGATGCCTGTTTGAACTTGTGTTCATTACACATGGAGGAAGAAAAAGTTGAAAAAACAATGCAAAACCTCAAACCTCTATCTACTTCTGTAATACTAAGCATGTGTTTAAAGCCTAGTGTTGTTTGACCAATTCACCTGCCAGTGTAAATAAATACTGTATGATCTGGCTTCTGGGTTTATCAGTGCCAGGCTACAGAGCAAATGGGTTTATACTGACATTGTAGTTTTCATACAGGGCTGTTATCAGATCCTCTGAAACAAAAACAATGACCTCCCATAAAAGCTTTTTTACACACAGCTTTTTAAAAATTTCTCTCACTTTTGACAGCATTCATGAGTCTGTACTTTAAGTGCATTTAGGTCATTTTGTAATCAACTAAGTGGCAGCAAAGACAGCTGTTTTAACTGTGTATAAAATCATAAAACCTCTTCTATCAAAAGTTCCTTTTTTTCAGTTACATGATCAGAAATAAATTTGCATTAGCTCGAAACAAACCAAACACAGTGAGTCATTGTGTAAATAAGGAAAAATAATGTTCCAGATGACAAGCTGGTCATTTTTTGAGCGTAACACACATTTGTTTCTTCCTTGTTGGTTAGTTGAGGTCGAGTTAGAAACACAATTTAGTTAACAACAAATTTATATCGGTTTTGTAGTTTAAGGTTCACAAAACAGTGCACGGGACACTGTCAAAGTGAAACCCACGCTAAATTGCTTTCAGGTGCATTCTTCTGAGTGACCAGCAGGGGGAGACTCCGCCTCGATGAAACAGTATGAGAAAATGTGTCTAATTCAGTTACTTTTTCACCTCAATATCATTTCATTGATGGCTTTATAGTGTTGGTCATTGGTCCTCAAAACAGCATGATGTTTTTTTTTTGTTTTTTTTTAGCAGATTATTCCCCAGTTAAAAGAAAATAGATGATAAAACAGGCAAGGTTTCAAGGCTATGCAACATTGTTATCCACCGTCTATATCCACTGTCTTGTCCAGATATGATCATGGCTCAGAGAGAAGATGATAAATCTGAAATCTCTCAAATTGCAAGCTTCACTTTTTATAAATATGCTTAAAGGTTTAATGTTGATAAAAGGCATTTAATGTTTTTTTGCCCTCAGGTCAAAGTAACATCAAACCCTCTGAGAAGTTTTCCATGAAGCTAGATCAGAGTCTAGTTAGCATTTATACTTCCTCATCATGAGTTTCAGATCAAATCTCATTTGTTAATGACGTGAGCTACCTAATGCTCCACTTTCCTCAAGTTTACTTTCTTTTTTCCTTTATAACTTACTATTTTGATTATCTATTGTCACAAAAGCCCTTTTAGAGATGGATGTTACAATTCGTGCTGTAATAAACAATACAAATTATGAGAAATATGTTTTATTAGCACACTTATATCTGTGCAGATTCAGGGTAATCTTCTCATTAATGCATAATTTTCCAAATTCCTTGTGTTTACAACTCAGATGAAAGATTCAACCACTCTTTCACAACACTTTCAGACTTTATTCTTTAACAACAGAGATTTCAAAGCACCAACTACAGACAGAAATAAACTAAAACCTTCTTCTTTTCTCTAACTCTCACTATGTTCACTCGTTCAGAGGGACAAACACAGCAGTGGCCTACAGAACTGACAGGCAGATGTTACAATCACTGGCTGTCAATTCATAGGTCATCACCTTGTGCCCCAGCGCTCCCAAATCCTTCAAAATAAAAGACAAAGAGTTTTATTAAGCAGCTAACTTTGTGATTTCTCAAAAATGGTTCATAGATAAATAGAATATCCCAGGAATGACAGTCAGCAGAAATCCTTGATTTGGATCATATTTGGTGTCCCTCTGTAAGTAGCAGCACCTCCACTGGAACAGAAAGAGCTTCCACATGGAGTTGCTGTTACATGCAGCCAGCACCAGACAGCCCAGTACTCTCCAGATGTTCTCTCAGTCTTGATACAGATACACAAACCTGAGATGGCACCGATCTTACAGTTTCTTGGTTGGGTTGGATGTCTCCATGGAAACACCTTGGATAAAAGGAAGAGGAGAAAAGGAGCAAGACAGAGCAACAGGTCAGACTCAGGATTTGGACATGGAGACAACTGCTTTAGTAGGAGTGGGGGTGGGGGTCTCTGCTTCCAGGTGACTTTGACCTGGTAATTTCCTCCTCCCTGTTTTATTGCCTGAAGTAGACGGCATCATTGCTCACACTCTCCTAACAGCCCGGCCAAAGGGCCAAGGCCCAGGGAGATAACACAGATTTTATGGCGGTTGTCAACATGCTTTTCAATATATGAATATAAGGGTGTGTCTGACCTCTGTACCTGCAGGCGAGGCATTTCCTGCTTACACTGATCATCGTTCTTACTCGAAGATCAGCTTCAATGTCATCATAATCCTCAAGGTTGTTGTTTTTTTAAATTCGGCGGTACGTTTTGTTTTTTGATCACCCTGGCTTGTTCAGCCTGCACTTAAACGCCCCTTTAGACTTTGCCTCACAGTAAAACATCGAAAAACAGGACAATAAAGTCATTAAACGGTTTACAGCTTGGTTAAGGTGTCTATACTTGAGCAGGTTTTTTTTCGCTAAGAAACCCAAATAAGATGAAATTAAAAAGATTTTGCTTCTTAAATACAAAAAAAAACAATCTTAGACTGATTTAAGAATAGTGATTTTTTTTTAATCAAAAATGTGGCAAAAATTAACTAAAACTTTTGAAAAAGTAAAAACATTATAGCCTACTTCAGGGTTTCAAACATATTAAAAACATTTTATCTTACAATGCATTAAGTATCTTTCACTAAAGGCAATTTAAATACGGTAAAAGGCCTGCTCTCAGGTTGTTCAGGAATCGTCTAAAAATTATTTTGTCCTTCTTCATCGCTTTACTTTGAGTAATTTCACATACAGACTTCATTTTAAGAGCTTAAACTTACCTCTAGATGCAACAAGGCCCGCTGACTTTCACAGGAAGAGGCCAAAGGTTTGAGGAGCAGCAGGGTGTTGATACACGGGGGGAGTCAGGCCCGGAGAGCAGAGGGAGAAAGTAGTAAGAAAGGAAAGAAAGAAAGAAAGTAGATGCAGACAGTGAAGATGCAGAGGATGAGAGAGATAATCAGCAGCTATAAGAGGAGCATTTTCATGTCAATGTTTGCAACAAAGACAGAAGAAGCAATGGCAGCGAGGCAGAGCAGCCAGTTTAAGAGATCAGGAGTTGGTGAGAAGGTTAATTATTACACTTGCTGTCAATATTTAACAGGTACAGCGCCCGGCCCCTCAGTCCAACATCCTGATTCCACTCTGACTGACACAGAGGGAAGGGCCAGACTCACGCACATCTCTTTTGTCCCCTGCACAAAATATGTTTTCAGCACCTCACAGGACCTTCAGGGAAAACTCACAGAAAGATTTATTTTTCATAATGATGTTTTAAATTGAGCTTTGCATGATCTTTCATTTAAGTCATCTCATTTTTATTTTAATTTAGATGTGTATTGTAAAAGAAACTTCCCCTTAAAAACCATTATGATCAAGCCAAAACAAGTGAGATGAATGTGCATGATGTCGAAGTCATAAATGCTGCATGACAAGCCCTAAACATCTGCACGTGAGTCCAGTATACATCCACCCCTCTCGCATACACACACCCACGCACCATTACCAGCAGATATGAAGCTCAAGGTTGTGAAGCAATATCACTGGAGGAAGCAAAAGACTGTGGCCCTGCAGAACAAGAGTTAAACGACAGCACAATAAACCGCTGATTGAACTGTGTGTTTAAGAGGGTGCAGGGTTCACTTTGATGCCTGAAAAGTGACAAATAGTGATCACGGTTAATAAGCTGAGAGGGAAAAACGCTTTTTATTATTGAGGTTATTGCAGGAGACCCTGACTAATGTCATCCTTTAACTTAAAAGCTGTAAAGTGACTCATGACATGTGACATCAGGTGCTGGTACTAAACCGAAACTCTAACAGCCAGATTAAGTGTTTTGCAGTGATTTGAAAGAGCTTCTATGTATCTCTTATCTTCATTTTCTTACAGTATTTCACCTCCGTGATTAAAAAAAACATGGCTGTCATTTCTCTTGATGTTTTTTAACTTTATTGGCTGAGATGTTTTCAATACATGTACATTTTTGTTTGAGGGAGTGTTTGTTACACTATATAAACAGGACTAATTCTGTGACTCAAAGTTCAATGCAACACTATCTTGACAATAAAAAGAAGATATCACAAGCAGTGCAGATTTTTGAAAATGTAAAACACATGTGCACGTCTTTTGGAGTCTCTGAGTTCAAAACAAGTCATCAGACATATTAAAATGCTCAGGGAAAGAAGGCATTTCTTTGCCAAAGATAATAATTAGATTTTCTTTAATCGAATTGATATTGTTTTTATCACAAACAAATGAATGATTGATTAAACATGATGAAAAAAAGGGATGAGATAGAAAAGATTAGCAGCAGGAAATCCTCAAGCTACAAGCCAAAGTGAATGAAGTACGATTTAAAGAGGTTGAGACTTGGTGTAAAATAGAAAAACTGAAAAACCCTTCACTTAATATAGAACATGCAATGACTTAGGGGATTTTGTTGTTTATAGTAGAAAGCATCACTATTGTTGTCTCTGCATCTATGCAGGTTCAATATTTACGATGCAAAGAGGAATTAGTACATAAACATGCCCCTTAAACGCCGGTGACTTCTTCATGCCTGAGCCTATTGTAGACAGATTGAGATGGAAACCATCCTGTCGTCTGGCAAATCAAAATTTAACATTCATCTTGGGAATCATGGACATTGCTTCTTCTGTCCTATAGATGAGAGGGACCAGAGGGCTTGTTTTGGCGCAATTTATGCTACCATCCAGACAATAACTTGTTCAGGGAAGACTTCATATTGCCAAATCAAATTCTGCACATATTACATAAGCACGGCTCTGTAGTAGAAGAGTACAGGTGCCTAACTGGTTTGACTGCAATCCCAAACTGTCACAATATTTTTGATTTGGTATGGGATTGAGATGATTGGCAAACCATCAAGTTATGTTTTTATGACATTTTACACAGCGTCTAATGGAATTGGGGTTGTACTTCTTAAAATATTTGCTTAAAATTAAATGATTTAAGTTGAAATTGGTTTCCTGTATCTTTAGAAATTGCCTTTATTCAGTAAAAAAATCTACAAGTCAAACAAAGTAGTCATACTGCAGTGGGGCTTTGTGGAAACTACCTTCTCTGTGCAATAGATTTTATTTTGACATACATTTACTTCCCGGTGTCTTAAAGGAGTGCCTGGACAGTGGTTAAAATTGTACTTTGTGATTTTTCAGCAGCATGTCTTCTTACAGATTCATAATGAAACTGAGTTTATAGCAGCAGGTAAGTCTGTAAACATTTCCTCATTAAATCCCTATTTTGACTATGCTTAAAAAAGCTGTTAAACATAGTTAAAAGTAGAACATATAGAGGAAATGCTTTTAATTTTTTGTCCAAGTAATTACTTTTTTTCCTTCTTCTTCCTCTTCTTTTATTCATAAACTTGGACTATCTTATCTGAGGAGTTCAAGGGTTTGGCGTGCCTTGGTGCAGAGTCCAGTGTCTCTGAGGGAGAGAAAATGTGCACAGCATTAATCTGCCTTTGAATAGATAAAGTTGTGTCTTGCTGCTTTGAATCAGAGGTGTCTAAGGTCATAGAAAATTTCCTGCAATTAAAACCAGATAACAAGAGCAATCTGCTGAGGATAAAATCATCCCCAGTAACAAGGTCACATGAAAACTTCAAATCTTGAATTATATGATCTCCTTCCAGAAATGATTTACACTGTCAAGGGTGGTGATGTGATCCTCATGGAACAATTTATTTTTTTCATTTTGTTTATTTTAGTCAGATCGTGTAATCCCTTTTTTATAATTTCTTTTTATTACATTTCAAGTTGTTCACTCTCTGCAAACCCCTATAGTCTACTATTTCAAATGTCCTCTTTTTAATATACTGTACTATTGCTTTAATTGAACTTTGGTTCAGCTTTGCTTTACTGAGACCCTGTGCTTGAAAGAAAAAGCAGTTATTTCAGAGTAGCAAAATGCATTACAGTACAATTATAGTAGTATAAACTAGTAGTAGTAGTATGAGTTTTTTTTTTCATGTATTTTCTGCAACTATTAGAGCAGCGTTTTGAATATCTCTGTAGAGAGGTTCCTGTAGTTCTATTTATTTTGCCTTTTTTCCTCTTTTTTGTTCATAATGTGTACTGGTTTTAAGAGGTTATCACGGTCACTTTAAGGTGAGTTTCACCAACGTACAGTATGAATCAAACCTTACGTCTGTTTGATTGGTAGTCAATCATCAATCTAGACTATGTCATCAAACCACACATTCCAGATAAAGTAAATAAGTAGTTAACTCATAAAACAGCTTAAAAATTTTTAGACCATGATTGCAGTTTATCAAGATATCAACAGTTTATTAGAGAGAGTCTGATATATGAGGCCAAACTTTGAAGTCCATAGTTCAAATTTCTTCTAGCACCAATTGGCTATGTCTTTGATTCTCACCATTTCCACCAGTGTTCAGTCAATTACCTATTTTTCTCTTTTTTTATGACAGCCTGGATAACTGTACTTACTCATGTTTTACAACCATGATTCACTTTATTTATTCATTTATTTTTTTTAGAAACAAGCAAGCCTAAAACGAAAGATGAATGCATATACAGCTAAAGACAATAAGTGAGACTTTGTTAGCTTAGCTAAGAAGCTGTTTATATGTCAATGCTACAGTGGTATACAGAATAAATACATTAAAGTGTTAAATAGACATGGGTTTAATAGATGTAATTCAATTTCTAAATGGAAGCTACTTTTTAAGCGGTTGTTTAGCAGCATTAACCACCAGTGTTTTAAGCTAACCTAGCTAGCTTCCCTGTCCTCTGCATTCCTGTGAAATAAAAGATTTCTATTAACTCTCAACTCGCTTTATCACATATTTATGTTTTCAGTTTACTTTAGCCTGTCTGATAAGCTTTTATGGCCATTTGTTTGTTTTATGGTTCTGCTGTTATAGTAACAGCTTTCCAACACAAGCACAAACAGACGCTGACCAAACAGTTTACGTCTGACAGAGTGACTCGCTCTCTCGAGAATAAATCATTTCTATATGAACTTTAGTCTGTTTCCCTGGATGGTGATTCCTTATTTTACCTAATGCTTTTATTTTCTGCCCAGGCTGTAGATATAACACGTGATTTAGGAGAACCTTAGATGATCTTTCCCTCAGTGTCAATGAGAGTCAGTGAGGATCAAGCTTTCGTTTCCTCTCTGATGATGGAAATGATTCACTTTTTCGTAACCCGTTGCTTGAGTCAGTTGTGGTTTATTGATCAAAACACATTTAGACTGAATTGAAATAAAGCCTTTCCTCAGTGAATGATGATGTCTCTCCTTCCCTGGTGTTTCATTTTTGTGTTGATGGTGTTTTAGCTCCTGAAGAATCAGCTGTGTTATGGTGTAGTGAATTCAGCTTTTGAGTTTTTTCATATGATATTGTGATATTAAACCAGGGTACCAGATACTGTTGTTATGTATTGTTGAGAGCTGGTATTTTTAGTAACTGGGAGTGCTTAACAGTAATTGTTTCTGTCTCCTGCAAAAGAACTACAGATGTAAGTTATCTCATCGCTATCTCTGGTTGAGCTCTGGCTGTACGATGCCCCAGTCAGAAATGAATTAGCTGAATAAACAAAATAAAGTTTCCGATCTGCCCAGGTATTGTTGATTCAAAAGGGCCCAGAAACTCCGAGCTCACACACACCTTTGAAATATCATAGAAATAAGTCATTTTAACCTCTATCGCCCTCTTTTGGAGACCAGATTACACTGCAGCATCAACAGCAGCAGGAGCAGCAGTCCTCTTGATATGAAGTGAGACAGAGACCGCCTTCTCCTCAGATGATTAAATCCTGCACAAAGCCTTTGTCTGCTCGGCTGTCTTGCCTCTCATTTCCTTTTCATTCTGAAGCCAATTTTCTGATGCTGTTATTTACACAATATGAATTTTTTTGTGTGTTAGGGAGCTTTCATAACACATTTCCCTGAGGCCTGATGAAATCTCTCCCCTATTGAGCTAGATCTGTCTGTGTCTTTGTTGAACTGCTTTCATTCAGGTAGATACTAAGTTTCTTGCTTGAATCTCTAAGACGTTTCTTGCGTTTCACTCCACCTGTGTGTGTTTTAGGAAGAATGTTTCTGATGTTTTTGCTGCAGTCAGGATAGCCTCTGAATTCTTTTTCTTTTTACCCCCCAAAAAATCAATAAACAAATTGCTCACTCCAACAATACTTCTTTGTTTCTGGCTCAGTCTTCAAAGCCGCAGATTTTCCATGCTCTTGGCTACATCATGTGCTCTTAATCAGGTGTTCATTTATTTGGGGGGGATCAGGAGGAAAACTGGCAGTGGTTTGAAATGCCACCAAGTCGAAGAAAGCCGCGATTCCCCCGAAGTAACAGAGGGAGAAACGTGGACTTGTCTAACTTAGATGCATTTACCTCAACTACTATTCCCTGCTAAAGAGCTTTTTTCTGCTGAGAACTTCTCTCTTAAATGTTGAAGCTTTATTTGACCAATTAAGAAGCATAAAAAACAGCATAGAAGTTGTAGCAAACATGCATGTTTTTTTACAGCACAAGATTTAGAGGCCTGAACATCAGTCTGTCAGCTACTATTTCCCCAAATAGTCATAATTTTGCACAAATGGATGGAAAAGGCAAAAATGTAGCAGGAAAATGACCCCAAAAACCTGATTAAATCTGATCTTTCTGTTTTCCTAGGTTGTCTTTTCACTCGCCTTAGCTTTCAAGAGATTGGCGAGAAAAAAGAAAAACTTATCAGCTGCTCATTGTAGCAGATTTTAGGACAAAGGTCTCCCTTGATGGCGGAAATAGTTGGAAAACAAAAATGTGATCAGAATAATATTGATTTAATGTTTACATTTATTTTTTCCACTTTAAAATAGCTGCTTTTTAAAAAATAGCAAAGTCCAAAGAAAACCATGAGCCATTACATCCTAATAAATGAAATAAATTACTTTCAAACCAACAAAATTGAGATTTCTGACAGTTTGTTCTTAAAATCAAGATTTGGCTGGAAGACTTTATTGAGCTCTGACAATAAAAGCAGAGTGAAACACTGAGGATGCTGTCTAAGAAATAAACTGTTTAATAACATTTAAGTCAGTCTTTTTGACTCTATGTGGGTTAAAACTGAATTTGATGGACAGGAAAAGTAAATCATGTCTTTCCTAGTGGGAAAAAAATATCGTGTGCTACATTAAACTAAAACACTATGTACAGGTTAATCATCTCTCTTTGTGATTTCCAGTAAAACGTTTAATACTATTCACAGTCCCTCTGATACCCTCTCCTGACAAACAAGTGATTTAGAATCAACAACTATTTCAAGTTACAGTCCACAACAGCTGGACCACATAGATAAGAGACGTTTACAAAACACCAAACAGACACACACGGACACCAACTGTTAAAATCTTCTCTCTGTCCTGACTAAGACTCCTCTCTGATCGGAGTGCATCCCACGAAAAAACTGTTCTGAAAACTCGTCAGGATCCTCTTCTTCTTCTTGAGGAAGCTGACTGTTGTTCTCTCCTCTTCCTCCTCTTCTTCTTCCTCCTCCTCCTCCTCTTCTGCTGCGAAGATGGGCTTTTTGACCAGCTTCAGGTCTGCAGAGACATGTCCTATGTCTCCAATTTCTTTCAGCACCTACAAAAAGAGCGTATAAGTTTAAAAAATGGATACTATAGAAAACATTCTCTTACAAATCTATTGGGGTTTTCATTTTCATGCTTCACAGGATAAATTTCACCAAAATCATTCTCAAAGCCTGATTAGACATGATTTTGCCCCGTGTTGTCACCCTGTCGTTAAAAACCAGCTTACCTTTTTAGTTGGTGTGCAAGATGGGGGTTTGAAGAAGGTGGTGTTATCAGGGCTGACGGCTGTGGGGTCCTGAAAAGACACGGAGTCTCTGGAAACATTGTCTGCCTGACTAACATCCTGAAACGATAAAAAAAAGATGTCTTCAATTACAAAAAAAAGGTACATTTCAAATGTAGGAAATGTATAAAACAATCACTTTTTTTCCAGATTTACAGGACAGTGTCAAAAAACTATTAGATATCTCACCTTCGAAGGCGCCTGGTTATCCATATTCCGACATTTCTCATGATCACACTGGCAGTTCTCTCCACACGTCATCTTTCCTTTACGGCACCGGCACTGCTTGTTGCCGCAGCGACCTTTACATGCGCACTGAAAAGAGGAGTAAGAATTCTTTAGTTTAAGTATGCTTGTGTCGAGTATGATCAAACTATGCTTAACCCTTCCTTCAGAGATGTCGCTAGCTCAGATGTTTAACTTTCACATCACACTCTCTTGTTTGTGGTCTCCTGTGACCACTTTCAGGAGGAGTCCACACTTACCCCAGTTGGTTTTGGTTTCTTGGATACTCTGCGTCCTTTCTCAGGTTTCTCAGGACGCCACTCGTCAGCTGCTTCATCGTTCTCATCCTCACTGGGAGACATCAGTTCGTCCATGTTGATGTCCATACTCAGAGGAGCTTTCGCTGTGGTGAAGCGCTTTGTTTTAGGCTTTCAGTTGAAAAGACACAGAGAAAGGAAGATCAGCACACTTGTATTTAACCAAGACAACGTTTTAAGCAAACTTCTAATTCCTTTGTGGGTTTTTTAAAGTCTTAGTTCTGACAGTCGCTTGGAAAAAAAAAAAACGTATTTAAAAAAAATGAAAGGAAGAAAATGAAAGCACAAGGGAAAGGCATGTCAAAAGAGCAAATCAGGATGTTTTAAAGAGACCAATTTCATGTTCTTTTTTAAGAAAAATTTGAATTCCATTTTACCGACTCATCTAAAAGGTTGAAAAGACCAAAAAGAAAGTCAAAAACTGGGCACAATTGATTTTTCATGGTTAAACACGACATTATAGACTCAGTGGGTAAACAATGTCAAATCAGTTAGTGTGGCTAACGTTAGCAGAGCTCCAGTCCTCCTAGCAGGTCAACAACCGCATACTTGTGCTGGATACACGTTGCACTTCCCAGTCCAGCAATTATCAGACAGTTAAATCAGACACAGTCTACAACCACCTACAAAACACCAACTGTTGTCTGTGCAAGTTTTGTCTGGACAGTTAAGTATTAGAACAACATGGAGGTAGCTATTAACCAAACCATATGACGAGCGTTTGGCTTCAAATGATTAAAAAACATTAATAAAGATCTAAACTGACCAGCTATTCTGGTGTCGACTAGTGAGGAGGTAAATGCTTTATCCTTAAGTGGACTTAGAGCTTATGTCCTCATTCTAGGTGTGAAATGTGGAGTAACCCAGATGAGCCAATTCAAACTAAATTAGCCCTGAATAAAGACAGAGACAAGATGGTAGGTCGAAGGTTATCAGGGATTACTAACCTTCGGAGGAACATATTCAAATGAGTCGTCTGGGCTCTTTATATTCAAAGTCGGAGGGACAAGGACTTTATGTCCACTGGCCAGCTGCAACAAAGAGAGTCTCTGCAGAGGGAAACGTGCATTGAAGTTTGAGCCAATTACACAGCTGAACTTTTCATTGTGCTGCTACAAGGTAAGGGTCTTTCTGAATTAAAACTAGACAAAATAAAAACAAATCCGACTCTACATCGCTCAAAGGCTGGGGTTACCTGTCTGTACTGCTCATTCTGCTCCACCAGCTTCTGGTTCTGCTCGCTCAACTCTCGCAGCTTTTCGAGCTCTTCCTCCTGAGAGGTGTTCAAAAATAACCTCATGATTAGGGTTTTTGCAATTCAGCAAAATTTCACCAAAACAAGAAAAAGACGTGTTATCAAAGGTGTATCAGACACTTTACAACGAGGAGAGACACACCTGGAGTTTGAGGCGCTGCAGAAGCTCCTTCTCCTTTGAGCTCTCCTCGTCTTTCTGTGTTTCTGACTCTTCACAGATGGTTTTGCTCTGTAGCTGGTTCAGCAGGTAAAGGACCTGTGCACAGAATCAAAAGGTGAATATGGAGAACAAAGATTTTTTTTTAACATGCACTAGAGCCCGACCGATAGGGATTTTAGACCAAATGACCATCTCAGTAATATTCCACGTATTTATCATGAATCAAACTCGGACCAGAAAAGCGTTTTCAACTACCCCCCCACGCCCCAGGTGGCTAACTCTAACTTTAGCTTGCATATTACATGGTGCTTTACTGTTAACTCGGCGTGACCAAGACCAGCACAGCGGGGAACATCGTGAAGTGGGTTGAACTGAAACTTGTTGACTTATTGTGTACTTCACAAACTGTTTTTTATTAATCATTGAGGCGGACCACTCTCCTCCGTGCGTCCCTGAGCTGCCTGCTGCAAATCCGTCACTCTGCTGTGCTGTGAGGTAGTTAGTGGATGAAGATAGTCATGAGGTCGTTGCGCCATCTACTGGATAAGTCGGGGAACTTTTCAAATGGCGGAACATTTTCGAAGTGAAACCGAATCTTATTCTCCGCATTTTATATCTGAAAACATCAGCAAAAATCGGCGAGTTTTGGCCAATTACCTGTTAGTCTCAAAAAGGCTAAAATTGGCCGATTTAATCGGTTCACCGATAAATGGGTCGGGCGCTAACATGCACACCTCTGAAACAGGAAAAATTTATTTGATCACCTTCTCCTGATGCCTCTGCTCGAGCTCCACCAGCTGCTGCTGATGCTCCATGTCCATGCTGGACATCACGTTTCTCTCATCAGTCAGCATCTTCCTTAAATCCTGGATGTTCCCTTTCTCCTGTTTGACTTCGCTCTCCAGCTTTGAGCTCATTGTTTTGGCAGACACCAGCTTCAACAGGGGAAATTGAAAAATGGTTCAGATTACAAGTTAAAAAAAAAACGTCATCATAGGGAACGTAAAACTCATGCTTGCTCTCGCTCACCTCGGACATGAGGACTCTCAGAGCGCACTTTGCCTCCACTATGCTTGTGAAGCTGTCTATGCGCTGTTTCAAACGACCCTCGCCATCTGCAACAAGAACCTTCTGCTGCAGGTCGGCTATCTGAGCATTCCTGGGAAAAACAAACAGATTTTGACTCAAGAAATTCTTCAATCATGTTTGAAAAAATCTTCACAGCTGTGTCCTGATATAAAGTTAAAAAATAGTAGGGGTAGAGTTTAAGGGCAGTGTCTGAACCGAGCCTTACCTGAGGCCCATCTCGGTCTCCAGGTTCTCCACCTGTTTAGTCAGAGGTGTTTCCAGCGCCCCCTGGGTCTCCAGCTCTGAGATGATCAGTGTCCGACGCTGTGGAAGAACGCCAAAAGCATCAAGTTGAATCTTTGTGACATATCCACTTTGCTGAAGTCCCCTTTCTCACGCTTTTGCGCACACCACCACAGTAAGTCATGCATAAGAGCAGGCTACTTCCATCTCACCCTGATTTTGGCAGCAGGTTTCTCTCCTGCCTCCATCTGCTGTTTGAGGTGGTTGACCTCCTGAGCCAGAACCTTTCTGTCCTCCAACAGGTCGTTGAGGTGACGTCGGGCCTCCTCAGTGCTGACCAACACCTCCACTTCATTGAGAAGCCATGTCTGCTCACAGAAATACAGTCACAATTAAGAAACGTAAATCCCCAGGATAGTCTTGATATTTTGTTTCACAGCCTGGGGTGAGTCTAGATTATTTGGCTGGAGCTGTTCTGTTTTTGTGTAAGCCCTTCACAGGTTTCTACCACACCTACCCACATGTTCGAACATCTATGTATGAAATTATCAAGTAAAAAAATCCTTTTAGAGGGAATGAAAAGAATGTGAAAAGGACTAATATGACACTTCAGGGCCAACGATGACATTGAATTTCATTCACTCGTTACCTTGACTCTTGCAGCAGCTCCTTCCATTCCTCTGCTGTGGGTGTCTTTGCGTTTATCTGCTACCTCGCTTCTCTTCTGCAGAGCATCTTTCAGACGCTTGTTTGCAGCTGCAGCCTGTTGTAGAAAGCGTAAAGCTGCTTTTAATCATTTCTAGAAACACTGTATTTGAATACTTGTGCATTAGCCAAACATTCAGGGGGATTTGCTTGCATCTCATTTTCAGTGCAGGCCAGAGCAAATTGATACCACCTTTGAGAAAAATATGTTTTTTTTTGGCAATAAAATTGAAAATCTTGCAACTTCTCTTAAAAAGTACAGAGAAGCAACTGCAGACGGACCAAGACGCCTCACCTCCTCAGTTTTGCGTCGAAGAACGTTGGCCTGTTTCTGGAAATCTCTCTCCAGCTTGAGCAGCTCATACTGACGTTTGCGATCCTGTCAAACAGATAAGAAACTCAGGAGCTCAGGAAGCCACAGAAGCTCAGGTTTAATGTACATGAAAGGGTTAGATAGTGGTCAAATATTTGTAAGAGAAAAAACATCCTGCAGTACCTTCTCCTTCAGCTGCAGAACCTCACGGTCCTTCTTGCTCTTCCACTGTCTGAACTTGTCAGAGTCCTCCCTCATCTGCCTCATGAGCTGTGTGCGCTGAGTCTTCATCGCCTGTGAGAACAACAAAGTTACTGTGAGCGAGTTTGGCCAACATGTGAGTCAAGCAGTCAAGGAAAATAATGAACGCTCTGGGCCAACTCGGTGCACATGACGCCAAGAGAAAAACAAACAAACCCCTTTTTTTCACATTTTAGTCGCTGAGCGGGCATCTTGACTCCAGAACGGTTATATTAGTTTGAAGATCAAGAAATGTTCCTGCAGCGACCTTGTCAAAAGACTTCAGCTTCTTTGAGACACTTTTTTGATAAGAACAATCAATCTTACTACATGTGTTTTATAATCCTACGTGAGGCCAACACCTGATACATGAATAATATCAACCTCCATCAGCAGACAGTCATATCATTGTTGGAAGAGGGGATACTTTATGAAATGGTATCCGTGCATATTTGAATTTATACTCTCATACCCCTGCTCACCTGTATTTCCTGCATCAGCTTGCCGACTTTCTGCACAGAGGACTCCTTGAGTTTCAGCATTTTGGACTGCTCAAGAAGTTTCTTCTTCATGTCCACCAGCTGGCCCTCCAGCTCCTGCAGCCTCTTCCTGCGCTGCTCGCTCAACCTTTACAAAGAGGTGAGGGCAGAACGGGTTTGTCAGATTCCTCTGCTTCTACTACTTCTTCTTGACTTCCTCTAAAGGTACAGCCAAAGTGACAAACGTGTTCATACTTAGCATGGTTTGTGTCCTTCTTTGCCGACTGAAGAGCCAAAACGAGTTCTTCTTTCTCCTTTTGCAGCGAGTCAACGGAAGACTGGAGAGACTGTACATTTTTCTGTAAGACAAAAAACACACTTTTAAACACACTTATATTTCATGCCACTAAATTTCTATCCAATTTTGGCCAATTGGAAGTTTTATACAGATCAGAAACTTAAAGCTCCTGTGCAGAGACTTTAACAGGTTATTAAATAAGACTGAAATAAAAAGGTGTCTTTTTCAGATCCACAAAAGCAAGCAGACCATAACAAAAGACAATACTACTTCGATTTAGTAATCGCTAATGTTTACAGCTGCTTGTTGGGGCAGGTGTCAATCATACTGACTTACTGCAAACTACCTAAACACCGTTATTTAAATACTTTCCATGGCAAAGATTTCTGGGTGATAGAAAACACAACTTTTACAAATCAGCAAAGAAGAAGAGCGGCGCTGCTTTATGCACAACAGATGACCAACTAAAACAAGCCCCAGTCAAATTCATGAGTAGTCAGTGGTTCAAATGGCCGTGAGATTGAATCCTCTCACCTGGTGCTCTGACTGCATGGGCTCCAGCTGGGTGTCATTCTGACACATTTTCCTCACATAAGCCTCTTTCAGACTCAACACTTTGTTCAGCTCAATCAGTTCCTTGGACAGCTGGGCCTGCCGGAGTGCATGATGGGTTGTAAAGGCCTCTGGGGAGTCCTTCCCACCCATGGCTGTGACATCCTGTTTAATGAGTGAAACAGGACAAGTGTGTTAACAAGAGAAGTGCCGAGGAGAGAGACCGTCCTTGATTTTGATCAAGTGAGAAAGTTATGAGATTACAGAGTGTTAATTTGAAGTGGAAACACTGAGGATCATAATCTCATTTATATGTCAGTCATGATCATCAGACGTCGTGAAGGAAAAAAGTTGACTTACTGAAGAGGACTCATCTGCTGAATTTTTACTGCCATTTCCAGACACATCAGGGCCGTCCTCTCCTGCTGCAATGGCGTCAATGGTAGCAGAAATTCCTGCGCTCTCATTCTGAACAGTAAGAAATAATTGATAACTGATCTAAATACATACATGAAAAAAACTAAGTCATGTATTTTAGTATTCAGGGAATCCATCAAAAGTGCAGAATTGAAATTTCTCCGTCTTGCTTCAGATGATTACACATTTGCTTTTCCGCCTGTATCCCCCCAAATCAGAAGATAATGAGTCAATCATAATGTGCAATGCCCCCAACAGCTCCACTCCACACGAATAAAGATGAAACGCTAAATGAAGAAACTCTATTTTCCAAAAGCCCCGAAACTCTGCTTAAATCTTTACACCTGTACAGCTTCTTGTATTTTAAAAAGCAAACATATGATTAGCCAGATTATTAGCAGATATCTTCTCTGTCGTCACTATTTACTTTAAACACTGTCATCAGAGTGACACACAGGTGTAACATTTACATTTATTTAGGCTTCACAAGATAACTGGACATTTGGATTGTTACCATATTAAAAGGTAAAAATATATTTAAAAATGCTGAGCGTGCAGTATTTATTATTAAATCACTGAATTCATGACCAGAATAATCAAGATAAAACTCACTAGATTCCACACACAAGATTTCTTTAACTATGCCTAACGAGTCACTGAGATTTGAAGACCATGGGTTATCCTTTTTTTCAAGTTATAGCTTTGTTCATATAAGCTGTAAGCAGCATCTTACAAAAATATTATGTTATGTCAAATATAATGTTATGTTGTTAATGTTATTTTTTTCAGTGAAATCATATTTAATCAAACCAAAATCTTTCTCAGAGTTTGACTAATATTTACCCAGGATGTCTCGACCATAGAGATGTCTTCTAATATGCTCTAATAGAGGCAGATTTGTGTACCTTGAGCTCCAGGATGACTTCTTGCAGGTTCTTCATCACCTCAACGTTCTCCTTTAACTCCTGATCCTCCAGTGTCTCCAATAGCTTCTCAAGGTCCACAGCGCAGCTGTGAAAAGAAAAACAAAGCCAATAAGAAATGTGGCTCCTCAGGATCACTGTAGCTTTGGCCAACATGGAAAAGCTATAGCAAAGCAGTTTTGAGTCACTGATAAAAAAAAAATTCTTCAGTATATTGTATGTCTGGTGGTCTGAGACACAGTTGGGCCTCAAATAATATATCTTTTTGGTAGTTTTTCAAAATGTCAGAGTCTGTGTACTATTCAGGGTGTTTCAGGCTCATCCTGAAGCCCTGTTAGTTTTATTTCATTTGTGTACTTACGCCGCATGGTGCCGCAGTTGCTCCAGTTTGCTTTGTAGTTTCTCGTTTGCTTGTTCTGTCTATAAAATAAAGATCAAGCTCTGTGACAAACACGCCAGATACTAACAGGGCAATAAAGATGTTGAAAGATCAAATGCAGATTGTGTTATTTCATTCATTTTTTAAAAAGTCGATGTTTAATTTAAATGCTTATCTCCACTCTAATGGTTTTTTGTCCTTCCTATGAGTACAAATGAGCACATTATTACTCATGGTCACAGTTTTTTCCCATCAGCCCTTAAAAATGGCTGTAGAGGAAGGTTCAGTTAATGTTCTGGCCAGGGCTTGGCTCACCATAATGATCTTCTCAAACATGAAGGTCGTCTGTCCCGCTGCCTCGCTCAGCTCTCGGCTCAGCTTATTGTTCTCGTCCTGCAGAGCGCGGTTCCTTTCTAACAGTTTAGTCACATTGTCCGCTGACTCCGGCCTAAAACACAGGGACTGAGTAACTGTTATGGCCTTTTGTTGTGGGTAATTTGTACCCTGGGTGCATTTATCTGATACCCTGGTGGGACATCACGTTGTTGAGAAATTTTCTTTACCCAGAAAGCACCGGGGCAACTCCTCCGCGAGCATGAAGGAGCATCACCTGCAGCTCCTGAACCTAGAATCCATCAGAAGAAGAATCAGGATTATCTATCACTTCATGCTGTGAGGGACATATGTGAACAGCTGAGCAACTTTTCATCATTTTGGGGACAGAGCAAAACTTCTAGAAATTTCCGGAAGTGCATTTATGAAAGGCTTATTCAAAAGAAAAATATCAAACTCATAAATGATAATAAACTCATTTAAGCTGCAGCATCATGGCGGTTTAGGATCCGATTCTGCGGTCTCTGGAAGTCCTGTACCTGCTGTTTGAGTCGGTTCATTTCTGCAGCTCTGGGGTCAACATTGACAATCGGCTTGTTTTTGATCTTTCGAGCTCTGTCAGCATATCGAAGTGTGTTGATGGTCTCCTCCATGTTGGAGTCTGCGGGACTGATGCAGGCGATCATCAGAGTGTGGCTGTTGCCTCCCAAAGAATCTGGTGAAACAAACCAAATCGTTCACAAAAAGCACTCTGTGGAATTATTCTGCTGCTATTCACTAAGTTGCATTGTTGGTGCTTATGAAGCTGTCTGTTTGTTATCTACACTAACCAGAAATTCTGCCATTTTTGCAAAAAATATACAGTAAACATCAAGCAGATCCTGCTCAGCATGTAAGAAATAGACACATCAGCGTTTCAGTTTGTTTCGTCGTTAGATGCGAGCATTAAAAACTTTTCATCGCAAAATCAAAGCTAAGAGAAGACAGCTGCCCACTGTGTGCTTTCCATGCTATTTGTTCATATTTGAAGGTTTGAACAGTGTCTGAGGCTACCCTAATGACAACAAAGTAACTCTTGAACATCTAAATCAAAGCGGACCTTGCAGTAGGCGGGTAAGCTTGGAGTCTCTGTAGGGAACAAAGGTGTTTTTCTTGCTTTCATCCCCCAAGGCGCTGATCACATTACCCAGACACAAAAGGCCACGATTGATGCTGATGCCTGAACAGGAAAATGAATATCATCAAAACAGAGATTCCATTATAAAAAGGCACAAAGTGTCAACATTAAGAAAACGACACAAAAATGTTCCTCTTTGCTTTATATCACACTGGGAGAATCACAGATCCAACAGTGGCGACCAGGTAAATCTGAGGAAAAACACATTTTGTTTACCTTCTTTCAAACGATCTCCCTCTGCTTTGGTTTTCTTTTGCCTCTCTGAACCCGCCAGATCCACAAGGTGCAATTTAGAAACAACCGAGTCGACTCTGCAACAAAAGGTTAGAGAAAGACTGAGTTTAAGACTACACTTAACTTTTAGAGGAAAGTCTTCTGAAATTGTTGGTGTATCTGCACATACAGCAGCTCGAGAGGTATCTCTGCAACAAAGTGCAGCAGGAATAATTAAGTTAAAGCTGTTGCCAGAAAATTAAAGATCTGCTGATACAATTCAAGTGAGACAAAACTGTTTTTATCGAGCGAACATTATGACACTCAGCGGCCACTTTATGAAGGTACACCTATTCAAATCACATCATGGTAGCAACTTAATGCAGTTGGGCATGTAGACGTGGTAAAGATGACTTCCTGAAGTAAAAACCGAGCATCAGAATAAGTAAGAAAGCCGATTTAAGTGACTTTGAACATGGCGTGGTTGGGCTGCTCTGAGTATTTCAGAAACTGCTGATCTACTGGGATTTTCACACACAACCATCTCTACAGTTCACAGAAGATGGTCTGAAAAAAGACTTAGTTGCTTTGAAAAAAGAGTAAGTATCCAGTGTGTGGCAGTTGTGTGGAGGAAAATGCTTTGTTGATGGTAGAGGTCAGTGGAAAATGGGTTGACTGGTTCAAGCTGATAGATAGGCAACAGTGAGTCAAATAACCACTCATTACAACCAAATATGCAGAACAAGTGCTCAGACTTTGAAGCAGATGAGCTACAGCAGTAGAGGACCACACCAGGAGCCACTCCTGTCAGCTAAGAACAGGAAACTGAGGCTACAATTCATACAGGCTCACCAAAACTGGACAATAGAAGATGGGGAAAACTTGCTGGTCTGATAAGTCTGGATTTCAGCTGTAACATTCAGATAGTCGGGTCAGAATTTGGAGTTAACAACATGAAAGCAGAGATCCATCCTGTCCTGTATCAACAGTTCAGGCTGGTGGTGGTGATGTAAAGATGTGGGTGGTATTTTCTTGGCACACTTTGGGCCTCATAGTACCAACTGAGCATTGATTAAAGACCACAGCCTACCTGGGTTTTGTTGTCGACCATGTCCATCACTTTATGACCACAATGTACCATCTTCTGATGGTTACTTCCAGCAGGATAATGCACCACGTCACAGAGCTCAAACCATCTCAAACCAGTTTCTTGAACATGACAATGAGTTCACTGAACTTCAATGGCCTTCACAGTCACCAGATCTCAACCCAATTGAGCCCCCTTTGGGAAGTTTCTTGTTTAAAGTTTGCCATGAAGAGTGTAGGCAAAAGGGGTCCAATCTGGAACTAGCAAGGTCTACTTAATAAAGCGGACGGGTGAGTGTATGTCATAATGTAAAGAAAAAACACTCTTATTGAATAGAATAAGCTAAATAAAGCCAATACATGAGCATCTTTTATCATCTTGGATGTTGGAAGCACAATTCAAACCAAAACCATGGTCCAGTTCTGATGCTCAAGAGCCTATTCCTTGGTTTCAGATGGGTACAGGGGTCAGCAAAGTCAACCAGACCAGTTTGCAGCTACCCAGACTGTAAGCAACAGACTGGTCCAGCACCTATACATCAGAAACAGCATGAACTCTCCCGTCAATTTGAGCTCCAGTTGTTCCTCCGTTGGATAGGACTAAATGGGCCGGCCTTTAATCCCCACAGACATCAATAAGCCGCGGTCACCCATGACTCAGTCAAGGTTTTACTAGTTTTCCTTCCCTGGTCCACTTTGATAGGTAATTACCTCTGCAGACCAAGGCACCCCATGAGAGCTGCAGTCTTTGAGACGCTCTGACTCAGTCATCTGGCTGTCACATTTGACTTTGTCAGGGTTGTCCAGACTTTTATTAGCCTCACTTTAAAGTTTCCAGCACAACTACTTTGAAGCCAAAATGTTCACTTGCAACCAAACATATTCAACCCACTGGCAGCTGCTGTTGTAGCAAAATATTCAACAAAATTCACTTGACCTTTTAGTCTTCATACTTTTTTGGCTGATCAGTGCACTTATAAGTTTTTCTCTAACTGCATCACAGAAAAGAGCTAACATGCAGTTCGTTTTCACTTCAGGGTGGATCAATCTTAACTATGTGTCAACACAGTGCAGTGCAGTATGTTAAGGTCAAAGGGAGCTGATGTTTGCCAAAACATTTAAAGAGAAAACACCACCAAACTGACTTGTCTTTCCCTCTGCGCTGCTCCAGTGTGATGGTGAAGATTGCGTGTGAGCGAGAGGAAGCCGCATTCATTGCAGTGGAACCAACAGTGCGAGCGGAGTTTCCGAGTTCAAGACAGCCGACCATCTCCTGGGCTGAGGACACCCGCCTCTCTGTCAAACCCACAATCTGGAAAAGAGATTTTAAAGATACAATCATGACAAAGCTGGAAATCTGTCATTATTTTAAAGGATTTATGAATGTTGAGAGGACTGTCTTTTTATGGGCATTGTAAGTATTGATTTTTGCAAAACAGTCTCTTACCTTAATACCGTCTTTAGGATCTTCTCGAATACTGATGGTGGGTTTATCTTTAGATACGCAAAGAAGGTCCAGTATGTCTTCATTGTAGATCTACAAAAAAAGGGATAACCAACTAAGAAAGTCATTCTGCAATGAAATAGTTGCTGGATGTGAGGGAATATTTTTCCACAAACCTCCAGGTAAGACACTGCCAGGTGAAATTCACACTCTGTCCTCTTCTCCCTCTCCTCAAAAATCCTTTTTATAACTCTCGGTATGACTCCAACCGAGGGATCGTTTTCTTGAGCTGATGTGTACGTGCCTCCCATGGAGAAGGTCTTGCCTGATCCTGTCTGTCCATAGGCAAGAACTGTGGCATGGTAGCCTACAAAACAGGCATTATACACAGAACACCAATTAGTTCAACTGAAAAGATTGATGATAAAAAAGATTGTTTGACTTCTCTGTTAATGCATAGACATTTTTCATGAAGTCTCATGTGATTTCCTTGAGCTAAGCCACACACCACTCAAGTCTGGCTCACATGTGAATGAATGTCAAGGAATCAGTCTAAGGAGGAAGGAACAGGGTTACAACATAAATATACATTTTGTCACTTGATTGATATGACATTTTTGTTGAAAGCCAAAGCTACCTTTGAAAAGTCCATTCAACAGGGAGGCCACGGCCGTAGTGAAGACCTCCTCTTGTTCGGCAGTGGGATCAAATACATAATCATAGGTGAATGCTTTCTCTGTGCCAACAATCACCTAAAAAAAGGATGACTTAGTTATTTCAAAACAAACGGTAGAGAAATGATGTGCAGATTTAAAATAAACATATAGTTTGCAATTATATTGACATAAAGGTAACCAAAACAGAATCTAAACATATTTTCTTTGACTGTCAGAGCAGACCTGTGGCTCCCCAGGCACGAATGTCAGACAGCACTGACATCCCTCACTGATTTCTTTAGGAACCAGAGGGCGACAGCGCAAGGCAACTCGCACAGGGATCAACTTTGCATCCTCATTCGTCATGATGCCAGGCTGCGATCTTAACCTGGAGATAAAAGCAGAACGGAAAGAGTTATTATCATGACAAAATAAACTAACATCCATCAAACACCATGACAAGATAACATAGAATAGTCTTGTCCATATCTGACAGATCTGACCTTGTATCTTCAAGTGTCCCTTTGGCAGACAAATTAAAAACTGCAAATCTGATGGAAATTTGCAAGACGGGATACCCCAGTAGTGATCTCTGTAGTGTTGATGTGGTTGTTTTTAACACAAAATGGAGGTCCACTAAATTGGAAATATGGTAGCCAAACAAATCAATGTATTTCCAAGGACAGGAAAACTCTAACTTTTAACACCAGGGGGTTCTCAGCATCTACAAGCTTTCCACACATGTGACAGCTGCTCAGTTTGATGCGGTCGTAATATGGCTTTCACAAGGGAACAACAAATTCCCTCAAGTCTCAGAAATATCACCATGGATGAGTTGCCATGGTGATCAACGACTTCCATTATTCATTGAGTGTGCGGAGCAGCTCCATGGTGTTAGAGGGTGACATCATTACACACAGTCACGTATCCACTTAGGGACATTCAAACTCAGGGATAAAAGACGAATTTTAATGTGAATATTGATTACATTGCTAGCAGACGTATTGAACACCCTAAATCCGGATCTGTCTATGGAATAAACCAAAAAGGTACGAAGCGGCCTTTCGTTTATTTTAAATAAGGTGCATTACAAAGCTTACTTACATGGTGAGCGGTTGTTAAAGCAACAATTCGTTTAAAATTCAAGTTTTTTAACCCCGCTGACAGGCTAGTCAGATTAGCTTAGCGTCACTTTGAGGTTGCCGATAATAACTCGCCTCCTTCATTAAAACTGTGTGCCGTTAACGTACCTTTTCAGCTGCCTCCAGTGTTTAAAAATCACGAAAACTGCATTCAGCGGCTCACGCTGACAAGTACAGCTCTCTGAACGGACACTATAAACGAAGCGTTTTCCAAAAAAGTGTCACTCTATGCGGCTAACTTTGTCAACTTTTGTCCCTCATTCGTGTCTGAAATGTTGATACAGCCCGCCAGTTTCAAACATCAAGCTCCGCCCCCTTGGCTTCCTCGGCGTATCCTTATCTGGCAGAGTTAATGCAGCTCGGTCTCGACACTGACCTCTACAGGATAAAAGAAAAAATACATTTTCTGGTCAATACCTTAAACCACAGGTGTCAAACTTAAGGCCCGGGGGCCAAATCTGGCCCGTGGAACAATTATATCTGGCCCACAAGATCATATCATATTTGTATTATTAGTAGCCCACCAGTATGAAGTCTGTAGGTATCCTCCAGTATAATAATGTAAAATTTAGCACCATTATTTAAAATGTCCTTAATAAACCACAAAAATCTGGGATATTAAAGAGTAAGAAAGATTTGATAAATAGTCAAAAATGTGGGGGAAAAAAATATTTGGTGTTTTATTTCATGTTTTCAATTTTGCATTTCAAGATTATAAGTCAAACTGATTGGATTTTTTATTTTATGCTTTGATTTTGTTCAATCAGTATTTAGACTTGTGTTATTTTTATACTTTTGATTCTGATTTTAAATTCTAAGTCATATTTTGACATTTCAAACCTGATTTCAACATTCTCCTTGTGTATTTGCTCTTTAAAAGCATCATTTTTCTATTTTTAATATCATGCTCTGATCTTTTCATCAAATAAATAAAAATAGAATAAAAAAATTAAAATAAAATAAAATTTTCTATCCCAGATTGTCTTTGAACCTATCTTTTTATCTTTTTTTGAATTCAAATGATTTATAATTATTGCTGTTTTTGTTACATATTTTTTGAAAAGGATGATGACAGTTTTGGTGAAATGTTGACCCTGTTTGGCCCTCAGGTTCGACCTAAATCCAGATTATGGCCCTTGCTGTGGCTGACACCCCTGCCTTAAACAGATGGACAAAATAATTTTATAAGCCGCCCTGTTTTGCCTTTCCTCATCTTTATGTTAACAGTAAGCATAAAATTCAAATGGGAAGTTCCAAATTTGGTTATCTTTGGCTTATTTTGACTATATCTTCACTGTTTTTGAACCTGTGTCTCATTCTCAGCAAAAAGAATTTAGGTAGCAGCTACTCTTCCAGGCGTCCACAAGAAGACAGTAAACATTTGTATACATTAAAAATGATAAAAGTCCAAACAGGAGAATCATACAAAATATTAAAATCATAAATAAAACAAGGATTATGATTACATTACATTTCCAATTACAACAGACACCAATAGAGGCCAAGATAAATGTACTAGTCATTAAAATCCCATTGGCATGTATTGCATGTTTTCACAGCCTAATCTAGGTGTTCTGTTTCTTATTTCAGTGAGTCTGGGTTGTTAGATATTGGTATAAACACATGTTTACTAGTTAACCTTGTAATGACAGAAGGAAGACTATTCCATATTTTCATACCTCTGAACATGACAGTACGCTGTCCAGAGTGAGTATTGGTGAGTGGAAATGTGAAATAACCATTTGATGCATGCCTTGTGTTGAAATCATGACCATTATGACTGAACAGCAATTGATTAAACAAAGCATTTGGCCTTTTATACACTGAAATTTATCTGAAGAAGGAAAACAGAGACAAGCATTAGCACACTTAAAGCATCATAAAGAGTTCATATACAATATGGCTTTCACCGATTACTCTACAGTGATTTCTATGTTTTTATTCAAATCAAATTGTAATAGTCTTTGCATGTAACAGATTTTCATTTGGGGGTTGAGTCTAACTTTTTTATGGCTGCGAAGTGTAACTCACCTGATTGGCAAAAATTACTGACAATTTATTCCAGAGATAGAACAGATGATGAGTCACTGTTGTCACTTGAGAGTCCATCTACGTAATCACTGAAAATTAAAGCAATTAAATGAGCGTCAATTGCATGATGATAAATATCACAAAAAGACTATGTTAGGCAGAGTGAAGTGAGCAAGCAATATAATCACGCTGCCCAGGCAACAACATGTGACTCAAAAACTGTGCCTGCAGTCTCCTGCCAAGCTGAGAAACAAAGACCTCGGCAGAGTTCTTTTTTCTTCTTCTTTATTTCAAGATAAGTGTAAATAGAGGAGGAAGACACAGCAGAAAGGAAGCTGAGTGGGTGACATGACATCTCTCCTGATGAGATGAGTTTTCAGCCTACAATGGGGAAAAAAAGGGAGTGACTCTTGTGTTCTGGCTGGAGGAGAAAGGTCATTACACTGGGAGGCAGAGTGAGAAAACAGCTGAGTCCAGATAAAGTGATGACAGGGTTTCTGCAGGGGAGAGGGAGCCATAGGAAGCAGTAATATATAGTGCCAGGAGCCAAAGCTATGTTTTTTCTACTTCTGATAAGCAGTCGTGTTATATTCATAAATTTAAATGATGCACTCAAGTGTTACTAAAAGATCCTCTGAGTCTTACCAACACTTAAGAGGGTTTGGCAATGAATACAGGGCTACTGCCAGGAGTTTTGAACCCAACGGAAAAAAGGTCACATTTTGTTACTGCGATATTTCTGTTAATTTCTTGGGCTTCTGTCAGTCATCCAAGCATCTACCCCCCATGGAGCCTGCTGAAAAACCACACCCACAGAACAGCTGTTATATGAAAATCCAAGATGAACTTTTCAGTTGTGGAAACTTCAACAACAACAACACTGACAGAGCATTTCCTCTCGAACACAGATGTCTAGATCTGCCTCCACCCTAGATGCTATTGACCCAACCAAAATATCAGCATTCACATCTAAAACAAACACTAGCCACCTGCTTTGATAAAAAGGATAAGCACTTAATGAAGAAATTCATCCTAACATGCTCTCATACCAATATTTTCTATATGTGTAGCCTACCTCATGGCTTCTTATTAGGGTGACCATACGTCGATACGGGGAGTTTATAAAATCCTTATGGAAGTTTTGAGTTTGTGTCGTTTGGACATACTGAGTCAGAAGCGTGTAAAAAACACTCGACCCGACCCGAAAAGCTCTCAAAATTTACTACATGACTCTGTGACTCCGCCTCACGTAGTAGTGTCCTCTTTGTGAGGATTCAGAATATGGTCACCCAACTCCTAATGTCCCACAATCTGAGATAGGAGACAGATGGGCAGCTGGAGCCTGTACCTCACTGTGATTATCCAGAGGTAGCCTCTTATCACCAACATTTCATCAAGTGAGGCCCACTCCCCAACACCTCAGGGAAGCTTAAATAGTTATCTCATCCCTTCATGCCAGCTCCTACAGCCTATTATGCTCACAAGCAGAACCTCCTTGCATCACAAGACAACCCATACAGCACTGTAACACTCAACAGATCCAGGCTCCATTTGTGCAAGCTCCAAGTAGTGGCAGCATTGATACAACCTGTCCAACTAAATGGCTCCCAAAGGTCCCTCAAAACACAACAAAAAGAGATGGGAAAGACAGGGAAGGCAGATCCAGATGAAACATATGAATATGAAAGACAACATGTGATTGTTAAAAGGAAGGGGAATATGATGTTTTGACTGTAGGCACTGGCCTCTTAGCAAATTCGCAACAGTATTAATGAAGTTCTGCCATCATTGCACCTCAAACAACTGTCCCTGTGTAAACACATGACAAGCACACTCAGACACACACATACATACACAGCACTGTTCCACCCGCCCTCATCGGCTCTATTTATGGCACGGTGCTATCCCTCTGTGGAGTCCTTTTTTATGTGGGCCTTTAGCCTCTGGGCTAAACTCATAACCGTTATGTCTTCAAAAATAATTCGCTACAAAAATTCTCCTCCCATACAGTTTATAGAGAAATGAGCTACTCACACCATGCTGTGAACATGTTGCGCTTTTTGTCCAAGAATGGGTGTGTATGTGGTTCACAGGGCTTTTGGATCCAGCCTCAAGTGGACATAAGAGGAAGTGCAGCTTTAAGTAATACAGCTTTGCATCATTTTTTAAAATTGGAGGCTGCTGCTTGGTCTCAGTTTCACAATATCATATTACTTCATGAGGATATTTTGCTCAGTCATTCTATTAAGCACACAAGAGCCTATATTACTTAAAGGTTTTAACCTGAGGTGTGAAAGCTGTGAAGATTTAGGAGGTCAAACTGAATTAGAAAGACTTTAAATGCATTAAAAATTGGTCATTGTGTTATATATAGTGACTGAACCCCTGCAGATGAAAAGATATGTTTTGTTCAGGTTCAGGTGACTTTCTTATTAACCAGGTATTTCTGACATTTGAAAGCCCCTGTGGTGTCTCAAAAACATTCTGTTTATTGGAATTGTCTTTGGTATGTCTCGCTGTCTGTCTTCAGTCAGCTACTGTTCATGTCGTCTGAGGGTATGAGTCCTGCTGCAACGGGAAATTCCACCACAAGACCTAATAACAACATGCCAGATTGTCTCTGCTGCCGAGAATAGATCAGACGGTGAATGAATGGAACAAGCCCGTCTATTCTTTCCATATTTAATCTCAAAATTATGATTGAGAAAATTATTTTTAAATAGGAAGATTCAAAGGCCAGCTTTAGTTTGGCCAATAATCTTTCTTGAAGCCATCTTAACCTTGAACAGTGTGGTTCTTGCTCTCTGGTCTTGGAGGAAATTCAGCCTGTGTCCCTTTTTCCTGTTGTAATTTCAAAAGATGATCAGCATGGGGTGGATTGCACTCCAATGACATCACCCGTGTCTAAAATCCCACCCTTTCATGAGAGGGTTTTTGAAGAGGATTCAGCTGAACTAAGCTACATACATACTGGCTTTATGCTCCACTTTCCTTTATGTTTCATAATCCGTTTTAATTGGGTTATCCTTAAATCATCGCAAATGTTAGTTGAGATGAAAAGAGCTAGTAGCTCAAACAATGATGAAATCCTCAAGTTAAATGATGGGTGTAATTCTGCTGCAGAGCATTATTAATGAAATATCAACAAGATCAAACCACCCTTTATGCCAGAGATAGATTATTCATTAATTAGATTAAATTATTATTCATAATCTGTAGAAAATATGGTGTGGTGTGAGACAATGCATGAGGCAAATTACATCCAGGATACATCAGTAGGCCTTCACCATAACTTATGGACTTGGTGGTAGAAAATCCACCTTAAACCAGAGTCGGAATAAATGACATAAAAAGTGAGCTTTGAGAAACTTTGAAGTTTTTTGTTGAACTTGTTAATCACTCGATGTGGCAAACAATTTTGACAATTTTACAGCACAACCCTTTGCAGTAAGTCTGCTTCCTCTCTCCACTTCCTATACAAACAAAAAAGGACACAATTTGCAAATAAAACAGAATTTTATCAAGGAGCCAAAGATTCTTGGTTGCACAGTTCAGATCTGTTATACTTTCTCCAGCCATTGAGGTTGGTTGCCTTAAAAAATATTCCTGAAGAAAACAGACCATGTGATTCGTGCAATTTGGATTAAGTGAAAAGATGACCTAAGAAAGTTGTTTCATGAAGTTCTTTTAAAAGCGTGAAATAATGTGGTGGCCAGATGAGCAAAAACTGGACCGACTGTTTAAACTTGATGTGTTCAACCAGGCTAATTTTGTCTAAAAAGCCTGGAAGATCAAACAAGATAGTCTTATTAATTAGTGTATGCTTATATATCATTTATGTATTTTTTCTGATCTATGAGATTGACCTGTTATATTGACGACTTCATGGCGTCATGTAAGCCCATATGGGCTGGACATATAAATATATGTATGACATAATAACAAAGTAAGAATGTCAAAATCTTCAAACTTTCTATGTCTCCTTCTCTTTTTAAAAGCCAAAATGCCCAAATAACCAAATAACCCCCCCCCCCCCCCAAAAAAAAAAAAAAAAAAAAGAAAAGCAGAAAAGAAAAGGTTTACTGCACTGCCATTCAGAAAGATATCTACTGGAGGACATTGAGACCTTGGTTTGTTTAAATGATTAAAGCTCCTGTGAAGAACTTTCACTTGGTGTTGATTTTAGTGCCTCCTGTGGACAAGGGGACACATCTTATCTCTGCTGATTTCTCTTACGCATGTAGAAAGAAAAATCTCTCTGCTTTCTTTTTAAACAGGCAATTGTATCACTCATTTAAAAAAAAAAGAAAAGAAAAGAAAAACAGCCAATTTTTGGACAAAACTTTGGGTGACACCCATAGACTGTATATTGAAAGAATTTTTTTTTCTTCTCCCTTTTTCCTTTTCCTAAATTTTTTCTCAATTATTACATTTATTTAAGTTCTTAATATTACGATCTTTATTTTTATAACTGCATTTTTGCACTCTCTGTCTGTGATGCTGCGGTGACAAAAAAATTTCCACCATGGGGGATCAATAAAGGAATATTCTATTCTATTCATCTTCCGTCTCTTTGCTGGGTGAAGCCTCCGAAAGGACAGCTCCCCAGGTGACTGATTGCAGTATAGGTCATAAACCCCGCCTTCTACAGCAAAATGGACAAACTTTACAAATTAATCACAATATACATTTTTCTCCCCCCTGGTTGCAATGTTGACATGTATCCCATAAAAGAAAACTTTTTAAACCAGAAACTGCTTTCTGTTAAAAGCCCTATGTAAATGCTACCAAGTAATACATATGCTCCCAAACAAGGTAAACATCATGATCGTAATTACAGCATCAGTTACTGTATGGCCTACTTTCTTCGGATTAGTTTCCAATTAAGGCTCAGAGTATCATCTTTATACATTTTCTAGTATTATTCATTCTCCATTATATAAAGTTCAACAGGAAACAAAAAGTCAGGCCATCCTGCAGGCAAATGATAGCCCTACTTACACTTGCTGAAACAGAATCAATTCAGCAGAATTCAGACAGCATACGGAGGTCTTTTACCAGGAAAATTCTCAGACAATACAAGACTAGAGCCAGCAATAATTATCTATGCATTTTAAAACAGGCTTGAAGCGTTGTGCTGAGTCAGTCATGAGGCACATTATGGGTGGAGCATCTGCAGGTTTCTGCTCTGGCCCAGATAATAAACTCACAATAACTCATTTATGTTGAGACACTGACAGTAAATGAGGGTAAAGATGAAATTAATTGAAATTGATGGCAGATTAACCTTGGAACAAATGTAATATAAGCAGAGGCGCGTTTAAGTTACAGGAACATCTACATCTGTTTCATTAAACCTGTCATGAGAACCAATATCACACATAAATAAGACTGAGGCTTAATTTTGTTGATATTTGTCCCGTTCTCTGTCAGTTTCTTTAAAGACTGGCTGACAAAGAGATCTGTCTTGGGTTATTTACAAGAAAGGGTGAAATCAAAACCTACGATAGATTTCAAAATTCTAAAAAAAAAAAAATTGGTGTGTAATCAAGAGATTAAGATCCCCTGTCCTCATCATGTCTTCCCACACTGGCTGTATTTCCCTGTCAGGCATACAGTGTTTCTATTTTCCAGCACACTGCGTCCAGCATCATGAGTCAGGGCATGGTCATCATCAGCTGTTCCTACAATGTGTATTATTCACTCACACTGACATTTCATTAAGACCCTGGTCACTGCCTGCTTCAAACTGAGGGTCCTATGGAGAGGGGGTTCTTTATGGGGGGGAGCTGGATAATCATTCAGGGGGTTAGAAGTGGACAGGAATGTTTTTATTTAGTCACTGGGTCCTGTGAGCTGTGGACAGGAGGGTTAGAATTTCTTGTGACAGTCCTGCAAAAGATGAAGTATCAAAAATGTATCTGTGTGCCAGCATCATCCACAGAGATGCGTTGTGTAAAGATATAACTCAGGGTTAAATTGTCATACGTAGATTTGTCATGTTTTCTGCATTTATTCTGACAGAGTGTATATAATAGGCCCAGACCACTCCTGCTCAGTGCCTTTTTTTAGTTAGGGGATACCGATACTTTTTCAAGCACGCACGCGTACATGCGTATGCACGTCGTGAGCGCGCATGCTTTCACAGCTCCGTAAATTTCTTCTGAATTGCAAATTTGATACCCACAGAACTTACGCAGAAAGTGTAGCAAGTGGGCGCAACACAGTTTCTGAATCCGCTTCCGGAGTGCCGACGACACCGATGCCCACAGACTGATCACAGGGCTTTTACCCGAACAGCACTGAATGGTAGCAGCTGAGGGACGGGTGCGGAGCGAGGGTTGCCAAACCCGGAGGATTTCTCACGGCTTGCGGACTAGAATGCGCTTCTATATGTATCCCCATACACGGATGACAGCCTCCAAACAATCCTACACAGAAAACTTTCAGCTCTACATTTGACGCGGGGGTGTTATTGAGATTTTTTGAAAGCCGGTCCAAGAGCAGACATGATGCAGGTGCAAACTGTGGGCTAACGGTGGTACTGAAATGACTTGCTCGGCGCTGACGCGTTTCATTGTGCCATGCCAACCCCGCATTGTCAGATGCCATTTTACTCTGCGTTATCCCAGCGTCTGGAATTCCAACAAACTGGGCCTGTTGTGTAATTAGAAGTTCGTGAGGGCTGTAGCAAACAAGCTGGTGCAATGAGAAGCTACGCTGCCCCAGACATTGTGCGCAATTTGTGTTGAAGCTTATGGGTCCTGCGTACTCAAGCTCCCGGCTTCCACTTGGAGAGGTGTGCTGCGGGGCTACAGCGCACTGGCTGTCGGCTTCACATCTGGACCGCCTTGGTACTGTCATCTGCGGCCTATTCGGACTGTGCACTCCCTGAACTTGTGTGTGTGTGTGTGTACTGGGAACTGACGGATGGTGTCGTGTTAGAGGGAAGAGGTGATTATTTGGCCTGGACTTGACGTTATCGGTGATCCACTGGAACACCGAGGTCCAAAGCTGGACTGGCAGACTACTCATGGAAAAAACGCTTATCCAGCTATGGATTTTGCGTAGCTAAGTCACGCATTTTTAAAGGCAACGCTAGGGTGACATTGCAGTCTTCTCACCATATCGGTTATTTCGTCGTCCGACAAAAAAATAAAAGAGTGAAAGTGGAGTATTGTCCGTCGTACGTATCAACGCAGTGGGATTTCTACGTCTGGTCGGCGTTCCCCCCCACCCTTCCCGCGGTGACGGTTATGGGTCGGAAGCGGTGTGTCGGTGCAGATTGTTCCAAGATGGCGGCCGGGTGCTGCGGGGTGAAGAAGCAGAAACTGTCGGGATCGCCCGGGTCGGGGGGTCCCGGCGGGGTGGGGGCGGGAAGCGGGGTGGCAGGAACCGGACATTGTGGCTCGGAGTTGGGGATTGGCTCCTCGGCGACCGTAGCAGCAGCGGCGAACGTGAGCAGAGCCAACGGCCTGGGGGGACCCGGGGGTAACGTTAGCGGCGGCGGCGGCAGCAGCAGCGGTGGTGGTGGAAGCAGCGGCACGAACGCTCTGTCCCCAGCCCCGGCCGGTTACACTTCATCCGGCCTCTCCCCGAATCTCAGCGCGGGACCTGGTTCGGGAAGTGGAGGCAGAAAAATGGTCGTCTCAGCGGAGATGTGCTGCTTCTGTTTTGACGTGCTTTATTGCCATCTGTACGGATACCAACCTCCGAGAACACCCAGGTTTACAAACGATCCCTAGTGAGTATTTTCCCTCTTTTGTTGTTTTGCTGCATGTCAAACCTCGTCGGTGGAGTCTCTCAACAGAGGTCTACCATGGCAGACTTGATGGGTTTACCTCTGGATTTCCCTACAGAGTTCAGAGCACTGACTGTCACGTAAAAAAACAACCTACTTATAATGAATTTAACGTGAAAAGCTCGCGACCAAAGCTTAATTTAGCCAAGTTGGAATTCGGGCCTTATCGAGCAATCCCTGCACCGGCCTGCTACACCTTTCACCGAATATTACCGACAGCAATGAATGATTTTGTTCAATGTCAACGGTTGTGATAGCTGGTACTAGCTTAAGTACGGTGTGATTTTTCGAGTTACCGTCAGTACTCGACGAAAAACACAATTTGAGATAGTGTTTATCCTGTTCGAAGATCGGTGGCTAATGTTAGCTAAGCCTGTTAGCCACTCGCTTGTGCTGGCTAGCTGTGAGCACTAATGCTAAGCTAAAAGAAAAGGGTGTTATCGAGTGCGATAGCGGCACTTATAATTTTCGTCACAACAGCAGCTGTTTCGTCATTCCTGGTGTACATTTTTGTTTCCAGTGATACATTAAAAAAGTTGCTGTTAGTGTAATTAATCTTTTCGGATGCCCTCATTGAACTCACGATTGCCACATACCAAGCTTAGCCGGGCTAGCTGCGAGCAACATTAGCTTAGCAACAAGACATAAATGAGCTTTTAGAAATTATTTTGTAACTAATTGTTTTGAAATCCTCTTTAATATCACGACTAGTGCTGCAGTCATAGTAGTTGTTAGTTTTACAGCAGGTTTCTTACGGTCAAAAGACTTTATGACCAAGGGAAACCAACCGTGATGACCGCTTTAGCACCAGCCAACAAAGAAAAGCTAGTTGCCGAGTACTTAGCGGACTGAATAATTTTTAGAAGCAAAATTTGTATCAGACCAACATTGTCAGCGTTGAAAAACTGCAGTAAACTCAGTTTTAAAACTTTTGCATTAACACTTTTACACGTGTCAATTGAGAGTTGACTCAAACTGTATAAAATGTGTATTTTCTCTCTACCGTCCTTCTCTGATACATATTGACCCCACCTTATACAGGCGGTGTAATGTGATAGCATGAGACTTTACGGGCCTGTAACATACATTGGAGACTGTGGAGGGATTGTTAACAACTGCAGCCATATCAGACTTCTCCAGTTTATCGACCCGCACTTGCTCAAGAAAGTTTGTAAAGACCAGGACCACGTTAAAATGTATGAAAATACTCATATAGTAGCTTTTATTGCTGCCATGGAGTGTCTGCTTTGCTGTTGTAAAAAAGTGTGAAATGTCAAAGATTTGTGGTACCACAATTTTACTTCACAGACTGTGAGTGTATATATAATCAGTTATTAATGGACTGTATGTAGGTTAAGTGTTGGAACACTCATTTCTAGGAAGTCATTATCCATTATGCGGATCAAAAAGTACTGCATGTACATACACACAGAATTATTTCTCTTTATTCACTCTGCCCATCAAAAAAGTACCCTTTCCATCAACACAGAACACCTATTGGGAAAAAAAGAACTTGTATTTAAAGGTATCATTTAAACAGGTCACTGTGTGGAACATGGTATGCTTTGGCTAAATATCAACCATACACAAGTCTTTCATTTATACTGAATCCTCAAAAACTGCCACATAAAACACTTTACTTCCAAACTATCTTTGTAAACTCCAGCCAAAGGCTCTACACATTTAAATGTTACAACCAGTCTAAACTCACGGGGTGGCACACACAGAACAATGGACTGACATATCCCAGACAGAGCGGCTACAGCTCACTGTACCATGTCTTTGGTTTTCCCAAGTCATAACCACATGTGTATGTGTCAGACAAATGCAAATTCAGCTCTGCTCTTTGATTATTTCTGCCTTTACTGTGAGTTGACTTCAGACAGGCTGCCTCTCTGGATTTCTGCACAAGTCCACATTGTGAAAAGCAGCAACAGTATTTCCTCAGTGTTATCTATTCTCTATTCAGTGGCTTATTTGGAAGGCCAAATCAGTGTTAGCACAGACACCACATAAATAATCTAGTGTCAGTGTTTAAATGCAGAAAAGCCATAAAGGACCCTGACTTAAGTCCCAGTCCTTTTGTGTACACTAAGCATTACACCTTCATAAACATTAACTAACGTCACATGAGTCTAATCAGGATAAGTGCCTCATCCCAAGAGGATGCAAGGACTTAGTCGGGGATAGGTAAGCTTTTTGTTGAACATCTGATCAGAGCCATGTAATTTTTGCACGAATGAAATGCTTGCCTTTTTTTTTTTCCACATTTACTTAATGAAAAAATCTGGGTTTGCATCCGACTTTCTCATTTACTTCTCTGATATTATTAGTACAGCTAAATCACAACAAATACAGAAAACATTATGTATTTTTTAACAGGTGTATGAAATTTTACTGCTGTTACCCCATGCCCATTAAAATACTTAATTAAAAATGGAACTGTACATTGTGAGTAATATTCCCAAAGAAAGATACAAAACTGAATATTTAAGGCCCAGAAAGTCAGTGAGTTTAACACAGTGGAGCTCTGTTTTTTTTTCTTTCTCATGCAATATTGAAACTTTCCAGCCCCCCTTAGAGAAATATTCCTTACTTGATTTGCTCAAGTCTGTCAGATTTAAAGAGCGAACACTGGGACGTCACCCAACCGTCACCACATGAAACAAGGTCCACCCAGAACCAGCCAGTCATGACGAGGAGTGTTGCAAACCAAAACCCACCAATGTGGTAGCTGCCATAGACAGAGAAACTCCCACTTATGGTCTGTTGTGTCCTCAACTTGTCCTTCTCTTGGGGGCATTGTCAGATTGAATCATTGGAAATGCCCAAGATGACTACAACACTTGACACAGACACAGTATTCTGCTTAGTAACCCAGTCAAACAATGCAGGGGCACAGATTATAGGCAGATTGTAATATTTTTTTAAGAAGCAGTGGTTGTAAAGCTTAAAAGGAACCTTTTCCTCTAGCAAATACACTGTTTTATATCACCCAACATGAGTTACATTTACCTTAAAACACTGGATGTTTGCTCTCTAGCCTGCTGTCTGCCTTGTATGTTGTTGGCAATTTAGTAAATACAGCACAGCTGCTCCTCCGAATGGAAGATCATATGCTAAGAGCTATGACTCAATATATGTGCGAAGGCAGCTGCTTCAAGGACTGCCAACATGGCATACATTAGAAAATATTTGACTTCATTTTGACTGCTAGAAGATCAATGGATGAAATTGTAGGTAGGGAGTAATGCTGCATGTATGATACCATAACTACTGAGCAAATTTAGATGAATTACCTTTGGCAACCTTTATACTTTTATGTGTTGATAAAATCACCTTTATTTATTTTGATAACAGGATTTGTTGGTGTAATTTCTGCATGCATTAGCCATTGGTTTAAGCTGGTGCAATTGATAAGATAAGAAGAACTTTATCTATCCCTGAGGAAATTCAATAAATGTTAATGATATTAATAATGATGGTTTATCTAAGTAAGCGCTTTCAACAACCAGCCAGCAAATTTGATATATATTGCTTTGCTTAGTATTTTTTCCATATCAGCCTTTGTTCCTACCAGTGACCTAATGTGTTACTTGTCCTAAGCTGGGGGATTGTTTATGAATATTTCCAATCAAGTCACAGGACAGTCACATTGACAAGAGTTTGAAGAACTGCACAGTTCAGCGTCTGAAAAAATCAAAGTCTTGTGACAGTTGTGTCTTCAGTACACGATTTACATCTCACAGCTGTTGATTTGTCTTAATATTTTTGTTGTTTTATTTATTAAGTAGTTAAATGTGTGAATGAAAACAGTTTTAAAATCTTCTTATGGAGAAGGACCTTGTGTATGTCTCTTTTAAGTTACATTTGACTTTGTAAGCCTTAAATTCCGAAGAGTAACTTTACTTATACTTATTTTATTTATTTTTTTCACAACATCGTGGTCTATTTAAAAGTGCCTGCCAAGACACCTTTTCAAAAACGGTCACACTGTGTGTCAAAACTGGCAACAAAACAGATTTATCTGTCAGTGCTACATGTTGTTTTGAATAGGTTTCTAATACGATATTGTTACTCAGAAAAAGCCTGAAGCGCTTCATTTCTTTGCCACATACACTTGTGACGTGACTCCTAATAATGGTAAATGAAAATAAATCTTTCTGCCTGATTAACCTCACTCCATGAAGATTAAATAAGATTTGCCATTTACTAATGAGTAATCAGACAAAGTACAGCTCTGAACTCAGGGGCCAGTGTCATAAAAAATACTTCATTCAGGTTTCTAGTGTTATGTTTGTATAAATCTTTCTTTTCGGCCAGTCTAATCGGAGTAAAACAGTTGAACCACAGCAAAACGATTGTCTTAAATTTATCCTTTAAATTTGGTAGTTATTTAACTGACGATTATGAACCGTGACGGTAAACAATGAAAGGGTAGGAGACGTAATAGACTTATCCTTTTGTCAACTTCTGGATTTACATTGTTCATGGACGTCATTGCTTTGCTAGTAGGAACTAGGCCTGGGCGATTTGGCAAAAAAAAATGATCATGATATATTTTGTCATATCATCCAATCTCGATTATTATACCGATTTTTTTTTTTTTTAACTGCCAGTTTTAAAGTATCTGTACTAAAAGCTAAAGAAACTAGAGATTAGTGAAACATTTTATTAACATACAAAGTAAAAATTAAAGCAAACTGAATAAGATATACTTAGAAAATATGTTTATTAAAAATATTTGTAAAATATTTTAACTCAACAATACAACAAATGTAGATAAATACTAAATAATACAGTGAACAAGTTTACAGTCCTGAGTATTTCTGAAGGAACGTAAGACCCAAAATAAACAAATCGCCCCCTCAGAGATAATGAAGACGCCTTAAAATGTAAACATTAGACGATGTAAACCTAGATGATATGATTGATCGCTGCTTTGGTCTGGTGGCTGCTCCGCTAGTTGTAGCTAACCTGCTAATACTACTTGTGCCGTCAGCGGCGACAGGCTGTGCAGACCCCGCCCACATTTTCATGTTTTTCTCATAAATACTCAGGAAGAACTTCTTTAAATGATTAAACAGATCGGTTGTGTTGCCGTTTTTTTTGTGGGCGCCGGTCAACAACATACCTTACACATCGGCTTAAATGCTCGACGTCACTTTGTAGATACCTGAACCACCGCCACGCAACAGACGTTGAATAACTTCTCAACAATAACATCTTTGGAAAATAACTCAAAGTCACGGCTGACATCTATTTTGCTGCTCTCAGCTCCACGTTTAGCTACATGTTTGGTCATTCTATTTACTTCTCAGACAATTTACAGAAGCGAACAGGAAAAGCTTGACTCTGATTGGCTGTTGTGACACACACTTCCGCTGTGGTTGATCGAGTAAATATGCTCACAGCTGATCACTGATCGAACTGAAACTTATCACGATCATGTAATCGCCCTGTCCTAGTAGGAACCAACAAGGATAACCAAGAACTTCCTTAGTGCTACGTAAGACTGAAATTGTAGCCAGTATTGGTCAAAATTGGAGCCATTGTGAAAGACTGACTTAGTGAAACAGACTTTAGAACAGAAATTGCTCTCAGAAAAAACAATAAACTGATAGTTTTAGTTGCTATAAGCTTGACTGGAGCGCAGACTTTGTGCAGCCAGTGTAAACCAGGCTACAAGGGTTCATTAGGTCCGAGTGTATGTTAAAGCTCAACATAGTATCTTGTAATTAGACCAGTGAGTTTTGGATTGGAATTGTGTATGAACAACACAGCAGCAAGCGTCTCATTTTGCATAATGTAGGTTCCAGTCTATGAATCAAAGAAACAATTTCGTGCCATGAAGGATTGTTCTCTGAAAAGCCTCTTTTATTGAACATTCCTCTTGCAAACAGATGACACACCATTAAAAAGTTCCCATCGTGAGTTACACTCAAGTGCTGCTGGGTCTTTTCTTTTGTATTACATCTGGTAATTCATTATCACTCTTACGGTTTATTAATGAATCACAAAGTGGTGGATTTTTTATATTATAAGCAAGAAATTCTCCCGTGTGCTCCATCTGACTTATTCACACAGTGATAATAAAGAAGCAATTTCATCCTAAGACAGAAAATGACTTCATGAAGGGTAGGAAGTTATTGTTTCATAAAGGAGTTAGTTATTCAGCCATGGGTGCACAGATGGCTCAGTGTTATGAACAAAAGCCTGCACTCTTGGATGAAAAGTGATGATGTAAAAAACAGTCATGCCACTACTGCATAATGTGACTAACGACTGCTGCATACCAAAGTAATGTGGTCTGTTAAGTAACTTTTAATGCACTGCTTGATAGGTTCATTTGATTTGCATGTGACTGTTCAATTTATGACCGAAATGCCACAACTGACCCTCGTCTCGTGCTCTTGTTTTTCAGCCCGCTGTTTGTCACATGGAAAATAGGCAGAGACAAGCGGTTGAGGGGTTGTATAGGTACATTTTCTGCCATGAATCTGCACTCAGGACTCAGGGAGTACACCCTTACCAGGTAAGCAAAGGTTCTAGCCCGAGACTCGATGCGTAGTTTTTTTTTAATGAAGAGTGACTCCTATGAGTGTCTTCAATGATGGTTTGGCTATGTAAGGATGGAAAAAATAATTGCTTTTTTTTTCGTCTTTACTTTTGTCCTGTTTCTTTTGAGAGGCTTGTTGTCACACTGTGTGAACTGCATATCTCATTAATCTCAGGTCCCTGGGTACACCACAGTCACAAATGTCCTGAAGTCTGTTTTCCATGACGGGTTTCCTTTTTTTATGAACTCAAAGAAAGAGAAAACAGGGTGTGATATAGTGTGTATGTGGAACACTTTCTTTGTGACACAGTCGTCAGCACTCTGTAGGTGATGGACAAAATGCTGAAATTCTTGTAGTGCTGGTAAGTTCACTCTGACTTAAAGAGGCAGTGGTACACGTAAAAGAATAGAGTATGACTGGTGGGAAAATAAATTGAGATCACTTATCAATGCATGAAAAGCAAAAACAGACAAGAGTGTGTAGCAAACTAAACAAGCACTTAATTTTGACCCATTACAGTGCACGGTTTTCCCTACATGCAACTGATCGTGGGCGCACCGCCACGGCAAAAAAAAAAAAAAAGTTTTTATCTCGCATAGTTCTGCCTCGGACTCATATTTATCAGCAGTGTTTCCCCTACATTCATTCGCACTGCTGAATGATTCTTCACGCACTGTGTGAGCACAACTACACACAACGTTATTTCCGACTTGTTATGAGTCATCAAGGAGCGCATCAAATCCTGTCGGACACTCTTCTTTCAACGTGAAAGATAACGTTCAAGCTTATACACGGTCTACATAGCGAGTAGCATTAATAGCATTAGTAGCATTATTATCAATGCGGCACTAATGATTTCTACTCGCGCTGTGTGAGCACAACAACAAACGGCGTTATTTTCGGCTTGTTTTGAGTCTTCAACAAGCGCATCAGACCCTCTTCCACTAATGTGAAGGGTAACGTTTAAGCTTATACACAGTCTATATAGTGAGTAATGCGGGTAACGTTACATGAATGCAACAGCGTAGCTCCAGGAGCAGCTGGGGGGGAGAGGTAAACAACTTCACAAACACCGCAGTGATCTCTTTCCTTTGCGATAACCTGTGGTAGAGCCATTCACTAGGATCTTGACCTGAGGGCTGACGCAGCTGACCGGTTAATTATACATAAACACTCAGCACCTCGCTGTTATTGTTTACAGACACACACATTACTAACAGTGTGAGACCACGCTGGACTCTGTCTGTCTAAAGGTCACCTATATCATAGATAAGACCAACACCAGTACAAAATGCAAGAGGTGTTCTGTTGTGTTACTACTGTGATGATTGAAGAAGCGGACCAGGCTCGCTGTGCCACTCTTTAATACCTTTTTTTCCCTCATTAGGTTTTAATCATGCATTAAGAGAAAACAGTGGTATACTGTTAAGGCAGTGGTTTTCAAGTCCAGTCCTTGAGGCACACTGTCCTGCATGTTTTGGATGTTTCCCTGCTCTGACACACCTGATTCAAATGATCAGCTCGTTATCAAGCTCTGTAATGGCTTAATAACGAGCTGATCATTTGAATCAGGTGTGTTGGAGCAGGGAAACATCCAAAACATGCAGGACAGGGGGGGCTCGAGGACTGGACTTGAGAACCACTGTGTAAAGGAAATAAACATTGTGAAGTGCTGGTGTGATTGAAAGACTTTTAAATTCAACATGATTACTGACCAGTGAAGGAGGTGGCACAAGTCTTGGGAAGCTGGTCCATCCCAATGCAACCCTGTTTAACTCCCATGAAGGTAGCTGTCAGGGTGGCGATAATAGATGATACCGGAAAAGAGACACACCTGCAGAGAGGCTGCGTTAAACTAAATGCGGTGACAGTCTTAACTCAGGGAGACACTTAAACCTCTTTTAGCTGTGGGAGCCCCCCACAAAGCAGACCTGCTGCTGCAACTTGCAGGAAGTGATACCATTATTTGGCCTCTTTGTTCTCGACTATGCCTTTTCTTTTTTGCTCTCTTACAGCGTCTTTTCCTTTGTGCTCTTATCTCCACAGTGCCCTTAAAGACAGCCGTTTCCCCCCAATGACGAGGGATGAGCTGCCTCGCCTCTTCTGCTCAGTGTCTCTTCTCACCAACTTTGAAGACGTCGGTGATTACCTTGACTGGGAGGTAAGGAACACACGCGGCTCAACACTGTGCTTTGAGAAATGCTTTTCCTTTTTACCTCTCAGCAGCTTTAATGCTCATTCATCACATATTTCTCACACTTTGACAGAGAGTTTTGGAAATAAATTGAAATCCTTCAAACCGTTCATTAAACTGTTCGAACAGACTGAGAATTATTGCGTGTGGTTAAAAATGTGGGGCTTGACAGAAACTTTGAAGAGGATAAGTTTTTCATTTCACAGCCTTTCAACCTTCACTTTGTGGGGCTGGGATATTAAAGGGCTCAAAATGACATTGTTTCTTGATCCTTTCCTGCTTTTTATTCCAGGTGGGTGTTCACGGTATTAGGATAGAGTTTTTCAATGAAAAAGGATCAAAGCGCACCGCCACCTACCTACCAGAGGTTGCAAAGGAGCAAGGTGAGATCTATTTATGTTTCTGGAAATTCAGCTTCAAATGTTTTGTACAAAAAGCGGTGTACTTTTGCTCTAAATGTTGACTTTTTGGAAAAGTGGAAAGAGATTAAACTCTTTATTTCATTCAGGTTGGGACCACATTCAAACCATAGATTCCTTACTACGAAAGGGAGGCTACAAAGCTCCCATCACAAATGACTTCAGGAAGACCATTAAGTTAACCAGGTAAGACTATTAGCACTAACAGTATTAAAGGGAGTACAGACATGCTGATATGTTGACATGGCTCTTGTTTGTCCTAAGTTAGCAGGATACCTTTTCTTCATACGACTCCCTCTAAAACAAATACAGACAAGTACATTTTAGCCCCTGGAACCTTGACCATTAATTACAATTTATTAGAAAACTACAGTCCCCCTCTTTCGGTATGTCCTCTCTCTGAAGAGAAATCTCACACAGTTAGATTTACAGCTCTTCATTTTTACTGCACCAGTGGAAATATTTGCGTAAAGCTCTCAACCAGAACTGCAGTAATTCTTATAAGTTTCAACATGTGATGTCTTCAGAGTCAGCAAAGGCTGAGGCTAAGGAGTATGCGTGGAAAAAGAAGAAGGTCTGGGGGTTACCATAATAAAACTGTGAGCTCAGCAGACCTCAGTAGGTTGCTCCTTATCTCCACTTAAAGCCAGTGGCTTGTGGCTCTGTAAGCGTCTCTAAGCGTCTGTCAGCATAACACTCTAGGATGAACACTTTGGGTCGAGGAGCAGTTAGAAAAAGTAAGAAATGACTTTCCCCGTTTCTGACGCAACAATACTGAGGTACTGTTCTAAAGTTCACATGAATTCAAACTTTTATCCTGAGTCTTGCATTGATCAGAACCTCTGTGCTTGTAACTCGCCCAACAGTGGAAGACATGTTGTTTTGAAGTGTGGAGACTTTTCTTTTCCTCGAGAATTTGATGATTAATCTCCTCTTCAGTGTCTACTAAAAGCATCCGAAAACCACGTCCCTCTACAAGACATAAAAGCAGAATACTGAGATAGAGGTAATGAGAAAAATCAGCTATTTCTGTGATCAGAAATATGCCGGGAAGCAAAATCACTTCTTGAGTGATCTGCACAAATTGGATGCTATGTCTCAGTTTGAATATGACGGAACTGTTTGGTGGAATGATCAATAATTTCTGCAAAATCAGCTGCTGTAAACATCAATTTGTATCCCTAATAAATTACCCCCGAGTAGGGATAGTGAGATCAACTGATTCATATTGATACACGGACACTTAGAGGCATAACATTAGTGCATCTGAGGGGCAGCTGTGAATGTATGTAATGTTGGAATGAAATCAAATCACATCAGCTAGTAAACATACACTCTGCATCCGTCAAATCTGATCCCTGCCTGGATGTAAAACATGAAAATGTGACCAAGCTAACTGAACTCTGTCGGCACAGTCGTGGAAATTCACTCATGTCTCTGGATAATGTGCTGATACTGAATCAGTTGAAAACTTGAAATGACAGTAAATCATTAGCCTGTAAAAAGCATACAGTACATCTTCTAACTCATTGGTTCTCAAGTCCAGTCCTCGAGGCCCACTGTCCTGCATGTTTTGGATGTTTCCCTGCTCCAACACACCTGATTCAAATGATCAGGTCGTTATTAAGCCATTACAGAGCTTGATATTGAGCTGATCATTTGAATCAGGTGTGTTGGAGCAGGGAAACATCCAAAACATGCAGGACAGTGGGCCTCGAGGACTGGACTTGAGAACCACTGTTCTAACTCCTTCATCCTTCAAGTCAGGTCTTCTTATGTCGAGATCAAATCTTTCATCTTACACTGCATTATTAGCCGTATACAGTCAATAAAGTGATATAATTGCCTGCAGTGTCACATACATACCTTCCTTGAATCTTTTCCACTGTATTGGACAAAGACTCTTGATAATTCATCAACTTCAACATATTCAGCTCAGGGTCACATTCGTTGCAGCGTTATATTTCAATGCAGATCACCACAGCTTTCCTAACATGTAATAAGGCTCAGCCACCCGCCACTGACCCCCCACATCTTCTGTTTCCCAGGTACCGTAGCGAGAAGATGACAATGGGTTATGCAGAGTACATCGCCCACCGCCAGCACCATCACTACCAGAATGGCATCGGGCACCCTCTACCACCCTACAACCATTATTCCTGACAGCGAGCCGCATGACCAATCATTGGACCTCTCCGCGGACCTTTTCCCAGGAGAGCCCGCCCCCTCCTGGTCTAGCTATTTCTACTACTGTACCATTTTATGATGATAGTTTCCGTTGCCATGCTGGCCGTCTTCTCTGACGTTGACATGGCAACGGGTGGCAACGAAGCATCATTTGATTACGGCAAGAAATCCACTCTTCTTTTTCTTGGCCTGTGGTTAAGTTTTTGCAGCATATGTAAACCCATATCTATAACCCCCTTCATTCATATTTTTGACAAAACGAATATTAGATTTTATTAATCTTTCAGCAAAACTAATCAGGTGTTTGATTCTGTGGATGGAAGGAAGTGTCTTATAGGGTGGATTAGTCTCATGCTTATATCGTTTAGGCTTTGCTTCAATTTAACATTAACTAAAAAAATAATTTTTTTCACTTATTTTTTCTCTTCTATTTACTCTCCTGACATGTAAATCATGTAGCAAGGCAACTGCAGTTCTCAAAGGCTGTGTCGTCTCTATTCTGATTCCTCTCAAAAAAAGAAAAAAATAGAGTGACTGTTGAGGTTGTGTTAGCCTTGTAAACTCTTGTAGTGATGTAGTTGGGACTTTATAACGGGATCTGTGTACTCCAAAGTATAACTTGTAGGATTGTGATGCCCTTTGACCGGCCTTTGCTGGTAATGTTTCTTGTCGGAGCTCACAGTCGTTTGTGTATTTCTGTGTGTGGATATAGATGTCGGTCTACCACCAAATTTGAACCGGTAGATTGAATTAGAAATCGAATCTTTACCTAAAGTTCCCCTTCTGAGATTTTTTTGAAAACCTGCTCCTGAGTATTTGAAATGTTTTGTGTTGGACCTGTGAACCTTAAACTGCGTATTTTAGGCTAGGGGTTTTAGCTTTGTTCCCTTTTTTTTTTTTTTCTTGAGCTTTTCCAAAATTAAAAGTGGAGAAAGCCATTTTGTCCGGGGATGATCGAGTCCACAGATGTGGTTAGTTAGTGTAAAAAAAAACATAAAAAGGTTGATTTCTTTGTGATGAAGAGGCGGAGCAGGCATAGCTACAGGTTCCAAGATGTTACAAAAAAAAATACACGAACAATACCTTGATGAAAATGTATGCGTTTGTTGGTTTGTGAGTTTACTGGCAGGGAGTCACTTGACAGGGACATGCTACTACTCAAAGCCATATTCTCTTTTTACTCTACACTCTGTAAAGTAGTCTGCTGTTTGGCTTGAAGTGTTTGCATTCGGTGCCACTCGACTGGTAGCCTCTGACGTTTTCATTCTTCAACCTCTGAATGCAAACTTTTTTACACCAGCCGGCCTCAGACAGGGCCGCACCACTGAATGCTACTCGTCAGACCTGGCGGTTTCACTCATTAGTCACACGTCTCGCGTATCGCCCGTGTCGTTGCGGAGACACTGTCTTGCCTCTTCAGATTATAGCTAACCATTGTCACTCGTCCACTAAGTATGATGTATTAAAAACTGTCATTTTGAATGAAGACACACTAAAACGCACAATAAGAGTGTTGAAATGAACATGTTTGTGTCATTTAGAAGTGCATGTCATTGTGCAGATAGTTGATTTAGTTGTTGAAACCGCACCTCCACCCTCCTCTCTCTAAACTCTCTGCTGTTCACTGAGATCCCATCAGCACAGGAAGTGTTTAGCTCAGTGCTCTGTTTAGTCAGCTGTTTGGCACTTGGTTAGAGCAAACACACTCGACTAAGTCAGAGCCGAATCTTCGCATGGGGCTGAGCGGCTCGCAGTTAAAGGTCTACACATAAAAAGCCAGGGCTTTGTTAAGGACTCAAGAAGCCATCCTCCCATCCTGACATGTGTTGTCGTCGTCGTCGTGAGTCACATCCACACACGCTAGGCTAGTCGTATTTCCTTTTCCAGAATGTTTGAGGATCATGACGTGTGATCTGCTCGCTTTGGGGTCAGTTTTAGTTTCGCTAACTGGAAATTTTTTTGAGAGGTTCTTGTTACTTGACCAACATCTTTCTTCGTAACAGCCTTTACTAACTGACAGGTTATTTTTTTTCTTTATGCAAAAACGTCAAGGGCTTTTGGCACTCCATCCACAGTAACCCGAAATGACCCAGATTTAAGTTGTGTCGCCTTAAATGAATGATTTAATAAATGGTGGGCCAGTAGATGACGCTCTGACTGCTCCTCCATCCCGTGGTCCGTTCGTTCCAGCTCATCTTCACACCACAGTGTAAGGAAGGAACTCACATGATGTTTTCCTCACTTGAATGCGATAAAACTTTGTCATGGAGGCTCCTGTATGCCTGCAGCCTCCTGTTTTCTCATCGTCTCCAGCTGCTGGTCCTCTCATCTTTTGAAAGCCCAACATAAACTGATACGCTCTCGAGAACAAAGTCAGACACTGTGGTGTTGTAACCCTAAATGTTCAAACCACGGGTGGAAAGCTGTATGTATGCTTTAAAGATAAAAACACTACATAAAGATCCGGAGGAGCAGTCAGGTGGTCATTTCCTGGTCCATTAAATACAGCACAACCTGAATTTTTCTGCTGCAAAACCAAATTGACCATGCTCTTTTACATATATGTCTTTGTATACACATGCAATGTCTTTAGTTGCATGTATGTATGAGTATGAGACCTATGGTTTTATTCATGATATGCTTGATCTATGGCTTAGACACTCTTATTAACCATTAAGAGATTTAAAAGACAAATATGGTGCTATCGGACCTCATATTGGGGTGGTCACAGCTCGTGACTGGTCATGCGGACTCATTGATCATATCATACTTAAAGATGCTGCATGTAAGATTTTCTCTGTTGCGTATGGCTGTGAAATGAGTCATGGTGGCGCATTTAAAAACTGAAGGATGTGTTCATCACCGTAATACAGTAGCCCCTTTTATTCTGTCCAATGTGGGTGATTTCGGGATCAATTCCCTATGGGAAAAACTGACTGATATCGTAGACATAATGAGGAAGGAGGAGCCCTGCAGCAAACCCATCACAGGGGCTATGAATGTACTGTCAGTGGCCATTAGTTCATTTTAACAGCCGTACAACAAGAGAAAATCCTACATGTGTTACCTTTACTATCCTTGATATATGCAGATCTGTTCAACAGGTGTTTATTTTTTTTCCTACCAGTGCAAGTCAACACCCGTTGCAGGTTTGAAAGGACAAGAAGTCACACGTAGCCTCCCTCCCTCCCTCCTCCCCTCCCCTCTCAATATCTCCCCACACTGTGGCCCGACCTCATGGCCTAGTTTGTCCAGGCGTGGCGTGTGTGTCGTTCGGTAGAAGGTGGCAGTAGTAGTGCTCGTCGCCTCTCCTGGAAAGAGGCTGCTTGTTTCAGAGCACATCCTCCGTTTTCCTCTAGCTGCTGAATCGTTTGACCTCCTCTGAAAGGAAAAGTCTGAGGCGTCGCGGTGAAAGGTCTGGTTGTGAAGGCCTTCACAGACGCTCTCGGACGATGTTGAAGGTGAGCATCTCCTCTAACGGGACGCAGAGTAAATGTTTTACGTAGAGCACGCAGAAAATAGTCCTGCTTCTGTACTGATTAACTGTTTTTAAAAGCATTGATACCTCATGGGACGTTGTGGAACGACATTAGTAGTTTGTTGTAGCAGATTGTGTTTTGGTTCCATACCAGGGTTAGAGTTCAGCCTCAGCATTCCCAGCGTGGTCATTCTCATATTTTGAGGAATGCTCAAGCTCGTGTTACCTTCGTATGTTTGACTGAACCAAAGATGCCAGCGGCCATGCCCAAATGCTGCTCTTCAGGCCTGGCTTCCTGTCCTTCCAAAAGACACCCCTGCAATTGACAAAAAAATGTTCTTTATGTTGTTTTTTTTTTTTTTTTTGTGCGATTTCTCAACTGTCTTGACTTTTTGAGCAACCCGATTTTCAATGAATTTTCATTGAGTCTATCTCTGAAGCCGTTAATGGCATCACGGATGGTTTAAAAAGATGGTTGCATATTGTTGTTACTTGTTTTGTTTATTATTATTATTATTATTATTAGTATTGCTATAATTTACAAAAATGAAAAATCCCATGGTGTGCCTCCTAGCTTTATGGGTTTATAAATGTTTTTTTCCCTAAAGACCAGCAGTTATACTTTGTATAAAAGATGGATTTTTCCTTATTTTTTATGCCATTAAAGATAAAAAAAGCCTGTTTTCTTTACTCTGGACCCAGTAGCTGCACTGGTATACAATCGCACTGATAGATGAATAAAAAAAAAAAAAGAATAAATGAATCAATAATAATAATGATAATGACAAATGAAATAAGAACTACAATAAACTTGTGTTTGAAACTTTTATTAAAAAACCTTTAAAAAAAAATCCAATAAAAAAAGAAAATGACTGTTTTTGTACATCAAAATAAATTGTTTTCAAAAGAATATTTTGGATCTAGTTTCAAAATTATTTTAGTGGTTTTCTATGTTCTGAATTTTTGAGACACTGACTTCTAAGATGTGTCACTGTACAAAATGACTTTTTTCTGTTGCAGTGGCCTGATGGGCTGGGAGGGTTACCTGGTGTAACTCCTCATACCAACTTTTATTTCTTTTCCTTTTCCATTTTTGGAACTTTTTTTTTTCTCTGCTTTATAGTAACTTGAAAAATGTTGATGGAATAATACGAACTGGGAACTTCAAATCCACCCCCCTGTAGAGCTAGACCCTTCCTCCTTTCTTATTGAATTGCTGTTAGTGTGACGCGACTTGAAATGGGCATTTATTATGATAGTATGACTCCAAAAGAGAAAAAAAAAACACAAAAATAAACACACCCCCAAAAAAACTAAGAGAAAAAAAAAGAAATTAAGCAAAAAAAATTGCAAAAGAAAAGTGTGGGGAGGGTTGAAAGAATATATATAGAGGGGTTATCTGAGTATGTAAGCAATGGCTGTGAAGATAATGTAGTTTTAAACATTGTTATTACCTTTTAAAATCATTTATTCAATAAAAAAATACAAAATCAACTGAAAAGAGAACATGTGTCATTTTACTTTCTTTCAGCACAAACATCCACACATACAGCATCAGATATGAAGCATAAAATGTCTCTGTTTAAAATGTGACAGGGGAGGAGTACTGCTGCATCAGATCAGTATGTTCTCCCTTGCAGGTTTTTTAAAGCAGATCTTTCGATGTGAATGTGGTTTGTTTTGTTCTTGACACCCGTTCATACCCTGTATTCACATTCTGTTCCCGTGTTGAGCTTCATCGATGTCAAAGTGTGCTCAGTCTGCAGTTGATTGTAAGATGATCGTGTTCAGTCACAGTGTCCGGTCCAAAATGACCAGACAGGATGATATTTGATTTGATTGTACTGCTGGAACAGTTTGAATCTGGAAACTGTTCTGACCTGCTTCTTTTGAATGATAGGAACTGTTCAGTACTGAAGACACTGTTTCTACGGAAACTGTCTGTGACGTCTGTTGATCATTATAATCCTGGTTGAAAGTGAATTTCAGTGATATGTGTTTGGCAGGGGACAAGTAATCAAAAGCAGAGCACAAAACAATGAACTATCTTTTTACCAAGATAGAAGACTGAGAAATTTAGTGAAATGCTCCTTGAAGTTTGATGAAATTATCCCGGCCCCGCTGGCACCATCTGACACTGCTCTGACGTTCCACTTTCCTTTAGACAATGAAGTGAGGCTGTCTCATCCCGCTTCAGCTGTGGGCTTCTTTAAGATTTTCCAGCTCCACTGACAGAGAAAGACTTCATTCAACACTCAACTTTGGTTCAACTTGAAAATGTCTCTTTATGAACCTACATCTATAACTAAAGAAAGAGGCTTTTTGTTCCCTGTGAGGAAAAGGTTTTCCATGTGTGATGGAAAAGTGATGTTAAGTTCATTCAGCTTTAAGAGGAACATTTCTGCCACAAATTTGACACAGTCTGTGAATAAAATGTTATTTTTGCTGTTTGTAGCAGTGAGAATGTACAAAAGTGTGTTCTCGGGCTGAAGCAAATACAGCATTTCTATCTGTCACATTTATGTCGGACTGTCCAGTAACATCAAATAAGTAAAAATAATACTTGTAACAACTTATTTTATGTTATTTACACATTGTTTTTTTATGATACTGCTCTGAGGCAATATCTAAAAGAAGTACATGAATTAATTCAGGCCTTAAAGCATTTCTTTCACCTTTACAGCCCTGTGGTCAGCTTCGTATCAAAAAGGCAGTAGTTTAGTTCACGAGTAATCTGATTACCTGTCCATGAGCTTCCCACTGAGCAATAGACAGCTATTAGACGTCTAGTTGTTTTTCGTTTTTTTTACCTAATTTCAACCGTCTAGATTCTGTATATTTTTAGACGTAATTTGGACGTTGCACTTTAACCCATTATTGGATAACTATTTATTTTAAAAGCAACTGTGAGTTGTATAACTGATCTCCAAGTACTTACCCAAAATAATTATGATAGCCATTTAGCAATATACCACTCATATCCTAACCCTGTAAACTGAACTCTTTTTTGTTTCACCATTAAATGAGCTGTTGCTGTTGCTGCTGTTGTTTCTGCTGCCCCCTGTCTCTCTCTCGCCCTCGTTCTCTACTCTCTCTCCCTCCCCCTCCCCCTCCCTCTCCCATACTCATTCTCTCTCGCCTTCCCTTATCTTGTTCTCTCTCTCTCTCCCCCTGTCCTCTCCCCTCTCCCCTCTTCTCTCTACATTCCTCCCCAACCCAGCAGCAGCATGGTGGCTGTCTGGCATGAGTCTGGTCCTGCCCAAGGTTTCTGCCTATTAAAAGGAAGTTTTTCCTTGCCACTGTTACTCATGTTAGTTGAGATGGGCCAAAACCCATCTTAGGTTGGTTCTTGATCATCAAACAATGAGCGTGGTCTAGACCTGCTCTTGTTCCTTGAAAAGCGTCTTGAGATGACGACTGTTGTGAATTGGCGCTATATAAATAAAATTTGATTTGATTTGATTTGATATACAGTTAGACCTCTGTTAGCCGGCTAGTCTAAACTCTAAACTAAATTTAGACATCTAAAAAACTGTCATTGTTAGACCTATGGTAGCCTTTCAGACCAGTCATCTAGGCTACATTTAGACGTCTATTAGACCTCTTTTAGACCAAAAAATGCTCAGAGGGTTAAGTTGTGGTGAACTATTAACCGTCAAAAGTCAGGTGGTTAACACTTTGCCATGCTAACCACTAAGTATGTTAAGTTTTTATTTTTGTCAGGCTGTCATTGGTGTTAACATGCTGATTATGGATCTTTTTTTCTTTTTTAATTTTAGAAAAGAACCTCAAATGTACAAAGTTTTTCAATCCCATCATGGTGTCTCTTTATATCCAAAGGTCTACTGAGGCTGGAAGAATGACAGGATATCTCCGCCCCCCTCCCCTGATTCTAGAGTCTAGACACTGTTGGCGATGGTGGTGTCGGAAGGATTTAGGATGTAATGAGGAGAGAACATCTGAATAAGTCGACCCAGACAGGCTGATGAGAGGGGCTGGAGCTGGCCGGGGTGAAGGAGAGTCACAGGAAACTACAATGGAGTGAAAAATTGACAGAGCAGAGAGGAGAAGAGAGTCCAAGTTTGACTGCAGCAGGATGATTAGTTGAAAGAGGTCGTGGTAATCTTGGTGAATAAACACCCATAATCAACCAATTAGTGGAAGCAGGGGTCTGTTTTATAACCAGGTGAAAACTCCTTACTGGAGCTTTAATCATAAAACATCTTAAGTCTGTTTTACCCTCTGAATGTCAGTGGTGCATTTTCAACCAGTGATGCTTTTATCCTCCTTCAATTTTGGGGTTCAAACATAATGACGTGTGGAGGAATATCATCACTCTCTGCCTGCTCCTCAACCCAGAACCTCTCTCCAAGAGAAGTCTGGGCAGGTGTGTCTGAAAATACTTTTCCTGTTACCTGATATTCAGAGCTGAGTGCTCAGAGAGTTTTATGTTTCACTCTGATGTGCGTGTGTGAACCCAGGGCTGGCCTGAGATCAGATCCAAGCAGCGCTACGTCTCTGTCTTTGTCTCCTGAGTCTGCCTCTGGGCCTCCATCTGTCTGACTGAAGGATAATGACGGCTGAAAGGACTTCAACTGATTTTTTAGAAGGCAAGAGTCCCATTGAGTCTATTTTCATTCACTTGATTTCAGTTAACCGCGGATTTATGTTGTATTTTTTTGTCAGCCGTTTCAAATCCATTACACACTGTCTCGAAACTCTTCATTTCCTCTGGTAGGGAGGACTCTGCGTTACTTTTCCACTTATGACAGAACACAATTTTCCCTGCATCCTCGATTGAAGCACTTGAAAAGATGAGCGGCATATTTTAACATTAGTCTCCTCTTAATTCACAGTCACCTTGAGGCCACTCCGTACTGCAGCCGCTGTGGTTGGTTTTAGATCGACCTCCTCTCCCGATGATGAAGTGCTGCAGGCCCCTGAAAACTCTCCGCAGCTCACTTCAGTCGATACACTGCACTTAAAGCTTTTTAGCCTGTCTGGCCTTACAGAAAGCGGTGAACCCAAACAGATTGTGCAGGGGCTTCAGATTTTATGAGTCAGGAAGCAACTTGGCATTACTTTAGTTTAGAGTGTTTGTAAAGAACCTGTAGGGGAGTTTGCAGTGTGAAATGGCGGAATAGAATAGAATATTTGTAGGAATGTTTAAAGCCATTTATTATCACCTGAATGGGAAATCTTTTTTCTTTTTGGTCAACTAAATATAAGGTCCACACAGAGGCTGCCATCTTGTATAGCCATGTGAAAGCTGTATGAATTTTAGTAGGTGGCTGCTTAAAATTGCACCAGTTTAAGGAAAAAGAAGAGTGTGGTAGTGGTTTTGTGCAAAACAAAAGTTTGTATTGATAAATGCTTTTATAGTTAAAAAAAAAATGGCGAAGAGGAGGATCAAATTTAGCGTGCACCATTGGAGCTTCTTGTCCTTGAAGGCCACCGTTCACCAAATATTGGGATGAGTAAAGGAGCATTTCAATCTACAATATTGTACCTTTAAGTGTTTAAATGTGGTTGTAACCTGGCACAAAACCCACTGTTCTGGTCTGAATAACTTCTTTGCATTCATCCTTTTTTGTATAACTTGTTAGTTTTGAAGATCGTAAGGTAGATCAGCATTTTCATAGAAAACTGCAGAGCAAAATTCAACGACTGCCACATCATCATGTCAGTTCAGTACAGCTTTAGATGCAGAAAAGCTGCACATTATCTCCTCATACAGAGCTCGCACAGACATTAAACTGTCTTAGTTTAATGTACGAGTGATAGAAACATTCAAGCACAAAAACAGCATCAAATCTGAAACCTTTAGATAATCACTAGTTGTATTTTTTCTCAACCATGTTCGAGAGGAGGAGATACAGAACAAAAGCACACCAGATTGGGTCAACTGAAACCACTTTTTATTGTCAATACAGCACATACACTTGAACCCATAGAAATACAAAAGTGTGTCTTATCCCTTCTTTACAGTGAAGAACAGTATATGCTACATTAACACACACACATACAGCCCTCACACTTGAAATGATACATACCATGACTGAAATATTCCAATTCTTGACACTAGCTAATACTTTCTTCTGATTGGGTTCTCGATAAATAACCCAAAGTGACTTCATGCAGATCATCTGATGCATTTTTTTTCTTATACATAACTTAGACTGTGAGTGTGTGGTGGAGTGAATTCAGGTTTAATGTGACGATCAGGCAAGTGTTTCAAGTTTCAAGATGTGTTTCCAGCCCAGATACATACAAAACCGAACATCGCATTCATCCCAGCCGGGTTCGAGGCTGTGTGCTCAGCAAATATGGTCCTATGTCCCGACAGAAAAACAGACGCATAAACATATCCTCACGGCAGAGGTAATAACATCTCAGGGTAGATCCTCATTCATCGCATGTAAAACGTCCTCGTGTCCCCTGATTATCACACCTGGAATGATCCGAGACGGCTGGAGACAGAAATGAAAAAGAGGCCACTTACAAAGATTTCAGAACTTTGAGATAGATGTTTGTCGCAGAGGTGGGAACAGAAGGACACCATAAATAAGTTTTCAGTCATGACAACACCAAAGTGGTGATCATACATATGAAACAACCAACCAACCAACCAACCAACCAACCAAACAAAAGAAACATCCTGCAGCTATAAACAAGCGACAACAGCTCACATTCAAGACGCACTTGAGACAAATAAAATGGCAGCTTTCCTCGCTAACATATGAGCACATGTAAAGAACGGAAAGTGTAATAACTGCAGATCAGCAAAAACATCAAGTGACTTCCATTTCTGTCCTTAAAGTTTGACATTTACAAAAAAAGGCATCTTGAGAAATCTCCCAAAATTCACTTCTGGAAATTGTATTTTCCAAAATCAGAGAAAAGTCGTTCCCTCACCAGGATGCTACCTACCAGCCTTCAAACGCCGAGTATGTTTGTGCATGCAAGCCGACTACAACACTAAAAGAATGACACGTTGATTCACTGGCCCTGAAATGCTCACTTTGTTTCAGTAAAAGTGATCTTAAAAGATGCTTTAAAAGGATTTTAAATAAAAAAAAAAAGAGAGCAGGCATTCAGAATGAAAGGCGTGGTCTGTCTGTGTGCGTCTCCTTTGAGGACATTCAGTCGACTTTCTTGCTGCGCAGTCGGAGCGTGTCCAGCATGTATCTGCAGACGGAGCCCGTGTGCTGGGAGAGGAGTGTGAGGACTTTCCCGTGGATTAGGGTCAGCAGGGTCTGGTGGCCTGTTGCCCACACCCGGTACCACGGGCCGTAGAAGGGGTCGGACACAGCGGGGCACAGCATGTTGTTCAGGTTGACCTCAGTCAGCTGGAGAGGAGAGAGACGCAGGTTTAGAGAGCCTCAGATAAAAAAACTAAAACCACATTAAGCTAAAATGAAACACTTAAAGAGCCTGTGAGGAATGATCAATTATCTCTGTATTCCTCCCCAACCCAGCAGCGGCTTGGTGGCTGTCAAACATGAGTCTGGTCCTTCCCAAGGTTTCTGCCTGTTAAAAGGAACTTTTTTCTCGCCACTGTCACTCATGTTAGCTGAGATGGATCAAATCTGTCCCATCTTAAGGTTGGGTCTATATGATTCATAAAACAATGAGCGTGGTCTAGACCTGCTCTTTTTCTTTGGAAAGCGTCTTGGGATGACACTTGTGAATTGGCGCTATTTAAATAAAATTTGATTGATTGATTTATCAGTTTAATTCAATCTTGTGGACAGAGCAGTCTTTGTTTTACATGTCCTCTATATGCTTTAGAAGTGACTCAACACAAAAAAATCTCCTCCTGCTGACTTTTGACAATCAAATTTCTCAGTTCATGTTGAATGCATTTTGAGCTGTTTGACACAGACAGCCAAATAGCTATTTGTAATGCTTGTGAAGCAAAGGTGATGCAAGGGGAAAAAAGCCTGTCGGCAGCTGCAACTTCAATCATTTCACAGAGCGAAGAGATGCAGTAGTGGCTGTTTTTTTGAATGCCTATATTAGAAAAATAATACCTCCATCCTTCACGGTGGGATCAAATGTTTATGTTAAATAAAAAGACTGATACGGTAAGAGCAACGGCTAATTTCCAGAGTGAGAGAGGCTTGTTTAGTGTCAATTTAAAAGTGCTTTCATACAGCATCAGTAATCAGCTGAAATGAGTTGGACATTTTCTCTTGGTTTGGTCGTGTTAGTCTGGCTGAATGTTTTCTTGATCTGGGTCCTTCCCCCCTCCTCTTGGGTTTCAGAGGTTTTCTGTGATATTTATTGGGTCGTGCTGTGGATTGTTGTTGTTAGCCCCACAGAGCTGCCTTATGATGGCTCTGATTTATTCCATGATTACAATGAATTCTTTTCCATCAGCCACCATCTTTTTTGTCAATTTCATTTTATACTAACTTATTCTTTCCCTCAGTTAATTTTCAGAGACTTTGGCTCCTTTATAACTCTAATTTCTCTTCAACATGACTCACTCTTACTGCTGCCTTTAATTTCCATTTTGCACAATGACTGGACAAAATAATAGGAAGTGTCACAAAGAAATATAATCAGTTTGATGGAAAACGCTGCAGTAATGAGACTTTGAGTTCCCAGAAATCATTAAAGAATAGGAGACACACTGGAGCTCTGTCTTAGCAGCAGTCGTGTGTAGACCCTCAGCAACAGTCTGCAAAGAGGCCGGACCACATTTGCTTCAAATTGGACACCTTTCACTGAATTTATGTCTTTAATAACGCATGAAAACTTTACAATTAGGATTATATGAAAAAAACTGAAAGAGAAACTTGGATCCATTTCAGTTCAAGAGGAATGATGTAGTAATATTGTAAATTATCCTTCTGTGTTAGATATTGAATTCTGACAGGACACAATCAATAACGGTTATTACTCCTTGACAAGCAAAAGTGATGCCAATCACACACACATCAAATCAAATCAAACAACAGATCGGTCCAGCATGTTTCACCTATGCCTGTTGACACCATGGCAACATTTTTCAAGACAGTCTAGCTGCAGACCTTTACTGAGAGGACATGCTCTACTGTGAGAACATGCTCTACTGTGAGGACCCGAGGTGATGTTTTTTTCTCATGCGCTCCAGTTTGTTTGAAGTGGTCATCATTTGTATTTTGCTTTTGTTGAACACATGAATGCACAAAAAAATCATATAGGGTGACAATATTCTGAAGCACCAAAAAGAGGACACGACTATGCGGGGGCGGAATCATGGAGTCATGCGTAGTAAATTTTGAGTTTTTCAGGTCAGGTCAAGTGTTTTTTACAACTTCTAACTCAGTAAGTCCACGTGACACAAACTTAAACCTTCCATACAAAACCCCAAACATTTAAAGGATTTTATAAACTCCCCCGGACAAGGCTGGACGAGGCTGGACAGCCCCCTAAAAAATGAGGACGTAAGGAGGATGTATGGTCCCTCCATATTAACGTTTTATACATAAAATAAAGCCCCAAGAAAAAAACGTATATTCAGACAAGACAAAAAAACGTACTCCCCGGTGTAATTGCTTTTCATTTTAAAGGCTTTGAATCATCTTTGGACGTAAAAATAGAAACATACTCTCTGTATATTTGCTTTTATTTTGAAAGGCTTCAAACAACTTCCAGTCCGCTCAGTGGAGGTCTGCAGCCAGACCCCTCTCACATTTTTAGCTTCCATCTCAGGCTGGTCTACAGAGTTGGGTTTGTGTCTCTTTTGTTCCCATTTGTCTTCTCTAGCTCTGCTCAGGTGAAGTCTCTGATTGACAGCCAGCTTCGCCTGGTCCTGAGGGTTCAGAGCCCAGGAGCTGCCTGCAGGCGGGAGAGGCCTTGAGAGGGGGACTGCTACCTCTGATTCAAAGAATTCTCGTGTTTTAGTTGACCTCTTGATTTGTTTTTTAGTTGATCTTTGGTAATTATTTAATTCTATGTTCTCTTTCTTAAATAATAAATCACATGTTTAACTTTTGAAGGTGTTTTCTGTTACTTTTAAAGTTGTAGGCCACATAGGACCGCCTTCGGATGGCGCGCAACAACCTGACCTTAAGTTTCTTTAACTGTGGCAACAGTAAACAAACAGGCTAATGTTTAAACTTGAACCTGAAATTGACATATTCAGTTTGACGTTAAATCAATCTTGCATGGAGGATGTGAAGGATTCTTAAACATAAAAAAAAAAATCTTTTTTTTATCCTTTATGTCTTCTAGCTGTGGCCATGGCCCCTCTATTCCAATGTGAATGAACTCCTGCTCACTAAACTTCATCCTTTACATAGTAAAAATGTGGAAGTAGGGCCATGCATTAATCTGTGTGGGTTGAAGTGCTTTATAAGTTGTACTGTGAAGTGCTCTTGAATCTGGAGATTTATTAAGTGCGTATAAATTTCTCATCTCAGCGAGGAGTCCTCTGAGTCAGTGCTCTGAATTTTATAACAGGTGATAAATTCCCCACTCACCACCCCGCATCTTAGACAAAAAGCATGGGGGTAGAGAGGGGGTGGTGGTCCTCTTTGACTAATAATAGAGCGTTTCACTCTTAGTCATTTATAAAAAAAATTGATTACAGACCACATCACTTCAGCTCTGCTCATATAGAAGACAGGTACAGTTACAGTGTCAGGTCACATTTTAACATCAGCTGCTGTAGCACATCCTTAAAAGAAGATTGTGATTTTTTATTTGTACATTTTTTTGTTCATTTTCATTTTGATATTTACAGCCTTAGATTTAAAAAACGCCATGTATCCTTTATTTCAATTCGGTACATGTAACCATCATCACGAGGGGAGCTGCTGACCTCACACTTATCAAAAAGACAATCATCGCCACTCACTACAGGGACGGTTAGTGACAGAAGGTCATTGCTGAAAAGGCTGGTTGTTCTCAGAGTACTGTATGGAAGCGTTCTATTGGACGGTTGTAGAAAAGTGAGGTAGGAAAAGGTACACGAGCAACAGGAATGACTGCAGCCTTGAATGGATTGTCAAGAAAAGTCAATTGAAAGAGCTTCACAAGGAGTCCGCTGAAAGCCATTACACATACGCACAAACACACACGTCATCAGAAAAGAGGCAAAAACTGTTGCCCTTTTAATTTCAAGACACTCCTGAACCAGAGAGAGACATTGTCAAAAGTGTCTCACCTGAGAACTGGACTACGGTTCAGTTAAGAAGATCAGGGAGACAGAGTCCAGGGTGTGTCCACGAAGTGAATATTCATTTGCACTCACACTCCTAACCTGTCTTCCCTGAAATATCAGGCTCTTAATAAGGTTAATGAAAAGACATGTTTCTGCTTACTAATACGTAAATTTAAATACAAATCTCTAAATTTCTCCCCTCAAATCACCATCTCTAAATGTGTAAAAGTAATTCTGTCGCAGAGTCTGTTGAATTTCAATCAGGCACACCTTGTTTTAAAGAGGTGCTGATTTGGTGATGACCTTAACTCATCGAACAAAGCCGAGCTGCTTGAATTATGTTGTCGAGACAATGGCACAAGAGCAACGTGAAAGGCCGGCAGAGAACGAGTCAGGATGCATGAAAGCTGGGAATGAAAACCAAAGATATTCCACTCTTCCTGAAATAAAAAAACATGTCAGAAATGATGCTGATCTCTTAAACGTGGAGCTGTATGCATGTGCTGCATTAACCCCTAACATATATAGTTTTTTTTTTCTTGAAAAAAGTACCACCACTGTATATTTAAGTTTAGTGAATTAGTGAACAACAGTGGACAGAGCCAGTCATCTACAAAGTGAGTGCACCTGTCATGAGCCATCACTAACAACTACAGCACCAGGGGGATGAAAGATGGAGAGTCAGTGATTGTCTTGGGCAAAGTGGTGCAAAAGTCAGGGTTTCTACACAGTTGGAACTTCCATACTTTTCCATACCTTACTTTTTAGAATTATTTTTGGAAACACCAACTTTTCTATTTTAGATATCAGTATTCTTGAACTGTGGTAATAGTCTGGAAATATTTTTCCATACTTTATTTTTCCTTTTCCATACTTTTTAAAGACCTGGAAATTGTTCAAATTTCTTTCCATACTTTTCCATATTTTCCATACTTGCTTAGGAACCCTGAAAAGTAGACTAAATTAATCAAAAGCTGAGGCACAGGCATGGTGCAGATCACACAAAAAGGGTTATCAATGCAACAGATACATAAAAAAAAGAAAAATAGAGGGTAATGTCTGGGGATGGTCAGGTACACTGCAATGCAAATTTTTATGGTATTATTCAAGTATTGTTGATGTTAAATTTAGACACATGATCACATTTTATCCATTTAAATATGGCAAACTGATTTTTGAAGACCTTAAAACATAATTTTATTTGAAAGGCACTACAAACAGCCAACCTTGTTTTCTTCACCGTGTGAATCTTGAAAGAGTGGGGGGTTCATCTTACTTGGAGTGGTGCCTATATATAACCGTTCTCACACTGGAGTGTAACATGGGCGTGTAATAAATCACAGCCTCAGCCAACACCTTCTCACTCAGTCCAAGGCTGGAATCTCTGTAAACATGTAAATATTCCCCTGACAGGTTCTTACACATTTCTCCTCCAGAAATCCTGTCTTCTGAAGCTCATAACAACAGTGTACTCATGTTCATTACATGTCTTTGTTTTAATAAATGATGTATCAGTCACGTGTGCAGTGTGCTCTTTGCTCTGTGAAGTATCGCGTAACGCCCAGCAGGGGGCTCTGTCTTACCAGGCCGAGGAACTGCAAGAAGACAAAGTGATAGAGGAACAGGATGCCGGTGGAGAGCAGTGCCCATCCCATGTCCCCCAGAGGCTCAGGCTTGTACACACCTGCAGGAGGAAACACTCTTTAAATACCTGATTCAGTCTGTGAGCCAAAGCAAGATCAGACACACAGAACGCATCCTCTGTGCCAAATCAAACGCCATTCCCGCTCACTCCTCTGTTAATGTCTTCAGCCAACAGATCAACACCCTGCAACCACACAGTCGACTCAGTAACAGGATGTGGTGTCAAACTAGCTTTTCCTGTTTCCTCACCGCTGGCATGTGTTAGAGTAATACCAGGAGGAGGACATTTAATGTGCAGTCATTATATCAGGGCTGACAAGTACAATGAATATCTCCTTTTGTGTGGCTGTGGTGTGACATTACGTGTGAACAATGATGGAGGCTGCACGAAGGGGTTTGATTCATGTGCTACACCCCTGAGAAGAATAAGTCGAAAACAATTTGATCTAACATCGGCAGTACTTCTTCTAACATTTAAACTATGTTTGTGGTTTCTAAAAGTATAAATGTATATAAAATATGGCTTTTCTGACTCAAGGTTAGTGTAGGTTTGAGGTGCTTTCTGATTGGGAAACTCTGTCTTTACTTTCATGGCTTTCTTGAGAGAGATCTGGTCAAGACAACAGCAGCAAAACGGGTCCATGCTTATGTTCCCACAGCTTTATGTTTCCACAGTCCTATATTCCCACATTTGAGATTTATCACATGCTGCATGTACTGCTGCAATGACACCTCCGTGTAAATTTGTGTGGAAAGATGTCTATGGGTGTGATGTTATGTGTACAAAATAGTTAATGTATGGAGGTGGAAACAGTTATCCTTATAAAGGACAATAAAATCTAAAATATAATAATCTTATATATCCATAGTGTAACTTAAACCCCTTAAGTTTCCTAATTTTCAGTGGAAAAAAAATGTTAGAAATATGGGAACATAGGGCTTTGGGAACATAGGAACGACCCCAGCAAAACATGAAATAACTGAAATAACCAGAAAATGACTAATTCTAAGAAGGCAGTGGCTTCTTTTCCCCACATTTACAGCTGAGAGCTGCTCTGAAAAGCTTCTTTCTCATAGTATTTGCCCTTAGGTGACTCTCTGTGCCCATAAGATCATCTCTAGGCTGCAGGATTTGGTCTGAGCAGCTGATTTTTGTACCACAGAGTGAAATACAACTGAACTTGAAAATCAGGTCTCATTTAAAAAGGTATATTTTTACTGTAGCAGGGCAGGATGACTGCTCAGCCTCCTGCAGTTCCACTCACAGCAAGAATAGTACCCCTTTAACATATGGAGAAGTCTTTTGACCTTTGGAAGACACTGTAAAGCAACATTATACCGCCCTATTTGCTCCTTGGACGAACGCTAATCTTTATGTTAGTGCGCACGAATGCAGGTACCATAAATCGAGCATCAACAGGCGCTTGTTTAGCATAAACAGATAATGTGCAGCTGACGCCAGCAGAAAGAGCCCCCGTGTCTGAGCAGACAAAGACAAAGAGGATACCCGCAGCAGCTCACACGCCACCAACTAAACCGGAGTCCATCCAAGCAGCACACATATCCTTGTATTGTAATGCTGCACGGTTGGCATGTGAACGGTATTTCACTGTGGGTGTGAGTGTGAATGAGGAGAAGTGAGTAATGGCTAAAGAACAACACATACCTCCTTTCCTGAAAAGGTAAAGAGGCACCAGGTAGAGCATGGAGTGCTGGATGTAGTAGATCTCCTTCTCGAATGGAAGCTGCGGAGCAAATTCACAACACAAGATAATGATGATGCCGCACAGACAGACCTACAGAGTCTCTGAGCAGAGATTCGATCTTATCAGGGCCCTGTTGAATTATTTGAAGTCTTTACATTTTTCAGAGTGAGATAAAGAGGAGGGAGCTGAACACGTTCAGGAGGGATTTCTGTGTATAGTCTGAGCTGGATTTGTATACTTTAAGACAGTGTAAAATAGACAGACTTCCTGCACGCGGTCAGGGCGTTGCTCTAATGCACTGACCTCAGACCAGCATCAACAGCCAGAGATCACCACAGTCTAAACGGTCTGAACACACAGACGGTCTGAAGGCCTGGAGCTCTACATTATTAATAAGACGATAGACTGTGTGTTGAAGTGGGAATCTGTGATTTAGATGAATAAAAAGCAAACTTACGAGCGCCATCTTTAAAATACTTTTTCTAGAGGAAATTTTATTAGGGATACCTAAAGTACCACGAAGTTCTTTATCATGTTATTTTAAAAGAATTTGATCTTATATTTACAAAATACGGTCTCAGTGGTATCTACTGTCTGAATTTCTCACTGGACATTTTGTACAGAGAAAAAAATTTAAAAAAATAAAGCGTAAAATGTGTTTCCTTTGGTGTAGCATAACGACTCTGTTTAGTGTGACTCTGATGATATGGCAGTACAGGTGGTGTTTACACTGTTAGCAAGGAGTATGTGTGAGCTCTCGCAAGAATCAGCTGTCAGGAAGGAAACAGAAACATCCTCGCTGTTATCTACAACGAAAGAACTGGGGGCGGACACTTCTGGCTGTTTAGTGAAGCTGACTTTGGTCGATTTGGACAAGAATTTGCCATTTTCATTCTGTTTTGTCATGTATTTTATTGTATTATGGGCATTCACTTTATATTATGTCTGCTCTTTGTGTGTATTAGACTTAATGAACTGTACTTCTGCCTACTTTGACCATAAATAAAAAAAGGTTTATATCCTCCCTCAGACTAGGATATCATAGTAAAAATCACAGGAGCTCATTTAACAAGGCCCGATCTTGGCAGTGGTTTAAACTGCAGACCTTAACATGTTCTGGAGGTTCTGCTGTAAGATTCAAGCTGGTGTATGATTGTGAGTGTTGTGTGGTGGTGGTCGGAGAGGCCGTAGGCGCAGAATGGCAGCCACGTTTCCACCACCACCAAAGTGTGACTGTGTGAACGAATGAATGATGTATCCAATGTAAAGCGCTTTGAGGGTCTCTGATAAAGCGCTATATGAAATCTGATGCATTATTATTATTATAAAAGAGGCCTGTTTCTCTCAACTTCACCGTTTCCCTGGAGATGATCTCAAGTTAAGATTGTGCGCACGTGGAATGTACAAATTTGTTGATACGTGCCGTACTAGAAATCTGACCCCGACACCCTCTCTTATTATTTCCGGTTTGCCTAAGGTAATGAAAGCACTTTGTCTCTGATAAAGTGTCTTTCATAAAAAAGTACAGAGACCCAGCTGAAAAAGATAAACATCACAGACCCACATACTCTGTAAATGAGGTTTATTTACGAAGGCCTGTTTAGTGATGATTCAGCTGTTGACCCAACATCATCACCTGTGCTGATAAAGCCGCTTTAACAACCAAGATCTGGAACTTTAAATGCAAACATTGAACACAGCATACTGCTGCTATGGCTGTAAAGTTGGCATTAAACGTCTTTATAAACTCTGTTTAAGGTCTTAAACGTCCTAGATTTGACTGCAAGAACCGTGGTAAAACTTAAGTTCAAGTCAGCTTCATTTTTCTTCAAACATCTAGTGTGGGAAAAATATTTTGCATATACTGTATGTTCTGTTTTGACCTGTAACCCCACACACTGTCACAGTGCTGTGAGGACCAACAGTACTTCCTTTGACAGAGAAAACCGGTCCTTTATCTAACAGGCAAATGGAGTTAGGGCAGGAAAGCTGGCCTTCGTTTGGTGCGACTTTTTCTGTTAGAGTTGGACAAAGTTCAGACTGTCAGATCTTGATGTCATTTCAGCAAATTGAATTGAAACTAAGTGCATTATGTCTTGAATCTGCTCTCTGTCTGCAGCTGTCAGTGGAAGTCTTTTAAGCGGGCTGAACTGATTTCCTTCACTAAACAGCCGATTCCCATCATCAGTCGAGTACTTTCTGCCGCATGGGCCAACATTTAGACTCTAGCGGAGTAACTCAAGAATCCTTTTACTCACCAGTCTGGTGTTGACAACAGGGAACATTAAAGCCAGTAACGCCCCGTTCAGCATGTGGACCTGCAGCCTGGAAACACACACAGGAAAGAAAACATTTCCAGTGACAAGAATGCCTGATAAAACACACTTCCTACATCATCCGTGGGAGCTTCGCATGATTTTTTTTCCACAGTCTCTAGCTGGCACACATTATTGCTTCATTGATATTATTGTTTGAATATTTTAGCACTGGTATAAGCAGAAGAGAGCAGGTGGTGAGGGTTAGGCAGGTCATGTTTTATGTTTCTAAAAATCAATCAGAGTCCTCCCTGATGCTGTTAGAAGCATCTGTCTTTCACTTGCAAATCACATTGATTTAGAACTTAATGGATATTTTGATTCACCACAGGAGGAAATATTTACTAATAAATCTGAGAGCTCGAGTTCATCTCTGGAGTGAAAATATGAACTTTTACAGGTTTATTTTGCACCATTATGACCAGTCAAAGTACTCAGAGGACTGCCACAACAAATCAAGTGTGGGCCACGCTGCACCCAGCTGCAGACAGCGCTGAGAGGGTGATAAACTATGTGGTCATTCAACACTGGACGATGGCCACACTTTATTACAACAACCCTAAATCATCCAGAGCATTTCTCTCTATTTTCTACTTTTATAAACTGAAAGCTTGTTGAAAACATGTTGGATCTATATGAGCAGATCCCAGTCTATCTGTCATGGGTCTATATTGATGGTCATTGCTGGTTGGTTTATTGGTTTTGCTCTAATGAGTGGTTAGGTTCAGACACAATCCAGTCCTGAATCAGTATTCCTTACTTCCATCTCACTCACCATTCAGCTCACACACAGCCTGTCTGATCCTGCAGACAGAGGGAGTGCAATGCTTGTTCAGTAAACATGAGGAGAAATGTTTCTCCCAACCAATTATTACTCCGAAAAGCTGCAGTATGAGGAAGCCCAGGAGTTCCTGTGTCAGCGTGTAGATATCCATCCATCTCCACTGACTGTTTGCTCTGTTAAATGACTTGAAATAACTGTTGTGACAGTAAAGGTCACCGAGAAAAGCAGCAGTGCTGTAGGAGTGTCTGTTCAAATGAAGCAGACTGTCAGTCTGAGGGGCTACAGTCCTGATTGGAACAAATATGATTCATGCATTTATTGGTTGACAAATATGAGGCTCCTCTATCATATTCAAAAAAGGACACATTTTCATTTGGCTTTAGTATTCTTTAGTATATCAGTCAGTCACCTTCAATCCCCGCTCCAAAGCTTCATTAGTTGGGATTCTTTGTAAACTAATACAATACTAGGGGTAAGAGGAAAGAATCGATACAGCATAGTATCGTGATATTTTGTCTGGTGATATATTGTATCATCTCTTTTAATATCATATCATGGCCCAGGCATCGTGATAATATCGTATCATGGCCCAAGTATCATGATAATATCATATCTAGCCCAAGCATCATGATAATATCGTATCGTGGCTCAAGTATTGTGTTAATATTGTATCTTGTCCCAAGTATCGTGTTAATATCGTATCGTGGCCCAAGTATCGTGATAGTATTGTATCGTGGCCCAAGTATCATGATAATATCGTATCGTGACCCAAGTATCATGATAATATCGTATCGTGGCTCAAGAATCGTGATAATATCGTATCGTGGCCCAAGTATCGTGATAATATCGTATCGTGGCCCAAGTATCGTCATAATATCATATCGTGACCCACGTATCGTAATAATATTGTATTGTGAGGCCACTGTTGATTCCCACCCCTATACAATATGGTGGCATTTAAATTCAGACTAACACTGAGCTCCTCCACACTATCCATATACTTTGTTTCCTCGCTTAGCCGTGCTTCCATTTCCTCTCAGCATACTAATGCATAGCTGAATATAATTTGGTTTTGTGCATGGTTGCATCCATCTTACACACGTCTGAGATTGTTTTGCTGTGTGAGCTGTATCTGCTTCTCTGTGCTTTACTGTGTCCTGACTGAGTGAACAAAAGCTGCAGAAACCAAGCAGAGGGGTCATCAGTCAAAAGTGGTCTCATGCTCTTTAATACTGATACTGGTGCTGGTTGTTTCTCCCCCAACACAAACTGATGATTTCAGTGATAAACTGATAATCAAGACAAAGCAAACACATCGATTTTTGGATTCTGTCCTCTTTTGGTGAGCTATGATCATTTGTAGCTTTAAATGATTTTCCCCTAAAATCAAACGTCATTATAAAACAGTTTTTGGTAGGTTTTCTTTGTGTATTGCTACACAATGCTCCCTTATTCTTCACAAATACTCAAACTGTCCTCAAACAATAGAACAGGTTTTTTTTCTTTTCCTGGAGCTGCATCAGAACTGTACTGAGTTACTGTTTTTTTTCAAGCAGAGCATTTCTTGGTCTGGTGTTTCTCATTAAAAACATTCAAATGGTAAAACACACACATACACTTTTACTGCCAGGCTGTCACCATCAAAATATTCCAGAGAAACAGAAGAAAGAGTAAAACAGCTATTAAATAGAGGACTGTGGGTGACCAGCCGCAAACCTCCAACTTCCCAGCAAGGTAACCAACATATTTGACTGCGCTCTGTAGTTGTGTAGAAAAGGCAAATTATTGACTGACTCCCTCATTAAAAGACTGGTTGTGCTGTAAACAGACACAGCAGTTTCTCCTCTGCAGTGTTTTTATAAAACAGCTGCTGGAGGATTATATCAGACTGTATGTCTCCAATGAACCAGCACTGAAAACTGCAGAACGAGGAAGTGAAATATAGTTTCAGTCAATGGATGTGATTGATTTTCAAGAACTATGTCATCACACAACAATCTTTATGTATTACTTCTTATAAACTTAGGGTATTCACATAAATCCTGATCATTTAACCTTTGATTGAAACAGTAACCAAACTAAAAAGCTAAGAAAATGACTGAATGTTATTATCAGCTGCTCTCTGACTGATGGTTTATAAAAATGTATGTTTTCTGGAGCCACCTGTTGTCACAAACTTTAAATGTTAGTTGTCTTTTTTAGTTGCAGATCAGATTGGGAATGATAAAATACTAACATTTTGTCAGATTTCCTTCTTTTAAAAGACTTGAATCATGAGGCGCAGTAGTTTGAACCATCATCAGGCTTTCTACTCAGACCTCAGCCAAGTCAACACCCTAGAGCTCCACTTGACCTCTTAGTTTTAGTGCTCAGATAAATAAGAAACAGCATGGTTACATAAAGCACTAGTGTCAATGTTCTGACCAAGGGAAGAAATCAATGGAATCATTACATAAGGGCAATACCATAAAAGCTGGTGTAAAGGTCATATATATACTGACAGACATGATAAACACTGTGAAAGGGGCCCCCAGAGGGACAAGGTCTGAACTGTTTTCATGCAGTTTCTATGCAAATGTAGAGCTCGTTCTAGCGCCATCTGTTCTCACCAGCTTGTTAGCTACCACTGCAGTACTGAAGCAAAGTTTTGATATTTGTGTGGTATGGACCCACCACCTGCAACTGGTTCACTGGTGAACTTCTTTTTTAATGAGGGCGCTTTTAAATCAGTGCAGAGTGTTTATTTACTTATTAGTGCACCAATGTTTTCTCTAAAGGCATGGGTATGACCTGATAATAAAAGCTGTTAAAAAGTGGTGGTGATGCTCTCAGACTTCTGTCTTTCTATGGATCTAGCATGGTTAAAAAGGTATATTCCGGTGTAAAATTAATTTAGGGTCAAACACACCGTAACACCGAGTTAGACATCCCCTTCGAAAGATGAATGTTGTCAACCGCTTGCTTCTCTAGTTATACCAACTTTAGTAACGACCGCAAAATAGCAATACACAGCAGTCTGAGGAGCCATCAACAAACTTCAACCAAAACGCCACTCTATAGCCACAAATGATGCACAGAACAGCACCTAACTTCATCAACAGTATATATAGGGTCCCAGCCATAGTACTAGCCATCAAACATCTTTTTAACTTTGAATAATTTCTTTAGCAAAGAGACTAAACAAAACTCACCTACTCTCTTCCAGCAGCCGCTTGTTTGTAGTGAGACCTCAGGCCATAATTTCTATATCATTTCCTTGAAGTAATATTATTGAAATCATATTAACCATTTTGCACTGCAGACACAGTAGTTCTTCTGCCTTAGCATCTCAGTCTGATTGCATTTCCATGAAGAAATTATCATAAATGTTCTTCCTTGAGCTGCGTCACTCTGCTGTAGTCCGTAATGGACTGGTCCAAGGTTTTGCTACAAACAAGCGGCTGCTGGAAGAGAGTAGGTTAGTTGTGTTTCGTCTCTTTGTTAAAGAAATCAGGCAAAGCTTAAAAGATGTTTGGTGGTTAGTGCTGTGGCTGGGACCCTATATGTACTGTTGATGAAGTTAGGTGCTGTTCTGAGCATTGTTAGTGGCTATAGAGTGGTGTTTTGGTTGAGGTTTGTTTATGGCTCCTCAGACCGCTGTGTATTGCTATCGTGCAGCCGTTACTAAAGTTGGTAAAACTAGAGAAGCAAGCGGTCGGCAACATTCATCTCTCATGGGGTGTCTAACTTGTTACAGTGTGTTTGACCCTAAATTAATTTTATGCCGGAACATCCCTTTAAGGAGTGAAGCGGGCACTTGCTTCTTGGAGCACCATCTTCTGGATAAACTAAGTTTTTACCATCAAAAGTGAGTCTCATACACTGGATTTGACAGTGTCTACTATAGGCTGAGTCAGCTCATGTAAACTTGTCCAGACTGTGTGAAATATTCTCCAAGTGGATGATTTCTTTTTCCAAATTTGAGAAACTTGTTTTGAGGCCTTTGTAAACTTCATAAACTCACTACTTTACGATCCTTTCAGGTGAGACACACCTTGATTAAACTGTCACCCCTCTCTGCAGCTGTTCATTGTGACTCCCATGGGCGCCACAAAGTGACCCTGCCTGTATTCATTTCGGAGTGAATCTAACTTTGCGTTCCCCCCCTCGGCAAAAACAAGGGCATTCTCCGGATTAATTAGCTGTCCGGACCAGAGCCGTTTAACAGGACACAAGACTATAAACCCAACAAATTCATTACAATAAAATCAGTGTGGAGAGCCAATTTACACTGCAGGAGCCTACAAGTAATAACAATGAAAGAGGTGATTGCTTTTATATGACCATAAAATCTGGGGCTGAATTCGCTCTGCCTGCCTAATTATTTTGTGGTGCATTTACAATTTTCATTTACAACAGGTTGAAAGGTTTAAAGCGGAGGTAAATAACCAGATGACAGAAAAACAGAGTCAGGATGTTGAATGCAATATTACAGTTGATGCAGCAGTACCTCACAGGTAGGTTCAAACTGGTACACGAGGGCCAGCTGACAGTTGTAACCATTAAATCATCCATTTAAATATCCTCTGTACTGAGATCACTTTTTAGGGAGATTTAAACAATGCTTTTTTTATTCTAATACAATTAACACAAACAGAGGAGTTTACTGCCACACTCTCCTAAAGGAAATGTGAATAACTGGTGACAGTTTTTAAAGACTATTTGCTTGCACTTGACTGCCATCCTCTTCCTTGATACCACAGTTAATGGTATTTGTGCATGTAAAGAGTTTTTTTAACAATGTTTTTGTTCATCAATTATCAATGTGCATCAATCAATAAACTCCTCAGCTAATGCTGCGTTCCAGTTGTACTCGGAAGTCGGGATTTCCGAGCTCCAAGTCAGAAATTCATCTGGAACACCCCCCTGAAGTTGGATTTCTAACTCGGAGAGTCGGATGATCCTTACCAACCCCGACTTGATAACAACCTTATAATCCAAGATGGCAGCGCAGTGCATCGACAGGAAAGAGTAACAGTGAAAGCTCTCGTAATTTATTATTTATTGGCACTGTTTTGTTTCTAACGTCTAACTTTGAGCACGTTGCTATGGGGTTTGTAAGAGTAAAATACTGCGTCATGCGTAGTTTACAACTGGTATAGCTAACAACAACTAACAACAGCTGACAGCGGCTAACAGTATGCATCCATCTTGGTTTTCCCACTTGTTTACTAGAAATAATTCCGACATCCGAGGTAAGTAGAACACAGCATAAGAGATGCTCCTCACTTTTAAACCACCTGCTCACAGTCTGAGGTTTTATCACTTGGCTACTAACCAGATCTTAAACTAGTTACCCTGCTGCTGCGTTAAATCCTGGCTTGAGTTTTGATTCTGCTTCTTGACACAGATGCAAAAACATCCTTTTCCATTAGCATGATTGCTGTTTTCTGTGTGAGTGTGTGTGAGTGTGTATTTAGCTGCTGCCAGTTAGCGATTGTGTCCATGGGATGAATCATGCAGCTCATGGATATAAATCTGTGGGATCAGTTGTGATGAAGAGGACCAGCTGATCACTAATCATGGCCTAATGGGCTGACAACTGGCTGAGCCTGGTCACCAGCTGGTTGACTGAAGTACCTCTAATTCTGATCAAAACAGGAAATAGAGTTATTTAGGTGTAAGGTGATCTATTTTCAAAGCCTGGACATAAACTAGGTAAACTTGATAAATTCTAATACTTCATAAATTCTGAGAATTAAGGCTCATAAACTGTGTTGTATAGTGAGTTGAGTGCTTTGTCGAATCTTTCTTTGTTGGGGGTAAATCTACTCACCGAAATACAACCATTGCCGTTTTGCATGGTGGACAGGCCAGCAGGAAGATCTGTAAAAAGAAAAAAAAAAAAAAAAAGAGAGAAAAAAAGGGAAATGACATTAAACTCTGTGTTTATTAAGAAACAGCATGAATGCCTCAACAGCTTCAAGCGCTCAGTTCTTTAAGTAAAGAAAATAAACAAATAGCTGTAAAGAGTTTTTATTAAACAATAAGAGCAGGAGGCTGGAAAGAAAGAGTCCCGCAGGCGACTTTTAAATGCTTCAAAAATAAACAAACAAACGCTGAATAAACACGGGACCCAAGAGGACGGCGAAACAATCAGAGGGAAAATTTGAAAGCGCTGAAATAGCTGCCACAGATCGGCATTCATATGTTTTACTGCCTGGTTTATATTCAAACAAACAATCTGGGCAGGACGGGTTATAAAACAAAGAGAAATAATCCATTTTTATTAGAGACCAGCAGGACCATGGGACGTGTAAATCTTGGATTGTTTGTCCTCATCAGTTGAGTGTTACAGAGCTGATGTGCTTTTTCAGCTTGTTTTTTAACCTTATGATCAAACTGTGAGACAAATGCAAACCTTGGATTTAGAGGAGTCCGGGTTAAATTCAAAACAGATTTACAAATGATTTACCAAAAGTCTCAAAATATCTCACTTGTCTTGGAGTTCTGATTTGTTTCATATGTGCCGGTTTATGCAAATCAAGTTTCAAAATTGGTTTCTAATCCTCCATATTCCCTCTTCCAAAAGCATTCATATGAATACATTAGCTTCGGGATTAAATGAGAACACGGGTCACAACGTGTACCAGAGTCATACATCTTATCTTTGCTCAGTGACTGTGTGACTGTTGAGGCCTGGAGGAAACGGCAAACATGGATTGCTTCAAAACGCCAACTGACATGAAAAAAAGTTGGTTTGTCTGGGAGGCAGAAAACATTACAAGAAAGCAATTTACTTTGGATCTGTTGTACAACCGCAGACCTGCCCGAGGATATATCTGAGGGATTGATCTGCCGTGTTACTCTCAGCTCATTTTAACCTGCACTGTGAACAGATATGAAAGTTTGTCTTGGCAGTTTGGAGCCGACTGTAACAAAGGCTTTGGCACAGGGCAGGATTAATGAGATCTGCTCTGCTTAACTTTCAAATACACGCAAACATTTTACAAGCCTGTTTAAAATTTGACTCTCTGAAGAGAAAATAATAATCAGAGTGTTTGAATCTTTCAGATTTCATGTGCAAAGGTGTTTTTACAAATAAAAACTGTCCACCAGCGCTGACAGATGTGCCACCGTGATCTTAGAGAGTCTTTTAAGAGGATCATTACTGACAGCAAACATTGTATAATGAGTGTAAACTGACGGTGTGTGTTTGAGGGATAATGCTGCCTGAAGGAAAACTTTGTCACTTGGATCCTTTGCTTTACTTTGGAGGCTTTGAAAAATTAAAACACCGATCTCTTCTATTGAGCCCAAAAGTGGTTAGTATTACAGCAGATGAGAAAGAGATGTCACAAAAGAAGGAGGAAATAAATTCTAAACAATCTGCGAAATAAAGAAATTACTTTCCCTTCAGTATAAAGATGTTACCTCATTTATTCTAAAGACTGTTTACACCGCATAATAAACCTTTTATTCAATGTCAACCTTTTTTCTCACACTGCCACCGGTCATGTCATTGTTGGTGGCAGTGTTGTCACCGCCCTCTCACCTTTCAGCCCCTCTAATGCCGCCCCGCGCCTCAAGCTAGCACACTCAACAACTACTCCCAAATTTAGCCCGATAGCTCCCGTTGGCTCCTGTTAGCTAAAGCAACAACACTGTCAAAGCTGCTCTGAATCACAGAAACACTTTGCCTCTTTGGCACAGAGCAAACAAAACTCCCTGTCCTGTTTAGCTTGTCAGCGAGCTAGGTAGGTGTTACACGCTGCTTTGTTATGCTAAATGATTAAAAGGAGACGCTCGTTTCTGTGTTCATTTAAAGCAGCAGCTTCATGTTTGATTTAGATCCTCTCTGACATTGTTGTTTCTCTTGCAAACAGGAGCTAACAGGCCGAATGTTGCAGCAGATGTTGAGTGTTTACTAAGAAAGCAGCTTGTGAAATTAGACGTTTTGAAAAAAAAATGTGTGAAGACATCAAGGTGTCGAAAACTGCCAGTAAAACAGACTGACCACAAGGTATCTATCAGATAATGAAATAAGATTAAAAATAAGGGATGATAAAATTCAGATCAGATTCAGCTTTAAAAAAACACACACATATTCAAATTCACTGTTTGTCCATGTGATAACTTTAGATTTTTTTGGATCAACATCAAATTACAAAGGGCTCCGTTCTTCTACAACATTAAAACCTCCACCTGCTGCTTCATAGTAAACTTTTTGCTGACATATTCATACACACCAATATGCTGTTTGAATGGAAATTGGACAACATATAAATCCACTGCTAAGTAGGTGGGTTTACATGAAGACTCAGTTGAAATCTGTCTGATTTAAAATTCTGTCATCCAAGTGAACACCATAAAAGGACAGTGAGAAAATAATAAAGTTTGATTGATTCATGACATGAAATGTTATGAATCATTATATACCAGTTGGGGGTATCCCGATACGATATTGATATCAGACATCGGTCCAATATCAGCAAAAAAAATATATATCTGATTAAATCTGCCTGTATCCAAAATCTTTGATATCGGCACTCCGTCCGATACAAGCAGTCCATTCCAGACTCCGCTCTGGCACCTCTTTCTAGCAGCACCTGGATCCAGCATGCAGAGCCCACAAAATCATTACAACAGTGTGTACTAAGTTTATAACAAAGTACCGAGGAGTCGGAGTGATGTCAGCTGTGTGGCAGCATTTTTTGTTAAACTCCGAAAAAGACGTTTCAACTGAGTGCAAAACTTGTCATGCACAAGTTTATGCCAATATCAGATCAATAACGGTATCAGCCAATACTGAAGGCTACAATATCAGTATCGTATTGGAGGTAAAACGGTTGTATTGGGACACCCCTAATACCAGTATATCTGGACAGCCCCAGTATACACACTTTTAATTTGAACGTATCAAGCACTGAGACTCTCCTGTCTGAGGATGCACCTGCTATTATTGTCTATTTAAGAGAGAGACATTAAAAACGCAAACACAAATTGATTCTCCCATAAATGATCAATGTATTCCTTTTCTAATATTCACTTTGTCATCACCTATTCATCATGAATTCCTCATCCTATCAGCTGAACGCATCATCAGCAGAAATTTTCATACCTGCTAAAACCCATAACTACAAGTTTTTAAGGCATCGGCTGCCCATACTGATACTATGCTAACGATATTTTGGATCCCCACTATTCATGTGATCCTGAGGTGCACTTCCTCCTTCTCATACAGAATGACACACAGCATGGATTGAGTTTTGGCATAAAAGAAAGAAATATATTTTATCCTCCCATACTCTGGCGAGTATAATGCAGGAAAACTTGACCATAACGTTCACAGAGCCTCATGTGTCACATGGCATTTGCACAGTTGTGTACAGAACATCACGTCAGAGATACTGCATCAGTCAGGATCACATGCTCTCCTGTCGTGTCTCTCCCTACCCTCCTCTTCTCTCCCCTCTTCTCTTCTCTCCTCCTCTCACCACTTACGTATTTGGGCAGGTGTGCAGTGAACATCATCTGACAACAGAATACTGCACCCAGCTCGAGTGTGTACACAACCTTCACGGATCTTTTCGTAAGCTTTGCTTAATGTCAGTTGCGTTTAGTGAAAACAACAGAAACAAAACTCAACTTGGGTGTATTGAGGGGTTCTAGTGTGTTTGTGTCAAGTATTGGGTGTTTTTTTCAATATCTGAAACGATCCCTCTAAACATTTTCAGCTGTTAAAGCTAATGTACTCTTGTCATTTACACAATGATAGTATGAGCTAATACTTAAATACTTCCATTAGCATGAAAATAATTATTCAGTCAGAGTCGAAACTCTTCCTGATGAGCTGGTTTGGTTAAGTACAACATACTGTAAAGGAGTCAACATTTCTGTCAGTGTCATGCCTGAGGCTGCACGTCACAGTGGGTAGGGTCTGAATTTGAGTCCTGGCTGAGGCGACGGGGGGGCCCCTCTGCGTACATGGGTTCCCTCCAGATTCTTTAGCTTCCTTCCACAGTGCAAATAATAATAATAATAATAATTTTATTTATATAGCACCTTTAAAAACAGAAGTTTACAAAGTGCTTAGACAACAGTTGTAAGCACAGAGCATCAGCACATTGAAAATAAAAACACATAAAAACAAAAGCTCAGTTAAAAACAGGCCTCTGAATTGTAGGCCTGTTTCACTTTTCGTAAGAAGGCAATACAAGAACCCTACAAAATAAATGGGACCATGAGGACCAAAATAAAAGCAAAAAAAAGAAATAGAAAAGGAGGGAAGAAAACAGGCTAGTAAGTATGAAAGAGGATATTAATAATAATAAAATCATAATAAAATAAAATGATGGTAATATAAATGATAAAGTGGAATTAAATATATATATATAAAATAAAGGAAAATGAAAACATTAAAATCAATAAAAAGATTATAAGTAAAACAAAGGCTAAAAAGGCAGTAAGTCTAAATAAGAAAGAGGTGAAAGAGGTAAAAGAAAAAGGAGAAAAATAAAAACGGTAAAAGGCAATAAAAGATGAAAGATGGCATCACATAAAGGCAAGTCTGTAAAAGTGAGTTTTTAAAATTGACTTAAAAGAAGCGACTGTCTCTGCACGCCTTATCTCCTCTGGCAGGTCGTTCCAAAGTCGAGGAGCTCTGATGGAGAAAGCTCTATCACCTTTAGTCTTGAGCCTCGACTTTGGAACGACCAGGAGGCCTTCGCCAGAGGATCTGAGGCTGCGAGTTGGCTCATAAGATATTAAAAGCTCTGAAATGTAGCTCGGAGTAAGTCCTTTAAAAGTAAGTCCGTACTCTTTAAAAGTAATCAATAAAATCTTAAAATCAATTCTAAAGCTGACAGGGAGCCAGTGAAGGGAGGCTAAAATTGGGGTGATGTGATGCCGTCGACTAAAACCAGTTAAAAGTCTAGCTGCTGCATTCTGAACTAGTTGGAGGCGAGAGAGTGATTTCTTGTTTAAACCAGGGAGGAGAGAGTTACAATAGTCCAGTCTTGAGAAAATGAAGGCGTGGATTATCTTTTCGAGATAATGGTGGGGTGAGTATTTGTTTAATCTTTGAAATGGAGCGTAGTGGAAGGAAACAGGACTGGACAATCTTGTTGATATGGGTGGAGAAGGTGAGGTCTGAATCAAAGGTTACTCCCAGATTTCTGGCTGTTGGTTTGATGATTACTGAGTGTGGACCGAGACAAGACTGAATGAGGGGGGAGTTTTGTATGTTACAGAGAATTATTTCAGATTTTGAATAGTTTAGCTGAAGGAAATTTTGTGCCATCCAACAGTTAATGTCACTTAGACAGTCCATGACAGCAGCTAGGCCTCTTGGGTCCTCAGGTCTCAAAGGAAGGTATATCTGTGTGTCGTCTGCATAGCAGTGAAAGGAGACTTTGTGGCGCTGAATTAATTGGCCAAGGGGCAGCATGTATATAGAAAATAAAATTGGACCTAAAACTGAACCTTGCGGAACACCACAGGCGATAGGAGAAGTAGAGGAGGTGTGATTGCCTATGGTGACGCAAAGGTTCGTTCTAAAAGATACGACTGAAACCAGCCAAGTGCAGTGCCCCTGACACCCACCCAGTTTTTAAGACGTTCAATTAAAATAGTATGATCAACTGTATCAAAAGCTGCACTGAGATCTAAAAGAATTAAAATTGAGCCCTCCCCTCTATCTGCTGCTAAAAGAAGGTCATTGGTCACACGGAGGAGGGCAGTCTCAGTGCTGTGACCTGCTCTAAAACCAGACTGAAATTTCTCAAAGAGGTTGTTTTCGGACATAAAACCTAAAAGCTGTTTAGAAACCACCTTCTCTAAAAGTTTGGATAAAAATGGAAGTTTTGAAATTGGTCTAAAATTGTTAAAATCAGAGGGGTCAAGGTTTGGCTTCTTTAAAAGGGGTTGGACCACAGCGTGTTTAAAAGCAGAGGGAAATACTCCCTCCACTAGAGAGCTATTAATGATTGATAAAATGCTAGGCCCAACCACGTTAAAAACCTCTTTGAGAAATCTGGTGGGGATAGAATCAAGACTGCACGTAGCTGGTTTCATTTTGACTAAAATATCAGATAAAAATTTTAAGGACACCGGCTCAAAACTACTAAAAAAGTGCTTAACTTCCCGGCTTAAGAGCACAGGGAGACTGGGAGGGGTGATTTGATGCCTGATGTCCATAACCTTGTTAATAAAATGAATTAAAAACTTCTCACAGGTTTCTTAAGAAGCATCAGTAAAATAAGAGGGGGAAGGGTTTGAAAGAGACTCTAAAACCTTGAATAAAACTCTGGGGTTTGAATAATTAGCTAAAATCAAATTTGAGTAAAATGCTGCCCTTGCATCCTTAACTGCCTTCTGGTAGTTTTTCAAGGAGTCTCTCCAAATTTCGAGGAAAACCACCAACCCAGTTTTCTTCCATTTGCGTTCGTTTCGTCTACAAATTCTCTTTAGTTCATGGGTGGACTCTGTGAGCCAGGGTTGGGGTTCTCTGTTAGATCTTTTCTTTTTCAGAGGAGCTACAGAGTCCAGGATGGTTCCACACATACTGTTAAAAAGAGAGACAAGCTCTTCAGTGCTAAAAACTGGATTAAAATCTGGGTTGAGGGCAGTTAAAGATGCAGAGATAAAAAGCTCCGAAAACTTGCTAGCAGACGAAGCATTAAAAACCCTTCTAAAAACAGGAGTGTGATCGGTAAAAGAGGGCTGGGATAAAACCATGGAGAATAAAACCAGTTTGTGATCTGACACACAGATATCCTTAGTTAAAAACTCCCCAGGACTAAGTCCACTAAATAAAACCAAATCTAAGCAGTGTCCCTTTACATGAGTGGGTTCCTGTATAGCCTGGGTAAGATTAAAGGAGTCCAGAGTTTCAATAAAATCAACAGTTAAGGGTTGAGAGGGACAACAGACATGTACATTAAAATCACCCAAAATAAGAACTTTGTCATATTTACAAATAAAAAGGGATAGAAACTCTGAAAACTCCTGAATAAAAACAGCGTTGTGTTTGGGTGGTCGATAAATGATTATGATTAAAATAGGTTCTTTCAATTTAACAATAAAAGCAAGGTGCTCAAATGAACTAAAAGTGCTGAAGGTGATGGGGGTGCATTTAAAATCCTTCTTGTATATGACAGCCACTCCCCCTCCCCGGCCTGACTGCCGGGGCTGATGGAGGTGAGTAAAATCAGGGGGGGTGGCTTCTATAAGAGAAATACAATTGTCCGGAGTCAGCCAGGTTTCAGTCAGAATAAAAAAGTCCAGACTGTTTTGTGAAATAAAATCATGGCATAAAAATGTTTTGTTGTTGAGGGATCTGATGTTTAAAAGTCCAAAGTTTGCAGGTTTGCTGTTAAAAGCAGGGCAGGGTAGCCGAGGAAGCAGGGGGATGTGGATGAGATTGGTGGGGGGACAAAGTCTGGCTGGAGGACGGGGAGGACGTGAGGATGTGATGTGGACTGGAATCACGGATTTACTGAAAGTACTAGTGGGGGGGGGCAGAGGAAGGTGGGGGTTGGCAGGTGAATGAGCGGGGATTGTGGGACTGTTATGAGATGACCAGAGGTTATTGTGAGGAGGAGGGGGGGTGGCCTGGTTGTGGAAAGATGGGCTGCTGAGTGCAGACTGTCAGACGGGTGAGGAGTGGATCATATACTGGATGTTGCAAGAGAGCATTCGGCTACCCCGCCTGTTGGGGTGGATCCCATCATGGCTAAAAAGTGATGCTCGGTCCCAAAACAGATTAAAATTGTCAATAAAACCGAAGTTGTGGGTGGAGCATGTGGATTGGAGCCAGGTGTGGAGGCTGAGGATCCTGCTAAAACGTTCCCCTCCACGACCGAGAGTGGGGATTGGGCCAGAGATAAAAACAGTCTTTCCAGTGTCCTTTAAAACGTTAAAAAGCAAGTTAAAATCCCTCTTTGTGATTTCTGACTGCTTAAGGGACATGTCGTTTGAACCAACATGGAGCACAATCTTAGTGACGGAGGAGGGGAGAGAGGGGAGTAGATTAAGAAGTTTGTCCAGGATGACAGGTACCGTGGCGCCGGGAAAACAGTGAGTGATGGCATTAAAAAACCTGATGTACCTGGTTATGGAGTCTCCGATGATGAGCGTGGTCGGGGGAAAAAGGGGACGAGGAGCTGGTGTGCAGGCGCTGAAGCCTTCAGAAGTTGGGCGCTCCACCTGTGCAGAAGACGGCGATTGTCGGCAGTGAGCGGACGCAGGTGGAGTGAGGTTGTTGCCGGCCCGGGGGAGCCTCTCCGAGCGCCTGGAGACGGCCTCCTTCAGCAGCCTGCGACGCAGTATCCCGGTCGAGGAAGGCCGCGGTGCCAGGTCCGAGTTGGACATCCGCAGAGCCGCCTCAGCTGGAGCTGGGACCGTCAGGAGAGGTGGAGCCGGAGCAGGGACTAGGACAGCGGGAGCCTCATCCCTCAGGGCCAAGAAGCGGTTGGAGAGAGAGAGCCGTGGTGGTGAAGGGACTCTCTCCGCTGCGGTCGTCCTCCGTCCGCGTTGCGCCACCTCGAGCCAGGTTTGCTGCCCCTTCAGCTTTGGGGTCGAGCTGTGGGTAGGGAGCGCTGGGAGCCCCGCTACCATGCCAGTGTCAGGGTCGTCCAGCGGTCTCAGATCCTGACTTTACCGATGCGCGGGAGGAGAGGTGGGGAGACAGCCTGCCGGCTTTGCGCTGTGCGGCACGGGTGAGCCGGCTGGACCCCCGGCTGCAGGGCCCTCGGCAGGCCCGATCGGAGAATGCAGGGAGGCCAACCAGGGCAGAGTGGCAGCGGAGGCCGAAACCAGCTGTGGTGCCAGAGCCGAGGGCGAAAGACCGGTGATCCTGGAGGCCTGACTCAGGGATATATGTTCGGCTTGAGCTGAAGCGACGGATATGAAGCCCTCCAGCAGCCTATCCTTCTCACGGAGATCATTTTGCAGACGACAAAGCTTCTCTTCCAACCGTGAGTTTTTTATTTTGCAGTCCGCACACACAGCCATTTAAAATTCCCACTCTTCCGGGTCCCGCGCAGAGTTCCGTGCGTAATGCAGCGTGGATCGTCTGAGGGCCGTCTTAAAATAGCCGATAAAACCCATACACGGTAAAAATTCAACTTAAAAGCCGACAAACTGTTAAGAATGCAAAGACATACTTGTTAGGTCATTTGGTTACTCCAAATCGCCCATGGGTGTAAGTGTGGCGACTTGTCTGTGGCTGGCTGCCAACCTGTCTGTGATGTTTTTATTTTATCATCATTTGACCTTTATTCAGCCAGATTAGTTCCACTGAGATCAGAGCTCTCTTTTTCAAAGGAGACTTGGCCACAAATGACACCAACACAAAGTTTTTACAACAAAACAATCACACTAATATAGTAGAACTAAAAAAGTCTGTGTTCAAAAAAAGACCCACTCAATTTCTCACTTTTTAGTTCTTTGGTAATCATTTCCCCTTACGAGACTGTTTTCACCACTCTTGAAGACGTAAAAAACATGAGTTAAGTTTTGTTTGTATTTCGAACAAGCTGATCTTCAACTGAATCAAATAGATGCTGAGGATTTTAGAGAAGTTTAGCAGGCGTAGATGCACAACCATAAATGGCAGCGTGATCAGGCCGGAAGAGAAAAGTAGCGTTTGGGACATTCTGTCCATGAAAATTTATGTAAATAGCAGAAGGCCCAGAACTGATCCTTGCGGTACCCCCTTGTGGATTTGTAGTATCTCTGAAGCAGTATCCACCAATTTCTACCAGTGATAGTTGGCAAACTACCCAACTGTATGTTCAGAAAACCTAATGGCATTAGTAAGATGTTGTGATCGACGGGGTCAAGCTTTGGAAAAGTCAATAAATAAAGACAGCCAACACTGCTTACTATCACGGGGTATGGAAGTATCATTTAGAATTAACTCTCTGTATCTCTTCTTTACTTTTACTTCACACTCAAAAATATGTTCAGAAATGGATTCAATGCAAACTAACTCATGACTAGAGGAAGCATTGTTGACAAATGCTTCCTCTGTTCCATGCTCGTCAGGGGAATAAAAACCAAACTGGGACTAAACTAATTAAATGGGAAGAACAGGCAAAAGGCAGGGGAGCTCCAGGGCAGGGACTCACTGTGCACTGAGGGACCTGAAGAGTCTTAGAGACTTGGGCTGAACGCTGGGGACCTCAAGGTCTTAAAGCCTGCTACTTGTTTTGTTTTTCTGGGAAACAACGGTTTTCATGAATAATTAGGGCAAACACGGAACAGAGGAAAAAAATATCTTTGTCTTATTGATTCTTAATTGTTTTATATCTTTTTTCATTTCCAATATATTTTTTCCTTGAGTTGCCTTGTGTATGAATGGTGCTATACAAATAAACTTGCCTTGCCTAGTAGTTGCTTGTTGATCTACAGTTAAAGTAACCAAATATGCGAGCTCTCCCTGTTGTTCCACTCAGAGCAATATTCCTCTAACAGCGCTGAATCTAAGCCCATTTCATAACATTTGTAGGAAAGCAAACAAAAGCTAATCTGATCTAAAAGGCCGCCTCAGTCTAGAACCAGGATTAATGTGTGTCTGGGATACCAGCCCACCAAGTCCTGATCTTATTTGTAGGTGAGGAGCACACCAGGTATAATCCACCGATCCACAGATACTCTGGGCCTTATCTGACATTTATCTGATTGTATTTGAACATCTTTCCATCAAAACATATGGAATAGTTCTTTAAAAGCACACTGAGAAATTTTGGTGGTTTTATTTATTTTCTCTCTTTATTACATTAGAAATGTTTGGAAGACGATAAATCCCTCAAATAATTGGATTACTCACACCAAACAACATCAGGGACTCAAACAGACTCATCTTGTACATGTATGTTTAAATGTTTGGTCCTGCCCGTGAGACATGTTGTTTTTTTCAGAGACTTTCCTGCATGATGTGGGTGAAAGAGCAGACATTTCCTGCTGTGTGATTTTACGTTGACGACTGCCTGTGAAAACGAGCCAAATCTGTTTCATGTTGAAGAGGCGAGATCTTTAATTTAGACAACAACAACAACCAGATTTAAAGGAACAGGGTCTTCATGATTAGGTTGAATAGTGGTGGTCCTCCTATTGATGAATTCAAAGTTTTTCATTTTTGAGGGTAATTTGTGCATTGTAGCAGTTTGTGGAGTCCAACAGGCCCTTTAATGAGTGGGTAAGTCAAAGGGCTCATTAATAATGCCTTGAGGGACTTCCTGACCAGATGTCTGTGTAAACTTAAACGACACAGGAGGTTAAGTTTGGAGGTAAAACATGGACATTTTCAAGTCATATTCTTTCCTCAAATAAAGAAACTATAGGAATGGGGGTTCATAATTAAGTGCAGGATGTGGCATGTTGCAATTTTTGAGATTAATGAAGCTGACAGCCTGTTGGGCTATTCTTCGAGGAGCTAAATCAATCTGATAGATTAGGGAAGAAGGCAGTTTTATTTCGTCTCTGTTTGGGTTGAACTTTAAATCTACATTGGCAGCACTGTTTGTCGAGCGCCATCAAACTAAATCATAAAGCTTTGTAGTTTTTTTACTGTTTAGTTGAGTCAAGTTCATTATAAAGCACATTTCACACGACAGTCCAGTGCCTAAACTGTCACTATGTACTATGTTCCTCTGCCAGGAGTCTGTGGGCGAAGTCAACCTGTTCTCTGACTTAATAACTACCACGGTTTCTGTTATTTAATGTTGTCTATAACTTCAGATAGGAAGACGTGTGATACTTCTTAATTTAGTTTGTTTACATCTTCCCACACACAGATGTTAGAATAAACATCTTGGTTCTGTTTTTGTTGCTGCCACATGTGCACAAATGTGTCTTTGATTTCACACATTACAGAAAGATAAACCGTGTATCTCCCACACTTAAAAAGAAAACTTTACAGGTTATTATATCTGATTATATATCTCAATAAGCTTCCTTTTTAGACTTATTTGATAAGAGTTGTTGGTCGTTTTTTCTTCTTGTTTCCATGGCTGCATGTTAGCAAATGACTGCAGTGAGAGTCTATTGAAACTGTTGTTGTAGCTGAAAAGACTCAGTTACCTTTATAATAGCAGTTTTTCCTTATATTACACATATATAAATATAAATCTACATGGAGGCACATCAGGCTGAGGCCTAACGTCATCATGTTTCCTGACACTAATGTGTTGACCACATGGAGTGGATCACGCTCCTGTTTGGTAATCTTACAAGGGGGTGACAGTGAGTTTTTAGATGAGTCAAAAGGGAGACAGTAATGGACGGGAAATAACTGATGGTGAAATCTCACAACTTCATTATTTCAGCCCTAAAATACAGCGAGCCAATACATAAAGATTTGAACACAAACTTGGGTTCAAATCAAGATTATTATTGGCGGTTTATTCTATATTTGAGCTTCAAAAATATTTACTAATATTTTGTTCATCTTTACAGTAAGTGTTAGGTTGTTGTGTTGTGATAGGAACAGGGAAAAGTACATCTGGAAAGTGTTTACAGGGACATGAATGTTTTTGAGCCACTACGTTCCGAGTAAATAAATCTGAAACCTAAATTCTGACCAGCTGGACAGTCTGAAAGTACAAAAAACTCTCAGAAAACAGTAAAAATTGAGTACAGTCTTTTTAACACAGCCTAACACTGTTCAGACATATTGCCTGGAGCCTTTTATAATTCCACTTGACAACAGTTTCTCACCTTTTCTGAAACTGACAGCTCTCTTAAATGCCCCTGAAATATACGGATCTGACATGTGTATAATCCAGAAATTCCAGAAACCATGACTGCAAATCAAAGAAAAAAAAAAAAGTCATCAAATGAATGTTGAGCATGTGTGGCCTCTTTCTACATGAGTGGCAAATATGGCACACTCTCCCACAACACACTTGGCCCCAATCTTATCCGGTCTTGATGTTGGATCTTGAAATAATAAGAGTGTTTACAGAAAAGTAAATAAAATGCACCTTACAGGTTACATGAATAAAAATTTTAACAATGAAAAAATGATGGCTGATATGTTCAGAGAATAATCTCAGGATCATCTGAAAGAATAGTGAGCTTGTCCTCTTTGAAGATTGGTATTTTTGGGTTCTGTGCAGCTGTATCAAGTCTACACTAGAGAGAGGGATCTCTAATTTTTATCAGTTCTGATACCGTTGAAGCCTCCTTAATGATTGCAGTCCTTGCTGATACCAAGTCTTTTCTGTGACGATTGTTTTCATTCAAATAACTGTACAAAAACTGCTGCAATGAACAATGTTTAACTGGAGTACAAGAGTACAACCAGTTTGACTACAAAATTAAAAATAAAAAATTGTGGCAGGAACTAATTCTGTAATTTCTGCGTCAGAGTAAAGCTGTATGATTGTTTTATGATCTTTGGAGCTGTGCAGGAAACCATTCAGGAAGCAAAAGATCAATGACCTCTTGAGAGTAAGTCGACACTCATTACTGATAACACATACTCTCTTTTCACAAGTGCAGAGACTGAGTAATACAGTCAAGTGCTTTCAGTGTAAAGCAAACAAGAGTGGACAGCCTGTTGAGCAGGGTGCTATGGCAGCGGCTGATAAATGAGGCTATATTTAACAATAATGCTGATATTGTAGTCTGTTACACTGATAGTGAATGTTTGCTGCACACTTGTTAACAGCGTGGCTCTTCAATTTATAGCCGAGCTCTCGACCCATAGAGAAAAGACAAAGCACACAGTCTTTATGTTCATTGCTGCTGTGTGCATCCAGGCAGTATTTTAAAGTCCTATTAAAGCCATTCAAAGCTGCTGCAGATTGCCAGAGGCCTGTTTTTAAAGGTGTGAGTTATGACCACCTGGAGCATGAAGCTATGGTTATCGCCGGCCTACATAGTTATCTATAATTCAGTGAAATAAACAGTTTGTTCGGACACACCAGGCCACCGACAAGATCCATAAGAGAAGAAAGTTCACCTGATAAGGGGTTTGTGTGTTTAGATAAAGTCTTTACATTATCGCAGGTTCAAAAAGAAACTCCAAGGTAAACGGAGAGTCCTGACTGGAGGTTATGAGTCCTACCAACAACACAGTCAAACCTCATCGATTAGTAATCTGGGGCTGGGCGATATGGGAAAAAGTTTATCACAATATATTTTTTTTATATCAGTTGATATTGATATATATCACGATATAAAACTGAAAGTTAACCGTGCTTATTGGTAGCATGTCTTTTGTAATACAATAAGCTACTGCATCTGTGAGGTCTTTGCGTCCCTTCGACTTTTGGTATAAGGCGTTGTGCTAGAAAAAGCAGACTGAATGGTCGGTTGTTTCGGCTGCACAGGCGCCACGGGCTCCTTGCTCTGCTCAGGGTTGGTAACGATTTGTAATGATTTGAGGTACTCCCCGACTTTGCGAGAACATGTACTCGACAAAATTTGCAGTGCACATTACTCTGCCTCATGCTTCCCACCGACGTTTTCGTGCCAGTGTTGTTGACGATGTCATCATCTGTTGAGCCTTCATCTGCATTTCTGCGGGGGGTAGCACTCATTTTCTTTTCTTCTCACCGACAGTGCTGTCAGCTTCACGTGTTAAAGTGCCATGGTTACGTGTAGCTGCAGTCTGCTACCACACAGTTGTTTTCTACTTGGTTCTAATTCAGCACGATTGGTTCAGCGCCAAGCGGACCGAGAGCAACTCCCCTTTTCATTGGCTATTCTTATAGTCTACCAAAACATGGCAGAATGCCGACTATTGAAAAGCATATTGACTATGTTTCATATTGATAGTGAGGGAAATTAATTTGCTATATCATTATTGTTTTATCGCCCAGCCCTATCTATTACCCATATCCATTTTTACAATGATGAAAAACTCAAACATTCAGGACTGAGAAGCTGTTAATAAATGAATGCTGTCCCTGATTCAACCAATTTGGCATCAATTTGTCCTGTACACACAGCAACATCCAGCTGATATCAGTGCAGCTTTGAAAATGCGATGCTGTGCATGTAGGGTACAGGCTCTAAAATTAAACCGTGGGGAACAACAAAATCTAGAGCTACGCCGCTCTGATGACCTGTCCTGAACTGATTGATTTTCAGCCTGTTGGCTGTTATTGGTATCTGGCTGGTCCTCTCATATATAGGCAATTCTGTGCCTTTCCAATTGTGCTGATTTTTTTTTCAGTTTTTCTCAATGTCAGAAATCACAATAGAGTAAGAGAAGACCCCTTCACTCCCCATGAGACACTGTTAGGGTTCTAATATGCATAACCGCCCAGGATTTGCCCTTCATTAAAGCCCTGACATCATGGTAACAGAGCTGCTGAACCAGTATGTTTGCTGTTGTTGTTAGTTACAAGCTCTTCAAGAGGACAGAAAATGTCAACTTAAGTTTAAAACAGAAAACAATAAAAGCCGTGGGGCACATTCATCATGATATATCAAATTTAACATTTGTTCCCATGAAGAGCAATGATAATCCAACCACATCCTGATTTGTCCATCATATCCGCACCACGCTGTATCTGTGATTCAATTTGTTTGTTTATGGAGCCCCGACCACATCCATTAAGTCAAATGAAAATGCATCCAGAAATTGATCAGTCAGAGATCTGTCAGTGTGATGGCTTTTGTTCCACATGTAGAAAAAAAAAAAAAAAAACACAACATATCAGACATCCGTGCTTGTCAAAAGTGGGGCATCCTCTCATTAGTCATCAGACACTGAACTCTTCACCCTCAGCAGGCCTCTCTCTTTCACTGTACTGGGTGATGTTTGCTCGTCCGGTGTTTTCTGATACTTGGGAGAACTTAGCAGCTGTTCCATGCCTCATTTTCCACTTTAAGATATCTTGGTCATAATTAGATCAAATTCATGTAGTTGTGGAAATGTATTCAGCATCCGTATTTTTGTAATAAACAGACAGGTTTTATGCAGTAATCAGTATGCATCGAATTTAAAACTAATGCTATACACAAGAATATTATTTTGCCATTGCTGTTGAGGAGTTTGAACAAACAGGCTAGGCTACCAGATAATGACACTGCATGGCAACAAAACAGATAAGTGGTTGTACCCTTCCTAGCAACACTCAGGTGAAGTGGTTCCCTGTGCTGATTATTCAAGGACTGTGCTCACTTCAGCTACAGCAACACTTTTCTATATTTCTCAGCCTCGAAAATATGCACATAATTCTCCACATCTCGATCTCATCTCAAAATTCACACTAATTAAATACAGCGTTGATGGGTTAACAGGCTCAAGAGGAGACGAGAAAAAGGATCTTTGCAGTTGCTTGTGAGCTGTTTTGATGTCAGATTTCCATCTGCTTTTAAGGACTTACAGATGGAACCGAACCCTCATAATGTAAATCCACTAAGTGAGATCAGTGGGAGAGTGAACAGCATCACACTTACACACCCATACAGAAAAAAGAAATATCTCCACTGCGGAAGCATCAAATATTTGAGATTTGTTTTTACAGTGTTTCTCTGCACTTCTAACAAATGACATCAACTTGAACACACTCCCTGTTCTACACACTTTTCCTACAGTAATAAGATCCTTTCACACATAGACTACACTACGCAGCTGAAAATTTAGAGATATTGACCTGTTTGGGTTTATTTGCCATTTCATAATCTTAGCTGCTCGCCCAAGTAAATGGTTTTTGTTTCCTACTGCTGTGATTAAGGGTTTGTGTGTGTGTCTTTCAGTGTCAACTTTCCGGCAGAGTTTTTAATCCTGACTAGCTGACTTGTCTAGAAGGTAAGTAAACACTCCTACAACACTTTAAACTGAGCATGATTTATGCGTCACGACTAATCCCGGGATGACAGAATCTGCTGGGAACCATGCCGGATTGGTTTGCTGAGTGTAGCTACCACTAGCAGAGCTAGCACCACCTGCTGTTGGTGGTACTTCACATGCTTGTGCCTGTTACACATTGAGTAGTTATGGGCTAGTTTAACCAGACACATACAACTTAGTGTCCACTTTACTGATCAAAATGCTGCCAAACTGCACCACATTATGAGATTCTATCTGCCATCTGGGCTGTTTTAGGTAGCAGATCATTACCCAGCACTACAGCAACAGCTAATGGTGGATGGCTGCACTACACAAACAAGACAATTGACCTGAATTACAGGCTTACAATTATAAAGATATTAATAATTCACAAAACTAACTAGTTATTATGGTGCTGACAAAGAGGGGTGATGTCATGCAGTAGTTTAGTTGATATATCTTCCTATCAGCCATGAGTAACTTACAGTGCAACCTCATTAACCTTGCCTGTGAAAACACACACACACAAACTGAACAGAGTACACTGAGTGATGTGCATGTGTAAAAGTCAGTGAAATTTTCAGGGCCTGGATTTTTAACTCCAAAAAGATAGTATCTATTAAATGTCAGGGGTCCAAGTGTGTACAACACTGTACAGTAAAGCTCCTCATCGAAACAAACAGAGCTCCTGAAGGCCATCCCTGCAGAGCTGCCCTGTTAAAAGAAACATTTCTTCCCCGAGTCAAAAGTGAAATTGAAACGTTTGTTTGGTCCTGTCAGTGAACCTCTTCCTTTTTTTCCTGAAATAGATCAAATAAACTTCTCTCTCTCTCTCTTTCTTCTTTTCATCACACCTATGTGCCAACGTACATAACAAATGCATAGCAAAGACTATTACCCTAAACTGCTCAGGACATCTTAGAGCTATAATTCAGTCACCACTGTCCACCAATCATGTCAGGATGAATAACTTCAAGATATAATCTACACTCTCCATATTTACTTTGTTACATCTGTTTCATCGAACACAATGAGTCGCAGTTGGCAGTGACCTGTTGCCATGACCCACAGTGTGCAATCATGTACAGTGAAGGTCAGCCGAGCAGGAGGCATGAAAGGAAACCATGCAGGTACAGCATGTTCTCATGGTGGCAGAGTGAACACAGAGAGTCTTTGTGTTGCTCTGAACTGTAACCTCTGATTCTGGTTTAAATAAACAACTCAACGCAGATGTCTACAAATTCAATTTCCATGTTATTTATCAGTCAGATTCCAAAGTAAACTCCTGTGCAGATATATAGACTGAACGGCTTTACAGCTGTTCATAATAGTGCTTCCTGCAGTCATAGACAACAATCCAAAGGCTCTAAATCAGAGGACGCCCAACTCCTGTTACATACCTTGGGGCGCTACACTTGAAACAACAGGTTTTATGTTTTTTTTTTCTTCATGAAGAGGTCCTACAGAGTCTCCAATATGACGTTTTGCACAACAGTTTAAGTGCTTTCCCTTTATGAAAACAATTTCTCACTGTATTTTATAACACTCATATGTGATTCTGACATATTCATATGAGAAGCACATAAATAGATGGCATTTTTACACCCTTTCTTTGCTCTTGTTCCACGTTATGATGTGCAGTAAGTGAAGCCATGTCCCCCAGTTATACTTTTATCATTCATTTTATGACTTAATTTTTTCCACTTTGCTCTGAGGATGATCACAAGTTAACCACATGAGTGCCAAGTTACTACAAAACTCTAGAAGACAACACTATCCAAATCGTAATACTTTCTTGGACATATTTCAGACTTCTTTTTGTATTAGAAGTTTGGTCAAATCGAGTCAGGCACTAAATTGTCTGTCTAGTTGATGCACTTAAAAAAGGTGGAGAATTCACATGTTTCAGTTAAAACACCATATGCTATACTTAAACAAACTTTAAAGTTAAAATTGTACACATATGGGATAAGGGTTGGTTAAGGTGAAGAAAAAAAACTTGAAAAACTAGCAACATTACAGTTAGACATAGTCAGGGTAAGCTATTGTTGAGACACTTCCTTCTGATTGTAACTAAAACTTTGTCCTGTATGGACTGAAAGTTTGCATTCAGGGCATTTGTGCATGTTTTCTCCAACCTATGTCATGTAAAACACTAAAAACTTGTGTCTGGCATGTATCTTCATATTTGTTTGCACTGTTCTCCACTGCAACAAGAAAGAAAGTGAAAAAGACTAAGTAACTCTTCATGTAAATGTTGTACGAAGTGTACACACATAATGGGGATGTTTGCTGCAGTTCTCTAATTAAAAAAGCATGTGCAAATGACTCTCAAGGATGTAAACGGGTGTTATGTAACGCACTGTTTCACCAAACTGTAAATGGGTGAGGCAGAAGTGAAGTCAAACTTTTACTTTCTACTTTCTTCAGAGCACGTCTTAAACAGCAACTTGTGTTTGTGGGATAGGGGGGACTGAACACTACAAATTAATGTTTAGTGTGTGTTACTCTCATGTTGGGTCCCCATTACTGTGTTGCATACAAAGAAGGTGTCGTTTTAACAATCACACAGTGGTATTCTTACCTGAACCATGGTCATGACATGGCAGGGGTTGAGCAGGTATATCACTGTCTTTGTCGCAAACTTAAACCCAACCTCCACTCCAAAAGTCATGCACAGAGCAACCAGCAACAGGTTCTTGCCCAGACTGTCTTCCTTTGTCCTTGTGCAGTCTTTTCCCACCACCTTGAGCTCTTTGGAGAGGTTGATCTTCTTCAGTGCCACGCCGATCTCCAGCAGGGAGATGAGGATGATGATGAGACTCTCACCGATGCGCTGCTGGGGCGCGATGAAGGCAGCACAGTCGGGGCCCCCATTGCCTTCAAACTTGGGGTCCACCCCGCCGTAAATCCAGTCCAGCAGGCTGTAAATGTTATATCTGGACATATTCCTCTTCTCGTGTTGGAAAAGATACGAACAAGATGGAATAAAAGACGTCACACTGACTTCTTGGCGAAACATGAACTGCAAGATTTCCCTTTCGTGGCTCGTCCCGTGGTTCAGAGGTAGACATGTATCCACCACTTTTGGTGTGTGTGTGTGAGCTAAGCTACAGACAGCAAACTACCTCACCCGCAGGCGGAGGAGGAACTTGAGCAAGCAGCAGGAGGCAGCTGTAGTCAGGACTACCAGTACAAGCTGCTGGTTGTAATGGGAAGTGGCCAGCCTCCCTCCTTCCTAACGTCTCACACACAGTTACAAACTAAAGCCAGCTAACGGTGACACTCAATTTGGCTCCGTCATTATTTCATTAAAAACATTCAGGTTTCTAGTTACGTGCACGTAGTCACACAGAGCTACCCGGAGGAGCTGTTTGCTGGAGGTTAGCTAGCCACGGCGTAGACACGGGTTAGGTAAGGTTAGCTAGCTTAGCTACCAAGGCTATGCTACCAGGCGTACCTTGATGAACTGAAGCGGCACCGCGGCGTGTCTGTGTGCCCTGGGTTTAGCCTGCCAGGATTTTTTGGCTCACGCGACAGCATTAATGACAATATACGGTAGCTTTTTAAAAATAAAAAAATAGTCACATGTATCAAGAAATTTTACTGATTACCACAGAACTAAGCAAAAAAGCACAATTGGCTGTATTGCAGTTAACTAATCAACTTCTTATGCGACCGCTTTCTGATTTGAAGTGTGAGGAGCCACGTGTTGTAAGCATTGGGCTTAAGAAACAGACCCTATTCACATGTAGTATTTATTAACAATTTTTAATGCTCACATACAGAAACAAACGCTGTTGTAGTTATTTTTATTTGGGTTGAAATCTGGTGTACGCTCTAACGCTCTTCCTGACAGTAAAAACTGAGGGCATAAACACCCTTTACAACAGAGGCAGACATGCGACACACGTGATGCAGACACCAGAATGGTGCGTTCAGGAAAAACCCGAAATGTTCTATTGTCAAGTTACACCTCAGTTTTTTTCCTCATAAGTTCATGCAGCATTTCCAATAAACAAACAGGCATATAAATTGCTGAATATCTTCTATATTACGTAGAGTAGCTTATTGATAGATAAGATATAAAAACTAAACTGACCAGAAAACAAATTGACCAAATATACAGTTCTTTAGAAAAATCCTAACAAGACAATTAAAGTTAAAATAAAGTGAATTAAAATTGAAACCAAATTTGAGGGGTTTGAATCAATGCTGAAACTTGAGTAACCCTCAAAGTCTCAAGACTGTTTTTCTAAACCATTTCAGAGACTTACAAAAGAGCTGAGAGTTATTTTACAGCTGAGAACTAAATTGGTCACAATTACATTGATTTATCAGCATGTGAGCTCCTCAACAAAATAAAGACTTTTCTGATTTCAGCTCAGGTAAGATTGAAACTAAAATTTAGCAGCTATTTTGTCAACTGTTTTGTCAACAGGGAATTTTTAAAAGGAAACCGTTATTTAACACAGCATAATACCATATAGCCCAATCACATAAAAGCTTATAAGTCTGTCAAAAATCAATTGTTAATCATCAGATAAAATATAATTATCCTTAAAGTTTGTTCTTTAAAGGTTGAGGATTTGCTTCAAACATTTAGTTGTACTAATGTCAAGTTAATTATGGCATTTAATGTTACGGTAATCCAGGGGGGCAGTAGCTCAGGAGGTAGAGCGGTCGTCCAATAACTGTAAAGTTGGCGGTTCGATTCCTCCCTATCCCTAGTCTGCCCATCGCGTCCTTGGGCAAGACACTTAACCCACCTTGCTCCCAGTGTGTGTCCTCAGCTGGTGTGTGATTGTGAGTGTAGTGTGGTGGTGGTTGGAGGGGGGCCGTAGGCACAAAATGGCAGCCACGTTTCCGTCTCTCTGCCCCAGGGCAGCTGTGACTACTTAGGTAGTTTACTACCACTAGTGGTGATATGATTGGGTGGAAGCTGTTGTAACCAAGGATACAAGGTCATTTGAGCTCTTTTGGAGTATCTCATAAACCGCATTGATTTTGTCAAAGCGTGACTTCAAAAGGAAAAAAAGAAAAAAGAAAAAAAAAACTACAATGACCAATTGGTAATGAATTAACTAACAGCAGTGGGACACCTCCATTGTTACCAGAAGAATCACCACCTTGTTATCCATTGAGAGTCTGCCCCATTGTTAAGTCTCCTCACAGATTTTAACACCTAAAAGAAACACAGGACATCAAATCATGATTATAAATCTGTGAAACTGCCATAATGGTGGGTAGATTTTGTATTTTTCCTTTGACATACTTTAATAAGAATGAGTTTGAACAACACACAAGTCCACAGAGAGCTCCTTTGTAAACTGGTTTTCTTTCATGCCAATTTGGCACTGTATTCCCATCATGGAGGGGAGGGGGTTGTGATGTGTCCTCTCTGTACTGTAATTGGTTTGGAATTCCCTTCAATTTTGGCAATAACATTTCACGACTTAAAAGGGGAGACTGAGGGGCCAGAACAAGGGACAAAGAGAGGAGTGAAAAAAGCATAGAGATGCATCTGATGTTCCTCCCGCAGCTCCTGCTCTTAGTTGAGTTTTTGAATTGTCCACACACTTACATGATGCCACCGGTGTAGAGGTGTGTGATAGATGTGTGCAGCACTCAGTCAGTGTGGTGCAGAACCTCTTTCAAAGCAGGTCCTGCATTCAGAGAGGAAATGACTCTGTGCTGAAATGTAATCAGGCCAAGAGTTCTGTCCCGTGCACAGTGACAGATACACAACACCTTGGTTTAGTTGTACTTGAGGTTTAGTGGAAACCGAGTATGTAATCAATGTTCAGTAATGGGAATATAAATATAGTTATTAATCAAAAAGATAGATTTTTAATGACATAATTTACTCATCAGTGCGTGCAGAGAACCCCCTAAGGAGCTGATTCAGTAAGATTAAAATCAAACAGACATACCAGTATTCCTATGAGAGAGAGGATGCTAATAGCTTCATATACAGTAAGAACATGTTGTTTGTTTTCCAAGGGATGTTATACAAATTGTAGGAATCTTATCATTTCAACTTTCATGTGACTCATGTTTTCATGGTATCTGTTTAAATGTGTAGGAAAAGGGCTCCTTAGTCATTTTGATTTCATGGTGCTTTTTATAGTAGTGTATTAATGCATCAAAATACTATCCAAGGAAAAATGCTCAGAGCTAATATTTAGAAACTGTGTCTTCAAATGGGTATCAGTATTCTGCACAAGCGCACGCAAAGAAAAAACCCTTGTGAGCAGCCATAATTTGATGTAGAACTTTAAGACAAAATGACGTCAATAAAATCTGTGTAAGTGTTTGCATTTAGAGTTTGATGTAGCTTGTAAAAATACCTTGAGATTTATCATTGCCTCTTTTATTATGTTGTCACAAGTTATTTTACTGTAGTTATATTTTTCATCATAAGTTATTGCTATTTCATCTTTAAAGTTCTTACCTTGTCTTGCTTTACTCCCTAATGTGTTTTCCCAGCTTTGTAATAGTGTGCTTAGTGTTTTATGTCTTGTTAGTACCACCTGTGCCTTGTTACCCTGTCTGTATGGAGTCTTTGTGTATTCTCTGTTCTTTGTACAGTAGGTTTGCTGCACACTATGTGTCTGCATTGGCTACTTTCCTGTGGTGCTTGCAGATTCTTTAATTTGGCTTTGCTGGTCTTAAAGTTGGACTTTATTTGCCTTTTGATTGTTGTTTTCCAGAGCAATTTACAGTAAACCCTTTTTACGTCTGTTTTTATTTTAGATTAATTTGGGCAGTACGCACTGTGACAGACCCTGAAGTTGTGATCACACTGTGTGGTTGTTGTCCAGTGCTTTCAAAGCCTGATGTGCATCCTAGGAGCCTGCATCATGCCTCTGTCCAACCTTTTCTTATTGTTTTTTTTATTTTTTTTAACAAGACAACAATAGTGCTTCTGTCACCATGCTACGAGACAGAGGAAATATGAGGGAAATGCTGCAGGATCACTGAATGTCAGGAATCGCACAGGCTGCATAACTCATCCTCTCTGGGAGGGAGCGTAGAGACTATTGGCTGAAGTTTTGTGTCATTGAAATACTAAGGAGCTTGTTTGACTGTCTGTGTGGCTCATTTCCGTGTCGACTCCTTCCCTAGGCTGGCCCCAAACAACTCTGACTTTGAGAGATACTCCTGATCAAGTTGAATTGTCTACTTCTTTCAGGCGCTCCAGAGTGAAATTTAAGAGCTTTGTGGCGCATAAAACCACACAAACATCTCTGTCTAAGGTCTCACAACTTTTAAAAAGCATTCAAGATGGATGGATATGTGTCACAGACTGATCAAACCGCCTCTCCAGAATAAGAAGGCACAGAAAAGCTGTGAAACATCAATATAATAAACCTGCAAGACTCCAGATTACTGCAGTGATTCAGACCGCCATTGAGGAGCTGGAGGGCCTGCAGTTGATTCTTTCCCATCAATTGCTGCCCTGGAAAATAAAATGGAGTTCATTTTCACATTCCTCTGAGGGTACTACAGTACATTCTCACAGTCCCACAAGGGAAAATCCTGTGACTCACTTTACAAGCCAGTGTGGGGCTATAAAGTCCAGCCCTTGCTTCTGGATGTGGAGAGGAGCAGGAGGAAGGGTAAAGATCAACCAGCTTCCCAGCACTTGATCCTGAGGGATAAAGAGACAGTCACTCCCTTGGCTCGAGATATACAACTCCTTGAGTAAAAAAGAAATCTGTCAGAAGAAACTTAGTGAAATCCAGAGCCTGAAGGTCTGCTGGAAAAAAAAAACCAATTAGCTGCAGAGCGAGACAGACCTGCTGGGTAGAGAGAAAATACAGCGGCTGAGCTTCAGTTTTATAGAAAAAAATATATGTATTCAAGCTTCTGTCTGAACTGAAGGTTTGTTTATATTGGTTCAAGGCTGGATTGTTTGTCAGGAAACAGAAACAGCAGGAGATCACTGCCTATGGAGAGATGTGATACAACATTTCTGACAGTTCTTCCCACTCATTTTTAACTTAGCCGCAGTTTCTGCTGCAGACAAATGTATCGGTTCATTTTTTTGTCAATAAAACTAAATGTATCCATATGTCAGAAACAAATATTTGGATATTATGGATTTTGCAACCCTATAATAGACTTCACCACTTTTGCATTTTGGACCTTGTTAGATTTTCAATTTTGACCTGCAGGGTATTTTCTTTTTGTGTCATTTGACCATAAATTCTACAAAGTACAGCTTAAACAGCCTTATCATTAGTTCATATGAGGCTTCCGGAAGTCTAGCTGTAATTTAGGCGTGCACAAAAAAAGCAAAGTCCCTCGATGAACATGTCACTGTTTGAGCTTATACAGAGCTGCATGTCAGTTTTTAAGCTCTGACTCACTGGAAAAAATTATGATTCAAAGCTGGTTTGACTCACCAGTTCTCCTCGCTACAAAAATTATGAGCCGAGTGTTGTCACAACTGAATCAAGTGCTTGTTCAAATACAAAATGGATTATGTCTGACATGAACACACATGAAAAGAGATGCACACAATCCTGTATCTCAGAAGGCAGCGCAGTCTGGGATGTTTGTGTTGTGCTGTTCTGCTTGCTTGGAGCTTACGCCTGGACTCTGGACCAAATTTATCACAAAACAGTTAGTCATCATTTGATATATGCTCAGAAAACTCTGTACAGTAATGTTTCACCTCTCTCCACAGGAGCAGCTTTTTCTGAGAGCTCTTTGAGTCACCAGGGGGCGATATTACCATGTTTCCTCACCATTCGGGTGTGAGACTCCACAGGAGGCTTTCAAAGGAGAATTCAAACATGAAAAGAAAACCTTTTTTTAACACTCTCAGATTACAAACGATTGTTTTATCATCTTATAACTTTAATGTGCCATTTTAGGACAGACTAGAAACCACATTTTACTGCCATTTCCCAAATGTAAATATCTAAACCAAATCCAAACTGCAGGACAATGTTTTGAATCCGCATTTTACGTGAGTCAGTGTGAAAAATAGCTCTACATGCATGTTTGTATTGATTTTGTTTCCTTTCATTTTATCCTGACTTCTTCTCCTTGCTTTGATTTAATTCTAATAATAGTTGTGTTTATGAAATATTGATTAAATCATTTTGATGGTGGACCGCAGGATAAAACCTGCAACACAGGCTCGGTGCAAAACATACATATGATGTAAAATCAAGAGGAAGGCAGGCAGCCAAAGTAGTACTTCTGGATATTTTCTCCACATTTAGTTTGCATACATTTGAATTCCTAATGAACACATGCTTCGATTAACGATGACTATCAGGAAGAAGAATGGGTTTTAACTTACATAAGCGGCAGAAAACAGAGCTATTTTAGAAAGGCAGATGTGGACGGCTGGCCCTGAGGATGAGGAGGCGTCTAAATGGACAACAAATAAAGTATTTTGTGGGTTTAGGAGCTTTGTGTTTGTCAGGATGGTGTGAAAATCAATGAGGCTCCTGAGGGGGCGGCTGGGCTCTGATAGGCCTCCTCCTCTCCTCACCGCAGAGCAGGAATCAGTCAAGGATATTAATCTAAACATCAGTCATGCATGGGGAACACCCCATGAGGAGAATAAGCCTGCTCATCCATGCATCTCCTGAGGGAGGCAGGGGGTGGGGGGGCTTTGAGGAGGGGAGTAGAATGGGTAAGTATGTCAGGGTATCATCTCTGGAGACGTGATGTGGGCTGACTTTGGGCACACAGACAATAAAACCTAAAGCGAAGAGGTTGGCACCATCAAAACTGAGGTTTGTGCCTGGCTCAGTGAGGCACAAACAAATGTGTGTTACAGCATGGTCACACAGAGCTGAGTGTGCACAGTGCAGATAGTGACAGGGAGAGAACAATGTGTTTTTATTGTGTGTGGGAAAAAGGAAGCTATACGTCTGAGTTATATGTTAATGTAATTCATCTTACTGAAATCTAACCCTACAGCTGCTCTGTAGAAGAGCCACACAAGAACCTCGAAGTATTAAAATTCAAGCTTAGTCCAATTTCTTATAATCTCCAATATACTGTATTTCATTTTCTCTCATCACCTTCATAAAACGTCTGCTCTGCCTCTTCTTCCACAGCTCGTGCAGGGTTATCTTCCCAAGGACGAGTGCAGCTGTCGAGCTGCTTCCTCCAAGAGGATACCCCATGCCGACTCCAGGGCATCTGAGCCTTTCCTCTCCACGGCTAATCTAATGTAGCGAGACCATCAAGTGAGCTAACAGCGACAGAGACATGCCATCATAGTCAATTTTTGCTAATCAATGACAGAACTTAAGCTGGAAATCATGGTGGGAATTTTAAATTCCTCGAGGTGCAGTCAGGCAGAGAATAGGGAGATTTTTATGCAATTCCTACTTCAGCTGCATACTGCTGGGACCTGATCTGTGGCCAGTAACTCAATGACTCAGTAAAAATGTTGAATAACTGCAGAAATTTAAGTTGACGCGAGTCACATCTCCAAGTTTTAAGTCTCCCTCACAGAAACAGTGAACCATTGACGACCGTGCAACTGCAAACATTTGTGTATTTAGTGTCTCTTCAATCTCTAAACTTTTCAATACGTGTCTGTTTTTTGTTTTTTTTTAAACCTAATTGTGAGTCATTCGCAGTCTTACACCACAGGGTCTCTGCTTTCCCCAGCAGCAGAATGCAGCATCTTAAATGAAGGCATATAACAGCCTCATCGTGATGTTTAGACCAGGCAGTCTGCTCTTGCATGCTTGACAAATCATCAACATATTGGAGGCGATGGCTTCCCCTCAAACGTGAACATTTGTTTCTTTTAATAAATATGACTCAGCACTTTTACTGGATGCAAATTTTACAACGAAACAAGAGATTGCAATGACATAATACCATTCCCCGTATAAAAACCATGGTTTAAATTATGACATCCTCTGGATCAGATACAGTTAGTTGTATATTTTGCCTCACCAGGCGGTGGTTTATCCTGCTCAGGAGATGTGCAGAGCAGAGGAGACAAACTTGCAGTTCCCCTTATTTGTGTATTTGCATACTCACAGTTTACACAACAGTATTGATTTAATCGATTGAAGGGTGGAAATAAAAGGTTGGAATTTGCCCATTCAGTACAATAGGAAAAAGGCAAGACCGGGAACTCAGCTTAGCCAGATATAATCAGTGTTTTAAAGTGTGCACAGTGCTAATGTTACACCATTACAGGGTTCTTATGAAAAGACAATGGTGTGGTGATAGTGGAGCATTGTTAAAGGACTGTTGCTGACTCCTAATAAAGGTTGCAGACCCTGTTACCCCGCTACAACCTCTGAGGCTGGCACAGCGACAGGATGACTTGGTCTCATCATTATGCCTCTGAAACATTCATAGTAGAAGCCACATGTTGCAGGGTAAACAACCGTACCTTGAAGTGGCAGAATGAAGTGGGCTGAAAAAAATGTAGAACAGAGTCAGACCAGATTATTCCTAGAAAAGCTAGCTGACACTGCACTGCACAATAAAAACCATAAATTCAATTTATTTCAAAATCTATAGCCTTAATTTTACCTGACTTCTAAAAACATATATCTATCTTAATGGATCAAACTCTGATCTTTGATAGTGTAATGCCCAATTAGGTATTATCCACCTCAACACCACTTGAAGGCAAAGAACATGCCTATTTTGGCATATTGTACACCTGTGAGGCTGTACAATTGATTTGACTGATGTCATCATATCCAGTGATTTAAATCCCCCTATTTCTTTCACATTTTGCAAAATTAGCGATATTATTTTCAGAGGTTAACCAAAAAAAGCAACAAAATCAAGAAGTACAAATTAATAAAAGCCACCCCTGACAAACCCTCCAGGCCAAATATCTGTCTGCAGGGCTCCTGTACCTGAACTAATCGCTGGAAAGTGGCAATCGTCAGAAGTCAGTGACATTTTTCTGCTGAAGCGGCCATGATGAGCTGAGTCTCAGTACAGCAATGATATTACATGATGTCACCAAAGCTGAGAGATCCTGTGGCAACAAGAAATCATACTAAACAAATGCCATTTTACCATAATAGTCTTAAAAGAAGAGTAATTTAATGAATGTCATGCTGCTACGCTACTGTACCATGGTGAAGAGTAGATATGCTTGATAAATATACATTATATTTCTTGTGCAATTTCTGTTTTTCTACATCTGTTTTGTTATAATTTTGAATTCACTTTCATTACCTTAGGGATAATGGAATTTTTTGGTAACACAATGACAGACCTAGTTGTCTGTTATTTTAAAGCCCACATCATTAGAAAAGCACTACAAAGGAGTGCTGTGACCTTCTGAAACAGACACATTTTCCTGTCAGGATAAGTCGTCGAAAAGGTTATTTCACTTGCTCACATGACAGGTGGCTAAAGCACAATGTCAAGTTGTGCTGGACATTATAGCCAAAGTTGATGAAATTAATAAAATTGCTAAAAAAAAAAAAGTCAAATTAAATGTATGATTACATTTGTTCTTGGTGGAACTATCATTATAAAAAACTCTAAAAAGTTGTATCTCAGGGCAACGAAGCAGGGCAACGTTAGGGCTGACATTGAGGGAAAGTGCTACAAAGATGTGAAGATGAGGCAGGGCACTTCTCGCCATTCCCTGCGATTAAAGATAATAACTCTGCCTTGTATGTAACT